CCACCGCTTGGCGCTTACGTCACCCACCGCCCACCGCCCACCGCTGCTTATGTCACCCACCGCCCAACGCAAATTTCTCTGCATTTCTCGACTTTTCAGACGATTTGGGTCGGGGGCCGCCGGGGGGCCCCCGCCCGCCCGTAGGCGCCCGCAATTTGACGGGGATCTGATGGGGGCCGGAGCCAGATTTGATGGGGATTTGGCAGGAAATGGAAGGACGAGGGCCACTCATTCCTGGACGACATCATGCAACCTCAACCCTAACGTCACGTGAGGAAAGACACGCGACGAAGTACGAATGAGCGATGTCCACGACGTCGCCCATCTTTCACGACGCGCGCATCGCGCACAACGGTTGCAGACGCGCGCATGGGTATATTTCCTTTGTACCTAGATAGCATATATAGGTAGGACGAGCAGACCTTATGTCGGCTCGTGTTGAACTCATGTTACCAACCTTCTGTTTGAAATCAGACGATCCCCTTGAAACCCCTTGCGCATTCATTGACCAGAACAATCCTCTCGAGTAACTTCTCTTACAGGAAGTTGACCCGTAACACTGTCTTGCTATCCGCCTGCATTTCATCACCGCTCGGAGAGACGAATACATCCGCCTTCACCTTCGGCAGTGATCTCTCGTACTCCAACAGAGTCGTTGCTCGGGAAATCGGGCCATAGCCAATACGTCCCGGAGTCATTTCTGATCTCGACTTCAGCCGCGGCGAGGCACATCTGGAGGGTGCGATTTGATGGCCCGACATTAGGACTGATGCAGCGGAGGCCATCCCGGCCATGCACTGCACTGTTAACGCGCCAGTCTGCGTTCAGCCGAATCGCATCGCGCCGAGGTCGTCGGAGCCCATGTGAATCCGGTGAAGTAGCGCAGAAGGCCTTTGCCACATATTGATCAGGCCAGTCTGCAACTTGACCGTTCGTGAAGCTCCTGACACGCGGCTCTCGATTTTGATGCCAAGCTGACCTCTGAGTCTTCGCCTAGGGGATGGCATCGAGATACACTCTCTGCAATGCGTCCTCGAGGCCAGTGTCGATGTCCCATCGTGACAATGCTCTTCGGAAGAGTGTATGCGTCATCTGTCCCGCTGGAAGGAATGCCCTACGTGCTGAATCGAGCGACTGCGACGTTCCCCTGTGCCGTCGCTCGATGAAAATGCCCGTATGCTGGAGGGAAACGGAAGTGTGGCCTTGCGCGCGAGCCACCGGTCTGGGTATCGGCCTTGCAATGGGCAGCTGGGCTCCCAGTCGGGCTGGGATTGTGAGGGCTACGTCGCATTGGGGCGGTTTGCGACATCTCCGCGTCCCGCACCGGTCCTGTGCTCGCCACAGAGGGCGCATGGCCCGTTGAGCCGCGGCCGGGGATCGCCAGGATGGTCGGGCGAGGCGAGCTTCTAGAAGGGGCTCACCCACGTCGTCGCTGCGATGGGTCCTTTGCAGTAGGACGGGCACGGTGTCATCATGAACCAGGCTGGCTTGGGCAAACCACTCACGGACTGCAGGCCTCCTGTTGTGTCGACTGATGACATGTTTGCCCGTTGTCGTTCGACGGGCGATAACAGGTTCATCCGGTCCAAACTCCGACGCTACCGCCGGAAGAGGAGGCTCGGTCCGAGTGTCTCGAGGTATGTACAAGAATTTTGTTAATCATCCGATAGCAAAGGAAGTCGGGGTTCTTTCGGCCCGGCTCGGTAGTGTAATCCGCAGAGCGTTCAGCCAGGGCTCGTGTGAGAAATGCTCGTGATAACTACCTGGCCTGGGGAGTTCTCTCGTAGTTTCTGAGACATCGGCGCGGATCGTTCGAACAGGTGCATTCAGAGAATCTTCGAAGGATATACATTCAATCATTAATCATAAACGCTGACGCCTTGACGTTCCGATCGAGAGCGTCAGCAGCTATACAGGATTCAACCAGTTCCCGCCGTCCATCAGCGGCGACCATCTGTGCCACACCCGCACCAATTCGTCGACATGTTTCGCCTCACCCAGCGGTCGGCGACAGATTCATCGTCTGGAAGAAGCCGGTCATGTCTCGCACGCCGAAACTCGCTTCGTCCTTGGGTTGGGTGGCGCGATATTTGACGAAGTCTCGGATGCTAGCTGCGAGGCGAGCGGTCTCATCGTTCTGCGGCAGCCAGGAGTCCGTCATATCTGTTCCGCGGACATCACTCATCCGCGTGTGGTAACTTTGCGCGTAGATGTACCTGTGAAAGTATGATCAGATGACCGCTCAACGCGTGTGTGTGATGGAGAGGGGGAGAGAGAGACAGGGAGGGGAGGGGGAGAGTGAGAGAGTATTCATCAAATTGCGCAGCCATCGCGTTGGCGGGAAGAGTGACATACCCGTGTTCCTCGACGGCCGCAAATTTCCGGCGGAGCCACCATGTGTGTTTGTCGTCGCTTGGCAGACACAGCGCCGCGATGCCCAAGCCGGCTTGTGCGCCCACGATGCCGCCCACTGGCCCCGGGTCGCCGTACTGCAGCGCTTCGAACAACTTGCAGATCTTCAACGCCAGCGCTTTGCATTCTTGAGAAGGGGCTCGGGCTTGTGTGAGGCACACTTGATACTTGAACGTCAGCTCGACCGACCAAAAATCCAATAGGACGAAGTTCAGGGGGGCGAGCTCGCCCGCATAGAGGAATCTTGGATCCCGAAAGTCGGAAACGTCATCTTGGCTGGGCGGTGGTGCCCTGGGGAAGGCCGGGACGAATTGCGCCGAGTCGAGGAAAGCGCGCTCCAGGACCTCCGAGGTCGTGGCAAATTCCAGCAGGAGTCTTTTGTATTCGTCGACGAACTGCCCGTCGCTGATGGTCCCCCGCTTCCGCTCGGCGAACAGGATGGTCACGTCGGCGGCCAACACGCGCGTCTTAGTGAAACACGATTTGAAAAACGCAGAGGGATCGCCGGGGCGGACAGCAGCTTCCTGTTGATAAAACTCATGCAAGACAGTACACCAATCGCGACCCAACGCCGTATGACTCCCCGACATCAAGCCCGCAGTGATGTCAAAACGGCAATACCACGCCACTATCTTCCGACGCGTCTCGTCTTGGACGGATGACTCGGGCGTGAACAGTTCGGCGAGAACGACCTTGGCGGCACGCTGATGACTCAACAAGTTCATCCAATCGCCGAGGTATTCCTGCAACATCGTCAGCGGGGGTCTCGGGGATTGGGCTGTCACGCATCCGAATCGTACCTCGATGGTGGCCAGCTGTAGGATCGCCAACAGCGCTGCGACGTCATGTCGCTTGCTCGCCACCAGTTGGAACAAAGCTGTGATCGATCGGTTGTAGTATTCCAGAAACATGGATTGCCTCATGTTTTTCTGCGCGCAGGAATGGTGATATGCCGCGAAGGCGACGATGCTTGACAAGAGAGCCGGGGAAGTGTCGCTCAGTGCGATGTCGACCATCGTGCCATGGATGAAGTCGGTGTCATCGAACTTGAAGAAGTAATGGTGATAGGAAATGTTTTCCTTGTGGTAATCGAGGTAGAATTTGATGTCGTCGGGGAGGGAAGCCCGACGATGCGATGATCCTCCACCCATGGACCGCGATGGACTGAGCGGTGCGATGGGTCGATGGTGCCGTGCGTTCGGTGCGGGCTCCATCATGATCGTCGGTGACAACGCTACGCCATCTCTGCCGAACCGGCCAGACTCCACTCTTTTGATCGGCTCGCCCCCAAATGCCTGATCGTCCTCCTCAGAATCCCCCTGCTCGCTGGCGTCCTCCGCGATCGAGGAGATCTGATAGTGTTCGTTTCCGCCATGCTCGCTTTCGGAGGGACTCGAGGTCTTGGGGGACATCGGAACCTGCGTGTCGCCACCGGCTCCTCTGCCCGAGCTCGAAGAGTTCGATCCGGGATACGCGCATTCTCGGCCCCCTTTTTGACAACCTGCGAGAGCGGTCAGCTATGACGACCAATGCGCACAGGATTCCGGTCGTCTTACGTTCGCAGATCGGATGGGTTTCGTCGCACTGTAAACTCGGTCAGTCACGAGTCTGTGTCGCGGTCGGGTCATCGAACATATCTACCCACCTTCACACGTCGCTGTCGACACGTGTAGCAGCCGCTCCGGGTACGTCTGTGCTTCGTGTGCTCGGGACCCAGCGGCCGCCGCTTCCGACGCTGCGCATTGTTGGCGGGTAAGATCGCTTGGCCCGTTTCGGGGAAGTTGCTGTAACCATCGTACTCTGCGGAAGGAAAGGTTTGGGTGTGCAGTGGGTCGGGTTGGAAGATCGTCGGCGATGCCAAAGGGGTGTCTCCGACGGGATATCCTGCGCCGGTGGGTAGTGCTGATGGGAGGAAGTGGTGATCCATGAGGTGTTGGGGATGGGGGGGCGATTCGGGGGCGAACACCTCGTCGACGGTGCGACGGTCGACGTGAAAGCCGGCAACGCGGTCGTCCGGGTCGCGAAGGAAACCGCACGCGCGTCGAGTGTCGACCGATCCGCCAAAGAAATTGTGCTTCGAGCCGAGATCTCACAGACCGGACCGATGTGTTCGAGGCGCGGTGTACGTCGGGGTGTGCGGTCTATGTCGACGCTGTCAGATGCGCCGTCGGGATCTTGGTTGGAGGGTTCAGTTCAGCCAGCCAGGGAGAGGTATGGGCCATACCGGAATGCAAGCTGCAGCTAACCAGGACAAGCTCCGATCCTGTTCTCGCCCTGTCTGTCGGAACTGGAAAGACGCGCCGACACCACAGTGGTCTCTGGTGATCGCTCTAGGGTTGGCATGCACGTCGAGGGGTCGCCGTCGATCGAGGGCGTCGTGGTCGGTCGTACGTGGTGAATGGATCTCTCCGCCGCAGAAGTGCCCTGCATGTAAGGATGCGCTGGATTGGATTTCCGAGTCGAAGGTCGGGTCGGGATCCTTTGTTGCAGGATGAATCAGGTGGAGGGGTTCGCAGATGATATCAAGAATGATTCCGCAGGGCCAATCGACCCGAGAGCCAATCGATCCGGGACTTCGATGCCTCCTTGGTACGGTCACAGATGGAGCTCGCACTGGAGGTTAGTGCGATGCGAGGATAGCATCGGAATGGCAAGCTCGTGGGTGTATCCAGTTGCCGGTGCAAGCGCAGCGCCGGCGAAGTAAGATAAACGCATCGTCGTCGATCGCGCGGCGGCCGGGGCAGCAGCGTGCGTGCGAGCGTGTGTGTGTGTGCACGTCTCGCGGTGCGTGCGTGCGAGCGAGCGAGGGTGGATACTGGACACTGATACAGTATGTTACCACTGTAGTGACTGTAATTACTACCTAGGCGCAGTATGTTGGACGGAGACGGGTGCACGCACACGCATACGCACGCACCACGCACAACCACCCACCCACCTACACACGCACCCACGAGGGACGCCTATATGCACGTCGCAATATCGCGGCGCCGGGGCCCACGGCCGCCACGCGTGTTCCCCATGCATGCTGGCGCATCTCAACATGGTGAGGAGTCTGAGGACTGAGGAGGACACGGGACAAGTACATAGGGATGGAGTGGTGCACCCCGGCACGCTTGGCTTTCGCCTGACACCGCCAACCCGACACCCAAGGCGGAGGAAGATTTGGGTGGTGGTGATGGTGGTGCAAGGTGGTGGTGGTGGCAGCGGTGGCAGCGGTGGACACAGGTGGTGGATGCGTATGAGCGCCTGGATCTCGAGGTGCTAGGTAGTGATGATAATAATACTGGAGTGCCCGCCCGCACGCCCCACGTCCGGCGGTTCGGTAATGGCCCTCGACGAACTAAATTCTCTGGGCGGACTTGTCCTGGTTGGCGAGCTCCGTCCATCCAAGATGGATGCCATCGTCGGCGCTAGGATATTCGGCATTTGCCCTCGTCGAGGGAGATGATGGACGCTGGCACTGGACGGTGTGGCGAGGAGGTCCCTCGGTCACGTCCATTTCACCTGTGATTGACTCCTGACCGCGTGTGTACCCGTCGTCTGTTCATGCCGACAGCAGCTCCCAGGTCCCCTCTCGACGTCGAGCCCCGGCAGGAAGAGATCGTGGTGCGCACGCAGCACCGCACATATCCCGATGGAGAGAGCGCAGGTGGCCCAGGACGTCTTTCGATCCGGTGCAGCTGGGGTCGACGTCCACCGCCCTGGTCTGCAGGTCCCGCGGAGGTGACATGCGAACCAGGGAGGAGAGGGCTCCGCGTAGCTGGTATACGATACAGGGCGGTGCATATGGACGTGGAACGGGACCCTTCGACGGATCTACTCATCGGTCGGCCAGACACGACCACGCACTACATGACCACGATCCCCTCGAGGGGCGTCCAGTCCGCCCACATGTGTCTCGCACGATATCCCGCCGACGCGGTTGGCCTGCCCCACATCCATTGGATTCGCCAGATGATCAACATGCGCGCATCACCGGTGCTTGGGTCGTCCACAGCAGGCCATGTGGCGTGGATCGTCGGGCGATGCACATGGCGCATAGCATGGGTGGACTCCATCCGCAGCTTCGGGCGCGACGCTGTGGTCGACATGGAGAGTCCCATGAGAGCGACGGCTTTGGGTACTTGGCGGACTCTCTCACGACATGTTCACGTACTACATATTCCTTCGGCGAGCGATGCGTGTGTGTGTGTGTGTGCGTTGCGCATCTGTGTCGCCCATCGCAGCCGTGTGTCGCGGTGGTGATGAGACCCTGGCAGCGTCGGCGCATAAGCCACGAGTGCCAATGTGTGATTTCCCTGGGCGCCCTTGGACACGCCGATCCTGGATGACAGCGGGTGGAAAGCGTCACTCCCAGAGATGAGCCCATGGCTCCCAGGTGGGTGCTGTGAGACATGTACTGGACTACTGGCTTGGACGACTCTCACCTACCTACTGTACTGTACATCATCGACGACGGAGAGATGGTGGCCGATTCTTTCCCCGATGAGCTGCTGTCGTTGTTTAGTGCCGCCCCAGAGGAGCTGGTGTTGGGCAAAGGCGAAACTCAAATCCCAGCCCGGGCCGACGGCGACGATGATGCACGTGGCAGCCGCCCATCCATCATACCTAGCACGCCTAGGTACATAGCAGTGATAATATATATCGACCTCGACAGTCGGGTAGTGCTGTCACGCCGTGCGGCTTTGGTGTCTACGGTGCAGGTAGTTCGACTTGGCCACGACCCCGATCGTCGATGCCGCGACCGCTTGAGACACACCGATGATGCCGGGCGGAGGGGCGGTCGGTGCTCCCCTGTTCGTTCGCCGTGAGGTTCGTTCCTGGACGTCGCGGCTGCGATGGAGAGGGTCAGAGGGTTCCAGATGGGCAAGGCATTTACGAACGATCGGCAGCCTCGACTTCCGCAATAGACAGGTGCACAAGGCTGATGAACGACCCTGGAACGCTTGAGAATTGGGCTAACCGCCCATAAGCCTACCCGCTTTATTGGATCGCAATCAATGCCACGGGCGGGCGTGCAGGTGTTCGCATGCCGTCATCCGCATGGCCTGCAGGAACCCAAACTCTGTTCTCCTGGGTGGGTGTGGGTGAAGGGACGGTGGACAGCACAGCACAGCGCAGCACAGCGCAGCACATCACCCACCAGTCATCTCATCACACTCGGGACGACGTGCGCCGTTCTTACAGCACACGCCTGGGCATGTTCTTGTCGCTGGGGTTATGCTGCACGTAGCGCCTACCGTCCGTGCCAATTCGACTCGCTCATACGCCATCCGTACACCCTGTTCGACGTGCTGCATCACCCATGATTCCCGTGTAGCTTGGAGCGACGCACATACGACGAGTCGTCGCTCATGTCCCTGCTGTGTGCTCTCTCGCTCTGGGCAGTGCCCATGTGGGATCCATCGCACGCGACTCGCCTAGCCCTGCGCGGGCTTGTCGCGGGCGCGTCTTGACCTCCGGCTCTCCAGGGCTCTCATCAGAGAAGCTGGCGGGCTGTCGTGACCCTGTGCCGAAGGTCCATCGCGCGCACCGTGGACCTCGCACAATAACCCGGTCGTGGGTCTCAGGCTTGTTTAGCACGCGAGCGGCGGCGCTCCGATGCTGATGGCTCTGGAAGCGAGATCCAAATCCTTCACCACGCGACCTGCTGAAATGCGCTTGGCGAATCCTGCTCTCGGCGGACTTGGGGATCGCGGTCCGTTCACGTGTCCTGTCGCCTAGTCTCTCTCCGGTCTCACGTAGCAGATCCCAATCAGAATCGCGATGGGCGATGCATATAGTTAAACGAGATACGAAATGCAGGCAATGGAAATGTGCTCTGCTGCATCGGGGTGCTCGATGCCCTCAGCGTGTCGCCTGCTCGTCACAAAATCACCTCGCAATCGTTTATCAACGGTCACTTGTGGACTGACTACCTAGGTGTGCAGTACAGTAGCACCCAAACTTCGTGTAGGATCGTATCGAGCAGGGGTATCTTTTCCTCTATCATGCCAGCAGCTGCCTGCGGCGTCGAAAATGCAAACCGACTACTGCCCTCGAACTTGGCTTTGAACCTGTGCCACGCGCCGATTTCGTTGCTCGATCCATGAGAGCCGCTACGAAGCCGTGGCTTGGTGGCAAGCCACAACAACAACACCGAGAGGGCCATAGCAAAGCATCGGGAGTACAAGTACGTGAGGGTGAAGTGCGGGCGGGCGATTGGATCGACCGTGACGCGGAAGATTCGATTTCAACCCTGGTCATTGGTTTTGAGAGACGGCCGAGGCCTGAGCGCTGGACGCCCCCTGGTCTTTCAGTCTCGAAAAGCGGGTGAACACGTTCCGAGGGACCATCAGGCTTGCGCATGGTCCTCGAGGAATGTTCCTCGGGTCATGTCCATTGCTGCATGGGCCCGGGATCGCGGCTGACGAAGAAGCCATCGCTCGAGCAATCCCGTTTCTCGCGAGCCTAACGCCACGAGCATGTGCTGCGAGCGTTCTACATCCGGCTTTCACTTAGGTGTTGACCGCAGGCGTGCACGTCCCTCGGTCAGGGAAATAACCTTCGCTCGAAATAGCAACCTGCGAGGGTCGGTCTATTGGCAGTTGAACTCTTCGAACAAGCGGCCGTTTGATGCACGCAGGCATCAATATCGTACAGAATGGACTTCAGCTAGCTCGCGACCACGGCGCAAGGATTGCTTCTCGAAGATTCCCGATGCGGGCATGCCTTGCACGCGGCGGAGACACTCGCTCGGGCACCCCCATCGATGATGATCGCGGGCACTACGGTAACGACAGGTTGGCGAACCCTCACGGGTCGTGGAAGGAGACCGTCATGACATCGTCGGACCCATCTGTCCGTCGTCATTCGCATGTTTCGAGCAAGCCAAGTCTCCGAACAGACGGCGTCCATGCAGGTCGCAATCTTGCGAGTAATTTCACTAGATCGTCCAGCCTTGGGATCGGGCGCATGAACCTCCCGACGACCTCCGAGGTCTGCTGCGCTTTCACGAGCGCGATGTGCAGTACGTACAGTGCCTTGTGAGATGGTGGATACGTCGCGCATGCGTCAACTGCCCAGTTCGAGTTTTCGAATCGAGCAGCAGTGGTCCTCAGGACCGGCCTCGCCATTCCTCGTATGGAGCCCGCAACGATCCCGGGGAGGGAGATGGAACAGCGACGCCGGCTGGCTGACAGCGTTGGGTCTCCGTCCAAGGATCTGAAGTGACTACTTTGCACATGGTGGGCAATGGACTGCCTCGTCGTCCCTCCAGGCGCCGACCATTTTGGCTGACCTGGAGTCGCATCATCATTCGCCGTCTCCGGGGCTCCAACCCATACGGTTACCTCGTATTGCAGAGTTGTAATTATTGTTATTATCATTGTTATTATTATTGTTATTGTTATTGTTGTTATTATTATTATTATCGTTATGTACAGTACCTGCTGGAGCCGTGAACGATCCGTGAGGGTTCAACCCTTAGGGTCAGAAGCGGGTGGTCGCGCGGCGGCCGCGACCCCGGATTGGTCAGCCAAAAACTCCTGAGTCATGTCGCAAGTCGCGACCCCACACAGCGCACTCATCAATTCTGGAGCGTCGATTCTGCCTTCCGTGGCGAGAGGATCCTCTCTCCTCCCGACATCCACACATACAACACCACCATGGCTGCAGTACAACCACCGCCAGGCCGGACCGATTGGGCCGAGGACGAAGAGACCGACCTCGCGACCTCGCTGCCCCCTCCACAGATCTCCAAGAACAAGGACGGCACCGAGACCATCGTCACGGTCTTCATCAACGAGGATGGCAAGCGAGTCAAGCGCACCCAGCGGATCCGGAGGACGGTCGTGAAGAAGGTGGAGAACCCCAAGGTCGCCGAGCGTCGGCTGTGGGAGAAGATGGGCATGGAGGCCGGCAAGCCGGCGGGACCGCGACCGGACACCACCACCCTGGGCGAGAACATCATCTTCCGGCCGCAGGTGGGCTACAAGAGCGGCCAGCAGCAGGAGAAGGGCGCGGAGGAGGCCAAGAAGGAAGAGAACGCCAAGAAGATGCAGATCAAGTGCCGCATCTGCGGCGGGGACCACTTCACCACCAAATGTGCTTTCAAGGACAACATGGCGCCCGAAGGCGAGGCCGCCGGCCCGCCCGCAGACCTCGACGACCGCGCGGGCGGGGACTCCGCGGAGGGCGGGCTCGGCGCCGGCGGCAGCAGCTACGTCCCGCCGCATCTGCGCAAGGGTGCGGCCGGCGCCGGCGGCGGCGAGCGCATGGGAGGTGGCAAGTACGAGCGCGACGACCTCGCCACGCTCCGGGTCACGAACGTGAGTATCACGCGCGAGGACCGCCGCGATGTGGGGACGACCCCGGCTAACGTGACGTTCAGGTTTCGGAATTCGCGGAGGAGGGCGACCTGCGGGAGATGTTCGAGAGGTACGGGCGCGTCACACGGGTGTTCCTCGCGAAGGACCGGGAGACGGGCCGGGCGAAGGGTTTCGCGTTCGTCTCATACGCCGACCGATCGGATGCGGCGAGGGCGTGCGAGAAGATGGACGGGTTCGGCTACGGTCACTTGATCTTGAAGGTGGAGTTCGCGAAGAAGAACACTTAATGACGACGGTGCGAACTATGACATTTCTCCCTCCTGCGCACCTGCTTCCACAGCGATGTCGAACGATCTCCGGAGGTGCATCCTCGATTTCTGCCCGATTGTGTGATTGTGTGAAGTGCGCCGACGCTCTCCGTTGTTGCGAGCCGTGATCGGGTCGAACGTTGTCCACCAAAGTATCTAGATATCCCGTCGTCTCTGGTGGAGGCTATGTGTCCTCGAAGCGTGAGGGACAACCCACAGCCATCGTTTCACCTCGTCGATGTCAGCCCGCAGCCATGACATCCACCGCACGGGTCCCGCGCCCAGGATCAAATGTCGATCCTCAGGAGCGTTTCCGACGAGGAGCGACTGCGGCTCCATCGTGGTGCGCCTTAGATCCGTCTCCATCTATCTCTGCCAGTCAGCGATCCCGTTTGCAAGATTGCCCCTCACTCACCGGTCGTAGTTCGTCATGGCTGTGTGTGTGGTGCAGCGACTGGACGGACAGCGGACCCAGCACAGCCCGGATCGCGGCTGTGCCAGTCAGAGGAGAAGGAGGATTTTGCCCAGGTGGACATCATTGCGCAGACCCTGTCTCTCTGTCTCTCTCGTCTGTCTCTCTCGTCTGTCTCTCTCGCATGGCCGTTCAATCGATCGTGGGAGCCATTTTATCGTCGACGAGACGCGTATATGTAACATATATATCCTACTTATGTCTATACACATACATCATATATATCGACGCGATGATTGTCTGCGCGCGAAATGGAGTGGGCCGCATTCGACCCCACCACAGGAAATGGGTGGGAAGGGAGCGCGAGAGAGGGAGACTGCGACAGAGACAGAGCGTGAGACACACACAGAGAGAGGAGGACATGGCTGAGCCACGCCCACTCAGATCTCCCGACCGCAGCAGATAGAGACAGTCAGCGACAGACAGAGAGACGAGAGGGAATGGGGAGAGAATGGGTGGCACTCCCCTCCGCTGGGAGACCCTCCAGCACATGCGCCATAGCCAGGGCCACCGTCCCATCCATTGATTCTGCCGTCCATGGGGTGGGAGGGTCCGCCCCAAAGCAGACTAGCCGGACTGCTATTCCGGGCGTCCTCAAGCCGCCCTCATCGCCGTCTGTCCCTCGCTCACGCGCTCGACGGCCGCACCTCATCGGCCTCCTCGCCCGGGTCGCTCTCCTACCACCGCTGCCAGGAAGTCATAAACCGAGACGGTTTCCCCAACCATGCGGTCCTTGCCTCGTTCGAGTTATATTCTCCGAATGGTTCTGTCGTCGTCGTCGCCACCCGCGACGATCCTCCTCCCGCCTCACTAGTCAGCCATGGCACCTCAAGACGCTGACGACGCTGCCAATACCATGGACTGCACCTGGCAGTATGCCGAAGAGTTCCCTTCGTTCGACGACGAGCGCGCGTTCGGGTCTGCGCCACTGCAGTCGTCGTCATCTCTGCTGTCGCCATCGTTCACCAACCAATACTTCAGCCACGACACGTTGGAATGGGAATTCTTCTACATCCCGCCGGAAGTCCCACAGATCTCGCATGTCGGGATGCCGGAATCGCCGGCCGCGTTCGGTGGCCTGAGTCCACGGCTGTCATACAACATCGAGTCGCTGTCGCCGGGGTCCGGCGATCCCACTTCAGATCCCTCCCCGGTCGAGGCAATGCCGTCCCCCTCGACTCGACCCTCTCCAGCGCCGGCACGTGCTCCGACGAGTCCGGCCGAACACCGGCTGAAGAAACGGTTCCCGCGGATCAAGAACGGGTACAGCTGCGAAGACGCCCGCTGTACGAAGAAGTTCGACACGCAAGGGGCTGCCACCAAGCATCATCAGCGCACCCACACGCCGGAGTCGTCCAGGCCCCACAAGTGCCCGCACTGTCCCCGCCGGTTCCTCTGGGACAAGGACATCAAGCGGCACATCGGCCAGATGCACGCCGCCCACCAGAACGCGGTCGCGCTGCGGTCGCCCCACGCGCGCCGTCCCTCCTTCGACCTGGAGATGCTCTTCGGCCCGAACGGCCCCCGCTTCACCGCCGACGCCATGTTCGCCGCCCTGCGCGCCGCCATCCAGATGAAGCGCGTGGCGGTCCGCATCCGGGCGCGCCGCCGGTCCCAGGGCGAGCCCGGCCAGAGGTACATCATGGTGACCCGCGACCACGTCGACTTCCGGGCCATCGACATCTCCGGCTCGAGGACCCCGACCGCCCTGCTGGAGAAGATCCGCGGGTGCCTGAAGTTCCCGCCGCCGCCCGGCTTCACCCTGTCGTCGTACTCCCTCGGCGACGGCATCGTCGGACCCCGCATGAGCCCGGACCAGCTCTTCGCCACCATCACCAACGCCCCGGGCGGGCCGGGACCGCTGCTCTTTTTCCTGCGGTCGTGACCTCGCGCCCCGAGGGATGGGATAGCCGCGCCAGGACCGTTGATCCCGACCGTTTCCCCTCGTCCCTCTTGATCTCCTCCCACCTCGCGGAGGATCATTTCCCTTTCGTTCTTTCTTTCTCTCTTCTCTCCCGTTTCGGGGACGACGGTTCCCCGACGGGACGATTCCCCTGGGCTTGTATCGGTTGCATCGGGCAGGAGTTGAGGGGTTTTTCTCTTATCGCGTTACGATGGAAATGAGACACCCGTGGGTGGACGGTGGGCATGATGCTACGACGTCATGGCTTTTACTGCTTCTGGCACTTCGTTCGTAGCAGCGGTACATTATACATAGCATGAATGGCATGGGGATTTACTCGAGAACCCGGCCCCTTCCTCCTTGACGCTACATACGCGATGATTGAAGATTGTCTGTGTGATTTCCAGCTCCGTCCTCGCGCCGGCGGATCGATGCCTCAACCCGCCTGCGTTGTCCAGGTCATGAACTCTGCGTAGTCCCGTGGATTCCCGCGGCCGAGCGGCCAGGTTTACACATCCCCCTCCCGCCCCATGACCCCGACGCCCCAGAACAGCCTCGCGGTCGGCTTCTTCCGGACCAGCCTCCGATCGCCGTCGTCGCCATCCTCCGGCGGCTCGGCGTCCGGGTCGAGCCTCTCCCAGCTGCCGTTCAGGCGGGGGTCCTCGCTGTCCTCGGAGCGCAGGATCCGCGTGTAGGGCGGGCCGCGCCCGAGCTTGGCGGCCTTCACCCACGACGTCTCGCAGCCGCTGGCGATGAGCTCGCCGCTGCCCCAGCCGGTGCGGCGCGAGATGCTGAAGATCTGGCGGACGGTCTCGCCGCGCTGCCCGGCGTCCGTGTATTGGATGGCGGCGAAGAAGGACGGCATGCAGCTCTCGCAGAGCGCGGCCCCGAGGCTGGGGTTGATCGATCGGTCGCCGCCGCCGCCGAGGGATCCGTCGCCGGCCATGGCGTACAGGCCGGCGGAGATGCGGCCGATCTCTTGCGCGTGTTCGTGGGTGAGGCTGGCCGCCACGGCGGCGGCGACGTGGGCGGCGGGCGGCATGTCGGGATGGGAGCGGATGGCGATGATCTCCGCCATGTGATAGATGGCCCAGAGGCAACTGATGTCCGCCGATGAATAGGTCGTAGCAGGCCCAAAGGCTGTCACGGGCGAATCGTAGTGCTCAGGTCCGAGCGGCTGGAAAGTCAGCTCGAGCGCCTCCCGAAATCTTTGCAGAGCTGCTCGGATGCGACCCATCTCTCCTTTGGCGGCATCGGTGGCTGCCTCGAGGTCATGGTCGGGAGCCGGGAACTGGCCGCTCGGTGCTTGGGTAGCAGTGCTCCCGTCCGTCGGCACGTAGGACGAGGGCATTCGTATGTTGGTACGTGGCGGTGGCGCCATCCCATAGAACTGTGGCGATGGTGCTTGTTGCGGCTGCGGCGGTGTCTGCCCAGGCGGTGGTCGCGGCATGTGCATCTGCATGCTGGGCGGCGGTCGCCAGTGCCCACCGTTAGCCTCCATCTGCTTTAGCTTGCGAGCCCTGTCCCGTGATGCGAAATCGGCGATTCGGGCGAGCAGGAGCACGAGATGGTCGACCGATCCGTACACTGCTCCGGGATGGCCCAGAGGGCCTCGCGGCGGGCAGCTGGCCCAACGACTGAAATCCATCCTGATGAGTGTCAGCAATTCGTCCTCGTCGCGTCATGGGCATGGCCGTGATCGAGCAAAGGGGTAGACTTACAGCAAGGGGTTGCCGCTGACGATGCTCTGATATACGTCCTGTTTGCAGTACCACCAGTACAAATCCTTCAACAGCTCATACTTGGCCAGATCCAGGCCAGCCGATGGTCTTGGGGGCTGCGCGACCTCTTCGACACTGCCATGGTCATCGTACCGCACCTCTCGGCCCACCAAAAAGCTCACCACACGGTCGTCGACATCAAACGTCTGGTCCAGCGCCTCGGCCTGTCTCAACGCAGAGTTGCCTGTCCCAACGAGTGGGAAGTTTGTGGCATGCTGGCTCTTCATCCGTCTGAATTCTCTCGCCATATGTGCGAAATCCGTTTCGACAAACAGCTGCATGGCGCCTGTCAAATGCATGTTCCATTTCATGTGGTCGGCTGTCATGATCTCGTAGAAGCCGAGCAAGAGGGTCGCTGCGATGGTGGTGGGCTGCCGCCGTTTTGCTGGGTCATTGAGGCTATTGAACACACTCTTGCTGGCCCACCCATAATGAAGCAATGAAGGCGTCGTAGAGGCGTTTTGTAGGCGGGCGATATGTAAGCTGGCCAACGCAAGCATGGCCTGCAGGAGCGCTTGATCTTTCAAGGCAGCCATGGGCAAGCTGTGCGTCCAAAGGCCCTGCTGCGATGCCGGTACGGCTCCTGGATTGAACAGCATTGAAGTGTTGCGATGATGGCGTTCGAAAATGGACAGGCTCGGCCCGGTGACAGCGATGAAGTGGGCAAACACGCGCTTGGTCGCGTCGTTCTTCAAAGGATTCGCCGCCTGCTCGGCTCGATAATGATCCAGGAAGCCCGGGAACACGAACGTGTCGTATGCACGAGTGCGGACATCGTGCGCGATCATTTGGTTCATATCTAGAAGTCCGCTGAGCGTCCCATGGTTCGGCCGACCACCTCGATATCGATCCATCTCGGCTTCCGGCAACAGGCCCATCCTGTCGTCCTCGTCGGCGTATACGTCGTAATAATCATCGTCCTGTGTCCGGACTGCTGCGGCCGACAGAAGTGAATTGAGGTCCATCGATGCCGGTGCGGCCAGGCTCACGTCGTCGTCGAACTGAAACCGTCCTTGCGCATAAGCTTGCGGGGTCGGAAAACCTGTGGAGTCGGCGTTGAACTGGCTTGGCGAGCTGTTCGTCGATTGATTCAGCCAGGCGGTCGTGTTTCCGAGCTCGGCCCCCGCAGCAGGTCCACCGGGGGGCCAATTCGCCTGTTCCAACCCGGGACTCGGTGTGAAAAAGGCACTTTGAGGAGGCGTGGCCGATACGTTGGACATGTGTGGCGGACTTGTGCTTTGAGAAAACACGAGTCCGTTCCAATTCGGATTCACCCCGTACGGCGTGCTCGGCTGGCTCGTGATCGAGCCGGGCTGGGCGAAGTAATTGGGCTGACCGGCAGCCGAGCCCGTATGAGGCGGACTATGCATTTGCATCGAATGACTCGTCGCCGAGCCTGGATTGGTCGGCAACACACCAAACGGCCCTTGCAGAGGGATGATCGGCGGAGGTCGTATTGACATTTGCTGCCCATCAAGAGAGACCCGCTGACCGAGATACCGTTGTTGGTCTAGAGACAGGGCAGAAGCGAGTTGCTGGAGCGACGTGGGAGCGATTGGGTGCGGGCGACTACCCTGAGGCGGCAGCTCCGACGTTGCACCTTCATTGAACATCATCTGTCGCTGGAGAAGTACATGCGGTTGTGGATGGACGGAAGAGCCATCTTGCGGACCGTGGCGGAGCAGCGCTGCATACTGCGCCAACGATGCGCCGTGCAGAGCTCCCCCCAGCGCTGGATCCATCCCTGAGGGTTGCAGAGATGGGAACGGTAGCAATGGCCCTGGGGTTTGGCCCGCTTGGAAGGCCACGCTTGACCCATTGGCCGCCGGGCTGTGCTGGTCGAGAGTGGAACTCCTAAAGACGACCCGGTTGCTGTAGCCTTCGCAAGCGCGTTTGCTCTTGTGGCAATTCCGACAAGTCGGTTTCCCTTCGTCGCACTTGATCCGGCGCTTGCGACACGTGAGGCAGCCGGTCTTGGTGCGCCTTCGCGAGAGTCTCGCGGCGAGGACAGCTTCCGCGGCCGACGTGTCTTGGCCGTTGCCCGACCTCCCGTCCCCATGGTTGTGGTGATCGAGTCCAGAGCCGGGATCCATTCGTGGTGGTGCCTCACAGGCGATATTGACGGTAAGTTCTATCGCAGCGTCCGAAGCCGGGCATGTTCCTGCAGATCGGACCCGGATATGCAGGATCCTCAAACTCGGCCGGCAGTTGGGCTATCGGTCGTGTGGAGTCCCAACGGTCCCCGATCACTCGAAAGAAGGGCTTCCAGGCTTCGATTGACCCCGATTCGACGGCTCGGACCAGCAGTGCGCGCGATCGCTGTCGTTGACCTCGAGAAATCGGGAATGCCACACAGAGCAGGTGAACGCACAGGATCCGCGTGTAGGAAGGGTCGTGGTGATGGCCGTGTGTCTGCGTGGGGCGACGGCAGGATCGTTTGCGTGACACACCGCTTCCGCCGAAGACGGGCCTGGCTTTCGAGGTTGGAAGAGAGCTGGAGGTTGAGCGAGCGGCAGAAAGGCAGAGGCGTGCGGTCGAGTCCGTGACCGATGACGAAGACCGCAGCTATATCCACTCGGAGGGGCCCTGTGACGAATGAAGGACGAATGAATCAATGAATCAATGAATCTCGTGGACGACGCACGCGCTTGGATTACTATTCGGAGCTGTCAAGTGCGTGGACTGCGTCGATGATTCCGTCGAGGGCGGTGTCCGATGTGACGAAGTGGCCTGCGAGCGGGAGAGTGGAGGTGGTCGGCGAAGGTCAGTCGCGGAGGCTGAGGAGGCTGAGGAGTCTGAGGAGTCTGCGTCGGCGAGCACCGGAGTCGGTCCACAGAAAGCAATGTCAGGCGATGAGGATACAGCAGGGCAGACGGGCGCGAGGAGTCGTCAAGGGAGACAAGATCGAGTGCCGTGCACAATGCGCAGTGGGCAGGGCAGTACTGTAGTCGAAGAGTAGGTAGTGCAGGTGGAGGTGGAGGTGGAGGTGTCTGTGTTCCCATGGGCTCGGGTCTGTCTGTCTTTGTCTGTCTGTCTGTCCGTGTGTCTGTCTTGGCTTCATCGACGTCGACACCGGGAAGTAGTCCATGTGCTTAGTCAGCCCTGGAGTATCGGTGTCAGTGGTGTCCGGATCAGGGTTCCCATCACATGGGATATTGTACTAATATCATGCCTGATGGTAAGAATAATACTCACGACGGCCATAAGGTGCTGGTTTCGCTGCATGTTTCCCAGCTTCTTCTCGTCGAGGGCGCTAACGGTGAGGTGAGTGCGCCCCAGGTATGGTGCGATGGCTCGACGTTACCTAGCCGATTACTAGTCGCTGCGCCTGGTTTTCCTCTAGTCGCGCACGAAGCCGCCGGGCAAGCTGAAATCCTCCAGCTCATTTCGCCTCGTGTGTGCGCCTGTGCATCCCCATTGTCGTGGATATGAGATGTGACCTAGCACCCTAGTACAATACGTACACTGGAAGGGACCCCGGAGAGCGATCGCTCCCTTGGAGGGAGGCCAACCTTGGGACCAAACGTACGATACCGCTCCCGACGTACGTCCTGAGCACCTAGGCAATTACTACAGGGCTGCTGGAAAAACCTGTCGCGCAGCACCACGGCGACAAAGAATTGCTATAGGCATGTACCCGGGTATGCAGGCGGTCGGCCACTCTCAGCAGAGGGCAGGCCTGGACCGCATGCGACCCGGACGCTGCACTCCGACCGACGCTGAGAGGGACCCGCGGACGTTCATGAGGGAAGAAGGAGAACGGGCTCCGCGTGGGCAGATACCTGGGTGCTGTACAGTTGCTGTGCTTTACGTAGAGGACCAGAGGAGGCAGACGGACTGGGCTGGCACGACTGGAGTCACTCGCTCATTGGACTGCAGTGACTTGCGTGCGTGCGTGCGTGCGTGTGTGCGTGGTTTGGACTGTACAGTACTGTACTTGTGGCCAGGACAGCCCGAGGGTCTGGCTGATGCACCACGCTACCTTCCCCACTACCGTCACTACCACATGCCGGCCGCTGATCTTCCTCTCGCGTAAACTCTGGCCGCGCCGTCGTCGCCATCGTGGCCGTCTTCACCTCCTCGTCCTCCTCCTCCCACCCCGTGACTGCAGCCCGCGGCGGTGATGGAGGCGGGCGGTGGCGGTCGGGCGGACGGTCGGGCGGGCGGGCGGAGGTGAAAGGGCGAGCGGCAAGCGATCACGATCGACCGACCGTGAACCTGACGGGAAGTTCGAGGCTCAGAGCCTGGTGGGGAGGGAGAGATGACGGAATTCGTTGATCACGGAACCTAGACGTCGGAACACCCGTGGACCTTCGCAGAGCTTATTGGCACTACCGGTGCACATCACTCCTGGCGGAGACGCGATCCTCTCGGGGCCTTGGTGCTTCGCAGCATGTTGTCGGGCACAGTAGTTGGATTTCATTCGACCGTAGTCTCGTCTCTATTGCGCCCGTCCACGGGCTTGGCTCACGCCACCGAACTCGCCGCTGTTCGATCGAGGACGGAGCGCCCGACCGGCGGCCATTCCGTGCACGCCCGCGGACTGACGGACACTCGCACCGATGGGTGGGCCTGGAGTGCTCGAGAGGAACGATGGATACTAGATCCTAGATACTAGATACTAGATACTAGATGCTAGATGCTAGATGCTAGATACTGCTCCATGGTCTCCACACAGAGAGTGCGCGACGGAACGCAGGTCTCGGGTCATCCGTCTGGAGATGCTCGTCCGGGTGGCTGTGACATTCCTGCCATGTGCGACACATGCCTGGCTTTTGCTCCACCCTGCGCGTGTGGCGGTGCCCTCTCGCCTGCATGGGCGACATCATGCATATGCACGACAGGCCTTTCTGGGCGTCGACACTCGTTTGGGAAGGCGCATGGGAGGAGAAAAGAAAGCGGCAGAGGGAGTCTATCCAATGACGGCTCTGGGCACGGTGGGACTACACCGTCGCTACAGTATGAAAGCTGGGCGGGGCGGTGTTTCTTTCACACCGGTCGCTCCCAGAGGCACTCCATCGGGGCGAGCGATCGAGACAGGCGTGGCAGGGTTGGGAGAAAGACCAATAGCCGAGCACTGCCGCATCGAGATAGTCGCATGTCGCCCTCCATCGATTGACCCTTCGCCCGAGAGAACGTGCGGAACCCGCTCGAACTTGCCACGAGACGCCGCCTTTCGTCAGTGGAGGCCATGGGGGGTGTCCAGCACGTCCCATCTGCCTCTCCACGGGAACCTCGATCACGATTTCCACCCAACCTCACGTCACAGGAAGATATTCCAGTCCTAGGTAGGGATCATCCCGGCGACCTCAGGTTTTCCGTAGACGACCGAGTGAGACGGGAGGCTGCTGCGGCTCGTCCTCTGAGCAAGGGACGCCGTGTGCAGAATGCTGTCTTCTGTCTTCGCGGGCAGCGAGTCAGCGCGAGAGTGAGGGTTGCGACGACCACGCACAGTCGCTCCAGCGTGTGGACGACATTATCCCGATGCGGGCGAGGGGCTGCCCTCGTGGCTAGCTGAGAACCTCGCGCGGACTGCCGACCTATCGAAACTCTAAAAACACCAGAGCGGCCCTGCAGCCCACCGTGCCCATCGACCGCACGCTGCCACGACTACGTACAGCACAACAACCACCCACCTTCGCCAGGCCTGAGGTTTACCTCCTCCTCCATGTGGTGATGAGAAGAGCGCGCCTGGCAGGACGTCTCCGGCAGCACCGACCCCATCCGAACGGAAGTGGATGACGACCACCACCGGCCGGCAAGGCGCTGCTGCATAAACCACGCGTGGTCGCGCATCGCGGCATCGTACACGTGCATTCAAACCCATGCAGGCATTCCTGCGCGGAATGAGTCGATGAATCAGTCCATGGGTGGGTCCGACGGACGGCGGGAGGATGTACTGTATGGCTGCGTGCGTCGTGCTGTCGCAGAGCTGTGGGATCGGCGTTGATCTGCCCATCACCGCCTCCGAAGTCAGGGCGATTATGCATGGCCGTGACTCGCCCAAAAAGCCCCTTACATCTGAACCTGCTATGCCCGCCAAGGTTCCATCACGGCCAGGTGCCAGACTCATGACATCGACGAATGGTGTGGCGTCCAGCAGGGAGCGCCCTGGAGCAAACAGGCATGCAAGCGAAGGCCCCTCGAGCAAAATCAATACCATCGGCCGCGCCGCATACATCTCTCATGCTTTGTGTTCGTGTGCACACAACGGGTCATATTGTCTTCTAAAATCGTGGCTACATCAAGGCTGGCATGCAGGTCGTGCATCAGAGGTCCCTTTTTCTCCCCCAAATCTAAACCATTTTCCACCTTGGCGTCCGATCGAAACGTTCATGCCGTCGCCTCGTCGTCATCGTCCTCCTCACCGGCTTCTTCGGCGTCCGCCGAGTCGGCCTGGGCGTCTTCATCCGCCGCCTCGGCCGCCTCGTCCCCCTCGGTCGCAGTGTGGACGTCGATCAGGTCCGCGTGTGATCCGCCCTCACTCTCGAGCCGGAGATACTCCTCCCACTCGGGGAACATCTCCTCGTCATCGCCGGGCACGCCGATGAGGCGAGCTACTTTGGCCTTGCCGCCCTTCTCCAGGCCCGTCTTCCATTCGCCGACGATCTCCTTGCAACGCGAGGGCTTGTACGTCTGCGCGAACAGGACGGCCTCGGCGGTGCGGTTGGTCTTGAGCAGGACATCGAGACACGCGTCCACATCCCCGACCTGCCACAAACTCGTGAACGCGACGTTGTGCTGGCCGGCGTCCTGCGCCTTGGCGGCCAGGGAGCGGAGGCCTTCTTCGTCGGCGGAAGAGGTGTACAGGAGCAGCAGGCTTCCGAGGTCCTTGGCGTGACGGAAGCACTCCTCGGCGAGCGCGATGTCCCAGGCAGACAGAGCGGCGTCGCCCACGGTCTTCCATTTATGCTCCACGTCTGCTTCGCGGGCGAGCTCGAGCGCGATGCTGAGCTGGTTCAGGCCGAGCGCGAGTTCGAAACGATGCTCGCTGTCCGTCGCGACCTCCAGGGCCTGCTCCTTGTAGCCTTGGCCTTCGAGGAACCGCGCGATCTTGTTCTTCTGCTCCTCGGGGATGTCGCCCTGGTTGAGCATCTCGGTCGCTGATTCGAGGTCTCCGCGGAGGACGAGCGTCTGATATTCGATGACGCTGACCGACAGCGCAAATGACGTGACACTGACATCCTTGTCGCAGACGTAGACCCGACCATCTCGCGGGAGATAGCCCAGGACGTAGTATGGTTGGTCGAAGTGCGAGACCGTGTACGTCTGATCGCCAACCAAGTAATTTAGTCGGTTGGTGCTGTTGGTGTAGACGAAGCAATCGCCGACCCATTGACCAGTGCGGACACTACACATCCTTGTCAGCATATCATCCTTTCAAACCATGGCGGGCGTGAGGTGCACGCGTACCTTTCATTGATGTCGCAGACCACCTCGAAGGCTTCCTCGACGCCGTCCTCGTCGGCTGCACCTGATTGCAGCGCGGCGACATATTGTTCTCTTGAATATCGAAGCACGTAATAGGTATCCTCGCAGGCCAGGCAGACAAGTTCTCCAGATTCCGACCAGTACACGTTCTTCGGCTCGACCTCAATCCTCCGGACGAGCTTGCCGCTCTCCCAATCGAAGAAGCCAATGCCTCCCGCACCTTTCACACCAAGGAGGACGCCACCGCTGAGTCCATCGGCGGTGTAACCGACGTTGACGGTGCCGTCGCCAGCCTTGGGCTTGAAATTGCGGTAGATCTTGACAGAATACTGCGACTCTCGGATGGCGTAGTCTTTGTCGTTCTCTTTTGATGCCCAAGCGAAATCCAGTGCCGATCCGAATGCTTGATTTCGTAGAGCGAGCGCGGTGTAGATGATGTATTCGCCGTCGCCGCAAACTGCGACGAAACGGCCGTTTGGCGAATGGATAAGTGTCTGGGGGTAGATTTCGGTGCTCCCGAGATCCTTTGAAGGCAGTGTGATGACCTCGCCGTCTTTCAGGTTCTTGTCTCCGCCCTTCAAGACCGACGTGAGAATCTCGGCGTGGCGCGCCCAAATAATCTTCCCTGAACCGTCCATCGATACCGCTGGCTCTTCACGACCCATCTTTACCACGACCGCACCGTCGTCGAATCCCATGGCAATCCCCTGCTTGCCGCGCTGGTATGAGACACACCACGCTCGCTCCAGCCCGTACGACAGGGACTGCTCTAGCCTGTACGTGTTGGCGTGCCATATCTTGACCGTGCCATCCTCAGAACCCGAGATGATCACGGGCAGTTCGGGGTGGTAGCACGCAAAGGAAACGTTCGACGTGTGGCCTTCCAATGTCGCAATCAGCGCCTTCGTGGTGTAGTCCCAGATTTTGACGGTCCGGTCATCCGAAGTCGTCAACAGGTACGGCTTGTCCGACTGAGGGTAGTAATCGACATGATTGACACCTTTGGTCTCGTGCGCTTCCAGGGTGAAGTTTGGCGAAGACGATCCTAGGCTCCAGATTTTGACTGTCCGGTCCAAACATGCCGACGCAAAAGTATTGGTATCCTTCGGGTTTATTGCAAGACCCATCACATAATGACTGTGCCCTTCGAACGTCTGAACGTTCTTCCAGCTCTTATCCCAATCCCAGAGCTTGATGGTCATGTCATCACTCGCGGTCAGAACGAAAGGCTGGGTGGGATGTACGACGATGGCGCGGATGTAATCGGGATGTGCTTCGAAGGATGTGATCTTCTCTGAAGTGTTGTAGTTGTAAACTCGTAGCTGGTAGTCATCGCTGCCACAAACGATCCAGTTCTTGCGAGCGATGAAGCGACCAGCGCGTACAGGGACATCAGTAAGCTCGAACGTTTTGATGATGGATTGCGTTTCATATGACCAAATGTAAACATGCCCGCTGTATAGTGTGGTGAGGATCTACAAACGATCAGTCTTGACACTGCGCGGTCGGTGAGAAATGTCCGTACCCATGGCTCTGTAGGATGAAAGTCAATGCCTTTGACTCTTTCGCTCCTGGCGAACAATTGTCTCTGTCAAATTATCAGTACAACTGCCCACAGCCGGTTTCTTCAGATTGAGCCCCATTTTTCCGCTGACCTTCACGTCGAGCTTCATCTTGAAGGCGTTCGCTGGTTTCCGTCGAGATTGTTTCTTTCGGGTGTATTCTCAATGCCAGCCGAGGCGGCAGGTGGAGAGGTGTAAGGCGCGATTGCTCTGACGATGCACAATGACTCCGCTCTAGCGCTTCATGCGGGACCGACTTCCTGTAAGAGATCCGTTAAAAGTTTCTCATCCGCATTCGTTGACACAGGCTTCATTGGCGGAGAGTCCGAGATCTTGAAATCGCAAACCCTCCCTGGTGCATTCAGCACACCTGTCGTGAAGCTAAATTCCCCATACCAGCCCGCATTGGCCTGAGGCACGAAACCAGGGCAAGAGTTGGCCTTGGCGCCCATGCGACGTTCTCGGTCCGGCACGTGTCCGGATCTATTCCGCTTTCGGCCGATCAGAGTTCCATGTGACGTTGCCTAGCAGGCGCTCCAGTGTTTAGGGCTGCTGCGGCGAGACAGAGCTGCATCATCATTCATTCTCTCATCTTGGTGAGCCCGTTCGCCTGTTGACATTCCTTGAGTTCGAAACAAAGCAGCGATTATACAGCAGACTTGTCAGGATCTCCCCCAAGCAGAACAATCCAACCATGAAGTTCGCTACCGTGGCTGCGACAGCCTTTTTGGCTTCGTCCGTCTCTGCTGGTCTGTTCAGCACCAACTCGGTCTCTATCTACGACGACAACTTCCCTGTACCCGGCGAGAACCCACTCAAGCACTGCCAGGATCCTGCAGAGGACGTTCTCGATGTCATCAGCGTCGACCTCAACCCCAACCCGCCGAGACCGTGAGTAGGAGCTTTGCACTAATTCATCCGAGCAAGGTACTGACCACATCACAGTGGTGCTTCCCTGGACATCGTCGCAACCGGCTATCTCAAGAAAGACGTCGAGGACGGTGCAAAGATTCACCTGCAGGTCAAATACGGTCTGATCACTATTGTCCGCATGACCCGAGATCTTTGCGAGGATGTCAAGAATCTTGAACTCGAGTGCCCATTGAAGAAGGGCGAACTCAAGCTGGCCAAGAGCGTCGATCTGCCCAAGGAGATCCCGCCTGGGAAATACACTGTGCAGGCGGACGTTTTGAGCAAGGATGAGGAGACCATCACTTGCCTGACTGCACAGGTGGAGTTCAAGCGAGGCGGTGCGGACGCAACCTTGGTGAAGCAGGACGTATGAACCACAGCCGCTGCATATCATCTGCATTTCTGGCGACGGGATTGCAATCTTTACAAGTAGACGCATTGTACATACAGCTGCCGCTCTTCACGAAATGGCTTCTACACGAGACAGTACGAGTAATAAAACGACACATGAGACGCGCATTGCTTCTCGCGTAGTGATATGCATGCCAAGAAACGCTCGACATGTAAAAGTCGTCCATTTCGACGTCACCGCCTTGGGAGCTTCTCCGAGGAACTGTTTTGGAACAGAGCCATACGTGTGAGATTCGTCTCTGGTGATTCGTCTCTGGAGTACCATTACAGCGTGCCACGAACTGATATCTGAGCCCTCTATTCTCCGAACAACTTCTGTACCCGCTTCATGACGCTGTCGTTCTCAGCTTTGTATGGATGATCTTTGCTGGGGATTTCAAGCACGGCGGGGAATGCTGCATTGTAGTTGTCCACTTTGGCTCGAATACGGTCCGCAACCTGATAAGCCAGGTCAGTATCCTCGAGCTCATGATCGCAATAAGCTTGGCGTAAGGCGTACGTGTTGATTGATCAGCAGGATCGCAATGTCTTTCCTCTCTTTCGTAAATTGCTCGAATGAGGACTCGATGGTTGAATCCTCTGTCTTTTGGTCCACTACAAGATAATTCTTCTGCGAGTCTGGCGGTGCCGTGACATGCTAAATCGCATCAATTAGCTGAAGCTGTGTCCTTGCCTGAGCACAATACATACTCCGACGCCTGCAAGGAGGATACCAGTCACGGTGTCCTAAGTATCCAATCAGTGCTCCGATGCGAGGGTATGTCAGCTCCGTGGAGAGGTACCTCATCACCGATGACGGCAAGGAACTCGCGATCCTTGAACGCCGATTGAGGCAAGGCCATGACAATTGCTGATATTGTACAGACCCGCCTGTGGTGGGTGTCACGTCGGCTCTCGTCACTCCAAACGCTCACGAGAGGAGCTCTCGAGGAGGGCCGGCTAAAATTCGGCAGATGACGTCCTCCGACATGCATTCACGCTTGGGCACCCTTGGAAGTCTCGATAATTCGAAGAGAAGACTGGTGTACATTACCCACTGTAGGATGAACTCGGTACTTTTATACACGCGTGTTATGTGATCGAATCTCACTGATGACAATCCCACTTCGCTCCCTACAGATGCGCATATGATGTATTGAATTTTACTTCCACACGCCGCGTAATGCACGTGTGTCATAATCTGCGATTGCCACGAGCGTGAGTGTTCGCAACGGCGATTGTTGTGTCCATTCTGGGTACAACTACTCGATTTCCGTCGAAAGAACGTCTCAAGAGCCAGGCTGCCGGTCCGTCATCGAGTTTCCTGCTTCCTCCGCGCCAATGGTTCGTGCGGAGAGTGGGAGGCAGAGCGCGAATCTGTGCTCTCCCCTTTCCGATACATACTCCTAGGAGGCCATACAACCGCAAATAAATTGAGTGTTTGAACGCAACTATCTCTCGCACAGTGAGGATATATTTACATAATGCACAAGTTAGCAGTCACCTCGGTATCGCATCATCATCGCGGGCTTGAATTGCGACAGCTCAAGGAGCCTGGGTTTTGCCAGTGTGTGTATCCCGTGCGTGGTACCGCCATTGGTTGCCGTCAGGCTTTTCCACCAACTCGTCCCATCTGAATAGCGGTTGTCAGCAATGTGTCAAGCATTGGAATGTGAGGACACGTACACCTGATTCTCAAGTAAAGTGTCGGCTAACTGCTTCTCGCCCTCGGCAACTTGAATGACCTCTTCAATCAAGCCAGCGCCGATCTTAGCCTCGATGTCATTGATCTGTGCTGCGGTGAGCGCAGGCTCGTCCTCGATCTGTGGCAGGTTCTGGCGCTCCGCAACCTCGTCCCTTTCTAGAAGACGACCTTGGTTGGCCTTTTCCGAAGCTGTACGCTGTCCATCGAGAAGGGAGGGAGCGCCCCTGAAATCGTCCACCTCTTCTCCGCCAGGGAGGCCTGCTCGTGCTGCCGACACCTTCCAGACGATGTTGAATTCTGTCGAGTTCTTCACTGGAATCTTACGGAACGCTTCAGGGTGCTTCTCCAACACGGACTCGACCCGTTTTTGCCATGCTTCGAGTCCGGCAGGCTTTGTCGCCTCCACAATAGCCAGTCGCTGGTTGATCAAAGCCTCTGTCGACCTGCGGTATACTGAGTGCTCCGGGAATTTCTTGAGAGTCTCCAAAGTCGAATTGTAAAGGTAGAGAAGGGTTCCTCTGGGACTTGGGTGGGTCAGCAGGCCAGTCAATCCAGTCGGAGCTCCGGCCTCCAAAAATTGAGAGCTTCGCTGGACTGCAGCAAGCAATTGCCGTGTGGATCGCATGGCTGTGAGATTTGCGCGAAGAGTAGCAGCTCGATGATAGCGAACGGGCTGATTGAAGATGCCATTGACAATATGGTTGACTGGTCATTAGCTAGGACTGGCATGGAAGCACGGGCCGGCTCGTTGCCGCTCCTCAAAGTTGAAGGCGCCCGTGCGGCGTGTGCGGCGAAGGGTGCAGCTGTATGTGATAACATTAAAGCACTAAAGTCGGCGATCTGATACGTTCATCGATCTCACCAGTTATTGACACGGTTACGCCTTGTCTTTCGAACTACAGTATAGGACACGGTGCACCCACCCGCCTCTTCGCATCAACCAGTCGAAAACCACCAATCTAGCGGGCAGGCTATTTACAATCCAACTTCACCCACTGATCGATCTGGTCGAACGGAGACAAGCGGAGCCTGGTGGATTATCTCATTTGGATGGGCTTCAAGCCTTGAGTTCTTGACGCGATGCGCCCTCGCCGATTCCTCCAGACATTGTTCTTTTCACTGTTATCAATATCCGCCGGTGCGATCACTCCTGACTCTGCTACTGAAGATGGAGCGATTCCGGGGGGCTCAGAAGAGTACACCACATTCAATAATAAGCGTATACCACCGGTGACTGGTTTGAAGGGTGCGACCTTTGACCAAGACGTGAAGGACGGATACTGGCTGGTGGAATTCTTCAGTCCTTACTGCCATCACTGCAAATCATTTGCGCCGACCTGGCAAACCCTCTATGAGTTCTATCAAAGTTCCGATCCTTTACCGCAAACGCCGGGCTCGGGGGAGAGCCATAACGACCTCAATTCGTTTACACGATTCTACAATTTCAAATTCGCGAAAGTCGACTGCGTCGCAGATGGAGACATTTGCGCAGCCCAGTCGATACAAAGCTACCCATCAATCGTCCTGTACAAAGATGGCAAGGTCGTGGACCGAAAGGTGGGTGCGCAGGAGATGAAAGACATGGTTGACTGGGTAGAGGCAACACTAGAGACCTCTCGCCCCGGTTCAAGACTTCCTGGGGGCCCAAAGGTCATCCCCAGACCTGGCGATAAGGCAGTGAGCGGATCAGGCGCCGACGTGCTGGGGGCTAACGGACAAGGCGTTTTATCAACAGCCAAGTCGTCTCTCGTTGGCTCTCGAGTCGGGGTCTCAACTAGCACGAAACCCAATCCACTGGGTAAGTCCGTGGAATTGACGCCCGGGACTTTCCAGGAACTTGTCACCGATACACGGGACCCGTGGTTCGTCAAATTCTACGCTCCGTGGTGCCATCATTGCCAGGATCTTGCCCCCAATTGGCAGGGAATGGCGCGAAAGATGGAACGACAATTGAACATTGGCGAGGTGAACTGTGAGCTGCATAAGAAATTGTGCAAGGATCTCAAAGTTCAGGGCTACCCGACCATACTGTTCTTCCGCGAGGGAGAGCGCGTCGAATACGATGGTCTTCGAGGCTTAGGCGATCTCATCAACTACGCATCGAAAGCTGTGGCGATCGGGCGGGGCATAGCTGATGTTACAGCTTCATCGTTCGAAGAATTGGAGAAGAAGGAAGAGGTGGTCTTCCTTTATTTCTACGACGACGCAACAACGAGCGAGGACCTTGCTGCTCTCGATCGAATGGCTTTGAGTCTGATCTCACACGCCAAAATTGTCAAGACAACCGATCCGGCTCTTTTCAAGCGCTTCAAAATCAGCACGTGGCCACGCCTGCTAGTGAGCAGAGATGGCAAAGCCACGTACTACCCTCCGATATCGCCTCGGGAGATGCGAGATGTGAACAGAGTGCTCCACTGGATGCGATCGGTCTGGCTCCCAATCGTTCCTGAACTGACCGCTTCCAACGCGAAGGAGATCATGCATGGCAAGCTGGTTGTTCTTGGCATATTGTCCCGAGACAGCCCGGATTTCGCCGTGTACAAGAAAGAAATCAAGAACGCTGCTCTGGAGTGGATTGACAAGCAATCACAGGCCTTTCAGCTCGAAAGACAGGAGCTCCGTGACGCAAAGCAGCTGCGCATCGAGGAGGCCGAAGATCGCAACGACCAGCGCGCTCTCCGCGCGGCCAAAAGCATTCGCATCAACATGGACGACATCGAACGTAAGGAAGTCGGCTTTGCCTGGGTTGATGGCCAATTCTGGGAGCGATGGGTCAAGACTACTTTTGGCATTCGAGTTGTCGAGGGCGAAAGGGTCGTCATCAATGATCAGGACAACCATCGGTACTGGGAGAACACGATGACCGGCAATCCAATCGTGCCAAGCAGAACCAGCATCATCGAGACTCTGCCTCGAGTCGTCGCGAATCCACCTAAGATACCGTACAAACGGACAATGACGATCCTGGGCCATGTTTGGTGGGTCATCGAGACTCAGGTCCACGAACACCCGCTAGTCACCGTGTTCTTCACGCTTTTTTTCTTGGTTGGATTCGCATTGTGGTCAAGGAAATACCTGAAGGTTGCTCACGGCGGTTTCGTCAGCCTGGGCGAGAAGAGCGGCATGGACGGCCTATTAGGCAACACTGCGGGCGGCAAGGTCGATTAAACAATTGATCGGGTCCCCCATCGTTGGAGAGCTGTCATCTTTGCGGGCGTTCATGTCTTGGGGCGACTATCGTTCGAGAACTTGTATTCATCAAAAAAAATTGAATTTCACCCATGCTTCTTCATCCATTTCGTGCGATGTGCTGGCTTGCCTGGTGGCTTTGGGCAGATCTGCCAGGAATATGACTGGGACCAGGTTGCTCCTACGCATCCGGCGAGTCAGAATCGTTGGGGAGGAACAACGTCGCAGCGATTCCGTCGCCAGTCACAGCACGGTCAGTCCTGGCGGCGAGCAGATTCGCCCCAAATGTCAACCCTCACAACCCTAAAGTGCCTTTCCTCCAGGCTGGCTCAATCACGATGGTTCACCGAATAGAAACCTCTGAGGGATCGCTCCCGGTTGGGGACTACCTGCACTGTGAGCGACCGTTCTTATATGATGCACGCGTGTCGATTGACGTCGATTCAGCAGACATGTGCACTTCGAAATATGCCCAGGTGGGCGCATGTTGTTGCGCTGCAGTAATGATGCACCCTGCCCTTCAGCAGGAGGAGTACAGCCCTCCGCAGCGCAGCAATTGTCGCCGGCTCTCGTGCCCACGGCACGTCCACCGATTCGTCTTTGCACCATCGACCTTAATGTCCATGGCCCACGCGCGCGGAAACCCCCTTCGACTCATTATTTCTTTGATTTGTTGAGAAGCGATTGTAATGATGGCGTTGCGATTTTCTGTTTTCGGGGTTCTCTTACTCGCACTCTACACAAGCATTGCGACATGCGCTGCGCAGGAGCCATTGATCGCGCAACCTGGCTACAAGGTTGGGCAGCCCATTGCGGTCAGCTGCCTCAACCGGACCATGTAAGACGGAGCTCACCTAAATCATCTCGTTTCGCGACTAACGATTTGTCAGTGATACGGGCGAGCACATCACGGACGAAGCGGGAAACCTCGTCTATATCCCATTTCCAACCTGTAACGAGACCGGACGACCTCTGGAACTTATCTTCGGCGTGGAGAAAGATATCAATTGTACCATCGACTTTATATCCGACCCTTTCTATCACCTGCTTGAATTCTATGTTCACAACGACGCGCCGTTGACTTGCCGTATACCAACGAAGCCATTGCCGCCGTCGGCGCTGAAAGAGGAGTATGCGCAAGGCACAACGGACATGGTAGAGGGACAAGGGAGTCTGAGTCAGATCTATACGCCCATGATCGTTGCTCTGACAGGCACTTTACAACAAAGTCATCTGCATGTGAGCACGAGTCTGAACGTGTTGATCCACGCTGCGCCCAGATCCATTGCGCCTGGGACGATTGCGGCTGCGACTGCATACTCCATCTCTAGGGAACCTCCCGCTCGGATCATAATTGGCGACCGGCTACCCCTGCGCTTCAGTGTCCGCTGGTATCCCAACACTAGCCTGCCCTCTGGCTGGACCGGAGTGGGAGGACATCTCACGTTCAGTACGCTGGTCTACTGCATCATATCCGCCCTTGCATCAGCAGCCATCTGCGTGGCTTATTTCCGCGGTGTCGAGTTGCCCAGGAGGTTAAAGAGCCACGGACGAGATCGACTGGGCAGCACCGAAAGGGGCGGGCTCGGCGGCTATGGCATCCCGAACAGTTACGGGTACGGAACTAGTATTGGGAAGCGGGATTGATTGCGTGAATCGGAGTTTGTACGGACGAGTGTCCCTTCCGCAATACGTTGGGCAGAGACGATGTATGATCTTGTACCAATACCTTCGCCAGGCGGCTTGCCATCGAACTAATTCAAATCCACATGACACTGGGAATCTATGAGCGAAGGCGCACGCGACTGTCGACCAGATCTGAGCCAAAGTCCGTCAATTCCGTCCTGTCTATGCGCACGCCGATCTTAGGCGGTCACATCGGCCCTGGCTTTGATTGAACACACTCTGCTCGAGTCCCATTCAATGTGTTGTTTTCAAACCTTCAAGCCTTGACTTGCTGTGGGTACTGTTACATGTACTATTAAAGAGTCCAGAGTGTTGACCACCTGGGCACTGCTACATAGGTGTTTCTGCAATGCTAGGTCGCGGGTGCTCTCCAGCTTCCGGGGTCCGCGGCCAGCACTGCCGCTTGCTTAATCCGGCCAAGCGTACTTGGAGACGTCAAGGGCCAGGTCAGAGCTGGCTTTTATGGCAGCATTCGCTTCATTTTCAAATCGACGCGCAGTTGTGACCGTGTGAATTCTCAATTTGAACCGATAACTCAGGAAGCGCGCAGCAGCAGAAGAGCAATTCAACCTTGAACTGAATGAATATATAGTTCATTCAGTCACTACCCGGTATCACCGCTACTACACCTGTCACCACAACAAAAGTCACTTTTTTCCATAACGACAGATCACACGGTTTTCAGGATCGCAGCTATCACGCCACGGCAGTCCGCCGCGAGACGGTCACGTAAGAGCTTGTATTGTCGCGCATAATCGGACGAGGACCAGCATGTCTGACAGGAGGCTGCAGGCGTCGCGCGATGATCGACGCCGAGACCGTGATGGCGATGCGCGCGGCGCTGATGCGCGAGGAGATCGCCGAGACCGTCGACGCTCACGATCTCCAGCCGGAGGCATCGTTGCTGGCCCTCAAAGCAGCAATGGTGGCGGGCGCCGCTACGAGCGACGAGAAGATGTAGACAGCTACTCATCAAGTCGTGGATACCGTGAGCGAGAGAGGGAGGATCGTTACGGAGGTCGCGAAAGGAACGGCGGTGGCGAGCGAGATTGGGGTCGTGACCGTGGCGCGGATCGAGGCGCTGACCGGGGCGGAGATCGCAGAGACCAGCGTCGCGGCGACGATGATCGTCGCCGGGAACCCCGCCGCGACCGTGACGACCTTTTCTCCGACAGGAGACGTCCAGGCCGCGATGACCGAGGAGATCGGGGAGACCGTCGTGATGACCGCGAGCGGGACACTCGCCGTGACCGGGACGATGAACGAGAGCTCGAGCGTCAGACTCGTAAAAGCCCAGAACCGGCTGCACGCAAGCCCAGGGAGCCAACTCCGGATCTGACAGATGTTGTGCCAATTCTGGAACGTAAGCGTCGCCTGACCCAATGGGACATCAAGCCTGCGGGGTACGAAAACATTACTGCAGAGCAGGCGAAAATGTCTGGCATGTACCCACTTCCGGGAGCACCCCAGGCACAACGACAGCCGATGGATCCCCAAAGACTTCAGGCATTCATGAACCAGCCAGGTAACCAAGCAAGCAATACAGCTCTGAAGCCGAATACTGCGCGACAATCGAAGCGACTGATGGTCTACAACATCTCCGAGACATTGACTGACAGCGGAACCGTGGACTTCTTCAACCTTCAACTCAATGGTCTGAATGTGACACGCAACAACGATCCTTGTGTCTCTGCTCATATCAGCAAGGATCGATCGTTTGCATTGCTCGAGTTCAAATCTCCCGAAGATGCAACTACCGCGATGACACTACTCGACGGGGTAAACGTGGACGCTAGCACAGCCACCTCAAATGGTCATTCCAACGGGACATCCGCAGGGCTTCGCATCGAGCGACCGAAAGATTACATTGTGCCAACTGTTGCGGCCGACGCAGAGAGCGACAATGGCACCATTTCCAACGTTGTGCCTGACACGCAGAACAAGCTGGTACTGGCCAATCTGCCAGTCAATCTTGACGAGGCACAAATTCTTGAATTATTGCAGAGCTTTGGCCCGATGAAGAGTTTCGTCCTCGTCTCATATGGTGGCGAGGATGTCAGCAGGGGTGTCGTTTTCCTGGAGTACAAAGACCCTAATCACACCGACGTAGCGATCGAAGGGCTGAGCGGGATGGATCTGGGCTCGATGCCGCTGAAGATTTCTCGTGCATGCATCGGAACCCAACAGGTTGGGGGTGAGATGAGCGTCAACAACATGAGCTTGATGGCCGGGACCAAGTCGAGCGAATTCGGCAATGGCCGTGTGCTGTGCCTGATGAACATGGTCACTCCTGCGGAGCTCATGGATGCAGAGGAAGCTGATGGTATGCCCTGTGCTTTTCCTGCGCTCACCCTCACAGCTCTATCAATTTACTGACCTTGTGCACAATCTAGAAATCCTCGAAGACATTACTGAAGAATGTGCCAAGTTTGGCACCCTTCTCGAGACGAAGATGCCGCGACCTGTGGGTGGCGCTCGCCACGGTAGCGGTGTTGGTAAGATCTATCTCAAATACGAATCTCCCGAAAGCGCCGCCAAGGCGCTCGCAGCGCTTGCTGGTCGCAATTTCTCTGGACGCACGGTGGTCGTAACCCATTACCTCGAAGAGAACTTTGACCTGAACGCGTGGTAAGATCAGAGATGGATGCCAGGGCTGAGTGACTTGTTCTCAAATTCATGGTTGTACAATACACTACTTCGTTCGAAGTAAAAGGGGCAAAGAAATTCGTTTGTAATCAGTAAGCAGATTTGAGGTGCTCAAAACGGGAATTGGTCATCAGTGGTGGACGAGTGAGGGGCTCGTTCTAGTCAAGCAAAATGAACCTTCGACATCCATGATGATTGCAGTGACAGCTCTGCGCCGTCTTTGACACATGGGCGCAGACTCGATGTATATTTGCCGGTCCGTCAATAGTTGCATGGTCTTAGCGCACCGATCTTGTCTCTGCCACGTCAGATATATGACTGGCATGAGCAAGTAGAAATTTGCAGCAAGTCAGAGTGTATTTGCAAGCTTTAGTCCATTGCTCTTCTTGCCCGAAGTTGCCCAACTTGATGCTGACGTCTCCAATTTTGTCCTTCACAATCGGATAAGGCATCCGAAGTCCAGTCGTGTTCTGCCTCGGGGTGGTGTTCTCGACATGCTCACCAGTCTGACGCAGGCATTCCAGAAATGCTATCATTGCGTTGTCGAAATTGCGGTGTAGAAAGCCCAAGCCGAGCGGCAAATCGCCACTGCTGTATAATTCGAAGACGGTCCGTTTTGCTCGGCTGTCAATGATCGAGGCGGTCTGCGATTGATCGATCTTGATGACCTTGGAGGTGGACCCAACAGGCACGAGTTCGTAACCCCTCAGACTTATGCCGAGTTTTTCAGTGACAACGGTCAAGAGCAGCAACGTCTGGCCCCAAGCAGCATTAATCTCAGACCAATCGACCGGGTGCTCGGTAGTCCGGCCTAATCTCAGCCCGTTTATCGTGCCGAAGGTTCCATCGTGACCAATGCAAAATGTATCGTTGTAGACGTTCGTCCTTTGAAGAGCTTCCAGCAGTGAGGTTTCGTGCGATAATTGTGTCTGCAGACTGTCGCGCTCGCTTTCGAACATTGAAAGTTTCGCCGCAAAGGCGTTCCGTTCACGCCAAAATGCTTCCTCTTCCTCCTCAAGTGCCGTACCTTCGTCCTCTAGGGCGGCAATTTCCAATTCCATTTTTGCCTTCTCCCGCTCAAGGGCTTCAAGTTCATCGAGCGCACGTCTCTCTAGTTGCTTCGCCTCTTTGAGGGCCTTCTGTGTTTCTGCCTTTTCCTCCGGGGTAGGGGCATCTTGTTGTGCGCTTCTAACGAACTCAGCGTATGCATCTCGTTCACGAATCACGTCAGCTTGACGCCTCTGGAAGTTCTCGAGCAAAAGCTCTGTGCAGTCGGAACAGACTGGGTGATCGATATCGGACCTAGACGAAAGCACCTCGAAAAGTCGTATGGCAGTCTCCATGTTCTGCGAGAGCGATGTTTGGCCATCCGCAGGGCTCGCGTGATCCGCAGTCTTGCGTAAGGTGCGATTTCCTGCATTTGATCCGTTGCCCTTTGACTGATCTGGTGTTATCATTTGCGAATCGCCTAAAAGGATATATGACATGTCGGTGCGGGACTTGCTACTCGACATCTTCTGGCCAGCAGATATCTGCCGCTTATGTAGTGGAGCGCCTGCATCCTTGGAAACATCATCGTATAGCGCTTGGCGGTCTCTTGCTGTCACAGAGTGTGCAGGGCCTGGAGCCTTCGGTTTCAAAAGCGGTGCCGCATCTGCAAGGATCTTGAACGAGGCTGCGCTGAGATGTTCAAGCGAGCCGTCTATTCGTAGCGGCTCCCTACATTTCTGACAATATAAACTGGTCATGACGAGGCCAGATGATACAGATTTATTTGTGGAGAACTCATGTCAAGTTGGCGTCACATCTCCAGTGCGGCTGGCCTGGATATCGCCAATTCCGGGTGGCTTCTTCGGTTTGCCTAGATGTGATGCGTACTCACAAAACTTGAAGAACACGACACATATCGATCTTCTCGGAACGTGTGATCGATTTATAGTTTCGTCGTGGCTTTCCAAGGTCAACAGTACAGTAGGCGTGTGGCTTCCTCATATCTAATAATCTAGTCATGTGATATCGCGTCATGTTCGTCGCGGTGCACCATAGAACCCCCACACGTTCGCCAGCCATCGACGCCTCACCAAGCGCGACCGCTCTACACTACATGTCGTCGGCTTCAGCATCGTTGAAGAGTAGAAGGTCATGGACCAGGTCTTGGGGTTTCGAATGACAGCACGTGCCGTCACATTGAAGCCTAGCAGCCAAAATAATGGCGTCGGCGTTTGTGGAGCCGCGTGAAATCATGCAAGAGAATGCTGTCTTGGAAGCAGATGTCGGCCTCAAGCTACTCTCCCTCCGCCGACACGAGAATGATCAAAGATTAAAAGGTCGCTTCGAGAGCATCTTCAAGAAATACGAATACGATTTTGAAGGCATAGGTGATGAGATCGACATTGTCACTGGAGAGTTGCTAATCGACAATGGGCATCTCAAGAACATGCGCCATGAAGCAGATCCCGATGCCGGTGGCTCGTCACGACAAAGAACAGACCATGTGGAGGAACCAGCCTTAAAAGATTCGCCTCTGGAACTTGAGAGTGACTACATGTCTGGTTCTGAAACGGATCATCTTGATGATGCTGACGAAACTGGCGAGGCGGGAGAACATGCCGAGTCGAACGGTCTGTCCCCTGGTATGACTAGTGAAGAGCGTGGCAGCTTCCCAGATGCATTTGCGAGGCCAATGCCGCGATTAGCACAGCTTCTCGTGGATCAACAAGCCACCTCGGAGAGCAGTCGAACAGCCAACTCTTTATCTACCGTCGCGGTTGATGTTATTCAACCAACTGCAACCCGCTCGGAATCCGTCGCGGATTCGCTACCTCAACTAAATGTCATGGAGTCTCTGCTTCGCTCAAATCCTGCACTCGCTCAGCCCGACTTGGACACAAATGCCATTCAAGCCCTCGGACTGAGCATCGCTGCTGGTCTCTTCAAAATGATGTCGAAGACGCCCACAGAGTCTGCTGAACGAGAGGAGGTACGCACCGCCAGAGAGGGGGTATGGAGCTATCCCGAGCCTGGACATGCTCCGCAGCCCAAGCGCAAGTTGTCCGAAGCCCATGACCCCGAGCCTGAGCGACTACGCAAGCGGATGTCTCTATGGATGCCCAAAGTGAGAGGGCGGCCTAGAAAGCAGGTTGCCAACGAATATGACTTGACGCTAGATGGTACCCCGCCGCGCAGGGCAACAACACCGCCAGTCAAGCCCTATAGTGATGGCGACTTGAATATCCAAGCATCAGATCTTGAGATCAATGGCACAATCAGTGGTAAGCGGAAGCGTAGGTGTCTCGAGCTCCGCGGCGCTGCCGACTACGCAACTTCACTCACGCCGTCCCAAGACGCCCAAGAATTATCATTATTGGAGTCATTACGATCAGAGTGTGCTTCCCTGGGCTTACAAGGAGGTGCTTCATATGTGCGCCAGGAAGAAGTTTTGCTGAGAATGTTGAAGACCAGAGGCATGCTGTGGCGAGACATTGCTCAATACTTTCCCTACCGAAACAGAGCTTCAATTCAGAATCACTGGCAGCGCATGCTCAGGCCTGGAGCTCCAGAGATAGATGTTGACATTCATTCGAAAAGCAGCAAGAAGAAGCCTGAAGAAAACGACGGGGAGAGTGAGATGCAACCGACACGTCAGCCTGTGGCGGCCAAGCGTGATGAGCGTGAGAAACTCATGGCTGAAACAAGAGATGGAAGCGTTGTCCGAAACCCAGGCACTGATTCTATGGAATCTGTCCCCGAACCTCCGGCACAGGTGGAAAGGGATGGCGATGACGATGACGATGACGATGACGATGACGATGAGAGCGACCAAGAGCGAATTCATGAACATCAACCTCTATCAGAGGTTCACAAGTGGCAGCTCATGGGTGGCTCCGATCTAAGTATATCTGATCCCACAACATCTCGGAATCTCCGAGCGGGGCCGTTTGACAAGTCCGGTGCATCGCCTACGAACGCTCGTTGTCCAACTGGTAGCCCACAGCCTGTGGTCCCAAGTAGTAGCTCAAATGTAGCACTTGACACACCCGATGTAGGAGGTCGAAGTTCCCACTATCGAGAAACCGATCAGCCATCCGCGGCATCCGCTAAAGCTCCTAGCCCATTCGCCGCCGAGATTCCGGCGGCGAATGGTGAACAATGCGATGAACTGGTATCCGTTGGAGCTTCTCCCTCATCACTCACAAATAGAGGCGATGGGCCGTTTTCAACGAGTCCAGGGAAGATCCACATGACCCCGACGAATCGTTCAGACCGCGCGAGACCAGAAAAATTGGCGAGCCGACCGTCTGTGTCGAAATCGACGCCAAGAGGATCGGCGGATCCTCGTGATGGTGAGCATAGCTCCTTCAAATCAGCGAGGAAATCTGCTGTGAACACACCGTCATCTGGTGTGCCAACGGGCAGGAATGGCACCACTCATACAACGATCCAATCTCCGATGCGGTTGAAGACCCCGGTGGCCAGAAAATCCACAGTTGGGCCACATGGGAGCATGACGAAGTCTATAAAGGGTCAGCACAGAGTTGTGGAAACACATGTGCGGGAAATCGATGACTCAGAGGACGAGCTTGCGTGAAGTACGATTGGCGTACGTTGTCACACCATGGCAGAGCTTATATCAAGTGCACTTGCTCGAATGAGAAAGATACAGGCGAAATAATTAATTAATGACCATCACGTCCATGTCCTCCATATCCTTCACCTTACCAACCAGGTCGTCACACTGTGAGCATGACGCTTTGGTTCTTGTACCAATTCAGCAGTGCGTTTTCACCACTGCGTAGTTGCGTGTCCTCCGCGTACGCCCATCTCTGGAAAAACGTCTCGTGGGTCATCACCCTAGAAAGTCGGCCTGTGATGGCACGATACATGTCCTCCATGACACCAAAGTCGGTCGGGAACATGATATCGAAGTAGCCTTGCTGTACCAATGGAGTTCGCACGAGGACCGTCCGACGCTGGTAGCGGGTCTGCACCACCGGTGCATTGTAGCCGACCGTTGCTTGGGGAAGACTGTGGAAGTCCGTCGTGATGAGCCGGTGGGCGGGAAACTTCGTGTGGAGGATGTGGAAGAATTGCATCAGGCGAGTTGGAATGTACTCCGGAACCGTCAGGTTTGGCGCAAACGGTAGCTTGTAGCGAAGGGTCTGCATGAATCCTGGGTCCCGAACCGGCGTAGAATATTTGCGGTTCTGACTCGCTTTTTCCCTGAGTCGAAGGTAGCGGGCAGCGATGGGGTCCAGTTTGCGACTGTAGAATTCGTAGAAGTCGCCTTGGCTGTCAATCAGGACGGATCCTTGCAATGGTTCTTTTGTGACGAGATCGTAACGGATGACATCGTGCGCGAAGTTGTCGAAGACTTCCATCGCCAGGAAAAAGCACGGCGTAGAGATGTACGAGTCCCAATCGAATATGGACTTGTTGACGATCTCGACCTTGCCAAGATGGCCTTTGCTTGCCACATCTGTCTTCAGCTTGTTCATCTGCAATGTTGCCAGTGCGGAGGACACCTCGATTATGCGAAACTTGGTTCTCGCATAGACCTCGGGATCGGTGTTGCGAATGTAGTCCAATATGTCCAGCATAAGCGTGCCGTTTCCGGCACCCATCTCGTAAATGAGCAGGTCATGATAGGGATACAAGGATAACTTGTAATTGGCGACCATGTAGCGGGCAATGGCTTCGCCGTAAAATGGCCTGAAGAGTTCCGTCGGCGTGTGCCAAAGTTGTCGTGTGTCACTTTGCTCAATTTCATCAAGCTTGTCCTCGAACTGTGTATATCGATGCCCAAGTATCTTCTGCAGTTCCGGCTCGTCTTTTATCTTATCGAACTCAAACGGCATGCCGGGATGGAAAATCGTCACATTTTTACTGAAGTAGCCGTAGTGAGGGTTGTATAGACTGTCTTCAACAAAATCTCTCAACAGCATCTTGACCCTCCGTGGTCTTTCTCTCCGCGTGCGCAGAGCATCTGCTGTAAGCACAGGATATCGCTGATATTCATTTGTCTTGTCGCTTGGAAAATTGTCGGTCCGCTGCTGCCACGAGCTTCCATCTGTCGGATCGCGTGGAGCGGAAGAGAGGTTGCGTATTGATCCGGCGTGCTGACGTGCCGTCCTGGGCAGTGCTCGGGTCCGATCATGACAGAAGTGATGATTCGCTAGTCTTCTGAATAATCTGGTGACGGTGGAGGAGTCCATGGCGGACTGTCTTCACTTCGCAAAATGTGTAGCTGGGAGCTGTCTGAATATCAGCGACGCAATTCGAGGCTGTTGTCAGGCTGTAGCATTGCGGCGCTCTCGGGAGTGAGCTCGGGCTTCGACATGCCGAACATCATGCTGTGCATCCATCGTCTCTGGCTGTCCTCCGCACTACTGATGATAGGCTTGCTTGAACTCGGAGTAAGACTGTTTTGGTGACGATGATGATGAGACTTGCAGTCGCTCGATGATTTCTGAAATGACGTCCCGCCTGGGCGATATTTCAGCGCAGCTGTGGGCCAAAATCCTTGATAATCGCAACAAGCTCACTACGACCGGTGGTATAGTAGTTGGAGTCTTGTTGACTTTGGCCTTCAAAGACTTTTACCCAGACCTCGAATCTGCCTTCAGACGCCGGTTGCGCATGGTTCGCACCAACGTGCATCCAGTGCCAGGTCACGGTGACTACATCCAAATTCAAGATCACACAGGACGTGCAGAGCTACCGGATCAGGGGACGCAAATCCGAGGACGCGGTACACTCGCAACTGTCGAAGATATAGCCCTTGGTATTGAGGGATTGATCGGAAACACGCCCCTCATTAAGTTGGCTTCGCTCAGTGAAGCTACTGGTTGCGAAATTTTGGCAAAGGCGGAGTTTCTAAATGGGGCAGGCAACTCTCCAAAGGACCGCGTCGCTCTGGCGATGATCTCCAACGCTGAAGCCGAAGGGCTGCTCGTGCCTGGTCGTGGCGATACAATCTACGAAGGTACAGTCGGATCTACAGGTATCTCTCTGGCTGCGGTTTGTAGAGCACGAGGGTACAAAGCATATATGTATGTAGATTTGCATGTTTCGACCGAATTTCAATTAATCAGATATTTCCAGTTGTATGCCAGATGATCAAGCCATTGAGAAGAGTGACCTTCTGCACAAATTAGGTGCCACCGTGGAACGCGTTCGGCCAGCATCGATTGTGGATCAAGAGCAATTCGTCAATACGGCTCGCAGACGAGCACAAGAACACACAGACGACCCGCATCGACCGGGCCGCGGGTTTTTCGCAGACCAATTCGAGAATACTTCGAATTACCTTGCTCATGAAGAGACCACCGGACCTGAGATCTACCAGCAGGTCAATGGCAGACTGGACGCGTTCGTAGCAGGCGCTGGTACCGGAGGCACAATTTCTGGAGTTGCGTTGGCTTTGAAGCCACTGATCCCGGGGCTCCGAATCGTACTTGCTGACCCTCAAGGATCAGGCCTGTACAACAAAATCAAATTTGGAGTCATGTTCAGCCCGACTGAAGCCGAAGGCACGCGACGAAGGCACCAGGTGGACACTATCGTCGAGGGTGTTGGCATCAACCGGTTGACTGCAAACATGAACGCTGGTCTTCACCTGATTGACGACGCGGTAAGGGTCACGGACGAGCAAGCAATGCGGATGGCACGGTGGCTGGTTGAAAAGGAAGGGCTCTTCGTGGGATCTAGCAGCGCTGTCAATTGTGTTGCAGCCGCTAAGCTGGCACGGCAGCTCGGGAAAGGCCATCGCATCGTGACCATCATCTGTGATTCCGGCACCAGGCACTTGTCCAAGTTTTGGAAAGCAGCCGGTGACGTTGCTGATAGTGACGCTGAGTACAGTCTGGACGAGATTTTGGATCCAAAGTAGAAACGCGGATTCTCCATATGCGGTCGACGACTTCGCCGATCCATATGACAACGGCGAGGTCACCACACGAGAATGTGTTGACGAGAGGTCGCCAGTGAAGTTCACAAGTATGCCAGCAAAAGATCTCATACGAGTCGCCGACATCCGGGTCGGTGATTTATCCGCTCACAACAACGCACTTTTGTCTACGCGAGACTGCTGGGTTGTCGCGCTGGCTCTGGACAAGCAATGACGAGAAAATCTCATTTGAATCTCGTCGTTACAGATACCTCGAGACTTCCAGCCGCGACTCACTACACAACAGGCAAGACAGGTTGCTTTGGCCCTGACCGGCATGTTGAACTTCATATCATTCGTGACTTTCGAAGACCAAGGCAAATCGCGTACGACGGCGTATTCGCTTAGCCAAGTCTTATTCAGACCCCAAATCGTGCTGGAATTTGGTTCGGTTGGAGTGAAGCCTGCAAGAAGGTACAACCTTGGTCGAGTGGTCGGATCACGTGTACTGGTCGAATATTGCTTACTGACATGAAACGGATATATGACGATTTACAGAGGAGCGTTGACATGCCTCGCCGCGAGATCCTTATTCAACGTGAGCTTTGGTTCGCATCTGTCTCAAACGCGAAGGCACGAGTCTTGTGATGGAAATTGGTCTGGCACCTGTTCTATACATCTGGATACGTCCTGGCTGGTAGACCTTGGACACCGTACTGGTGGTGGACAAATACGTTCGCGCAAGGGCCGCGGATCTCCGATCTCGTCTGCTTGTCACCCTTGTACCATAGCTGCCAGGTTCAGCTCGGCGCAACTGCCGATGATTGAATTGTGAACACAATAGAGGGTACACCAGCGTTGTGTCGAAATGTTTGACAGAGCTGATCGGCATACTTCAGACCAAAGCAATGATGATCAAACACGATCGGAGCTGATGTCGTGGGCTACGCGTGCGTCAAAGCGCACGCGTGAACCTTATCGAACGGAGCGAGGGTCATTTCCAACAGATGAGCGACGCATCGCGGCTACGGCCATTGGAGCAATTTCCTCTCGGGGCGAAATGCAGCTCATGCTGAAGTGTCAGTGAGCTTGTCGGCAAAGCTCCACTCACGTGCATCGCCGATCTTGTTCGAAACAGTGGTGAGGAGACGATCGGGGTTGAGCACACATATGCAACGACGATCCACCAATTCCGTATCTCGCAGCGTGCAGGTGATCATGGTGATTGCCATTTCCACTGCGGGGATGTATTTACATAATATGCATCACCACAAATGTCGATATCACAAAGACCAGATTGATCGCTTAGCTCCGGGCGTGCTAGACATGTCGTGTGGATATCGGAGGGGATTCGTGTTCGGGGATCGGCATTTTGCCGCGATCGATGCACGAAGGCGAGGCGCGCCTGGACAAAGGCCGCCGGTATGGACATGACGGGCGATGTCTTGTAGTCAGATTGCAACCACACGCGCTATTGAGGTCGCGTTGGGCTATCACGAAGGCGGCGTTGGTCAGAGACACTGCTGCACCCAGAGCGAAAGATTGGAGGCGCAGGTGCAGGTGCAGTCCCAACGTCCCAAGCGTGCCCAAGCAGTGGCCTCCAGGGCACCGATCGCGAGAATGTGTTGTTAATGAGGACAACCAGGTTATGCTGGGCTTGGCAGATCGGATACCGTGCCGGAGGATCAAAAGTTTGGATGAACGCGGCGTTGGTCGGTCAAAGAGAGTTTCGAACCCTCTTTTCCCTCTTTGGGTCGGGTGTGCGTCAGTGGTAAGCTGCGCTACCTACTGTATCACGGTGCCACCGACGGCACCTGATGTACATGCGGTAACAAAAAATACAAGTGGATCCACCCATGGCATAATGAAGATGCCATCGTGTAGTTCTATGCACAGCTGCAGCTTTCGGCATCTTGATCGAACAGCCGTACGATAGCAACAAGACATGGCAACATCGACGAGTCGGGGAAACCTCAGTTGGCAAAGCGACCATGCGTTCAACGCAGTCCGGACTGTCTACTCTTCGGGTGATGGGGAGAGGGAGGTGGTGCTGAAGCCATGTCGTATTGCCTCTGCGAACACGTACCACACGAGCTCCAAGCAAGGCGTCTCCTGCGCTGAAAGTGGATGAGCGCTTGGCGTCAGCAACAGGATCGCGGTTCCAGCGTTCCTGGGCGGGCATTTATTTGGGTGGACTCCGATCTCTGGTCTCCAAAATCACGCATGATCCTACTACATGTTGGATGCATGTCAACGGATGCAGGCTCCACTTTCACAAACGCCGAGATGGCGGAGGCGATGCACGATTGCGTGGGTAGCGAGTTGTCGTTCGCCAAGCTCTACTACACTCAGTGTAGATGAGGGGGACTGATGGACGACAGCGATACGGGATGCACGGGCATCGATCAGATCGGGCGGGACATTTCGATGACTCACTAGATACGATCTCCTCCCGATGATTGAATATTTCCCTGACCACTTCTGAGGTTTTCTCCCCTACCTGAGCGGCAGAAGGTTGCAAGATGTCGTTTTTATAAAGCCGCCGGGCTGTCCTGTACGATTCGGCCGACGCCTGTGTGCGCGATATGGTCTGCCCCCGTTGACTACCACTCCGCCCGTCCCCACTTCCTTTCACGCCGACGCTGATGTCATTCTGCTCCGGGGTGACGGTTCCTATGACCCATCAAACGTATGTACAGTATCGTCTCAAACCGTGCGAGACCAGCGCATGACGGGGCTCACTGAAAAAATCGGGCAGAATACGGTGTACATCGCCCAAAGAATGAGGGTCAAGGCATTTCAAGATTGCTCCTGAACCGATGTTGATCGAAATCTTGCGCACCGCGTTCATCTGTACAGTGTCACGTGCCATCCTCGCGGGTCTCCAGCCATTATTCACATAGACCAGACGATTGTGATGAGGTGACAGCGAGGCGCTGCAGCCGGGATTAACAGTTTCCGAGCAAGCCAGAGGAAGCCCAGTGATGACCCTTCTCCAAAAACAGCCCGATGGCTTGGGGGCTTGCCGTAGCACCACTGGGTTATTATGATACTGTAGTCTTCACACAAGCGATAATTCGGGTGGCGCATTTAATCGCTGTAAGTCTGTATCCCGTGCATCATCGTGCACATTGAAGCACACGGCCGGCGTAAGAGACTACCTGGACAGATGGACCATAGTGATTGGACCGCACACCCAGCGAGACGGGTTCGCACGCCGAATTGGCGAGTCATGATCATCTTGTAGCACGATATGACCGCCCACGGATGCCGCAACGTCGAGGCGACTCTCTACGTGCCTGTCCAACTGCCGACTACAGGCGGACAGGTGGTCTTCAATGCGCGCCTGGCATGACTGATCAAGGCCGATCACTCTATTCCCAACCGACCCTGTACTTCTTATCGTTTCAGAATCTTCACCGACCGGAAAGAACATACCGTATTGTTATGCATAGTACCACACGTCCATGATGGGATGACGCAGTCGCAGTGTTCATCTGGCTGGCTGCTGGCCGCTACAGCCAACGCCATCACAACGCCAGCAAACGCCCAGAAGATCCACTTCGCAGGTCGGATGGCGCTTTTTGAGTTGAGCGGCTGCCGCGCACGCCTCCTTCGCGCCGGTCGTGACCCTCAAACTCATGTGCTGCACGACAGGAAGAGGCAGGTGCTCGTACAGAGACAGCCTCCGACGGACCCGTGTCATGAAATTCTGATGCTAGTAATTTTCGAAGGCCTCTCCTCCTCAGTCGCTGCTTTCCAAGGTTTGCGGGGCATCTAGTGCTGCACACGAGCCCTAAATCACAGCGCACCTCATCTACCAATGGCAATTTTGCTCGGTGGCTAAATCAAGACGGAGTAAAGTCACATGTGCTATGATGAGGTGCAGGATACATTGATTGTAGACGTGACGATACTGTGGCTCATCTCTCCTGCTCGTTCCACTGTTCAGACATATGCCAACAACTCATCTCGGGTGCTCGGGCATCCTCCGTGTCTGCAGCGCGACAGACCTTGGCGTCGGAGCATTGGGCATCGCAACTGCGCACTCACCACTCCAGAAGCATCGTTTCCTCGTAGCAATAGGGATGCCCTCCAAGCGACTCTCGACAGCACTTCCGATGAGAGATAAAGCCGATTGCGTCAAACCAAAAAGGCGGTCGCTTGCTCGTGAGCTAGTCGGCTTGGTATGGATCGCCCCGCATGTCCATCACTCCAGGCACCAATCACTATGCACAGCGGTGGTGGAGGCCATCGATCCGGCAGGCGTCCTGTAGGGAGCGAACGTATCCAGTGCTGTTATTAGCAGCACGGGATACATAGACAGACAGCACTACAGAGTCTAAACTAGTGTCGCCGACGTCCTGTGTCACACTGATCGGTAAAATCAATTTGTGCCGAATCGCGCACACCCCGAGCAAGAATGGCGCCTTCGCAAAGGTGGATTCGAAGGTGCTTGTGAGAAGCCACAGCCAGCCTCCCAGAGATCAATCATCAGGAGTGGAGGCACTCTACTGGAGGTCGGCACCGAGGGTCGCGGAAAAGCGATGAGCTGTTGGAGCGGATCATGAGGGTCGGAGTGCGTGCAGGGCGTGAAGCGACGTCTCGCGGGACCTGATTCTCCTGAACAGGATAATCCAGCACGCCCACCGACCGTCCGAGATTGGTGGTGAGCACTGAGCAGCACATCGCGATGGTACCTGGAGATCGCAGCCCAGGACTGCACTGGAGGAGAGACCCTGACAGTGCGGCATCACAGCCATGTCTCCACTGTGCTTCATACCACGCCTACAGATTCAAGCGCCGGGCATGAATGTATGGAGTTGTAGCTGTAGTTGTAGTAGTAGAAGTAGGACAGCAGGACAGTGTACAGCACTTCGCTGTCTGTACATGTACAAGTGTTGCACCGTACTGTGCCCGAGACAAGGCCCTGTGGCGTGTGAGGTTGGGCCTTGGTGGACGCCATGGCGTTGCGGTACGTCCACTAATGCCAGACAGAACTTGATTCACAGTACTGCACCGCATTTCGAGGTTCGAATGGCGGCCTTCAGGTCGGTATCGTGGACCCTTTCCGAGTGGCTTGCTCCTTCGCCGTCATTGCCACCGGCGAACATACATAATGAGAAGACGCTTCCTTCGTGGAAACATTGCAAATCACGATCTGCAGTTTCAGCGATCCATGAAGGCGATCAATCTTCCACCCGAAGCACCACCAACACCGTTCACCTGGGAAAAGGTCATCGTCGCGAAACAACGAGCGGACGATCAAACAGAGCAACGGCCTCGCGCACATGTTCACGCGTTACACATCATTTCGCACTCGGCCCAAACTCTCTGATATCACCCACCCATATACGCACCACCTGCACGCAGGTCATCCGCACGCAGACGACCCGAACGTTTCCCCTCCAGAACGGCCGTGCAGTGCAACCCGCCCGCACCCCAAATAACGATTGAACGAGCACTGCTCTGCCCGTCCTTCCTTCCGCGCGCGCACGCCCGCAAGCACTATCCACTACCACACACCATCCACTACCACACACCACGCTCTATACATACACATTCACACATTCACACACAGACACGCACCCACACCCTCCCACCCACACAGACACGACACGACACGACGCCCATCCGTCCACCACCCACTCTCCGAGCGACCGCTGCCCGTTGAGCGCTACATACAACCACCGCTGCGGTTTGCTGCGCTGCGGTCATCATCATCATCATCATCATTGCCCCCAAAGAAGCAAAATTTGGTTTCGGTGACGCAGCCCGAATTCCCTCGTCGCACACCCCAGCACCACGACCGACAAGCGTGTGTGGTGGTCTGCAGGGCTGCTGCCTCTTCACCTCTCTTTCGTCAGCCGTCTGCAGCATCCCGTTGCCGTTGGGAGGGGTTACGTTGTGTGTGCCTCACTGCACTCCTCTGCTTTTTTATTTTCGGGGTTCATCAGCTGGAGCTGTGGAAGGGTTCAGCTGCACCTGATAGATTGATCGATTGGATTGATTGATCATTACGGTGGCCCTACCTCCGTCATCACCGACCCGGCTTTTTTGGGACTGGGATTGCTCCTGCCTGCCTGCTGCTGCTGCTGCTGCTGCGCGAACAACCCAGCATTTCCCAGCAACTGAGCCGCACAACGGGGAGTCGTACAGCACACAGGACGGACAGGCGACTGCTTCGATCGTCATCAGTGTGATTGCCTTTACCGTACGGCTGTCCATCTTTTTCCCACTCGGGAGTTCTGAAACATTCAAGCTTCGCTCTGACGACGATTGTGTGTCGACCACACCCTGCCCTCTTCGCACCGGTCCACGCTAGTCGTCCAAGTCGTCCAAGGGGTCCTGCTCATTGGCCATTGACAGCACCGCTCCTCCCTCCAACACTAGACGTCCTCCCCGTTTGATCGGCGCTCGGTGTGGTGTCACTGTGCACTTGCTTTCGGCGTCGTTGCATCTCTCGACAGCCACGAGACACTTAAGCACGCTGATCCCGCACATCATCTTCCGAAGCAGTCCATCTTCTCCACGTTTGTCTCGACGCACTCTCTTCGTCGACGTTGATCAAAGCCTGTCAGGCCGACTACAACACTACATCCTACACATACCCGCATTGCCTCTGTCGACCGACCTGCTCTCCCGATCATACCTCCCCACCGCGATATGGCCATGACAGTCGATTCGCGCCAACAGCAACCTCAGTTCAACAGCATGGGTTACGACGCCATGAGGTACCCGGCAGGACCTCACTTCACCAACCCCTGGGCGTCGGCCGCGCCAAACCCCAACCAGGTGTACGCGACCTCAATGCCGCCGAGCAACGAGCATCGCTATGCGCAGGCATCGCACGTCTCCGCGCCGTACACCGCGGGCTCAATCGCGGCGCCCGCTCTGCCAACAGGTATTATTCCTATGGACTCCGAGTTCTTCGAACAGTCTGGCTTACTTTTTGCGCAAGACGGAATGTCTGCTTCCGCCGCCGCTGCCCCCGTGAGGGCGTTCCCTCCTTACTCGTCTCAACCGCCGGTCAGTGGCTTCGCGCCCACGTCGGCACCGGCCTACACAGCGCCATACAACTCATATCACGGAGACCGCCGACCGTCGCACCCGTCAGTAGCCAGCCTCCCGTTCCTCGACGATGCCTCGATCGATCAAAGGATCCGACAGGACTCATTTGTTGACATGTGTGATGATAGATTCCACAACACATCAGACGCAGAGCGACAGAACTTCAACGACGCCCTCGACGCGTCTCGCGGCATGTTGGCCATGAGCCAGTCGGACATCACACCTCGAAACATCTACGGCAATGCGGGTTCGAGTCGGAGCTCGACCGACTCGTACGGGTTCCCGAGCACGCACTCCTCCCACTCGTCCATCTCCTCCGGCTCATACCCGACCTACTACAACAGCTCCGTCAGCGAAGCGTCTGTCGGTGACTACAGCTCCGCCAGCGAATCCGTCGACATGCCCACGTCGAGGAGGCTTCCCAAGCCCATCGGCCTGGTCAGCGGCAGCCTTCCGCCCGCGCCGCAATCGATGATGGGCCAGTTCAGTTCGAAGGTGTCGTCCAGCTCGCAGAAGAAACACAAGTGCAAGATCTGCGACAAGCGATTCACGCGACCCAGTTCGCTGCAAACGCACATGTACAGCCACACCGGCGAGAAGCGTAAGTCCATTGCTGACCCGTGATCCGACGGGGACCCCGCTGACCGTTACATCCAGCGTTCGCCTGTGACGTCGAAGGCTGTGGGCGCCATTTCTCCGTCGTCTCCAACCTGAGGAGGCACCGCAAAGTCCACAAAGGCGAAGGTCAAGAGAATGACTCCGGCGACGAAGACGACTGATGCCCGCACCGAACACGGCCACCATACCATCGCCTAGAAGCATCGGAGCTAGACCGTCGATTCCCCGGGTCGACCTCGAGACCACCAGACTCGACCACTATTTACACACTTGTTCGATTACAATCGTTTAGAGACACTTGATACCCCAATTTTTTGCTGGAGCGGAGGTTTGAATGGAGTTTAGGGCGGGATTTACTGGCGTTACTACTGGAGTTTCGGACATACGAAGAGCAGACCTCTGAACGGAGGGTTGCCAACAAAACTATCGACTAATGTTTGGATCTTCTGGCGCCACACGAATCGGGCCCTACGTGATGAGACCTCGAGAGGGCTCAAAGGAAACGATCTTGAAGGGGAAGCAGTGGCCCTTCGAGGCATGCCCGGACGGCTTGCCTCTGACGAAGAGACGGGAATATGATGAACCCTCACCAGCGCACACTCGCTAAGCGAATGTTGTCAGCATTAACATTATTATTATTGACAGTCGTGTACTGCACACGCATGTATGAAACGAGACATATCCAATGAGCACCGCTCGAATTTGAACTCTAGACGCGCACGTGCTGATCACCATGCCCGACTGTGTGCGCTGTTCTTAGTCGTCACACGCTGCTGATCTCCACTACTACTACCCGTGCGTCCCTGCACCGCTCGTCCATCACCGACGACAATAAAACGAGATGGGGAGTCGCTGCATACTCACCACCGTTCCCATGGTCTCGTCTGGCAGGCCCAATCTTCTCTCCCAAGCCAATACCAACCATTGCCCGACGCGCTAGTGCCGAACGAGGCAATCACAACCAACGGGAGCTATGGGATTGTTGGCGAACCGCACACCCGCAGCTACACACCATCGACGCCATCCGTTCCCTCATCTCACCTTCCCCGTCACAGAGGCATTGATCCCCAATCGCCAGGGAGGGGTCCACGGGAGGGCACCCACGACCGACTGAGAGATGATTTTAAAAAATCACAAAAAGTGGGTCCGCGGGTGCTCAGTCATCGTCTCGCAAAGCGCAAGCGTGCAGCCACGCAGCGAAGGCGCGCTAATGACCAAGGCTACCCGGATGGTGGCGTGTCGATCACAGAGAAGGGTCGGTTGGGAGGGGGGGAGGGATTCGGTGCCAATCCCCTAATTCACCACCACGGTTTCCCATCACCGTCCCCGAGACTGGCAGGGAAGGGCGCCCGATGTGAAAGAGCAGCATGTAGTTCCACATGGGTATGGTCCCATCATCACCAGACCGGCCCAGTATTCCCTCTTATCTGGACACAACCACACACACTTACACACACATGCACACATGCACAACACGCTGTTACATAGGCTTTTCTCGCCATGCCCTAGCCGGTCCTTATGTTGCATCGCTTAAATCCCTTAGCCGGCCCTAAACCGTAAGCGACGGCGGGCGGCGGAACAATGGGCGGGCGGGTGGTGCCGATGTCACCTGCCTGTCCGCTGGTTGCTTGAGCGCAGCACATCATCTTAGGGAGAAGCGGCCATCTGCGAGCGGTGGGATAGGGCAAGGGCAAGGGCGAAGGGCATATGTTCCGTGACGACATGTGCGCCCTCGCAGGCTGGAATATACCGTCCGGATCAACCGTTGGGGCAATATATCATCTCGCTGGAATTTCCCAGTGAGTGGCCTGGAGGTGATGACGATAAAGGGTCCGCCCCCTGCCTGACTCGCGCGGGAATTGGGAATGTAGTAGGCAGGTGTGTTCGGAGGGACCCACAGTGACGACATGGCGCAGGCACGCCGACGACAATGTCCGCTCCACACCCTGTCCATGTCTACGCACCTACACACACATACATGCACACACACGCACACATTTCGGATGTATGCAGTATGATTATGCACGATGCGCGATGACTCTTGCCCTTCTCTCCGGATTGGAACGACTCATTATTGTCGTCGTCGTCGTCAAAAGGGCCCCACCCACAGCCCGCGCGGGCCCGTTCCGCTCAGCGGTCGTCTGCCCCAGGGTACGCACGCAGAGAGCCGACACAAGGCATGGGTGTGCATCACCAGCAGTCGGTAGTTTTGAGAAACAAAACAAGAATTGCCCTGTCGGTTTCAGATCGCCCTGCGAATCACGCGTGTCGCGCTCGCGACCGTCGCGGAGTGGGTGGAGACACGGATTGCTTGTCTCGGAAGTCCTTCCCTCTCGCTGCCACACGCCCTACGCTCGCGTGTGACTGGTCCGGAGGAGACGTTCGGGCGGTGGGAATGGGCCACGACGACGCCAGCGCTGAGCGGTCGTCGCCGGTCGGGCGGTTGGGTGGGTCAGTCAGTCGTCGTCTCTTCTCGTTCAACGGCTGTGTTGATATCATCGCACACGCCCGCGCGCGAGGGCGCGGAGAGAAAGTGGTCGGGCGAAATCACGAAGGGTCCTGGACTGGGGGCGACATCCCACGAGCAGACACGAGTCATTTTCCCGCCTCTCGTGTGCCGGATTATGCAGCGCAGATGTCGCCAAGCCTTCTCGCACTCAACGCTGTGCTGTCCTCGGTGTGTGCCTGTCCTGTACTGGCACGCCTGGGGTGCTGCAGAGATCCTCCGAACTCTCACAGACTCCGCTCGGATATGCGGCAGGCGTGCAGTGCGCTAGGGCGACACCTCTCAGAGGCGACGGCGACGGCGCACGATTCGCTGCAGTGGCGATCTGCAAGCGAGCCCACCCTGCCCAGGTGGTTGTCAGACGTCGCCTCCTCCTCCTGCTGCTGCTGCTGCACACAATGCTGGATTGTGTGAACGAAAGCGGTGGCGAACAAAGCCGACGGAGAGCCATTGTCCTTTGGCGTCTGTTGCGTCTTTTGCGTCATGCGGGCTCGGCGGTGTTTGGGAGGGCACAAAGTAAGCAGGAACAGAGGATCGCGCAGTGCTTCGCGGATGCGGCGTGGCGGCGAACCTGCGCAGGTGGCGATTGGATCGTGGAGTGTCCATAGTCATGGCTCGAGTTGACAACCCTAAGGGTTGGGGTTGAATGATTTCGTGCCAGGAATGAGGGTAAAACAATTCACATTCGACAAGATGTTGGGTAGGTTTATGGTTGAGGAGAGGAATTGTATATATGTACCTGGGCAGCATACATATGTCACATACATGACACACGTTCCGCAATCATGCCGTCCTGGTGATCCGATGCACTTTGTAGGTGTCGCGGAACAGGTCGGGCGCTCATATTCAGGACTAATGTTTTAGATGTGGGATTAAGGAAAAGGCAAAATTTGATCAGCAATGAACGGCGACTGCAGTGGCGATTGGCCCTGTTTCACCATTCACGACATATCCTGGCCTCACTGGTGGTCTGGATAGTCGTCTCGGCCGAAGGAATGCCCCCGGACGCATCAGACTGTCCCTTCCGCGACAGGACCCTCGACAAATCGACAAAACTGATCGTCAGCTACTTGTGACGTGCCTGTACTTCGAGACGTGAAGCGAGTGATGTCTGTTCTTGCAAGGGCTCAATCACGACCATGACGCGCTAGGCGGATGCATCACGGAAGGTATCGTTTCCATCAACGATGCCACGAGTGCTAGGTCGACGTTGCAGTTTCCAAGTGGTGATCACTCCGCTGTTTCGTCTTGGCTGCGCCGGTGCGAATGCTTGTTTTTCCTCCTGTCGTCGATCACGCATGGTACCGCGGGCGTCGTGTGGCAGTCTCGGCAGCGCGACGCCGAGAGTATGGCATTGGGATCATCGTCCCGGGATGATCATCCTCCAGCAATCCTCCTATGACAAATTCTCGGCATTCGCGTTCCGAGCAGCATTGACGCCCGGCTCCAGGTGATCGGCCCGCAGCAAGAAGGCGACTGTGTGCGATGGCGACCACGTGGATTCTGGTGGATCCTCTTGTCACGCATCGGCCGGGGGATCTGCGTCGGAGGCTGTACCGCCGCGTTTCCGCAGGTCGCTCACGCCGTAGAGTAGATCGTCCAGCTCCTTTTTCGTGGGCGTCGGACCTACATCCGGAAGCGCGTTTAACGCCGCAATGCGACTGTCGTACACGTGAGCAAACTGATGAGCCTTTGGCTGGAATTGTTCCCAGCGGTCTTCTGTCGGCCACAAAGGGTCTGGATGTAGAAGAAGAGTTTCCAAGCGGTGTCTGCCGATGACTCGCGGGTCGAAAGACACCACGATACCGTTCTCGATGGCGATGAGATCCACAGGAGTTCCTTCGCATTCGAGAAAGCCGAAGCGGGACACCTTGGAGGTTCTCGGATGTACGACAGCGATGAACAGCGTGGGGAGGTGTTCAATTGTGACTATGATCGCCCACCTGTTGTCTGCAGGCTCGCCATATGGCACCGTCCAGATCCCGGACACCGAGATAAGGTGATCGTCCTTGGCGTATGTGGTACGAGGATCAACGCAGAGGCGCAGTGCTGCCCGAATGTCTAACTTCTGGACGAGTTCGTTGGCGCGCCAGTTCCAGACCCCGATCCAATCGTCACCACCGCCACTCAGCAGTAGCTCGGTCCCGGGCACCAAACAGATTTTGCTAATGAAAGCGGTGTGCCCCAGACAAAAGCCCTCGATGACATGAGCTTGAGGTGGGCCTCTTGAGATTCGAATATGCTCGTCACGGTCTGCTGTTATGATGTGTGGCCGCTGTTCGCCGTCGACGGTTGCCAGCGCGAACTTCAGATCGGTAAGCATAGAAACATGACCTAGCAACAGTTTGTGCTCGAACTGCAAGGCCTCTTTGCGGGGCGTCAATCCCAGCTGCGCTTGCTTCATCTGTGATTCCAGCGCAATTCGGTTGCGTTTCGTATGGACCGTGTAGCTCGTCGCGGATGGCTTGAAATCGGACTGGGGTTGGAGCGTTGGTCCAGAGCCCGTTGAGTCGGCGCTATAGTGGCCACTGTCGAGCAGAGGCAGAGAGTAGACATCGCCAAACTTATCACCACACAGGATCGTGGTGTCATCCATCACCACTTCGATCGCGCAAGGACGTTTAGGCATGGTGCGTCGACTCGTCTCCCGAAGCTGCCCATCACTTTCGACATGGATCACTCGAATCGACTTGTCTTCCGTGACGATGACGACATGATTGCCATCGGCTGATCGTGCAATCTTGATGATATTTGGACTCTTTGCAGGAGCGCTTTCTTTCTTTGATCTCTTGGCCGGTCGTTCGTCGGCGTCGTCTCCGTCGTTGTTGTCTACTGAGCTGTAGCCAACAGTCTATGTGACGTTAGCCGTCGGCAAGTTCTTCTTCCTCGGTAAACCAAGCAGGGCGTACCATCTCGAATGCCGACCATGTTGACACTACAGATTTCTTCCCAAGCGAGTGCGACATGAGCCTAGCTCCACAAGCTGCGATAACAAGTCCTCCTACATCAGGCCGCGCTGATGACGCCGGTATGAATACCGAGCACTGGAAAGGATGAAGATCCCTTCGAATTGGTCCCGATGGAGCGGACATAAGCTCTTCGGATGTAATGTTACTGCTTGACATTGGGACCTCCATGGGTGTGGACATCTGACCAGGCAGATGCTCGTCGGATGTGGCGATATCGCCCATCACATATATATTGAGGGGGTTCTACTTCGATCGTATTTTGTTTGTTGAGCGTAAGCCATTGAGGAAGCGTACAAATCTGGGCTGTGTGTACCTGCTACCTAGGTAGGCAGACAGTCACTACATAGCGCAACGTGAGGATGAATTTCTGGCAATTCAGTGCCTCAGGCGAGCAAGTGCCGAAGTCCTCAGTCGCCCGTGGACCGGCGCGACTTTTGTCGCCAGGGTTCGTGTCGGTCGTACGAGCATTGTATTCCCGACATTGGGAGCTCGACATGGCGATCTACGGATCAACGACCGATGCATCTCCAGGCGATGAATGAGAGCGATGCGTAATCGCCTGCACAATACTGGCAGACTCGGGCGGGCCATGGACCTCGACAACTGCCCAGGCGATGATCTCCAGCCATGTCGGCTTATCGATAATGCTTAGTCAACTTTCCGGGTTGACTAAGCAGATGTCCACCGCCCAGCATGTGACACTCGCCAAGACCCGAGAAGATCCGCACGTGGGCTTCGATTGAGGATACCTAGGTATGTGTGTATTTATGACTTTGATGGGCGACACCATCGGACGGTCCGAGATTATATATATTTGTACCGTGAGGGCCTCCGTCGCGCGTGGGCTGCAGTATAGGCTCACAGGCTCTTCTTACAAGCAAATTGCCCAGGTGCACATCACTTCCCGACGATGTCTGTGATGTGTCGCGCAAGGAATCCGCGGGCGGCGCGCGCAGAAGCTGATCGATGCCTCTGGAAAATGCGGGAAGATCCGTCGGCGCCTGGAGGAGCCCGCGTTTCTACCTATTTTGCGGGCGATTGTCTGCAGCGGCGAGAGAGGGCCCAGAAGAGAGCCAGAATAGATTTGTTGCTGGAAGATTTCCAAGCCCGCCGCCCGCATTATCAATTGTTGTGGTGATTATCAACGTCGACCTGACCGGCCATCTGCCGACATTCATAATTTCCTCATCTTCCTCTGTGTTCGCTTCACTGAAAGCGTCAACATCTCACCCACATCCGCTTTCTGTCATATCAGCTGGATTACTTGACAAGTAAGTCGCTGCACTTCCAGTCGCTCCCACCAACGCATCGTGTTGCCCGGGAGCCTTATCGTGGATCACCCCAAGACGTTGGGTGGTCACACTGCGCAAGAATATCATGGGACTGACCAGTGCTCGTCTACAGGCGCGATTAATCTGTTGTGACGACCCTCGCAGTACAGTAGAGCAGCCGCACTCGGTAGTGCTTCTCACCGCGCAAAACTCACCTCTCTTTCATCATGGTCAAAGAAACGAAGCTTTACGATGTCCTCGGGGTCTCACCAGATGCCACGGAGCAGCAGCTCAAAACGGCATACCGCAAAGGTGCACTGAAGCACCACCCCGACAAGAACGCCCATGACCCCGCAGCCGCCGAGAAGTTCAAGGAAATCTCTCACGCATATGAGGTCTTGAACGACTCACAAAAGCGCCAGATATATGACACATACGGCGAGGAGGGTCTGGAACAAGGCGGCGGAGGCGGAGGCGGCATGGGCGCCGAGGATCTGTTCGCTCAGTTCTTCGGAGGAGGCGGTGCTGGCCCGTTCGGAGGCATGGGCGGCATGTTCGGTGGCGGTGGACGGGAGCAAGGGCCAAAGAAGGCACGCACGATCCACCACGTCCACAAGGTCTCGCTCGAGGACATCTACCGAGGAAAAGTGTCAAAGCTTGCACTTCAGAAGTCCATCATCTGCAACAAGTGTGATGGCCGCGGTGGCAAGGAGGGCGCCGTCAAGACCTGCACAGGTTGTAACGGTGCCGGTATGAAGATGATGATGCGCCAGATGGGTCCCATGATCCAACGCTTCCAGACAGTCTGCCCGGATTGTAACGGTGAAGGTGAAATCGTGCGGGAGAAAGACAAGTGCAAGCAGTGCAACGGCAAGAAGACGGTCATCGAGCGCAAGGTCCTCCACGTCCACGTGGACCGCGGTGTCCAGTCAGGCACCAAGATCGATTTTCGTGGCGAGGGTGATCAGATGCCGGGCGTTCAGCCCGGTGACGTCCAGTTCGAGATTGAGCAGAAGGCGCACCCGCGCTTCCAGCGCAAAGGCGACGATCTCTTTTACGCAGCAGAGATTGATCTTTTGACCGCACTTGCCGGCGGAGCCATCTACATTGAACATCTTGACGATCGGTGGTTGACTGTGGAGATCATGCCAGGCGAAGTTATCGCGCCAGGTACGTTGTTTTGCAATTCGATCACGCAAACAAAAATTGTTACTGACCTGAAATGTTAGGTGAAATCAAAATCATTCGCGGCCAGGGCATGCCCTCTCACCGACACCACGACTTTGGCAACTTGTACGTCAAATTCGACGTCAAGTTCCCTGAGCGACTACATGGCCCCCCCGATGCCGACGGCTATCCGACATCCCTCACGCCGCAACAAGTTCAAGCTCTCGAGTCAGTCCTGCCACCGCGTGCTCCGCAGAACATTCCTCCGCCGAATGCCATGACCGACGACTACCAACTCGAAAAGGTTGACCCGACGAGAGAGGGCGACCGTGCAGCCCGCGCAACGGATGAGGACGACGAGGAGATGCACGGCGGAGGCGAGCGTGTGCAATGCGCATCGCAGTAAAAGTAGCCCGAGGATTCGTTTCATGAACATCAAGAGCCAAAGCCGCGGGAAGAGGATATTACTTGAAGATTACAGCCCTGCTGGCTGCTCTGCCATTGTGCATTGCCACGATTTGGCCGAGTCGGATCGCTCCTCTATGAAGACCGTTCTAACGCACACGCCGACACGAACGTATGACTCAACGGGCATGGAGAGAAGCGCTAATTTCGCGGTCCTGGGTGTGAAGGCGTTTTGAGGCGTTTCTTGAGAGAAGCGCGGCATCCCTGGTAGAGGGGCAGCCGTCGTTACGAACAAGGCAGGACAGCGTTGAGATTTTCTTCTTCTAAGTGCGATGGCGTCTGAATGCACAGCATGGCTGCCCTCGACTCCCAAGTCGTTTACGTATAGAGAGAAAAAGAAAGAGAGAGGGAGGGGGCGGGGGGAGGAGAGATCTCGCCTATTGCGACTTATTGAAATCCATCTGCATTATGTTCACAAACCTTCCAAGTCCGCTGACGATCGTATCATCTTGCCCCACTTTGAGGGGTTGTGAATGCTCTGGAGATCAGGCATCGGAATCAGCAACGATAGTTCAGTCGATTGAGAAAAGATGACAAATTCGTTTGCAGCGCTGATAAGGTTATTCGTGCTGGTAACGTCAAATTCTTTTCGTATCCTTATGTCGCCCAATGAGTCACTTCCGGTTCGCCTGGCGAGCAGAGGCTGACGATCAGCGTCATTCTCTCTCATCCGTCATGCGCCACCAGAGGATCAATTCGTCCTTCTTGCTCTATCCGCCGAAACCCTTCGTGATGTACACATTGGCGCCCATTTGAAGATAATTGAACCATAGACGAGGTGATCAAGCAGACCTCATTGACGTGCGCAAGTAAATCCAAGTGCAACTCGCCAGCCACCAATCCGCAACATGTCTGCCGACATCGCCGACATCAAAACCCACACGTTCGACAACGGCGAGGACACAGCGAGTTGGTCATCCACGATAATATCCGCTCTCGACGCCCTGAGACCGCATCTCCCGACTTCGCTACCGCTCTATCGTCGCCTACAGTTCGGCCACTTTACAAACACCAGCACGATCCTGACCAACCTCGATTTCGGAAAGCCCGACAAACAAGGGATCTTCCACGCGGATGCGCAAGGACGAGATTGGCTGATCTCTTACGTTGACCGGTCATGTCGTCCGGAGACCGAGGCGCTCATCTTTGCCAATTGGGAGACGGCGACCCACGGCGAGGCTGCGTCGGAGGACCAGGAGAGCCAGATGACGCTGATGAACGCTTTTGCTCGCGAGGCGAAGAGATTGCCCCTGCCGCCATCGCAGCACCCCGAAGTCGCAGACAGCATGGCGGCGAGTCCGGGCGATATCACATTCGGGGCCGTGCATGAGAGGACCGCAGCGATGATGCGACGGGCCCGGGTTCTTCATGTCCCCGTTCTACCGAACGATGGGATCTCGATCCCCTTTGGCATGTTCATCTTCAGACTGGGAGGGCAACACGCAGAGGACCAGGACACAGTGAGAACAGACGAGGGCCTCACAACAGGCTTGCGCTGGGGTCATTTGGAACCTGCGCATCTCGCGATTGTTCGGGCACGAACACCTTATCCACGTCTAGAACGAACCATGGCAATCATGCCCAACGTTGGAATATTCTCGGACGGACAGGAAGATCCGATCGCATGGGCACTGATAGGATTGGACGGCAGCTTGACGTCGCTGCACGTCGAAGCAGACTGGCGGAGACGAGGTCTGGGGGTTCTCACAGCTCAAAAGATATTTCGTGATGGCATGGAGGTCTTTTGGGCGAATGACGAGGCCTCCGGCCCACGCTTCGCACATGCCTACGTCGCGAAAGGGAATATCGCGAGCGAAAAATTACTGCACAGTGCCAAAGGCGCATTGGGATGGAATGTGCATTGGATTCATACAAATCTGGGCGCATAGACGTCGGAACGGAGCACTGGCGTTTGAAAGAAGTAGAGGAAGACCTGTGCTAACGTTCATTAGCAAGAGGGCTTTGCGCAGTTGTGTTGGCATTATCGAGCAATGATGGTGATGGGGTTCATTAAAAAATTAGAGTGTTGTTGCTGTTTTTAATCCTCATAGAGCAAGCTCAGGGTTAAAAAAGATTAATCATGTAGTGGAGATTGGAAAAATCCAAAAGAAATTTCGCAACGTACCTTGTCATGTCCAAAGAACTCCACCCTTTTCTCTATTCATTTCACGTCGATACTCATCACTCGTATCCTCGTTGTGTGCATCGTTTAAATTCGTGAGTATCAAATGCTGCACAATGGCCGGCACAGACGTTTAGTCGAAGAGACCGAAACCCATGTCCTCATCCTCAGACTCCTCCTTCTCCTCTTCCTTGGGTGCGGCCGCGGCAGCCGCAGGCGCGTCAGAGCTGGCAGCGGCGGCGACCGGAGCGGCAGCAGCGTAGTTGTCAGGGTTGCGGATGCGGTCCTTGATCTCGTGGATAGCTTCCCACTCGAACTCATCGAGCTCAATGGCAACCGAGATCAAGTTCTTGTAGCTGTTGACCAAGCTGTGCATGATCGAGGGCAACGTAGGGAAGCTGATCGAGAGCGAGATGGTCGCGATGGCGTTGATGGCCGAGCTGAAGGCCTTGAGCAGCTGAGACTCCTCGATGTCGAGAACATTGCTCTCAAAGGTCTGACCGTTGTCGTAGATCTGAGCAATACCCATACCGTAGGTGAAGGGAGAGATGTTCAACATGTTCAGGAGGGTGGCCTCGGAGGCTCCGACCTTGTTGCCGGCTTCGACGAGCTTCAAGTCGGTGGTAATTTCGATGGTACCACGAGCGATCTTGGTGGGGACACCGAGAGCCTGGAAGAAAGAAGTCTTACCGGGCTCCATACCGGTGTTTCCGGCCGGGACGTACACATCGGCAGGGGCGACGGCACCAGCACGAGCGGGAGCCGCGACACGGTTGGAGAGAATCTTCTCACGGGTGGCCTTGAGGTCGGCGTTGGTGAAGACAAAGCCGACGTTGCCCTTGACGTGAGGCAGCAGACGCTCGTACTCGGGGTAGTCACCCATGAAGGTCTTCAACGCACGGCGGACCTGTTATATTTATCAGAATCATGCGCAACTCCCGGTCGATCTCTTGGTCCTATCATACCATGGTGTTCTTGCCCATCAGGACAACACCCTCGCCTCGCATGGCCTGACGAATCTCGTGCATCTGCTGCGACGAGACATTGTCGACGGAGACGATGAAGATGCTCTTGTACTCCTCGAGGTAGCCCTTCAGCTTGTCGAAGTAGCCGGCCTTGTTTGCAGATTTGCCCCCCATAGCGTCGTCGCGGTATAGGGTCTGTTTTTAAGGCTGATTGGTATTTTGGTTGGAAAAAGGGTTGGTGGTGATGAATTGTTGCAGTAGTAAACTATCTCGACGTGCCGTCTTCTGGACGTCGAGGATATGGGAGCAACTTTGTGTGGGTCTGTGCGCGCGCAGTCTTGGCGCTCTGGCTCCGCATAATTTCACCCTTCGTCAGCGCGCGCTCAGATCGCACCAGCACCACGCCGCAGCTGATTCTACACTGCGACGTCTGGATCTTCTTCAACACACAGATTGAAAGCGCACACTTGAGATTGATGGAACATAGAGTCTGAATTATTTCTCTCTTGATCTACCCTATTGCCAAATCCATGGAATGAATTTATGCACGTCAATGTCCTCGACTTCACCCTTTTCAACGCTTCGGCCTTGACGGTCACGCGAGAAATAATCACACGGCGACGATCCTGATGCACAAATCCAATATCCATAGCCTGGCGTGCTGCTACCCGCTGCAAACCGCCCTTGCCGGCTCGGTAGTCCACAGTCACAAAGCGGTACCTCGCCGTAAAGCTCCCACAGGATGAAACTGCGCTCGCGTAACTTCTGGGCACCCTTTCTGCAGTGGGAGTTCAAACACGGATGGTAGATTCGACCGATGTTGCAGCTTGAACGACTGGAAGCTGCAGACCCTCGGCGATGTGTTCGATGACCGCATTCACTGCATGGAACCCGTGCTGGGATGTCTTCGTGAACAGGCGATTGGGGCTCGGATCCGATCGAAGCATCGGGGAATTCGATGTCTTTTGCATCAAGTCAGTCATGACCTCGACATAGGAGTTGTGATGGCCAGCAACCTTACCCGTGTAATGAGTCAGTGGTATCGTATTCGTCCACATCGATGCTGGCTTGCTGTCTGTTGAGCAGACGTTGAGCTTATTTGTCTTCAACGCCCGTGGTACTGAATACATGTAGGTTCTCGAGGGATATCTGTAGAGATGATTGCAAGCAGGCCTAGATAAATATGCCTCTTGTGTTCATGTCCTCTGTGGCGAACGTATGTCTCAGCCACTGCCAATCATATCGCGTCGACTAGAGTTGTTATCTCGACGCTGCTTGATGAAATTGGTACAAAACGATAGATGGAAGTGTTGCTCGCTGACGGTTGTCTGGAGTTCTCGAACAACGCAGAAGGTAAGACAAGTCGACCACAAGCGCACAGCAAGCGGAAAAGCACGCTTTCATGGCCATCCAAAGGTCGTCTCTCGTTCCCAGATTGCTCGAAAGAAGTGGAGGCCAGGAATGCAATCATCAGATTGAACACGAATGGCTGGGTCTGAATTGTGTCGGTATAGCCACAATGTTGAAATCGTTGTGGAGATGGCCACCTCTTCTTGGCCGAGGGTGGTAGGAGGCTAGCTTTATCAAGCATCTGGAAATGTACTGTGATCTGTACTCGACTCCTCGCTGTCTTCAAGCCCCTCTCTGGTGGTCTCAAAGCCAGCGTCGAGATCGGAAAGTCTATGATCACTTTCATCCATACCATCACTCAAGTGACTGTGAAGAGCAAGCACTTTGGCAAAGGCTTCTAAACCCTGAGCAAGGGTGTCCATCTGACGACCCAACTCATCCTCGAGGACTAAGTCATCGCTCTCCTCTTCCATTGATGATGCGTGCGGGGCAACAGCGTGTGGAAAGCTGATATTGGTTCCGGAAAAGACGTCACGGTCAAGATCACGTAATCGGGAAGAGTTGCCTGTTGCGCCATTAGTCTTAGGACCATTATTGGGAGGGAATTCGAAGTTGTTCGATCTGGGGCTGTTGTTCAAATGGTTGAACCTGGCTGTCGTATCGAATGCGCCGAATTTTAGCCAGCTATCTCCACCGACCGCACTGTCGCGAAAAGCGGCGTCAATGTCCAATCCAAGCGACGTCCGATCAGCGAAAGAGGTTTGGATTGAGCCACTAGATGCAGGAGTGTGAATCATTCGATCATGGCTGGACGCATTGCTAGTCAAGCTGTTTCCCCGTGCGTGCATCTGTGTGTGGGTGGTGTTATTGCTGCGTCTTTCGCGGTTACCACCTTCGGAATGCCATTGCTTGTGATAGGAAAAGCGGCTGCGATCGATCTCCAGCTGCAGTGGATCATCTTCCAAATCGAAAGGATTTCCTGACGTCTCATCCGTTGTGGCCGAGTCTGCGATGGAAAGAGCCGTTCGAGGGCGCTCCAGCTGAGCGACAAAGTCCATGGCGCCTGGGCCAAGCGCAGCATCGAGATCGATCATTGAGTCACGGTCGTCATCGGATGGAGGTGCCGAAATGAAGACGCCCTGCGGTGCTGTGATAGAAAGTTCCCGGAAATGACCTTCTGGCGCAGTTGCGCTTCTATCGAGCATGGGTCGGAAAGTAGGAGAAGACTGTCCGTTCATGCTAGCTAGCATTGGCGCAGAGGAATTTCCCGTGTCGTCGCGGTCATGTGTCACAGGTCCTGCGGTCGCAAATGTCCATCCCATAGTGTCACGTTTAGTCGCATCAATTGGTGCAGATGGAAACGCCCACTCCATGGTTGCTCGCTTGTCTTCATGCTGCCCATAACTGTACTCGTCTTCATCATCGTCACCGCGATCACGACTAGGACCCTTGAGAGTGAGGTCTTCATTGTAAGCATAGACGTCAGAATCGCTTGTGAGGGCAGCGAGATTATCCGCGGCCCCCATGTCGATAGAGTCGAGATCAATCATCGACTCTCGCATGGGCGCGTCGTCTGTATATGTACGCAATGGCAAGTCGGATTGAACTGGAGGTGCCTCTTCAATGGGGGTCGGAAATGTGGGCGTTGATACGACAGGCGTATGTAATTGATAATCGCCAGTCTTGAAAAGGCGGTCCAGCGATTTCTCTCCACGATTAGCCGAGAACTCTGCGTGCTGCCGCCGAACAAGCTCCGCGATGTTCAGGTTGGCATTTGTGCCTTCATTGTTGCTACGAGGCGGGAATACCATTGTACTCAACCTCTTCCCTAACATCTCGTCGAAGCTTTCCGAAGTGCTAAAATTCCACCCGTCTGAGGAATGGGCGTCGTCTTCGGAATCGTCGTCTTCATCGATATCGGTATATTGCAAATCAGTAGGACCGGCCATCCAAAGTGACGATCGTGAGCCACCGCCATATTCCCACACTTTGAAATTCTCGATGAGTTTGACGAGATTGCTGGTGGGATAGCGCTTGCTGGTCCCTGCAATGTAGGGATGCTGCAGGATGGCCTCGGCTGATGGCCTCGCTTGCTGGTCTGGATTGAGGCAAAACGCCACCAAGTCTTTGAGATCTTTCGAAAATGCGTCGTCTTCCAGGCGCGGTGCGCGCTCAAGTTTGCGAGCCAGTCTCTGACCGAGACCAACGTCATGATACGGAGGGTGTCCCGCAGCCATTTCGTAAACTGTGCACCCAAAAGACCAAATGTCAATTTCGGTTCCATATGGTTTTTCTTCTGTGGTGACCCCGGTCATTACGTCAACAATCTCCTTTGGCATCCAATGTGGAGTTCCGACGATAGTCTTCCGCTTGGAAGAGACTCCATCTTCAAGGACGCCGACGATTCCAAAATCGCCAAGTTGGATCTCACCATCCTCAGTGACATAGACATTGGCACACTTTACGTCTCGATGAATGATACCAATATCATGCATGCCTTTAAGAGCCACGAGAAGCTCTCGAGCAATAGGAATGATGTACTTCTCCTCAAGACCAAGCTTCTCTCGTTGAAATGGCCGCATGAGGGTGCGTATGCTACCGCCGGTGCAATAGTCTGCCACAATCCACAACTGCGAATGGAGATCAAAAGCGTCATGGATTACATTGACGTTCTTGGTCTTGCTGTCCTTCAGCTGCTGTAGGATGCTTACTTCCTTCCTGAAATCTCGAATAGTCTCATCCATGCGGTCGTACTCGGCACGGAAGTCCTCTTCGTCGATGTTGGTGATTTTGATGGCCACCAGATCGCCTGTGCTTTGAGACCGAGCTTTGTAGACGCGACCAAACGCACCCTTTCCAATAAGCTCCAGAAAGTCATACGGAGGTACAGCTGTGCCGGCACGCTGACAATTTCGAACCACTGACTGGTACATCTCATCGGCATCTCGTTTTCGCTTAGCTGCTTCCTCCTGGGCCCGGAGGAAATCCATCTTGACGTCGTCACAAGAGAATTCGATATTGTGATGTTGTGTCACCTCGAGGCTTGTTCGTCGATTTTTAAGCTCATTCGTCGAAGACGTGCTTGCTCACGTCGATGGGAACTGATCCGGACGGATCGGGCGAGTCTTCGACTTGAACTCTGCTGATCAACCACGACTCAGCATGGCTGCATACGCCACTTGGAATGAGAGAAGCTGTCACTTGTAATCGTGCGATCCACGAGAGCGCGAAGAGGCCTTGTATCGATGTGTTTGCTTTGATAAAGCCACAACCCTATGTGCGGCCAAAAGGCGGTCTTGAGCGGCAACCCCTTTGCAGTCGTATCAAGAGATGGACATGATAACCTGGCGGGGCGCACAACGAGGAAAGCCGGCGCAAGACTGCGCAGTTTCGACGCTGAGCTGAGGTTAGCAAGGCGATTGTCTGTTTGGGCTGTTTACAATTACGCCGGGCGCACGACTGAACAATCCGGCGATAACACGAGTAAACCTGGCAAGGCACTTGCCCTACAGTGCTATTCTCAGCGGCATGGTTGAGACAGGCTTTGCCGCTAGCATCGGGTGCAGTTGAACCACACCCGCGGGACTCATCACACTGTGGGCAACAAGGCAGCTTCAGGTTTGAAGACGAACCACGTGACCTTCCGGAGGACGGTAATTTTGGCCTCAGGTTTCACATATCTCAACCTCTGCCTCACCAGCTGTTCCATGGCATTCTCACAACCTTGGAACGCTCTGATTTCCGATCTGCCTGGTACAGAGCACGCATGAGAGATTAACAGTCCTCCGCAATGAATGTCACCATGCCAGAGAGCGTGGCGACACTCGTACAATGTTCTGGCTTCTGCCACGACAGTGGTGCAAAAGTGCTCGCGCACCTCTGGGGGTCAATCACCCGGCGAGATGAGCTTACTGACGAGTTAAATATTCTGGCAGCCCTTCGACAAGGCCAGTTCCGATCGCAAAACGCCTAGTCAATGTTTGAATGTTGTGGATGCATTCTTGCCCTTGAAACTGGGCATATCTACCTACTAGGTAGTAGGTAGTTTGACACTTCCCGCTTGAGACTCCTGTACGGGCGAGTGCGCGGGCCTTCCCGCAGACTTTCCGTCAATTTTGCCAAGCCGCACCGCACTTCGCAACATCATCGTCAAATCTTTGATTGAGCTTGTGACAACGCGACAGCACGCACGACAATTCATCTTAATTAACAACAACAGCCAACCGTCAATATGGGTCGCATGCACAGCAATGGCAAGGGAATTTCTTCCTCCGCCATCCCATACTCTCGCGCTGCTCCGGCATGGTTGAAGACCACTCCTGAGCAGGTCGTTGACCAGATCTGCAAGCTCGCGAAGAAGGGTGCTACACCTTCGCAGATTGGTGTTGTCCTTCGTGACAGCCACGGTGTTGCTCAGGTCAAGATCGTCACCGGTATGCGGACGCTGATATCTCACGTGTTTGGAGACATTCTGACGTGGACCAGGAAACAAAATTCTCCGAATCCTCAAGAGCAACGGTATGCAGTCACCACTAGTCCAGCCTGTGTGAAAAAGAGACGAGCGGTGGCATCATCGGAGCAGCTTTGAATTGCTAGCAAAAGACGGAGCACATACATGATGCCGCCATGTCATACACAAACACAAATTACGCCTCTGCTTGGTCATCAGACTGACAGAGAGATTGCCACAGGCCTTGCACCAGAGATCCCCGAAGACCTCTACATGCTGATCAAGAAGGTAAATATGACACCGCTTTGCTTGCGTTCGTTGATTGGGAAACTGATGGGCTGTAATAAAAGGCCGTTGCCGTCCGAAAGCACCTCGAGCGCAACCGAAAAGACAAGGACAGCAAGTTCCGTCTGATTCTGATCGAGTCGCGTATCCACCGTCTCTCACGATACTACAAGACCGTCGGTGTCCTTCCCCCGACCTGGAGATACGAGAGCGCCACTGCCAGCACCTTGGTCGCATAAATTTCATGCCTGTTCTCAATAGCATTGTCAAGGAGGAAGCTGGGTTGGTCGATCGGGACGAAAGGGCAATTCAGGGTCGGAGTAGTCGAAAAACAGCATGGCGTCACCGGCGAAGATTTGCACGACACAGCATCGCGCCAGTTGGCGTGGCTGAGTGTTACGATTTTATCATTACTTGCAGATTACGATAGAGATCAATACTGTTGATCATCATCAATTGTCATTCTGTCAAAAGGAACACTGCAACTAAGAAACACGACTCATGTTGACTGTCCACAACCTGTCCATTACCATTTGTTGCCAAAAAATCCTCTCGTTATCAATGCATGCAAATTCCCACCCAATGCTTGTGTCACAAGCCTGGCATTCTCTCGCCTGTTGCTCCCTAATTCCCATCATTTGTCGAGGTTCGCAAATTACTCCTCAGTGGAAGCTGCGGCTCCTTCGCCGTTGGTCGCGCCATAGTCGGCTCTCTTGACGCCCCTGGGGCGACCGGTGATGTCCTGCCATGTAGCCCCGAATCGCCTGCTGGTGCTTGCCAGCAGACCCTCTTCTTCCTCGGCGCGAAGGTCGTCATCAAGGATCTCCTCATCCAAGGTGGGAACGCGGAAGAGCATGACAACGAACACAATCAGGAAGATGCCGAGGAATGCAAACTGAGCGTAGAAATTGACTACACCAAAGTAGGGATAGTTGGCGTTGATGCGGTTCAAGATCGTGCTGGCGACACTGGGCGTGCAGACCATCTTCGCGCTAGGGTTGTCCGATGTTTCGGTGCATGCCTTGATGGCGTTGTGGTGCTCACTGCAATCTGGCTGCAAGCCTGGCGTATATGATGGAAGATCGCAGAAAGTCTGAGGGCCAAAGGTTGCGTACTGAGGAGCAACGATCTGAGCTAGCGCGTAGTTGATGGCAAGAGTCATCAATGTCAAGAGAACGGTGCCCATGAGCATGGCATTTGGCGTAGTCTGACCCTTGCGGATACGGAAGAGGACGATCCAGAGGAAGCGGATCCCAACGCTAGCGAGGCCGACCACGGTGGCACTGAAGAACAGAAGCGTGAGGAGCAGGAAGAAGATGTAGTCGATGGGGAAAATCCGGGATGTCGCGATCATAAGCTCGTTGATCGGCTGAAGAATGTTGGTTTTGCCGAGCACATAGCCGCAGCTAGCACCACAGACGGAGTTCTTGATCTTGTCGACCATGGTGATGAGCATGCTGACGAAGACGATGACAGAGACTAGGAGGATCAGAAGACCACCAAGGAGCTTGATGGGTCGGAAGACCGCCTCCAGCTTCAACCATGCTCGGATGAGGAAGTTGCGGCCCTGGCCAGTGTTTTCTGCCGCAAGGCGTTCGCGGCGGACCAAGGTTCGTTCCTCACGAATGAGCGCCTCGAGCTCACGTCGATCACGCGCATCCAGACCCTCATCGCGGCCTTCGTTGCGGCCTTCGAGCTGGCGTTGTCGCTCGCGGTTTTGCTCGAGCTGGCTCGACGTGCTGGCCATGATCTGGGGAGCAGAAATTCTAGGCGCAGACTTGATGAGGGCGAGAGGCAACAAGGCCAACCCTGGTGCCGTGTACAGACAGTACAAGATGGTACCGATCATGGTCAAGAGGCCAATGGCAAAAGTGAGAGCCCGTTCGCCATCTGGGAGATCATCAGTACAATGTGCAAAGCATAGTCACAGCAGGATAGAAACTTACGGTTCTCTAGGAGGATGTCCTTGAAGTAGTCCAAGTCCTTATGCTCGTTGCGAGTCTTCTTGACGACCGGGACAAAGAACCCAACGAGAAAGAGGATGATAGCCAAAAAGATGAACGCGAAAGTGTACTTCAGCGCACCCCACAGCCTGCCCGCAACGGATTGCTGGCGCTCCATTGTGGCAACCTCATCGTATTCCTCATACCAGAAATATGTGAATGGTACGACGATCAGACACAGCACAGCATCCAGGCTGTACAGGGTATAGTAGACGATCTTCAGAATGTAGAGGGTCTCATCGACCTTATCCGGCGTGGCCCAATCCTTCTTGCGACCAAGCGAACGTGATGTTGTGGACGAGACCAGCGCGATATCGACCGGCAGAAGTAGAACAGTAGCGAGCAGCGCAAGCACGGTCAGCCAGCAGACAATTGTCACGCTGTAGGCGCGCTCAGAAGGTTTCTGGTAGACGAATACGAAGACAGCCGAGACGAGGAAGATGATGCCTAGACAGACGGCGTAAGCCACCCAGATGAGGGAGGTTTCGATCAGTGCCATGTTGGTCTGACTGCACAACTGCAGATGATTGTCTGGTGAAGCTGTTGAAATCGCAGGAGGAAGGTCGGAGGAGTCCACGCCTTTCTTGCTCGGCTGAACGCGACTGCCGGTCTGCTCCGCCCGCGTAATCCGGTGTCGCCGGCTTGCCTACAGGTGACTCCGGAAGCTGCTGTTGGTGAAGGAAATTCTGTTGAAAATTCGCCCCGTCCTTATCGCGGTTGCGGTAGGGAAGAACGAGTACAGCTGTGTGAAGAAACGGGAAGGAAGCTGGACACGACGCGAAAGCGGGAAAAGGTTTGCGGGCTGCCAGCTCCGGGCCAGTCTGACGTCGTCTGTGGCACTTCACCAAATCGAGCTTTGCTTGCTGTGGCTGATGCTTCCGCGACTCCGCATATGTGAATCGACGCCCGGGCGCGTCCCGTCAATATTCTTGAGACAAAATATCCGAATGCCAACACATTGAACACAACAACGACTGGGAATTGAGCAGCTGAAGTGCGATCTCACATTGATACACCTCATGGACCGATCTCAGCTGCCAGACTGACAAATAGGAAGTGGTCGAGATGGAATGCTTTGCCGAGTTACTCCCTCCCACTGCTGTAACGCACGCTATCGCGCTACCCTTCCTGAGCCCCAATGCCAATAACGTCGTTGTTGCAAAGACTTCACTTCTGCAAGTATTCGACATCAAGCCATCACCTGCGACCGATGATGCATCTGGAGAGCAGCAGACGGCGAGGCTCGTCCTCGTTGGTGAATATCCACTATCGGGAACGGTGACAGCATTAGCCCGGGTGAAGATCCTGGACACCAAAACCGGCGGCGAAGCTATCTTGCTGTCCTTCGCACACGCAAAGCTCAGCTTGCTAGAATGGGATCCAGACAACCATCGCACGAGCACTATCAGTATCCATTTCTATGAGGGCGACAATATCGTCGACCAACCATTCGGACCGGGGTTGAGCGAATGCGATACCATACTGACGGCCGACCCGAGCTCGCGATGTGCTGCTCTGAAGTTTGGGCCACGATTTCTCGCCATCGTCCCTTTCCGACAAGCTGGCGACGAATTGATAGGAGAAGAGGAAGAGGGTGCTGATGCGAATGCAATCACGAAAACTTCGATAGCGCAGACAAATGGTGGTCTCGACGTCGCAGAAACCCCGTACAAGCCATCCTTTGTGCTACCCATGACAACGTTGGATCCATCATTGAATTGCATTGTGCATCTCGCATTTCTGCATGAATATCGCGAGCCGACGTTTGGTATCCTCGCGTCATCCACTTTGCCATCGGCCGCTCTGCTCGCAGAGCGCAAGGACATTTTGACCTACACCGTATTCACGCTTGACCTCGAGCAGCGGGCTTCCACGAACCTCATAACAGTGACCAAACTCCCGTCATCGCTATGGAAGGTGATGCCGCTACCAGCACCCATAGGAGGTGCTCTCTTGATTGGCGACAACGAAATTATTCACATCGATCAGAGCGGTAAAGCCAATGCAACTGCGGTCAACGAATTCGCGAAGCTGGAGAGTGATTTTGGCATGGCGGACCAGTCGCATCTTAACATGAAGCTAGAAGGCTGTGTGGTGGAAGTCATCGATCATATGTCTGGAGGACTATTGATTGTTCTAAGAGATGGTTCAATGGCCACTCTCAGCTTCAAGGTTCTTCGCAGAAGTATCAGTGAGCTTGTGGTCACGCGCCTAGCTTCGGAAACGAGCGGCGCCATTTCACGCGCAAGTCCGTCCTGTCTGACCTTGTCACGCGACGGAACAATATTTGTAGGGAGCGACTTCGGACCCTCGTCTCTCGTGTCCTGCTACGCAACGACAGTGCCATCTAGCCGGAAACGATCTCTGGCACAAATGAACGAAAAGGCAGACGAAGCCGTCGATAGAGAAGGGAGCGAAGCAGATGAAGAGGAGGCAGAGGAAGAAGAAGACGATGATGATCTCTACAGTGTTGCGCCTGCCACAAAGAAGCGAGCCACCTCGTCAAATGTGCATTCAAATATTCCTGACATTGCAAACTTCACTTTTGCGCCGCTGGACAACCTTCCATCCCTCGCTCCTGTCAACCAGGTCTGCCTTGGCCGCGCCAAAGGTTCTCGAGCTGGAAGATTGGAGCTCTTGGCTGGAACAGGTCGAGGCCACTCAAGCCGACTAGCTATCCTGAATCGTGACATTATTCCGGAGGCGCTCGGAACTACCAGCATAGGGAGCGCTTCGGCAGCATGGACGGTTTGTGCAAAGCCAGAAAAACATGCGGACCAAGCGGAGCAGAAGTCAATTGATCGCGCATTTGACAATCTGCTCTTCGTCAATGACGATTCCACAACACGAATTCTTGACATCAACGATTCTGATGACAACGAGAGCCAGTTTGTCGAGCGCTCGGCGCCTGAGTTTGAGAATGAGGGAGAGACGCTGGAAGTCAGTACGTTACGAAATGGCACCCGCATTGTCCAATGTCGGAAGAACGACATTAGAATATACGAGTCGAATCTTGCTTTGAGCCAAATTATTCCAATGGAGGACGAAGAGTCTGGTGCGGAACTGAACATCGTCCATACATCAACTTGCGAGCCATATTTACTGGTTGTTCTGGACGATGGAAGCATGCAGGTCCATCAGGTCCAAGGCAAGGAAGTCGAGCCTCTCACTTGTCATGGCGTCACCGAGGAGAAGAAGTGGCTGAGCGGCTCCATCTACTCTGGATCCCTGACGCGGGACGACCCCGTTCTGCTCTTACTCGGCTCGAATGGTTCCTTACACATGTTCAGTCTCCCAGATCTTGAGCCGATCGGAACCGTACTTAGCTTGCCTCACCTTCCGCCGGTCTTTTCAATGGAATCTTCACAACGGCGAATGGGTGCAAAAGAGACACTGACAGAACTCCTCATGGCAGATCTTGGGGCTGACGGACATTCGCAGCCATACCTTGTTCTCAGGACAGCCATGGATGACATTGTTCTCTACGAACCATTCAACGACCGAAAGCGCGCTGCATCAAGTCCTTGGTACGCTGACCTACGCTTCCGGAAAGTGCCAATGGTGTACATTCCGAAGTATAATGAAGCGGCTGATGACGATTTGGAGCTGAAACCTCCGGCATTGAGAGGCGTGAACATCGGGCAGTACCAGGCGATTTGCATCCCTGGCACACCACCTAGCTTGATTTTGAGATCCGCATCAAGTTCGCCGAAAGCCCTCGAGATTCGCTCGACAGACGAGCACGGACATATGCAACGCATCTCATCTCTGAACACTCCTAGGTGTCAACAAGGATTTCTGACGGTCGATTCTGGAGGAACTCTGAAAGAATTCCGACTACCGGAAGGCGCGTGGTTCAGCTCTGGCTGGTCTGTGCGACAGCTAGATTTAGGCGGAGAGCTTCGACATCTTGCATATCATACTTCTAGGGAGGTGTATGTGGTTGCCACTTCCCGAGACGTGGATTTCTACTTCTCGGAAGACGACAACCGGCACCCAGAGCAAGATGGTAAGTACATGATATTCCTTCACACCCCAATGATCACGGAATCGTCCCATAATGCATCACGACAAGCATCACGTTCTCCTCTGTCAATTCAGGAGTGACGTCTACTGGTGAATGCTAGATTGATTTCCCTTGACATCGCTCTTGTACGATCTCAGATCCCTCGCGGATAGATGGACTGCCTTGCAAGAATACATACTGTTTGCCCTCTTGCCTCGGTCCATTATGAGTGGATTATATGCTGACAGCGCCACAGATATCTCGTCCAGGCCACAGGTGCCACAATACAGCATACATCTGGTGTCTTCAGCGACTCGGCACATCATCGATACCTACGACATGCCATCTTTCCAATGCATCACTTCATTGAAAATCATGCCTCTAGAGATCTCCGAAAACACTCATGAACAAAAATCCATGATTGTTGTGGGCTCGGCAGCGCTCCGTGGTGAGGACATGCCCGCTCGCGGGCTTGTGACTGTCCTCGATATCATCGACGTCGTGCCTGATCCCGATAGCGAGGAGAGCGGAGTGAAGTTCTCCGTCGTCTCCAACGAGGAGACCAAAGGTGCTGTCACCGCCATCGAGTCTTTCCCGGGAGGATTGATCGGCACGGCTCAAGGACAGAAACTCATGATCAGAGGTCTGAAGGAGGACGGATCGTGTCTTCCAGTTGCATTCCTGGACGCCCAGTGCCACGCCACCACACTGAAGAGTTTACACGGGCGCGGATTGTGGCTGTTAGGAGATGCTTGGAAAGGGTTGTGGTTCGGGGGCTTCACCGAGGAACCCTACAGAATCACTGTTCTAGGGAAGAGCTCCATGGACGTCGAGGTCATCTGTGCCGAATTTCTCCCCTTTGAGGGTCAACTCTTTATCCTCGTCGTCGACAGCAACACCGACCTCCACATCCTCCAATACGACCCGGAGAACCCCAAGACCGTCTCGGGAATGCGCCTGCTGCACCGCTCTTCCTTCCACGTCGGCCACTTCCCCACCAGCATGACACTGCTCCCATCCACGCTCTCCCCCTTCACCGACCAAGAAGAGACCGTGGCCAACGGCCACACCTCCTCCGCCGACCACGCCCCGCCGCTCTTCCACATCCTCCTGACGTCCGCCTCGGGCGCCCTCGACCTCATCACCGCGCTGGACGAGAGCACATACCGCCGCCTGTCGGCGCTGCAGATCCATCTGACCGCGATCCTCGAGCACGCCGCGGGCCTGAACCCGCGGGCCTATCGCGCGTGCGTCGAAGGCGAGGGGTTCGGCGGCAGGGGCGTCGTCGACGGGAACCTCGTCCGGAGGATCTTCGAGCTCGGCACCGCCAAGCGGAGCGACGTGCTGGGCCGCGCCGCGGGAGACGCGTGGCGGCTGCGGAGCGATCTGGAAATCATCGGAGGTGGCGGCCTGGCGTACCTGTAGGGGGGTTGCGGGAAACAGGCGGACGCCGTTCTCATGTCGGAGCCGTGGCATGTGCCGTGTGCATCATCACCAGAGGTAGCGAGTCTTGATCGCACGTTTCTACTTTTGCACGATGGAAACGAAAGCTAGGATCCTGTGTGTGTGGAACTTCGTCATGGATTTCTCGTATCGATACAGTACACTCACACCACTGACTGACTGACTGACTGACTGACTGACGTGACTACTATTACCATGCCCCGTACATATTTCCCTCCACATGAAATCCATTTCCCCCCTAATGTCACGCAACCCCCTCCCGCTATCCATCCCCCAAAATGACCCGCCGCATCGACGTGCATCCATCCAGAGACTACGATTTCCAAATCTTCCACCCTTTCCGCCGGACGCTCCCGCCGCCCCGGCCGAGCTCGTCCGCCGCGTACTCGGCTGCCGGCGAACCCCTCTCGTCGTCGCCGGCGCCCCGCCGGTCATGCTGCAGCGACAGTTTCCTCAGGAAGCCGCCGGCGGCGTTGCGCGGCGGAGCCTTCGCTTCGGCGTGTGCCGAATAGGAGTGGGGGAAGAAGTCACCGCCGCCACCGCCCTGTCCGGGCGGGCTGGAGGACATGGCCTGCGGGGGAGGGAGGTAGTGGTCGTGTTGCTGCTGCTGCTGTTGTTGTTGGTATTGTTGCTCCGAGGAGAGGACGGTTCCGTTGTCGTCGTCGTCTTCGTCATCGTCGTCGTCGTCGTCTTCGTCATCGTCGTCGTCGGTGTAGGGGTCGGTGTTGGGGTTGTAGGGGGTGGCGCGGCGGGGCGCGGCTTTGGCGGCGACGGCGCGGGGGGTGGTGGTTTGCGCGCGGGTGGAGGGTTGTCGGGTGGGCAGAGTGGTGGTCGCGGCGGTGCCGATGGGTGGCGGGGAGAGGGTGAGTCCTTGGTTGTAGGAGTGATGATGGGAGGAGCGGTGCTGAGAGTAGTCGTCTTGGTCGTCGTCATAGCCGTCGTTCATTGCGATGTGGTCGCCGTTTCGTGCGGCGCTCGTACGACCGAGCCCGGCGGTGGGAGCGGTCGGGCTTGTTGCGGCGGCGGCATCGACGTGGTTCGAGGCGATGCTGACGGTGCGGCTGCCGCTGTGCTGGATGCTGTCGTCGTATTCGTAGGGATCTTGACTTGCCCGGTTGGTATTGGGGGCTTCTCTAGATCTGAAGCCTCGGAGACGATCAATCAGGCTCTTGCGGTGGCTTGAGAATCGCGCCGTGTTGAGATCGCCGGCACCCCCGTAGGCCAGTGCTGGGACGAGCAGTCTGTACGGGATTGTGGCGCCGGCAGGGTCATGCTGGTCGATTTCCATGCAAAGACTGATATCCAATCCATCCCGGAGATCGACATGCATGTCGATGCTGTCTTCTGGACCGCCCTTGGCGACTGCCTTGCGAATGGCCTTCTCCGATAAATTCGTCGGACGGCGGAGGAACGTGGGCCGCTCGAAGTCATCTTCCGATGCACCATTCGCGTTGTGGCGGGGGGCCTGAGCCCCGAGGCTATTTGCACGCTGCATCGTTGGATGGGAGGGCTGGTCTTGTGCGGCTGCGGGGTCGCGCAACGATACGGGGGGATAGGGCCTTCTCTTCGACGAGCCTGACAATCTCCGCACCAGATTCCCGGCTCGGGTCAACGACATTGTCCTCTTCATCGACCCGGGCGGGAACTTGCGATCGGCATTCGCACCGTGGCTGGCCCCGAAAGCGTCAAAGGTCGCAGCTCTGGCCGGTGGGGCTTTTTCCGGGCGGGGCGAAGGAGGTGGAGTCGAGCCCGGGACCCATTCTCTGATCATGCAGTAGTTTCGTCGTGGGAGTAGATGTCGGTTGTTGCGTCGGCTACCATCGACGTCGTGTTCGAACATCGGGATGAGGTCCTCGTCGGTGTTGTCGTCCAAATGATGGATTTTGTTCCGTTTGTTGAGCACGTCAGCCATCATGGTAGGCGGAGGCGTATTAACAATCGCCGAGCTGATGACGTTTGGCATATAACGATGATCCTTGTCCTTACGAATTCCCAATTTCTTGGCTGTGTAGAATTGGCCAACAGCGCCGAGATGGACATCACCACCGAGAATGGTGATGCGAACGCTCTTCTCCGCAGCCAACTCCTGCAGCTCCTGGATGAACCAATTGCGCTCTGCCTTGTGGTGCTTGGCGGTCCAGTGGTCGTCCAGGTCGTCGAGGATCTCCACACCGCCATCAAATTTATTGATGAAGCCACCAAGCATACCCGCACGGCCCATGGCTTTGACGGGGTCCATGACTCGGCTGGTCAGGATGTTCTCGAGGAAGTTGAGACGGGGGTACGCGATGGGCACGCCGAGCAACACGATCAAATGTTTGGTCTCACCCTTGATGATCTCGGCCCGACACCGATTGAACACATAGTCGTACGTTCCCTGACACAGGATCTCGTCTCTCCTGCGTTCCGTGCGACAATCGAGGCCCAGGAAGGCGACCTTGCGACCGAGCTTCAAGAACACACTTCGGCTTAACTGACTGATGAAAGGCCCAGGCTGACTACCAAGCAACCAGCTAGGCTCTTCTTTCTCCGTCTCTGCGACCACACTCTGGTGCTGGAAAAGCATGTAGTACTTGAAAGCCACCGCACCTAGGCCCGTGAAGATCTTCGAACCCATGAATCGCTCGGGATAACTCCCGTAGCCGTCGATGATGTCGTGGTCGTCCCAGATGTTCACCATCGGAATCTGCGAGTTGGCCATTCCGAACAGTCCCTGGGAGAACCACATGCAGTACCGCTCAAGGTAGAAATGCTCGAGCTCATGCTGCAACTCCTCAGTGAAGTCGGCGGTGTATTTGTGATCGAGGGTGGGCTTGACATGGAGCCACTGTCGGAAAAGAGTGGTGTCTCTCATCGCCGCATCGTTGTAAATCTGGTCGCCACCACCGATCATCAGGTGGAAGGGACGACTCTGATGTCTGTTGAGTACATCGCGCCATAACGGATCTGGTCCACAAAACTCGTCAGGATCGACGCTGACGGAGAAACCGTTGCAGGAATGGAACATGGCGTTCATGGTCTCGCCCCGAGCAGGCACCCAGAAGGACATGGCGGGTCCTTTGTTGATGCGATAGGCGATTCGCTGCTGTTGACTTCCCAGTTCGATTTCCACGTTGAACCGCCAAAAGGTGTGACCTTGCTCGATGTGAAGGCGGAATCCCTTTACCTCTCGATACCGCTTTGCCTTTTCTCCGTCCCGAGCTTTTACGCGGTTCTGCGGATTGACTGGCTTGCCATCTGCACCTATGGCTGGCTTTGTCCCTCGTGGGGGAACGCGCGTAGCTGCGAAAAGTCCATGGTTGGATTCTTCACGACTCAGATCGACTCCTTGTTCGATGTCATCCACAGGCCGAACATATAGGACGCGACCAGTGCGCGAGATTTTGACCTGACCTGCAAGTGGGTCCTCATGTGTAGAGGAAATGGCCTTTTCATCCTCGGAACGGTGCGACGGAGGCACGAGCAGGTCCGACGGCTGCGCGAAGATCCGCAGGACCGGTGTGCGCGAGAAGTCCGATCGTTCGTCGTGGGTCACGATCATGATACTTCCCCGCCAGACTTCCTTTGATGGGACCGTGTTTTCACGGCTGTGCCGAGCAGGTACCGCTGCTTCAGTACGAATACCAGTATAGCGGAGCAAGGGGCCACATTTGAGGAACAATCTTGGCTGGAAGCCGAGCGCGTGTTCCTCGTATGCGCCGCTGTACTGCTCAAGATCCGGCACTCCGCTGGCCCAGCTCGCGCGTGTGTGCTGATTCTTCTCCCACCATGCTGCATCGTTGGCTTCTCTGTTCGCGGCTGCGGAAGCGGCAGCTGCAGCGGCTGCGTTGGTCTGTTCGAAATAGAGATCTTCCACCGTCAGCCTCGCGATGCTCGCATGCCGCCAGTCGTCAAGCGGTTTCGAAGTGTCTTGGTAGGATCGAGATTCTGCGTGGTGGAAAAAGTCACCGAAGCGGTGGTGCTTGTGCGCGCTGTCGTCGGCACTCGGGTGCTCATCCACGCCGAAGCCCACCTGCTGTCTGGCCTTTTGTGCGGTAGCTGTCTGTGGCGGCAACGCATATTTGACACCGTTGTTCTTGGGATTCAGAGCCTGTTCTGGTGAAAGGATTCCAGCTCCGTCTGCCCCGCCGTCCGCTTTTTTCGAGCCGCCGATTCGCGATGTCTGGAGAGCGTGCTTGGTGGTGCCCAATCCTCGAGGGCCACCCGTCTCGTGCTGGTTCGGATTTCGGCCATCGTCAAGCATCCCGCCGTATCCGCCCTGAAAGCCATTGGCCGTCACCGGCGAGATGGGGCTCGTCGGTGATGGCAGCTGTTCTGCCATCTGCGATTTTCGACGCTCATACGCAGCCTTGCCCCGCTCGGCCGCAGCGTCGTTCGCGGCGCTCGCCCCATCTCGAGGACCGCTCCCGTAGACTCTTCCCTGCCGCCTTGATGGGTCTGCGGGAGCTGCGTTCATCCCCTTCGTAGTGCGCGGCGCCGATCCTGTGTCAGGGTTTGATGGTTGCCCACGTTTCGCCATCGTTGGTGATGATTGCTGCGGCGGCGAAGTGATCTGCTTGCGTACCGTCTCGCGAATGCTGTCAGTCCGATCGCGAGGGACGGCACCCTCGCTCGCTTGTCGAGAGTGTCTCGCGGCCCGATCTCGTTGGCTGTGCTCGCGCGAGACGCCGTCGCTCACGATTCGGTGTTGGTGAGTTTGCGGATTATCCTGCCCAGCATGCTCGCCGTCCGTGGAGTTCCTCACGCTCTTCTGCTGAGCTCGTTTCTCGGCTTCCGCCACTCTCGCCCGCTTCTCCTGCTTGGTCCACGATTCCAGGTGCTGCAGCGGACTCCGATCCGAAACCGATGTCCTTCTTATGCTCTCCGAGGCGTTCGATGCACCGGAAACCTGTCGTGTCTTGGGCTGAGCTGGCGGTGTGGATTCAACGATCGGCGAGATGGGGAGGTCATTCTGCGCGACGGCCGGCCCTGGTGACCATACCCTGGCGCGCAGGTTGTCTGGGACATATTCCGGATCTATTTGGGCTGGCGGCGGCTGCGGCTGCAGAGCGGGCGAGGAGAGCGCGTTCACATGCTGCGTCTGAGACAACAACGCGGAAAGGGTCTCCGGATCCGAATTCAACGTCGATCCCAAGGGCTCTGAGACTTTCGCATTCAGGGCCTGTGCTGCGGACAGAAGGTGGTTCTGCTGCTCGAGTCGACCTGTCCGAGGCGTAGTCGTGTGCTCATCAAATGGGACGGGATCTGCGCCGGCGGCTCGCTGCGAGAAGGAGCGCTTGATCGTGTCAGAAGCGCGAGGTGGTGGTTGGTAGTATTGGTAAGGACCGGGTTGATCGTCCTGGTCCAGGGCATCCGCTTGCGGCGCGATGCCGTTTCTCCACAGACCAGAGTGCCTTCGGTCGTCCATAATATTCAGACCCAAGCTGGAATAGATCTGTTCTGTTCGGTGGTGACAAGTTTGTAAGCTCCACTATGTCATAGGCGAATCTGGCGCGAAGGTACCAAACGGGCGTGGCGTGTGAACCGTTTTCAAGGCGTGGTGGAGCGCATCGCCGGTCTGAAGCGGTTGGAGCTGTGAGACATGAACAGCCAACGGTAAATAGTCGCTTGGAAGGGATCAAGGAAAGAAGACGAAAATCAATCCCGACGAGCACAAGATTTACGACGTTGACGAGCCGGGCGACGGAAGGGCATCGAAAGGAAGGACGATGGCAGGGCGGAGGTGCAGTACAGTATAGTACAGACACAGCACGACGACGAGGCTGTAGGATTCCATGCACAGTACACCATGCAGCGCTTGCTCTGCTTGTTTTGCTTGCTTGCTTTGCATACATTTTTTGGTGGTGGCTGGTCACCAATTCACCATCATCACCACCACCAATTCATCACCAATTCCCCAAATTCACCGCCATCACATCCATCAATTCTCCACCAATTCACCATCAATTCACCACCACCACCACATCCATCAATTCCCCATCAATCCACCACCCTCGCATCCCACCGCCACCACGACCTCGCCCGGGCGGAAATTGGGTGACTTCAGTACAGCGTCCATCGCACAGGACGGACGGACGTCTGTATGTATGTATGTATGTATGTATGTACACATGGGCCTCGCTGGCAATCCTGCGCGCACACACGACACGCATGTGCATGCATGGTCCCGGCCTGTCCACCGAGCGTCCTCCGCGTCACAGTCGGCGGTGGTGCTGTGGACTCGGGCTTAGCTGCACCGGGCGGCAGAGCAGCAGAGCGGAGGTCGCCCTCACGCCAGCTGCGGTTTCATTGCCATGAAACCGCAGCAATAATGTACTGTAATCGATTGAACGAAGCATTGTAGCTGGAGACATGTAGATGTAGGATCCGGGTCGGTGCAGGAGGAATGGGTGACGGTGGGACAGACAGCCACCTGCACCTGCATGCCCCGGAGGAGGAGGGATCGTCGCTGGTAAGGCTTGGCCGTTGTTGCGCCCGCCCGCCTGCGGTCGAGTAATAATCAATACAATACAATTCAATGAAAATGAATACAGTAATGAAAACAAATCCAGTTATACAATGATCATATTCATTTTCATACATACCTAGGTTAGTCATATATACCAGGTGGTAAATATACCAACCAGGTACACCTAGGTAAGGATGATTGTCGGCGGATGGCTGAGAACGGGCATCTTCCAGGCATGGCCCGGTCATAATTAGTTGCCCAGGTGGATTCCAAGCATCCCAAGCATTCCAATGTCTGTCGGAAGGGGAATCCTCTTTACTTAGCTACCGGCCCATATTACCCCCGTACCTACCTAGTAGCTGCATATCTCGGTATCTCTATATCTCCATAGACATATACAGTAAGTATGGTCTGCCCGAGGGAACGACTGACTGGCGACCAGGAAGAAAGACACGTGGGTGCGGTGCCTATTGCCGAATGATGGAAATACTGTACAATAATTACAAGGATGATATAGTGATGATAAATTGTCGCAAGTGCTGCCGTTTGGGGGACCCTATCGTCAATGGTTTACAGCACCGTGGACAGTACTGTACCTAGTATCCAAGGGAAAATTTATCATTCTCACTATGTACAGTCCAGTCCAGTCCACCGGCCGGGGCCACCTACCTCCAATCCTCATTCATGCGGAGAGCCCGTCCGTCCATCCCGTGGCCGATCTCTCCAAAAGGACACCTCCGCTTTGACAGGGCCCAGGCTAATCAATAACACATACAGTAGTAATAAATCTGCCCTATGGAGGAGACACTGTGTCGGTCCCCTGGGAACAAACACATTTTCGGCCTTTCTCTCTCTCACGATAATTCACTCAATTACACCACCACCACCACCCTGGTTCCCTGCGCACCTCTATGGACCTTGCGCGAGTATCTACGACCGAGAAGCATTGACACTGAGAGCCCGGTCTCACCCAATCCCAAGCAGTCGGCTATCCATACTTGCGCGTGCGGATCAACCTCGCCGCCGGGAGGCAGGCACTCACATACACGATGAAGTGGCCAGGTCTACTGCCATTGCTGCTCGCAGTCGCGCCCGGCACCGCCTTCAAGCGCGATTACGATGCACATGATTACTACGCCGTCGAACTTCAAAGGAATGTAGATCCCCAATCCGTTTCCGACCAGCTCGGACTTCACTACGAAGGGCCCCTGGGAGAGCTGCCCGACCACCACATATTCCGCACGGCTGAACGCCAACACGATTACGATCACATCAGATCCGAGAAAGAAGCGCTGAGAATGAGACGGAGGAAGAGGGAGGCCGGGTCGGAGGAACCGCATTTCCTCGATGACATCCTATTTACTGAGAAACAAGATTTGAGCAAGAGGTTCCCGCTCGTGAAGCGGGGTTTCATGCCCGTGGAAGAGAGGGCACTCGACGGTCTCTCTCTGGCTGACGTGCCGAGCGTTTCGGCCGTGGCCGAGGGCCTCGTGATCGCGAAACAGCTTGGTATCGCGGATCCTATCTTCCAGGATCAATGGCATCTACACAACTCGATCCAGATTGGACACGACATCAATGTCACCGGCGTGTGGTTGCAAGGCATCACCGGCAAGAACTCGACGGTATGCATTGTCGATGACGGTCTGGACATGGACAGTGACGATCTCCGGGACAATTATTTCGCTCAAGGCAGCTATGACTTCAACGACCAGGTCAAGGATCCGAAGCCGCGACTGTCAGATGACAGGCATGGGACGAGATGTGCTGGCGAAATCGGTGCGGTCCGGAACGACGTCTGCGGCGTCGGCGTCGCCTACGACAGCAAGGTCGCCGGAGTTCGTATCCTCTCCAAGGCCATTTCGGATGCGGATGAGGCGCTCGCGATGAACTATGCGTTCCAGGAGAACCAGATCTATTCTTGCTCCTGGGGACCGCCAGACGATGGCAGAGCCATGGACCGACCCGGTATCCTGATCCGAAGAGCGATGCTCAATGGTATCCAGAACGGTCGAGGCGGTCGCGGAAGCATCTACGTGTTTGCTATCGGCAACGGAGCTGCGAACGACGACAATTGCAATTTCGACGGATACACCAACAGCATCTATTCGGTCTCGGTGGGCGGCATCGACCGGAAAGGACTGCATCCGTACTACAGCGAGAAATGCTCAGCGCAGCTCGTGGTCACCTATTCCTCCGGCTCCGGCGATGCCATCCACACCACCGATGTGGGCAAGGACAACTGTTACGCCAGCCATGGCGGGACCTCCGCTGCTGGACCTTTGGTTGCTGGAATCTATGCGCTCATGCTCGAGGTCAACCCGAGCCTCGGCTGGCGTGACTTGCAATGGCTGACCGTCATCACGGCTGTCCGGATTGACCAAGAGAGCGACTGGCAGCTGAACAAGCCGATGAACAAAGAATTCAGCCATCAGTTTGGGTACGGCAAAGCCGACGCCTACGCTCTGGTCGAGGCTGCCAAGACCTGGATCAACGTCAAGCCCCAAGCCTGGTACTTCAGCCCCTGGCTCCACGTCCGAACGGATATCCCACAGGGTGATCGGGGGTTGGTGTCGCATTTCACCATCACGGAGGACATGTTGACGAAATCGAACTTCGAACGCCTGGAGCACGTGACCGTCACGATGAACGTCGAGCACACCCGCCGTGGCGATTTGTCCGTCGAGCTTCACAGCCCCAGCGGCATGATTAGCCACATCGCGACCCACCGCCGCAACGATGGAGCGCACTCGGGATACCAGGATTGGACATTCATGAGTGTGGCTCACTGGGGCGAGTCGGGTGTCGGCACATGGACCGTTGTGGTCAAGGACACCAACATCAACGAATACCGTGGCGCCTGGGTCGATTGGCGTCTGAAGCTGTGGGGAGAATGCCTCAACGCGGACAACCAGCCGCTCCTCCCGATGCCCACGGAGCACGACGATGACGACCACGATGACGACCACCCGGAGGGCGCGCATACCCAGACCGCCACCGTGGGCACGACTTCCGTCGCCGTGCCCACGGAGACAGGCCTGCCTGCTGGGAACCCCTCCGACCACATCGACCGTCCCTCCAAGCCCCAGGTCACGGACGAAGCCACCGCCGTCCCGACGACAACCGCCGCGGCCACCACGTCGGAGACCGCACCTCCACCCCCCGCCCTGACCCAGCCGGCCGTCGCGGACGAAGAGGAGAAAGGACCCGCCCCGGTCCCCACCACCCCGGCCTCCTCGTCCTCCGACAACCTCTTCCCGCACCCCTTCCCGACCTTCGGCGTCAGCAAAGGCACCCAGAAGTGGGTCTACGGCTCCATCGTGCTCATCTTCATCTTCCTGATCGCGCTCTGCGCCTTCTGGGTCTACATGCGCCGCAAGAAGCGCTGGATGAGCCGCGACGACTACGGCTTCGAGATGATCGACCACGACGACCACGACGACCCCTCCGGCGGGGCCGCCGCCGCCGGGAAGGCCGGCAAGGGCAGGCGGCAGCGCGCCGGGGAACTGTACGACGCCTTCGCGGAGGGATCCGACGACGAGGCCGAGCCGTTCGACCTCGGGGAGGACTCCGAGGAGGAAGGCGACGGCGACGACGATGATGAGGAAGGGGACTCCCGGACGGGGGAGAAGCGGGCAGATGAGCGGTACCGGGACCGTGAGCCGCTGAGGCAGGGGACGGATGTCGAATAGGGCGGTCGCGAGAGGGTAATATGATGAGGGGGCGCGGCGATCTTCGCATCGATCAGGGACCGCTTATTTTCCGGTCCCGGCTGTATTTTGCATACTCATGTAACCTTCTGGAGCATCAGGAAGGCCTCGCTTGGATTGGACCTTGGATCCCCAAGCGATCCGATCACTTAATCTGTTTGACAACTCTACCACGTCGTCCCCCTTCCTTTCCGCCGGTCGGTTCAACGCCACCGCTTAATGATAGAGACCGCGATCCAAAACCCTATCACAAATAATATTCTAATGGGGCTTGGTCCTGCACATCGCGATTCGCACTCTCTGAAGTCAAGGCGCACAGTTCGGGTGCCGAGGCTTTCTTACCTAGGTGTGAAACCATGAATCTGTCCATCACGGAAGGAGCAGCAATCAGCTGCAGACATCAAGCTCCTTCGTGTCTTAGTAACTTGATATCCGGTGAACTCTACGAGGAACGCGGGACCGTCTTCGGCGCTGAAAATGCCTTCGATTTGGCACTCGAATGCTGCATGGAAACGGAGCAGGCGTAATTTCGATCCTGGCTGGGTTTCGCGGGACACCCTGTTGCGCACAGGTCGATCGATGTGATGATCAGACTCTTCATCGTCCTTCATCAGGTGGAGCATGACCATGCCGTCCGTCACAGCATCCTTGAGGTCCGCATCGGCAAGTCTATCTACAAGGATGTACGCATCTGCGGTCCTTACCCACGGTTCTTCGTCCTCGAGCTGCTCTTTAGGGCCCATGCCGAGCACGATCCTGCGCTGGTGTATCCAATTCGCGGAAATTTCGAATACCCCGGGATGGACGTCGACCGGTTTGACGGCCCGTGTATCGTTCCCAAGCCAGCCGTCTCGCAACGCGCGACGGAAAGAAGTCGGAATTGTCGGCCAAGCGCGTCCTGTCGATGTGGAACAATGTTTGCGACGATCCCACTCCAATATTTATTGGGTCGGATGAGAAACTGGTTTGGCATTCGGTTAGGCATGGTCGGTTCATGCGGACAGGGAACTTGGATACTTGATGGCGTTACCAATTGGCACCTCGCAATGATAGAAACCCATCCTTCCGATGTCTCCACGCTTCCTCATCTTGTTGCTTAAGAACAGGGATATTTCTCTATTCGGTGCCGATCAAGACTTCTTGACTCATCGACTTGGAACCGGCGGAAGTCAAAGAAGATTATCGTAGCCTGCCATTAAAGCACGCGGTATGCCAAAAGACAGCGACAACGGTCTGTCATTGAAAGGGCGATGCCAGAACTTGAGGGAAAAAACGTAGTGCGCAGTCGGGACTTGGCATATCAACACGGGCACCAAGATCAAGTAACTATGTGAAAGCAGAGTGACAAGGCTTTGATCAAGAGAACCTTGGAGGCCGGGCCCGTGAAAGCCTATGTCAAGTGAAATATGCAGATCATAATTCCGCAGCACAAGATCGAGGGATTCTGGGGTTTTCCCACGCATGGAATGTTGCAAATAGCATAATGGTCAGAAGTAGAAATAGAGGTGACCATGAGCAGCCCGGAAGTCTTCGTACTTTCCAAAAATGCTATAGAGATTTGCTTGTAAACAGGCAGAACATTGAAAAAGGCAGAACATTCTCATGTTCCAAAAGGCTGTTTACACTCATGAGCTCGCATTATTCTCAATACCACGCCTTGTGATGTAGAATGACCTAGGAAGGTTCCGTGTCGTCCACAATGGTGAGATGACCTCAAACGCGCGCTGAAGCCATCGCGATAGCAAAGCAATATCGCACCGATGGCCACCAACTCTTGAAGTAAGATGATAGTTATGAGTGCGAAAACGAACACTCTCACATGGTCGGCGGACACGCTTCGCCGCGCAGAACGCATCTGCACAACTTCGAAGGCTAGCAAACCATCGCTGTTTCCATATCAACCATGCCGTGCGGAGCTTATTCACAGATCTGTACGGTTCATCAGCTCTAGCGGCCGAATGAAGTCTCTCAATCCTAAGCAACGTGGAGAGACACAGCACGATACTTTATGCGATAACAGTTCTCAGCTCCCTCGGCGTGCTCATGGAACACGCAGCGAGCGACAGCCGCGATGGTCGACTCAGTGGGCCTAGTGAAGGTATATTGGGCAAACTCAAACCAGAAGCGGGGATGGTCGTCTTCTCGAACTCCATCCTGAGAAGTGCAAGCTTCGTGTACAAGAAGCTTTCGTATTGTGGAATCTGCAGCTGTCTTCTTGTGTGGAGAATTTATGAAGGAAGGGTGCGATCTCGACAAATAGTCGCCCTCATGACTGATAGTCATGTTGTTTGCCAGGATATCGCAGACAGCATCTTTGGAAATCATGGTCATGAAGTTTGTCACCGAGGACGTAGGCTTTCAGTATGCGATGATCCGGTTCTGGGTCCCCAGGTCTTCCTCTGGTCCATAGCAAAGCATGATTCGCCGAGAATGTAACCAATTCAGGTAGATATTGAAGATCTCTGGATCATCGTCAGGTAATTTGAAAGTACGCGTCTGGACCTCAGTCCACTCTCCCCCAAGACCAGCCCTGAAGAATCCCGAATTGGTTGTCAACGTGTCCCTGTTCACATGATATGTCGCTGCTGGAACTTCGACTTGAATTTGGATTGGCGGTCTTGCATAGCTGTAGATTTATATCAGCTGGACCGCATGGAGGAATTTGTGCTGTTCAATTTGCACCGCTGGCTTACTCGATAGCATTGGTGAAAGGCTTTCCACGGTGAATGAAAGACTCTCTCATGCTTTGGTCTCGAAGATGAATCGATCTGTATAAAGGTAGCTTTGTGCAAGAGGCAAGAACTTGGACCAGCAGCCGCACGAAGTGCAATCGTTGTGTGTATGCGTTTGTCGGCGAGTTGAAGGATCTAGCAAACTGGCATATGATAGAGGCCGCACCAATCAAGGAAATGTGATTGAACATTTGGTGTGGAAGGGTTGTTCACATGGCTTCACCTACTCACATGTGAACAGCCGACACCTTGACCTACTCATCATCGCCACTGTCGCCTTCATCGGACTTGATGTCTTTGCGACGCGGCTGATATCCTTCAATTGCATCGAACGCCGCGTCGAGTTCGCCATCAAAGCCTGGAGGTCTGGCACGAGTCGACGACACGGTCTTCTCAATGATCCCATCGGCTAGAATCTGACCTGGGCGGAACGAATGAACATTCTCGCCACGTTCAGCTGCAAGCTTCTCCAATTGACTCTGCGACTCGACTTCTTTACGCCAAGCATCTACCCTGACGGCTCGATTGGCCCGCCGCACTGCAGTAGCCTCTGGAGATCGCAAGAACTCCTCCAACACTTTTTGGTCATCCTGGTGAAGTTGAACTTCAGGCTTATAATTGGCCGACCGTTCCCACGCTGGAACGCTGCTGAGCTGAGCTTTGACGTATAGTCCTTTCCTCGCACACGCCTCGCTGCACCAGTTCGAGGCGCCGGGAGTGAGCTTGAGCATCAAGGACTCTCGCCGAGGAGCCTTGGAACATAATGCATACCCGCATTTACCATCGACGTGCCGCTCTTCGATGAGGCTATCGAAATCGGATGGCTGAAACAGGACTACGAGGGTAAGAAACTTAAGCGCTTCCTGTGGAGTAAACTCTGCAGATGAAGGGATGTCAATCAAGGTGGTGATGTGATCTAAAATCTTTGCTTCAGCGTCTTTCTGGTTTTGGATCTTATGTGCATGTCTCAACGCGATGTCGAGATTGCGTTTGTCCTTCTGAGCTTGTGTCTCCTGCTCATTCGAAGGTACAGAAGCTTTCGCGATCGACGGCTGCTTGAGTATAGAACTTGCAGGAATTCTTGTATTCATGTTGTCTTGGTGATGTCGAATGTTGTACTCGCTGTGACCTCTCCACTAGGGTTGTCTGAAATACGAGGATGACGATCACTGGTGTTGATGCCTGGGGCGACAATCTCCACGATGGCAACCTGTACCAGCATGACCTGCATTCGTCATACTCAGGCGGGGACCCTCGAATGGACGAATGGCTGCTGCATGAACGCTCCTGCCAGCAAGACACTGCATACAGGTGACAACTTCGAAAGCTTGCGATCAACCGCCTGCCCTACACCGTTTGTCTCATTTAATTTCGAAGTGCCGCGATCGCAACACAACATCGCTTATACCGCCCACACTTCCGCTGCGAGCTTTGTTCCGCAGGTGGGCTGAAACGAGCCAGAGACAGCGTGGATTGCCAGAACACCTACTCGCGCCCACTAAGTGTGGCGCGTCACTTCCTCGCCGCAAGGGAATAGCTCAAGCCAAGTCTGAAGCCTCATATCGTCACTTGAGATAGCTGGCGCTCAAGCCCGGGCACCTCTGCAAGCATGGCGAGCCTCTTCAAGGTGAAGGCGCTGTACGACTTCGAAGCAAAGGAGGAGGATGATCTCGGCTTCCCAGGAGGACAAATTATCGATGTGACCGAAGTTGTAGACGACAACTGGCTGGAAGGCAAATATACGGATACCGATGGGAACATTCAGTCTGGTATCTTCCCTCGCGAATTCGTGGAGAAATATGAGCCGCCGTTGCCAGCGCGACCCACTCGGCCAGCACGAAAGCAAGAGACAGGAACACCACAGCCTCCGCAGAACATTTCGAATCAGACCGAAGAAAAGGAGGTAGACGGCGAAGAGACGGAAGCACCGGCACCCGTCTCAGCACTGCCGGCAACTGCATCACTTCCGACAAGAAGCACAGAAGATGCACGGCCATCGAACCCAAGAACAACCTCACAAGCAAGAGAGCCTCCCACAGCGGCGGCTCCAGTAGCCACACAGAGATCTGTTCCAGATGAACCAGCTGCGAGCACGACCGCAGCTAAGAAACCTCCACCGGTCGCAGCAAAATCTAACGCTTTCAAGGATAGAATTGCGGCGTTCAATCAGAGTGCAGCCCAGCCACTAGTCCCGATGATGCCTGGAAAGCCTCGCGCGAATGACTTCATCAAGAAACCGTTTGTTGCGCCGCCACCTAGCGCTTCGGCGTACGTGCCGCCGCCAAAGATCGAGCCTGTCGTCAGGCCATACCACCGAGAGGAGGATCCTGAGATCATTAGAAAACAAGAAGAGAATCATGCAGCTGCCGAAGCAGCTGGTTTGACCAATGATGGCCCGACTGAAGGTGAAGATGTACCGAAACCGACAAGTTTGAAAGAGAGGATTGCTCTGCTACAACAACAGCAGTTGGAACAAGCGCAGAGGCTAAGCTCGAAGCCGACCAAGAAAGCGCCAGTGAAAAAGCAGTCCGAAAGTTCAGAGTATGATCAGGCTAACGAGGAAGATGAGGCTCTGGCGGAACAGTTTCGGAGCAGGGAGCCGACAAAGAGACAGTCTGTGGATATCGCTCGTGAACGACCTCGAATTCCCTCGGCACAACGCCGGCCAGCTGACAACATCGCATCCTTACCAGTTCCTGAACATGACATCGTCAGTGACGGAAATGAGGCAGATCAATCCGCTGCTGGCGAGACTACTGAGGATGATGCAGACACAATCGGACCTCAAGATGACGATGACGACGACCGGGAGGTGCCCGCACCGTTGTCTGCTTTGCGCGCACCTGGTGCACCTAAGCATGAAGCAGACGTTGGCGAAGAGGAGGGCGCAGTGGAGACCGGTGATGAGGAACAGGATGAGGAGGAAGAAATCGACGAGGAGACCCGCCGCAAAATGGAGCTCCGAGAGCGGATGGCCAAGATGAGTGGTGGGTTTGGCATGCCCGGCATGATAAATCCTCTTGCTGGTTTACCCAGGCGAGCTCCACCCCCAAAGAAGACTTCCACGAACTCAACCGAGGATGCCGCGATGTCATCTCCGCCATTGCCGCAACACCATCCACGCATTCCCGTAATGCCTATTCCGGAATTGCCAAAAGTGGCCAGTCCTCAGCCCGAAGATCCCGAAGACGAAGAAGATGAAGAGCAAGGAAATCAGATTCCGCTTCCGATACGACGCTCAATGGCTGAAGAGCGCCCTGGTGCGCCACCAGTGCCTAGAGGTAAGAGATCCGAGACTGACATGGATGCTGTGATTATTTTTCAAAAAAGCTCGTGACTGAATGTTGAGCGCGTAAACTCCGCTTTCATTCATGAATAGCCAGAGAGAGATGCTCAATGTTCATCGAGTCGGCAGCATTGAGTTGCAAGCGACAAAATTAAGCATACATCATCGTCATCCATGGTTTGGAAGTCCACGTGCAGAACAAAATTGCTGACAATTTGCTAGATTCCCGGCCGCCACCCGTACCACAACGCGATCTCAGTTCACCGCCTGCTGTCTCTGCTCCCAATTTGCCGTCCGGTGCGGGAACACTACCAGAGGCTAGGCCGGTTCCTCCTCCGCCACAGGCCGCAATTTCACCCGGACCGGGATCTGAGTCAGATGATGAGGCTTCAATTCATGCTACTTCCGTCGCTGACGGTCTCGTGGCGTTACCTCCAAGGCCGCCCTCGAACAGGATGGCCCCGCCGGTTCCCATTTCGCAAGCACCGCCACTGCGCACGCCGACCTCGACCGACCACCATGAAGCACCCTTCTACGCCGAGAACACCAATGAAGTTGGCACATCGGTGTCTGAGAAGAGGGCGAGCCGGGTGCCTCCTCCGATCCCAAGCGGCGCGCAAGCAGCAGTCTCGCGCCCACCACCACCACCGCCACCAGGCACCCTCAGTCGTCGCACTACAGACCTTTCGCTCGCAGAAGAGCAAGGGAGGGGTGAGAGCGACTATGAGGGTGATTACGATACTGATATCGCCTCGGGTGCAAACCATAAAGAAGCACTCAAGGCGCACCTGCGGGAATCAAGTATTGATGATGGTAGCACAGTTGCAGACGAGCCGCTCAGCTCGCCAATCCTGTCGCCTCGTGCTGTACCACCGCCTCCTCCACCACACGATACCCGTAAATCCGTCGACGTCACGCGAGCGCCGCCCCCAATCCCTCCCTCAAGGGCTGATGATTATGATCCCTATCGCGCCGATGAGATCCGATCTCCACCGCCTGTTCCGACCTCTGCACCTACCGCACCACCGCCGCCACCACGGTCCTATGAGGTGGAGGAGAGCTCGGCCGATGATGAGGATCTTCCGACATCGAGACCCTCTTTGGATATCCGGCCACCACCGCCGCCGCCGCAAGCTGCCCCACCACAGCGACAAGGCTCTGTCTCAGCTCGAGCTGCTGCCCGGCAATCCTTAGACGCCAATCGCACACTCACGGCAGCTTCATTGGCTCCAGAGGCAGCTAGTCCAGGCGGTAGGACATCGCTTGATGTCTCGCGCTCCGCCACTGTGCGGCGGTCCGGCGAGCAGTCTAGACCATCGTTCGAGGGCTCCTCCATCGCCGCAGAAATTCCTCTCGATGAGGATACGCCGTGGTGGACAGCGTCACAGCCTCTGCCGCCCGTGCTGCAACCTCGTCGTAACATTGATATTCTGACGGAGATGGAAGAATCCACTGCGACGAAACGCGGAGGCCAATCTGTCGTGACGAAAAACATCTATATCCTCTTCTCGGATTACAGCGAGACCACCATTTCTGCGAAATACGATCCTCGAGCACCACTCGAGTGCGAGTTGCAGCAGGACCATAAGGCGGCTCCGGCGAGAGCTCGCCAGGACCAACTTGAGTCGTACTGGCAACGCTTCGGTCGTAGCATCGCCGATAAGGCTGATGCGCTCGCACATGGCGGCAAGAAAGATGCAGCTGTCGCTGGAGATGGAACCCCTACTGGGTTCGTCGCCGAGCTCATCAAAGCGCATACCGACGCTCTCCAACCCGTGGGCGTGAAGAGTTACGGCGCCTTGGTATACGCCAATCTCGGCAATGCCACCACTCAACAATTCGATGAGATCCGCCCCGGTGACATCGTCACCCTCCGCAGCGCCAAGTTCGAGGGCCACCATGGCGCCATGAAGACGAAATACCGCCAGGAGTACGGCGCCAGCCACGTTGCTGTCGTCGAGGAATGGGATGGTACCAAAAAGGCGATCCGTATTTGGGAGCAAGGTCGTGAAGTCGCAGATGGCAAAAAGGACAAGAAAACTGCTGGCATCAAGAGCGATAAGCTGCGGCTGGCGGACCTCAGGAGTGGTGAGGTGTTGGTATGGAGAGTTGTCGGGAGAGATTACGTCGGATGGTAGAGGGTAGGTGAAGCCCCGATCTGAGATCTTGACATGAGTGGAGTATCAAAATCATCGTCCGGGCTCAATGACCCGGCACAGCTTTCAGGCCAGTTTTTGTCTTATTGTGCAGTTTTCGTACTAGAATAAGATGTTGACCTCAACGCATTTGCCATCTCTTCATAGCGCCACCACCCTTCGTTGATCCTGCCGTGAATGGTGTATGCTCGAATGCTACAGCGCCTGTGAGCAAGGGCTCAATTCCTACAACGATCGCCCTGCGACAAAGACGGCCAACTATCCTAGCTGCCAACCCCAAACGCACTTCAAGCATCCAAATTTGATCCTCCGCCGAGACACTCCGACATGCCGTTGCCCGATTCTGTTCGCTCTTGAATCGAACACGAAGTCGCTCGAGAGATGTTACGTCCACGGTAGCATATCGAAACCGAAGGCGTTCCTTGTAAGTCGAACATGAATAGCAGACATGGAGAATGCGTCAGTTTTCAATTCAATGAATTGTGTAAGGTGATTTTAAATCGTGCGTCTGCGCTGCGTGTCATTTCTGAGCGACACACGACCCGGAGTCTGTCCTTCTGCGTAGGCGTGCATCTCTCGGGCGGATCGAGATGGAGTCAGGCTCTATTTCACAAAGTATCGAGCACTCTGGACCGATGAGAAAGACCATCGAATCTATGGCTCAATGCGACGGCGAGGCTTCACGCTGATGTCCCCCAGACTCAGTACTATGGACCGCGGTCGAACAATTGTGTGAGATCTGTCCCGAGCCAGGGAGGCGCTTACCGCCGCTCGGTCTCGTGTGCTTCTTTTGTGTCTCGCGCGCTAGAGTCGTTGCGCGAGTGCGATGGAACGACTTCAGTGATCGAAGACAGGATAGAGCAAGTTCAGGTACAAAGTGGGACCGCTCGTGACCATTTGCCTCCTACAAACCGCGGTGGAGAGTCACCTTGGAGTCGACTTATGTACTGGACAGACTGGATCGTGGCTTGCCCGATCTCGTCTCGTACGTCCGTTTGGATCCAGAAGAGAGAGAGAGGGTCTACGACAAGCACCTTTCCACGCGAGGTCGAGAGTCGGGCCATCTCGAGAAGACTCCTCGAAAAGTGGGAATGGTGTTGACCCTGACAGACGGACGATGCTCCTCTCCAACCTCCTCCTTCCCAACGAAGCATCACGATTGTCCCATCGACGCCGCTCCCAGGAGTCCTTCCACGTGACACGACATCGCCGCTCTCGCACAGCTATACCCACTCAACCTTCATGCAGCGTAACCCAATGGGATTCCCAAATAGAGTGTACACAACGCTACCACTTCCCCCTCGACGCCGTACGGCCTAGCTGTGGATCGGGGGTCCCATTTCTTTGTGCACGAAACTGATCATGACACAGGATGATCCCAGTCGAGTGCGCAAGCAGAGGATGGCGTTCTAGTCGCAGTCTCACACGATCCTGGACAGCGAATCTGGGCGAGACGCGAGGGGTGGTACAATGGCTATCCGGGTGTAATGGTATCTGGGTATCGAGTGCTACGTGGTATTCGATGTTCTAAGCGGTGAGAGTATATCGACGAGGGAGGGCTGGGGCTGGGCAAGTCGCAGGTGGTGTGGCCTCCTTACTGTCCAGAGAAAATGGCTGGGCAGTCCTAGGGATGGTGTGGCCTCCCTTTCCCGACATGGCCGAAGTGACTTGACTTGCTCGGCCGATACTGGGAGGGGTTTCTTTGTATGAACCACTTTATATCGTAGTAGATCACAGTGCTTCTTCTCAACCGCACAATTGTACTTGCATACATGTGCGGGATGGGCATCGAAAGCGCTTCCACGGGTACGACATCAGAAATCAGAGATGGGTAGTCAGTGGATCGTCTCACGAGAGGACAAAGAGACACGAAAAGCACGACAGGATGGGGATCGAGGCTCTATGGTCTCTGGTGTACACGAAGAGAGCATCCAAACCGCCTCGAATCCTTATCGCATTGGAGACACTGGGATTGGGCAAACATTTGTAAAGGGTCAGATCAGCTGCTTCTGGGATGATCCCTGGTCTGAAGACTCGCCTTTGTGGAGCAAGTGGAGATCATGACACGGACTAAAATTCCCTCCACTGCTTCAGTCTGCTTGGACTCATATCGCGTTCGTCACATCCGAGAGAGACGTCGCGACCAAGGTACCCTCAGGCGCCCGGTCCTCAGAAGCCCGGCACAGCAATCGCATCAGACTGTAATTTGTTTCTACGTCAGGCCGCAAAGCAGAGAGAGAGAGAGAGAGAGAGAGAGAGAGGGATACCGGGAGCAGACGGGGAAGAGCCTATCAGCATGCAGCCGTCTCGATTTGCGAAGTGGTGAGAGAAATGAGAAACAGGTCCCATCCCGGCAAGGTCAGCAGCGACGAAGCTTGATATACGTTACAGGTATCGCGATGTACACATGCAGCACGTAGCCTCGCGTAACCGAAAGTACTCTCGGTGGCGTACACACAGACGGACTTTCCCCAATCACACCGCTGATTCAGCGCGACACCATCCTCCCGAGTTGAAACAGACCTCGATCTTGTCGGCTTTCGCATGCCCTCCCAAGGGACAATCCGTGTGTCGATGATGTTCGAATGCAGCCGCCGGCGTCGTGAGCCGCCCTAATGCTACATTTCTCCCGATGAAGCACTAGGACGGATTGGGCACAGGCGGCTACAGGACAGAGACAGACAGCAATGATCAGCAGTCGAGCAGCGGCAGTGTGATCGGATTCCCATGCAGGATGGAGCGGGCAGTCAGCAGCCGATCGGCCTGGACCGGATTCCCGTCGCGGAAGCTCCCCTATGCATTTAGCCCTGCAGGCGCTAGTAAATAAGAAGCGGGACTTGTCTTCGGTACAGGGACATGCATGGGAGACAGGAAGGAAGGAAGGAAAGTGGAGGGGCAGGGCAGGGCAGGGCGGAGCAGGGGTGGCCTCTTATCCTGAATTTTCGAGATCGGCGGAGATTGTCGGAAGACTCGGGATTGGGTGTTTCTGGAGAGCAGTCTCTGCCTCGCTCTTATGATTCGTGAAGACGATCGCGAATCGCGGCGAGGAAAGAATGCTGTTCATCCTCCTCTCTGTGGGAAAAAGTTGGTTGGAGAGAGGTAGACGTTGGTGTTGGTGAAGGTTCAGCACCACAAGTGCAGGCTACAGATATACGCCGTAGACATTCCACGAGTTGGGCCCGGAAACAGAACGATAGTAAGGAAGCTTATCGTTCAGGAAGATGCGATGGACCACGTGTGGAAGCTGCTGACCGTATAGGTCCAACAATACAGTAAGAGGATCCGAGTGCCCACCTCGAGTCTGCATCGTCATCGCAGGCGCAATATACGGAGACAGCAACAGCGGTGATGACAGTGCCTAATTAGGTGCTACGCATGCACGCTCGGAAGCTTGAAAGTTTGTCGATTCAGGTTCCGAGTTAAATTTGTAGGGATTTGTGTATGCAGGATGACCGTAGTGGTAATCGACGAAGAGACACTCTGTTTTGCGGTCCGTCGATGATGCAGCGGTCCGGGCTGCAGCAGTACCAGTAGTAGCAGCAGCAAAGACCGCGGCGGCGAGCCAAGAGCAGCAACCCCGCCAACCTCCAGGGCCTGTGGAATGAGCGAAATGATCGCTTGTTGCGTCCACCTCCATACGGTCGCTGCGGGCTGTGCGGCGCAGCATCAGACAGAAAACGGTCGGAATGCCGGATCGCATCTGTGCAGTGACGGTTGGACATTCACAGTTCGCTGTAGCGTTGATCACGATGAAGTGACGACCTTCTGTCGCTCGACGTCCATGCAGGGAGCAGATGTGCCCAGAAGACAAACTCGCCTAACATTCCGATATAGCCGGGTTCGCTCGGAGTGAAGCGTTGGCTGCGCCGCTCCCCCGCAACGAGAGAGAGAAAGACATATCACGCGGGACTGGGCAATTCCATTACGATGATGGTCGAAATTGTGATGGACCGTATAGGGACGTGCGGCAAGCGACAAGGAGGAGGGCGATAGGACGAGGAGTTAGGGGGGAACGAGAACATGTATCGTCTACTCGGCCAGGCCCAATGCAAACCATGTAGCGCCGATGAGTTCCTCTCTATGACAGAGCAGATAGGTTCTGCGCCGCCCTCAGTAGCCTTCGTGATGGAGTTTGCAGACTAGGGCACGATGCTCCAGGGCAGTCGTCCATTACGTGAGAGAATCATGCTGGCATGTTCCCCTGTCGAGAGAGGGTTCACCTACCTAGGTATCGTGATAATGCGCGATGTTTCTTTGATCATGGCAGGCGATGGAGGAGGGAGACCGGACAGAACCTGTCCGTGCGCGTTGCGACGGCGCTAGCGCGTTCCTCGCCGCGCATCGCATCTCACACACACCTGGCACTCTACAAGTTGTCGCGTCGTTCGATGTCCCATGTTCTCCTCGATTGTGGCGAGCGTCGTTGCTGTCAGGCAGGCCGCATTCCCGGAGGATCATCTGGGGCTCGAATGAGGCCTGCACTGCACCATCTGCTCACCGGTGGCTCGGTGTGGATGCTCACGAAGGTTTTGTCAATGCCAGCGCCCAAGTTCAAGCAGCGCGGACCTGAACGGCGGCCGTTGCGCGCATGCCACGGCCACGCGAGTCCCAAATATTAGTCCCGCCCGGTATGTCTCGCAGCGGCAGTAGGGACGGCGCGGACGACGCGACCTGTGAGCGAGGCCAAGTATAGCAGCTCGGAGAATTTCCAAATTTCTCCCTGTCTTCGCTCGCCGCACTGGCCCTGGACTGGCGAGGTTTCGTGGCTGAGAGTGCAAGCGCGATGCGTAGATCCGGTGAAAGCAGACACCGCGCAGTGACCTGTGCCTTGCTTCCCGTTTGCTTCACGTGGGCTGCAAGCGGGTCTCGGAAGATTTACACTAGCATGAGACAGTGCCTCTGATCGAACGTACCACGGCGCAGGTACGCCCGGCTTCGATTGAGGCAAATGCTGTTCTTCGGATGATCCTCCAACGCATCCGTGGCTCCGCAGTCGCATTGTCAAAGGTATCGGGCTACGATGCGAGGTGTGGTAGACAGCAGCAGATTCGTGACGTGGTATTCGCCAATTCGACGACTAGATCAAGCCCTTGACCGCACAGTCTTGTCAGAGAAGAACGGAGAGACGGAAGCAAGCGGCAGCGTGATCATGGTGCATGCATTTGCAGAAGTATCGTTTGCTTGACGCCACGCAGGCCACCACACGTATACCCGCATGCGATCGAGTCATGCGAGCCTTAGGCGTCGGAATTTCTTATTTAGGTGCCGAGAGGAGTTTCCACACGGGCTTGTTCACGCCCTGGCTGTTTCACCTTCACGCATGTTGGTATTGATCATCAAACTATAGCGAGTGACGGCGTCCTCGTTGGAACCGAGAGTGGAAATACCTGCATATCTAGCACGCGATGACCAAGCGCCATGTCTCCCGGAGAGGAGAGAGAGAGCGAGAGATGGTCGTGTCAAAAGTTTGGGGTGGTTTGGAGAGGTTTGAAGAGGTCGACAATTGCGGGGGGGAAAAGAGACCTGCCGGTACTTGATCTGTACCTAGGTAGCATGGCCGGCCAGGATTAGACGCAGAGGCAGGCCTTTTTTGAATTAGCCCGCTGGAGTCCGCTGCACTGACTTTGGGCCCCCAGAAAAATGCAACGCACCCTTGCGCCCATCCCTTGCTTCGCGGCGCGTTCCTTCCTTTCCGTGTCAGCACTGATAAATGTGCTGACGAAGATGATTGGATGCTTTAGCAGGTGAGAAGTGTATGCACGACACCGGTGCAGATGAACATTTCAGCAGTCTGAGCAGGCGAATGAGGTGAAATTGCTGCGATCCTGATCTGGGACCCGCGATGATCTGAGCAGAAAGACGATATCACCTGGGCATGTGTCAATGTCCACTGCTCCCCACCATCCGATCATGAGCGTCAAGCAACTCTGCGGATGTTGGCCGGGAGCTTGACTCAATGAAGAAGGTCTTCTTCCACCCTTCCAAATTACTCTTCATAACAAACAATAATAATAATAATAATAACGCCTGCAGGTGAGCATGAAAGAACTCGTGATAAGACTGAGGGTGTTGTCTTGTCCTGTGATGGCACCAATGGAGGGGCGACAAGCGACCGGGCCAGAAAGAGTGTGGCGCGTCCAACCTCCAGCCCAAGTGCCGACTTGAGGCGTTCGCATATGCAAGTGCCAACACCTACCAACTTTTCTCTCCTTTGTGCATTCCAATGTCGATGATCGTTCTCCAACTTCGTCACATCACATCATGAGACCCGGCCGAGTGCCGGAGCAGAAAGGACAAAATACGTGGCGGGTTCTAATTGTAGCTTGACTAGACATTTAGCCGAACCTTACTCGTCCAGGTGGACTTATTGTCAGTCATCGCGCCTCAATACTGACTTGGCCACACCTTTGCACCATGACATAACCCAGTTCAACTTGCTACTAATCGATCGCTGTCCCATGAAGCCCCATGTATGACGAGGTCATCAGACGGGCGTGTTGTCGATGAAGTTGTCCACCATCTGCCCCTCCTTGGCTCCACACTTTGCCAGGATCCAATTATCCCTCCATCCACCATCGCCCAATCGGGAAGGCGAGATGCTGTTCCCAACTCCATGTGCCACCCTGCTACTCATCCACAGCGCGATGATGAATTCTCATTGGCGTGACATGGAGGTTCTGTGCCTGCGTTGATACGCACGCGCACTCGTGCTGGCGCTGTTCGATTAGGTTCATTGCGGTGCTGGAGTGGAGGGATGTCGGTGAGGCTTGTTTACTCGGACCTAACGCACTGTCGTAACGGGAAGCTCCATATTGTTACCGGCGGAAATGCATGCAGTTCGCACCTTGTTCGGGCCTAGTCCGTTTTGTATCATGCGTATGGTCGGCAGGCGGGCCTGGTCCGGCATCCGTTGAGGGTCGCGAGTCCATTTCGATTGCTCCATCAGAATACTCGGACACATATGAACAAGGAGGAGGAGGGTCCTGTCAGATTTGGCATGTCCATCGGAGAGAGGACATTCTATAAGAGCTTTGTGTCCGACCTCTTTCCACAAACCTTGTATAGCATGAAACTCTCTTCATTTCCTCCACCACTTCTTCACATCTCTTCATCATCTTCGACAACCTTCTTGTACATTGTTTGAACTGCCTTGCCTGCGTGTGAGACAGACTTTGCTATCATACAACACACAAAGGCTACACCATTCAACCAACACGACTACTACGATTGTGAGACATCCTCCATTGTGACTCCCGAGTCGCTTGTCTCGTATTGTTGCATCACTGACCTGATGCTATCGCAGCACAACACACTCGGCCGCTTCCGTACGACTTCCAGGAGACGACCTCACTCCTCACGGCCGCTTATCATCACCTTTTACACCAGAACTGTTCTCAAATAACATCTGTAAGCTCTCCCATATGCCCAGCAAGCCCTCATGCATTCACGAGTATAGCGTGAGAGGCGCCCAGCAGATTGCCCTGCACACGCTAGCACTTGCACAATTTCGTGACCGTGTGGCCTGAGGCATTTATCCTGGATGGGAAAGTCGGAGGGCCTTCCGAGGCGGAAGCTGAGCGCATCGGATGGCATCATGCACGATTTGGATCCCCCCACGCTTTTCATCTCGGCCGTCGCAAAGGAAAAAGGAACACCTGCCGTGCAGCATGTGACGTCGAAAGAGGAATCTTGGTTCGCTAACGCATCATGTCAAAGCTTCTTGCCGACAGCCTTGCGGGACGAAAACTGCCAACGCCCGGCTTGAAAATCTCCCCACGACGCATGCAAGCGTCACGTCAAAGAAGAAGGTGACCGCCGCTCGCTGCACTGAACACAGCGCGCTAGTGCCGGCCCGATCGCTCCCCGGGCTAGCCCAGTGTCCCCCGCGAGATTTTCTCGGAGAGAAGTCCCCGGTATGTTTCTCCCCCTCCATCGCAATGTCCCAATCTGCCATCCACGAAGTACACCGAATTGTGGTGTGCTGCGACGATGGCTTGGACAGCGTCGGCGCACTGGAACGGGCTATGGCGGCGGGAAAGGTGCCCGCGATGGCGCCTTCGTTTGCGCCCAGTGGGATATTGCTGCCCACTCTTCCGGAACGCGCCGATACCTTGCTCGGTACTGATGAGGTACCTTTGACAGCTCTCCCGACGGCGACGCTGCCGGCACTGCCTGCGACTGCCGATCGCACCCGAAAACAAGAAGACCTGCAAAGATGAACCCTCAGACCGGTAAGTTCGGGCGCATTTAAGTTTCCATTCCATGCACGTTCTTTCCCCGGGGGCAGCGGGCCGTCAGCCTTGTCGTCGCTGGCGTCACTTAATTCCTCCCTGAACCCCCTCGAACGCGGTCCGCCATCGACACTAGTGGCACATCTGCTTTGCTGTTCGAGGCCCATGTGCCGTGCGTCACACCGATCCAACGACACGTCCATGCCGCCTGATCTGGCCGTCCCTCGGGGTCATTCGGCGGCAGTCGCGCTAGGAGACGGCGGTCAGCGATGCGAATGGGGCGCTCGCGAGTGGGCGCGATGTGCCAGCTACGTGACGATGTTCCTGCACCGCCCCAAATCCGTCCGGGACATATCAATCCTCCTGGACGAGATCATTTCTGCGACCGGCCTCCCTCCTTTCCCTTCACTCACGTCGACCTGCGCACATATGACATCGGATGCCCACGCGCCCACGCTCACATCTGCCTGAACAGGAGACGCCGGCTGCAGCGGCGGCAACGACCAGAGCTTCGTCGGGCACGTTTCGGACGAGTATAACTCCCGGACGTCGGGCGACGACTCGAGGACGGACCCTTCGTTCGAGACCACCCTCGCAGAACCCAACCCCGGCTCGTCGTTGTACGCACATCACAGCAGCACAAGCAGCAGCAACAACAACAGCAACAACAGTAGCAGCAACAACATCGGTTTATATCCCGGGCTCTCGACGACGCGCGACTGGACGCAAGATTCCCGGTGGTGAGTTCAATCGTTCGCTTCCTTGCTCGATCGATCCCAATTCGATCGTGTTCCTCCCCGTCGTCCCCAGTCAAGCCAGTCCAAGTCACGTCGAGGATGTGTATGTTCCACGGGCGACTGGGTGTCACTGCCACTGCAGTCAATGTCAGTTCCACGGCATCCGGCCGTCATCAAACCTCTCGCACACGTACGACGACACTCCACCGCCGTCTTCGTGGTCGTCGCCGTTGTTGTTCTTGTCCTCCTTCGATCCGCGCCGAGCCGTGCCTTGTGCGAGGGTTTTCCTCTCCGCTTTCCTGGCGCCGTCACCATCTCATCACACACTGCTACCACCACCATCAGTCCCTCCCACCCACCACCGATTGCACCAGTTGCACCTTTCTGCAGTTGTCGCCGTCTCTCTCATCTGATCTCTTTATTCGTTGTTTTTTAACCCTAAGCATCGAACCCACCTGGGCGCCCGTGGACTCCCTCTCAACACTTATTACCATCGCTCGCATCATCGTCACACGACTGACTGACCGACTGACTGACTTTTTGACCGACTGACTGACTGACTGGGCCTTTCCTCTTGCTTGCTTGTACACACCTGCACCCGCCTTCCAAGCCCGTCCAGTCCAGTCCAAGTCCAAGCCTCTCTCTCTCTTCCAAGCCCGTCCGGTCCAAGCCTCTCTCTCTCTCCCTCTCTCTTCCTTTGTCCTCTCCACCATATCATCATCATATCATCCTCTTTGTCTTCGTTGTTATACCCATCCCTCCATCCCTCCATCCATCCATCCATCCATCCATCGATTCATCCTCACACGCACAGCATCCTTTCGGCCCCAGTTTTCCCATCTCGTGTTCGTCTCAACATATCGCGACGGGCCCTCGTTGGAGCTGATGATCATCGTCCAATGTATGTCGCACTCCCTCGACCGATCGCACAGGCCGGTTTCGTCTCCGCTTGGATCACACCGGCCCATCTCGTGTGTTGTGTTGTGTGTGTATGTGTGCGTGTGTGTCACTCCATCAACTGACATCTCCCTCTTGGGTTCTTTTCCTCTTTCTCTAGGTTCTCTCAAGCGGACGGTCCAAATCAACCGCAATACACCACCACATCCGCCGGTGCCGGCTACGCGCCATCGTCGTTGTGGCCGTCACAAGCCAACAGCTACCACGACCCGGCGCGTTCACGGTCTTCGTTCGGCGACGCCTTCCACACCAGCAACACTTTGGCCCGTCCCACCGACCTCTTCACACCCTCGGCCTTTGTGTCCCCTCAGTGAGTCGTGCAGCCATCCGAGCTCTGGCTGGATCCCATCCGTCCCGCAAGACCGCTCTCCTTGCTGACACGCTCGATCAGGTCCCACCCATATCACCTCCCGCAGGTTCACCCCGGCGGTATAACAATGAGCACCATGCACTCCTCGGTCCTCCCTCAGTCGTCGGACACCAGCTTTGACTACTTCGCCCAGAGCTCGCTTCCCTTGACCAGCCAGCCCTCCGCACGTGACTCGCGCACGCCGCGGACCCTCCCAGCGCCGCCGTCGTCGTCACCCTCTGCGCAACGTTCGAGGAGGCAGGGCGCCATCCAGCGACGGAGCCGGTCACGCTCGGTCACGTCCTCCCGCCGAAGCCGCGCGAACACGCCGCAGCCCCAGGAAGCCGTCATGCCGCCGTCGGGCGCCTTCTCGTACAAGCCGACGAAGCACCTCGCCGACATGTACTGCAACGGCCGGAGGGTCTTGCCGATGTTGAACGTCCGGCAACACAAGAGCTTCGACATCGCCCCCGACGAGAGCAAGTACGTCGGATACCGGAGGAACTACTTCTGCCTCGACACCGCCTACCATCTGGAGCTGCAGCCCACGCCCGAGAACCCCCACGAGCGCGAGCTCGCCCGCGGCCACATCACGGTCAACGACCACATCGTCAAGGCCTTCGCCATCTCCATCTCCGGCATCGACAACTCGCACAGCGGCAAGGTCGTCGAGCTGGTGCAGTTCTCGCCCAAGCGCGACCACGGCAAGAAGGGCAGGCCGCCGCTCCACCGCGTCGCGCCCACGCTCAGCGAGTTCGTCTCGCCCCTCGGGAACGGACCCGCCGCGCACGCGCTCCGGTCGTCGTCGTACGCGGAGGGGCCCATCCTGCAGTACCAGGACGCCCGGGACCCTTGCCAGCTCGACAAGAGCCTCTACGGCCACGGCGAGGAGGTGCCCGACGGCACGGTGACCAACCACACGTGGGAGCGCATCCAGTTCAAGAACGCCACCGCCAACAACGGCCGCCGCCGGCAGAACCAGCAGGCCTTCATGGTGGTCGTGACCCTGTGGGCCGACATCCGCGAGACGCGGGAGAACGGCCGGACGCCGTACTGGCTCCCCGTCGCCAAGTGCCACAGCGACGAGGTCGTCATCCGCGGGCGATCGCCCAACCACTACCACCCCAAGGGCGGCGGCGCCTCCGCCGCCGCCAGCGCCAGCATCTCGCGGATGCAGCTGGAGGCCCCCACCCCCCAGGCGATGGGCCTCGGCAGCGGCATGCGTCTGTCCGCGGGTCACAGATCGCACGCTCACTTCCCGGCCTTGACCAACTCCCACCACGCCACGAACACGGTCGGCAATTTCCGCGGCCAGGCCTTCAGCAGCAACAACGAGTCGACCTTCGGCCAGCTGCGCACCCACTGGTCCGACACCGGGGCCTACCCCAGCGCCAACGCGCACCACTACGGCGGCGCAGCACAGCCCTTCGACCCGAGTCGAGGCGCTGACCGAGACTGGGAGTCGGGCTCGGAGCCCAGCATGCCCATGGAGCTGGACCCTCTGCTCGAAGAAGCCGGGCCAGCAGAGACGATCGAGTCCCCGTCCCTCTTCGACGGCTCCCGGCGTCGCTCCTCGTCGCTCTCCCACTCGGCCTTCAGCCCCAGCATCGCCGGGACGCCCTTCACGGTCTTCAGCCCACACGACCTCTCCGCGCTCGCGGAGTCGCCCTGCGCTCTCGCGACATCGCCGCGGAGCGACGCATGGGGCTCGATCGAGGGCATGCGCCCGATGGACCTCGCCGCCGCCGCCGACCACGACGCGTCCCCCTTCTCGCCGGCCGGTCACGATTGGACCGCGGACTTGGAGGATGGGTTCGGCGACGCGTCGATCCTGTTGGTCTCGCCGACCCTCGCTGCCACGGCGGCGCCGGAGCATCTCTCCTCGCCGTCGTATCCGAGGCTCGATGGTGCTGCTGCGTCGCCGCAGTCGGAGCACTAGTCTTCATGTTCTCGTGCGAGCGAGGATAAAGTATTCGGCCGTGCCTTTGTCGTCGCTTGAGCGTCGTGTGTGTGGTCGTGTGGGGATATCCCGTTCGGTCGGGAGCCTGATCAAAGGATCGGGCGTGGTTCCCATTCCGCGTCGCGTACAGCGCGATCGCATACAGCGCGGTCGCATACGCGTTCATTCCGCCGTGGCGAGGACGAGATCGTCGTGGATCGAGACTGCGAGAACGGCGCCGGCGCTCGGGATTCCACTCTTGACTGACTAGTCTGCTTTCGCAGGTGGGAGAGGAATGTTGCATCTTGGCTTTCGGGTTTTTGTTGTGTTTGACGAGGTTTGGGATCGACGAGTGATCGCCGATGAGCGATGAGCGGTGATGATGTACGCATACGACCTGGTGTTTTGGGAGGGTGTTTCTTGCTTTGCTCTTTTCCCATGGCATGTGTGAATGACACAGGCGATGGGGATGCTGCATTGAGTCTTGCATTTTGGGATCTGGCATCGAAAGGTGTTGTTTCCTGTGGATGGTTCCTGGTGCGGAGGACGAGACCCGCGTCTCATGGTTGTCTTTATGTGTTCCTGACGATGGCTATGAGTGTTACGATTATGAAGATGAACGAAAGCCGCTTTCCATGTACTGGTCTCCCCATGGATGGATGGTAAGTGAGTGACAGGTTGGCATGACTCTTTCGAGGTTCCACGGCAGTGCTGTGGACACGAGACGCAGTATCGTGTGTCGCGTTCTGTTGTTGGAGAACCGGCGGTCGCCGTCGACAGAGTGCTGCCGGTTCGGGGGGAGCATTGTTCGTCGACGTGAAGCGTTGCTGCAGGTGTTCTTGGTCTATGCCGCTGGGGCTGTTGTGGTCCGACACTGGCACATCACATCACCCTCACGATACAGCATGACAACGTAGCGAGCGGAAGAAGTGCGTTGAGTATATATGCCCCGTCCCCGCCGCCGCGGCGTCGTAATCATCGTCGTCGCGGTCTAGCCGAGATACCATCGTACCTCTGATCATGACAACGGCGTTACGGCCAACAGCGAGGAGGGTGATCGAAGGAAAGGAAAAGAAAAGAGAAATCGCTTCCCAGGAGGTCAAGCCGGGATTTATATCCCCTCCTCCTTCCCACGCCCATCTCTTCTTCCCCGACACGCCATCCTGCTGCCTTCCTCCTCCTCCTCCTCTCTCCATGTCTCCGCACAGTCCTGCTCGAAGACGTACCTGCTATATGCAGGAATGGTCCGACCAGAGCGGGAAGTCTCTCGCCCGCGAATCGGTACAAAAGAGCATCTCACCATCATCATCATCATCATCATCATCATCATCATCATCATCATCATCATCATCACGGGACACCCTCGATCCTTGCGCTGGTCGTTGTCATATTTGCTCGTGTACGACCAACAGTGGGACGAAGACAACCACGATGGATCTCGCTGCGCGCTCGCTCTCACCGGCCTCGAATCACCTCGGCCGACTTCCCGCGGGCAAGACTCGATGGCGATGGCGAGGCGAGAAGTACCGATCCATGGGCCGATCGACGTGGGAGGCGCCACATTGTCGTGTTACACGACGTGCGCGTCGCCGGACGGATGGTCAACCGATCCCCCCTCCCCCCTTTTTCGGCGCCGACGATACTTCGCTTCGAAGACATCTTGTGTCACCTCCTCCTCCACCACCTGCTGACACCATCTCGGCACATCTCTGAAGGACGACCTGCGCGGAGATGATCCGACGGTCGAGTGACACGAGCCGGGGTCGAACACATCGTACCTTTTATTATACGACACGAAGAGCCGAAAGGACTTCCTCGTGCTTCTGCTGCAGTCGGCATTGCTCACGATGGGAGATGATGCAGGGATGGCCCGGCTCCTGACTCTTTGCTCGTCCGCTCCTCTCCGCTCTCTGGATCGGTAGGGCACCAGGTCGAGCATGATGGTCCTCGGAGCAAGAGCAGATCAGCATGCGCGAGCGCGTGCCCAAGCACGAGCGTAACAATGTACCTGCTCTCTCTCTCTCTCTCTCTCTCGTGGCTGGGCACGAGCACAATCCAACGCCACATCTCTCCGCATGTGAGACGGCGCTCTCTGATGTTGTCCCTCGCGCATGTACCAACGCACCATCGTCCCGAAAATCCAAGTCCGGGAGTGGTGTAACACCCACTGGAGATTGAGGCAGACGAATGAGTGGCATTCCCGGGCCGTAATCGCTGACGAAACCGATCGATCCACTTGCGCAATCTCTCCCTTCCTCGCATATCCGGGCGGGCCGTGGATGCTTTCGACCCCCGGACGAGTCTTATCAGGAGGAGTCTCGTGGCGGGGAGGGGTCCTTCGACTCGCACTGCTCATTTCCACCGACAATGCGCCTCGTCGGAACCGCCAGGCTACGTCGAGCTCGGCGAGGATGAGCACCATGAGGTTATCGATCGCCCCGGTGTGCTGGACTTCCAACCAAGCAAACGAGACTGGACCGAGTCCTCGAGGGATCGATGCCAGCCATGCTCCGGTCTTTGCGGCCATTCCACCGCCGTTATATTCTTTTGTAACACGGCGGCGGAATCCAGTACATCGGGACGTACCTGGGTACCCCTTCGAACGCCGGCGGCTAGAGCAGCCCTGTAGATGCCGACTGGGGACGAGGGGCGAGTGCGCGTGCGGAGGCGATCATGTGCGCGAGATGCGGCCCAATTCGAATTCGCTCGTCGCCCGGTGAGGCTTTCTATCGTCGTCCGATCCATCGCGCACGCTTCTCGGGGATCGCCCGGACGGGCCATGGGGGTGCAGACCGATGAGGTCCCTGCGTCGTAGGAGTCCCGGAGAAGAGCGGCGGATGTTTGCTCTCGCGGAGGGCGCGTCTCGGCGCAGTGGCATTTGTTCCGCTGCGGGGTGGGCGTCCGTGGAGAACAGCAACGGGGGGCGTTTACCATGCGCTCTTCGCTGCGGAAACCTCGCCCAGGCCAGCCCGGACTCCGTTTACAAGCTGATCGGCCTGCGTCTTTGCTAGTCAGTGGATCACAGTGTCAATGCGCGTCACCGTTGGCAACTTGACCTCTGCTGGGGTGCGGAACGAAAGACGAGAGCAGGAAATGATGAGTATGTCGATGAGGAAGTTAAACGACGCTCTAGTTCTTCTTCTCCTCCTCCTCCGATACCGTCTTCCCTCACAGACTCTCCGCGATCCAGTCCCACCATTCCTGCACCCTCCGCCCGCTATCCCCTCCCTCTTCCCCCTCCGCCAGAACATTCCCTCCCGCGACCGTCACATCCACCCCGAATTCCGCCAGCTGTTCGAAGGAGAACTTCTTGCTCCCGTACTCTCCCAGCCAGCTCGCTTCCTCGTCGTCATCGTTCCCGATCCCGGCTCCCTCGTCGCCTTGCATCGAGCTATCGAGCAGTCCCCGACTCCGGCTCGAGCGGACATTGCCTATCTCTTCCTCCAACCGCCGACGGACGACGGGCGCCGGCAGCGCAGTGAAGACGTCCTGCTTGTTCGCCGCGACGAGGACCGGGATCACGGGAGGCACTTTTGAGGTCTTCGCTTGTGTGCGGCGTTTCTGCAGCACGAGGAGGACGTCGTGGAGGTACGCGGCGGCGTCGGCGAGGGACGGCGCCGCGGCATCGAGCACGAAGAGAATCCCCTTGGGCGCAGACGCCGGCTCGCCGTTCACCAGGGAGTAGGCCTGGTGCCGGAGCTTGCCGTGGCCGGGGGTGTCGATCAGCTGGAAGGTGGGTTGCGAGTGGGCCGAGGTGTCGTTCTCGGATCGGTACTGGTCGGCGGCGGTGCGTGCAGACGGCGGAAGTCGACAGGCGGCGGCGGTCGTCGTCTGCGAGGTATGCGTCGGGGTGGGGGCGGAGTTGGCGAACTGCGCGGCCATGTCAGTTCCGTGGGAGCCTGGGGATGCGCCCGGTCGCGCACGTGAGCCGGTCCACGTACCAAGGTGAGAAGACTCGTCTTGCCGGACCCACTCGGTCCGATGAGCAGGAAGGTCGGCTCCGCGGCCCCGCCCTTCGCGGTGCTGTACAGGTAGAAGTGGATGATGATGGGGAGCAGCGTCGCGACCAGCATCGTCGCGATGATGGCCGACATCGTGGGCGAGAAGGCCCAGGTCAGCCAGGCCTCCAGGGCATTGTGACTCGCGTGAGGCGCACTCATGATTGCAGAACGTACACCCGACGGGCCTTGCGAGTTGACGCCGTCCGATCGAGTTGCGATGTGGTTGCGCAGCGTTTGTGTATTTGACACGGAGGAAATGACGTGTGTGCTCCCCAATGTTGATGTGGTGGAATTTCGTCGAGCCCTGTGTCACTGACGCCTCTTATCTCCGTGCTTAACACCGCAGGACGTCCCTCCTGAAGTGCTCAACACCAACATCAAGAATAATCAGGCACCGTGAACACGAGGTTTGGCCTGTACCAACGAGAGGCGATTCGATTTGCATACAGCCTCTTGACTTTGTGATTATTTCACAGGCCTTTCCAATCATATTCAACGAAGTCCTAGAGGATGGCCCTAGCTATAGAAGCAGGTCCGCACTGCCGAGCTCAATAGCGACCGTCGAGCGTTTCGCTGTAGAAAGCTTGGTAACAATTGCCGTGATGCCCTGAGATGTTCTGGGCCGCACGCGCGCGCTCCACTGACAGAGCCAACGAGCTCACCGCATTGGGGCCTTCCTACGACTCTCCATTCCGCCAAACCCTGTCTGCGGTTCGTACAACCTGTGCCATCTCCTTGACATCGTGGACTCTTACCACATCTGCACCACCCCAAACAGCAGCCGCCATCGTCGAGGCTGTTCCCCAGACCCTCTCCTTGGCACCATGCCCCTTTTCGAGTCCTAGAACCTGGCCCAAGAACCCTTTGCGGCTGGTACCGACCAACCACGGATATCCTAGCAGTGGAGGAGCATTTCGCAATTCCGGCATTCTCCTCAGGATCTCCAGGTTCTGCGCCGTCGTCTTCGCGAAGCCAACGCCAGGATCGAGGATAATTCGCCAGCGCCTGATGCCGGCTTCCTGTGCGGCGGCGCATCGTGCCGCAAGGTCGTCGATAATGGTGGGAATCAGTCCATCGGGATAGGAAGTGTTCTCTGCGTTTTGCATTGTTCCTGGTGTACCCCGAAGGTGCGTCAGGACATATGTACATCCGAGCCGGGACACTGTCGGTAGCATGTCCGGGTCGAGCAACCCTCCAGAGATGTCGTTAATGATGTGGGCGCCTGCTGCAATAGCGGCAGCAGCCACAGGCGCACGATATGTATCAATAGAGAGCGCAATGCCTGTCGTCTTAGACTTTGGTAGGTTGTGAAAAGCACGGATGGCGGGAAGGATTCGAGAAGTCTCTTCGACAGCTGTGATGTCCGCGGCACCCGGACGAGACGATTGGCCGCCGACGTCAATGATCGTTGCTCCTGCGGCAATATGCGCAGATATGGTTGCCTCGAGTGAAGCCTCATCCGAGGAGTGGAGTCCACCATCGGAAAATGAGTCAGGCGTGAGATTAAGAATGGACATAACTCTCGTTGGGCGAGTGGGATCCGTCGACCTGATCGGGTTGTGAATGGGAGCTAGAGGTGTGAGAGGAGATATGGGTAAGATGGATGGAGGTAGCGCGGCGAGATGCTCTTCGGCCGACGACTCGCTTGAAGGGTGACGGAACTTTGACCCTGATGTGCTGCGGCGGTGTGTTAGACGTGCAAGAAAGCTGTGAGGACGACGACACTCACTCGCATAGAGGTCGTAAGACGAACTCGCGCTCGAGCATCAGGGCATGAGGTACTGTGAGGCGTGTTGATGAAATGGATTCAGTGTTGTATGTCAGAATATCCAAGTCGATATTCCTCGGGCCTTTGTCAATCAATTTGACACGGCCGAGCGTGTTCTCAATGGATTGTAATCTGTCCAGCAGATCCATGGGCGAAAGTTTTGTTCGAATCTGTGGACAAGCGTCAGCATTGGGATCTTGAAGACCCGATTGCTCGCTCTGACAAACCTTGCAAACGCCATTCAAGAAATTGCCCTGGTCCTCGACATACATTGGCGCCGTCTCGTACAGTGGACTCGTCTCTGCAATCTGCATGTCGTCGTCCTCGTCGATGCTGATACAGGCGTCTTCGATCGCACGAAACCTATCACCGATATTGCTGCCCAATGCAATGAAGGCGTGGTTTGGAAGAGACGGAGAAAGAGCTCCCTCGGGCAAGGTTTTGAAAAGGCCTTCGAACAGCTTTGAGTCTCTGCGAGGCGCGCTGGAATGTAGAGATCGTGATGTAGATCGCAATCTTGACCGTGAAGGGCGAGCACATCTTACCGATGGATTATCGAGTACAGATGGTTGCGCGGTTGAGCCTTGCCTTCTTTGCGAACCAAACGCGGCATATCGACAAGACTTCCTGAGTGTGCTCCCCTCGAGGTATCTGCTACCATTTGCGAGTGCGATACGAGAGCTCCGTTGAGTCGCCATGACTGAACTTTGCAAAGCGTGGAGGATGAAGTCGCTCGAGATTCGCAATCACGCCGAATATCGACCTCCCGATCAGACAGTAGTGAGATCGCGATTCGTTGCGGGCGTTTTGGTTCTTCTTTGTATGCAGGCGACTTCGAGGGATTCAATCCAGTTGTCGGCACGCGAAATATGTTCTCAGCTCCTGGTCGCGTTACGAGGGATCCAGCAGTTTTCTAAATTCCAACAGACATCTTTTCAGGCTTGCATTGAAATCCACCTATGGCTCGTCACATTCGAGTTTGCGTGAGATGAATTCATCTCAAGTCAATGAGGTGAAGATGCATTCCAATGCCACAAGACTGACCCTAAAGACTTGTCATCCAATTTTGGAAGTCCGATACAATGACGCGCCAGCCTCGGACGCGAGCTTGGTCATAAGTCCGAAGCTCTGAAGACATTCACAGATCGTCCTTTGGAAACATTCCCTCCACAAGACATTTCAAAATATCGTCGTCTCCGCCCCTGGTTTCGAACCTCACAAAAGAACAACAATGTCCCTCTGGCAGTCAGTCACTCTCCGTCTCTCCTCCACCCTTGCAGCCCAAAACTAACACCACACACCCACGCATTCAGATACTACCGCAACCTCACCCCGCGCACGCGTCTCTTCATCGGCGGCGGGATCATGGCATATGCCGCCTTCGGCCTGTTCGCGTCGGACAAGGCCGAGGAGGTCTTCGGATTCACGCCGACCCCCGAGGACAAGAAGCGACTGGAGGAGAGTCTTCCTACGATCAGGACGGTGGAGAAGAAGTGAGGGGGACACATCTCGGACGGGAAATCGCAATCGAGCGACGAAAACATTGTGGGTCTCGCAAGCGGAAAAGAGAATATGGGTCTCGATGGAAGGGAAGTCCCCCACGAAGGCATGATACCTCCGGCCGCATATATTGCGCAGTCATGAACCGAAGTGTTCATACATCATCCCTCCTCACCAGAGCGGGGCAGGACTCAAAGGACATGCCGTCACGCACTGCAAGACGGCAGCAGGATGAACCCCACTCTGATGAGCAGATTCGGGTGTCCTACAGTCGCGCAGGAGTCGCGTGGAGAATCAAAGACATCATCAGGACACACTCGGAGAGTCGAAAGGGTATGGGCGAAGGGGACGGCTGTCGCAGCTGCAGCGAGAGAGCCATACAAAAAAAATTGGGTTGACCAGTTTGCAATCATCCACTTGCGATCACAGGGGTGAGATCCGTGCTCGCGTCTCCTACTTTGGGTCACGCATGAAAAATGCGGCGAACTCCTGCGAAGTGATGCATGAATATCGGGGCTGCAAGGTCAATCACTGATAAGGTCTGATACATCCCACTAGTGTAGACATAGTCCATCGAAGGCTCGATCGAAGAAAACGTTGGTGGAAGATGAACACATATATCATAGAATTTGGTTATCAATAGGCATCATACACAAAAGATCGCTTCTACTCCTATTCCTCCGACTTCTTTCGTCCTCTACAATCGGCTCTTGCCAACGACCGACGACTTGAGGGTGTCGATCCATTGCACGGCATCGCCGACCATCTCGTCGATGATGACCTTGGCGCTCTTGCGCTCGTTGACGACGGCGGCGGCCTTGCCCATGAGGAAAGGTCGGGCGTTGTCCATGGTCTCGTCGTCGAGGTCGTCGCCCATCTTCTCGAGGTCGTGCTCCACGGGGATGTGACCGGCCGAGGTCAGCTCCTTGATCTCAGCCTGGCGGTTCTCCTCCCAGTTCTTGATGTAAGGGTTGGCGCGCACACGGAGCGGGCGGCCGGTGAAGATGATGGTGCGGATGTTGTCGTCGAAACCAGCGGTGCGGACGGCTTCCTGGTGGGCGCGGGGAGCACCGGCTTCCTGTGCGAGGGAGAAGGACGTCAGCGGATTGCTCCCATGTATACTTTCTCACGTGTTGGGAGCAAAAGGCGTGAATGGATGCTTACCTCGGAAAGAACGAAGCGGGTACCGATCCAGACGGCGCTGGCACCGAGTGCCAAGGCAGCCGCCAAACTCTGACCGTTGTAGAGACCACCGGCAGCGATGACCTGGACGGGCTGGCCAGTCAGAGGGCTCTTGTGGCCCTTGACGAGCTCCGCGACGGCAGGGATAAGGATGGTGGTGGGAACATCACCAGTGTGTCCACCGCCCTCGCCACCCTGCGCGCAGATCATGTCGACACCGAGCTCGAGGCACTTCTTGACGTGCTTGGGGTGACCGATCATGTTCATGTAGAGGATGCCGGCACCGTGGAGACGCTCGACAACGTGCTTGGGTGGGACACCGACGGCGGAGACGAAGAGCCGGGCGCCGGAGTCGATGATGATGTTGACCAGCTCATCGAGCTTACCCTTGGTGTAGTCGTAGCTATGCGCAGGATCACGTTAGACTCACATTCCCAGCTTCCATTTCTTTCAAAGTGTAGATGATCCCTTACTTGGTCTTGCGCGCGTTGCCACCGACCTGAGGAAGGAGAAGGTCGACACCGAATGGGGCGTTCTTGTCCTTGAGGAAGCCCTTGAGCTCGGCGATCTGCTCGCGGAGCATGTCGGGAGTGTAACCGACACCGCCAATGACACCGATACCGCCAGCGTTGGTGACGGCGGCGGCAAGCTTCGGGCCAGCGGCGACGTTCATGCCAGCAAGCATGATGGGGTGGTTGATCTTCAAGAGATCGGTGGTGGTGGTACGGATTTGCTCTGGAGGTGGACCATGTCAGAACGGTGATCTGTCTGTTGCAATGCGCACATCGTGGTCGACCTGGTGGAAGCAGGGAGTGCGGCATGCGGTGGTAATTGGGACTTACGAGGTGAGGCCATGACTGCGGTTGATATGTGAGATATGTGATGTGTCTGATTGAGTGAGGACGAAGAAGAGGTAAGGTGTAGATGTAAATGACAAGGAAGAGAAACAGAGAGGAAGAAGGAAAAGTAGATCAGACGAGTGACAAAGAAGTGTGTATGTGTACACCGTCCAGACGCCGACGCCGACGCCGACAGCGACGCAACGACGACGACGACGAGACACTCACTCACTCAGCTGCAGTGTCGCTCACACGATGTCACGCACTTTCTCCACAGGGCTAAAACTTCCATACGCACTACGGCAACTCAACTCACTGGGCACTTTATTACCTACAGTACTGCCCAGGTGCTCATCACTCCCCACACACACACACGCTCTCTCTCACTGTCTCTCTCCACTCCACACACCCGTCCAGCACGACCAACGGGCGGCGAACAAACAAACCAGCGGGGGATTTCGATCTCTCCGGGGCAAAACCACACGATTCAGGTGCAGCAGACTGGAGCTCTCTCTGGAGTCTGGCGTGTCTGGCGTGTCTGGCCTCTCTCTCTCGCCCTCGATTCCTCATTGGGGATGGTGTGGCGAAAACGGGCGGTCGTCCGAAAGCGGGTCTGCATACGCAAATTCTGGGGAAAGGCGAAACTCAATTCAACCGCTGCCACCACACGCTCCGTCCACCGCTGCCCCAGGACCAGCCAGGTGCGTGTGCGTGTGCCCCCAGACACACACACATCGACATGGTCACATAGACATGCGCCGGACTCGTTCTAGCCGAGGTCCATTGCGCCGATTCCACACCCATTTCCCACATCCAACAGCCCTGGAGCGCGCCCATTTACGAGCCTCAATCGTGATGATGTCAGCCGCGACGATTCGTCCATCGTGACACTCTCTTCAACGGCACGACCGCCCGAAGAACGACCGTCTGATAGTCCCGTCGTGGCTTGAAAGGCAGACAGTAATAACCACCGCCGCCGAGCGCCATGGGGGATCTTTGACATGTGAGACCCAGTCGATGGCTGCCATGCCGACTGTACACATGTCCATCAGCAGTTGCGCACCTCAGGAGGATCCACAAGATCGCTGAGACGGAATGTCTCACTATCGGTAACCCTAAGCCTCCAACCTCAGGACCCCATCGTCGAGAAGACAATGCCCTCTAACCAGCACATCATTCGACGTGGTCAACGACATCGTTTCAGCACAGGCACCATCACAATCGGAGAAGATGAAGATTTCCATTGTGCTACGGTATTAGAGAGGCGCTTCTAAGCTGCAAGGTCGCTTCGTGAGCCGCACTCGAACGGGCTGAGGCCTCCACCAGCCTGTGCCTCAATGCCTTGCACATCACCGCGAGTCGAGGCCCTCTGCCTTTCCGATCCCTCAGGCCGCCTTTGCGTACTTTGTGTGGAGTTCCTGGATCTCTTTGTCGACACTGGCCATGAAAGTCCCAAGCGTTTCTGTTATGATATGACCGCCCATAAGCCCCCGGAACTCGAACAAGGGGACTTCCCGCGCAGATTTGTACATAAGTTCGGTTTTCGACCCCAGGCCTCCGATGGACCCGTCGAAATTCTTATCGAAGGTGGTGAAGAGATCCGGAGATGGCTGTCCTGCGCCAATTCCTTGAATCCACGCTTTCACATTCATTTCGACACCACCGTCCTTGTAAGTCTTACCTGCGAACTCGTTAAGGCTCTTTGGTTTGTCAAGCGTGCCAGTACAGAACCTTGTATCGAGGCTTTCAATCGTCAGTGAGAATGCTGGTGCTCCAAAGATTAAGCTAGACATACCTAACCGTGTACTTTTTCTTGGCATGGTCCCATGTCGATTTGTAACACGCAAGTACGTCGAACAGCTGGAACAGATCACCGCCAATCTTCTTGCTGACTTGTTTGAACATCGTGTTGAAATCTGTGCGAGGCATGATCGCGATGTTCATCTTCGGGCTTGCATTCGGCTGCATCGACTCCGCCGCTTTCGCATACGACAGAACCAAGGAACAAAACCCCAGGACATCGTCTGTGACAGCCTTCGAGGAGATCTTGTTCGGACTTGTTTGGAAGAAATCTTTTGTTACATATTCCAATCTTTCACCATTGTAGCGGTCGTAACCAATCAGCGTTTCCATTTTCTGTTGCTTGGAATCTGACAGGAGGCTGTACAGTCCTTCCAACGGCATGGGCGCAGTGATCTGAGCATCCCATCCCACTTTCTTGGGGTCCCACTTGGGAGACTTGGTTGTCTAGACAGTCCAGAGGCATTTGGAGTTTCCGATCTTGACTTTCTCCCCGTGCTTGGGATTCCAGGTGAGCTTCATTTAGCATTAGTCTCGTGCCAGGAAATCACGTAGCGCCGCTTTCATCGGACTCACGAAATCGGCCACCACAGCCTTCGCTGCTTGAACCGCGTCGCCTGTGCCGATTTTGATCTGTTTCCCGTCCAGGATATACTTGGCTTGGAGCTCGCCTTTATTGCCATTCGAGTCCGCTGTCAATTCGAAGTTCTTGCCGGTCCGCCCGGCCACGATATGTTTCCGGTGTTCAAAGGTCTGAGCCTCATCACACTCGGACGACAGGAATTTGACAATCGTTGTTTCAAACTCGGCACCGATGCCGCCGGCGACAGGTGCTCTGGAATGCAGGCCAAAGGTTTCGGGTGTAGACTCGGTTCCATTGTACGATTCGAGATACTCTGTATCTGCACGTACGTGAAGGCGTCCCTAGACGAGAGACGCGGCTAGTAGCGTCGGTGCAAGACCGCAGAAACGCATGATACAAAGTCGACTGAGGGATCCTTAGACGTGAGAATAGACTAGTTTGTGGGATTGTACAGCAAGATTGAGTCGGATCCTCGCAGGACAGGGCCATCTTTATCATACTTCAACTATTCCTCTGGATGGCAGGATCGCGTCAACTCGAAACAATCGACCATGCCTCGTTGAAGTTGCGAGACGCCCTCGTCGCAGAGAAGAGCAAGCGTGAAACAGGTGTGCGTAAAGACAAGTTGTTGATTGGCGGAATTGATGTCACACAACTCCAGTCACCAAGAGATTACTCTTACTTGGGCCGAAGTCGTTTCCATTGCCGCTTGAAAGCTCTCCGGCTAGATGTATGCATGTCGATGACACATAAACGTCAAGTTGTAAGCACTTGCAGAAGTATACTGACGTCTAGGATGGTGATCAAATTGGCTGAGCCTGGTGGCACAGTCAAGTCGCTGAGGAGCCTCGGGCTGGGCACATGGATAGATATGAGACGGGCCGATCGTTGCGCCTTGAGCGCTTCGCGAACAGACTTGATATGTGCCGTGTATCAACATGGACAGATAAGCAAAGGCACCCCCGATCGCGACATCTGCAGCCGAGCTAGCTCTGATCGTGCACACACAATTTTGAACGAAATCATGCCGCAGTGATCGAACTAGATAATGGCATATCGTCGATTGATGTGATTTGCTCACCGATGGTTTACCATCTCCAGTCTAGCTAGGCCATAAAGTCTCCATCGTAATCATTGCCTTGTTCTCGAGATCACCAGAGGTTCGATGGCCGTCTAGTCCATGATTACTGAGATGGAATAAAACACTCATGATGGTATATGTCATTATTCCACGACAAGGCATCTTTCGTTCATTTGTAACATGATTCCGTTCACATCTTTCAGTATAATTTGGTACGACCACGACAAATGAAAACCGTACGAGGCTGGTCAATCACAAAGTTTGGTCCAGAGCCACAAATGCAACGCCAATGTCCTTGCAATCAGAAAAAATGTCCCAGCAGGATTTGCGAAAATCTTCCTTTTTGACGTCGCGAACGTTACCTTGGATCTTCAACAGGCGGATGTTCGGAAGGTCCACCATTTTCTGGGAGGCGAAGTCTTTGAGGACGACTTCGAGAGTTGAGAAATGCTCATTCATTGTATTAGAGACCAGCTTCAAACGGCACAGAGATCTGGGCAGCAATGCACCGATTCGCAGTGATGCAATGTCTCCAGGCCCAGTCACGAGTTCATTACCGCCTAGATACTCCTGTGCTAGCTCAGAGTGGTCTGGAATGTTTTGGATGAGTTCCGGGGGGAATGTGAGTCTTGTGAGACGTGTGAAGTCGCGAAAGTTTGGCTGTCCCGGCAGAATCATCCCGTGAAAATTCGAAGTCGATAGGGAAAGTCTCTCGAGAGACCGAGCTGTGCGAGATGCAATGACGGCGACAGTTTTGCTGATGTCCCAAACTCTCGGGGCAGCTTCAAAATACGTATGGCTGTACTTCAAGCACTTGAGGCACGGGGCGCCCAGGAGAAAATCCGATAATGACATGGGATCGATATTGCACGAATATAATCGGAGGTCGACTAGTGCACTCGAATTATGAAGACGGAATTGCTTTGGAGGGAAATCTCCATAATTTGACGGTGTAGCGAGGCCGTAGTGCATCTCGAATGTATCCAAACTGGGGAGAGCCGTAAAGGGGCGGACGTACTTGAGCAGCTTTGGCCCTCCAGAGACATGCATTAATTTGATCTTCGTCAGTCGCGCAAGACTTATATCAGCTTTCGAGCCAAGGGATGAATTGGCATGATTTGCAATCATGCTAAGTAGTATTGTTGTCTCCTCCGTAGGTGCCCACATACCCGGAAGCTTTATGGTTTGAAGGTTTGGCAACAGCGTCAACAAGAACGTGAATGCATGCTGAGAAAAGGGCATTGGTCTCCTGGGTCGGCCACTCTTCAGATCATTGAACATCTGTCTGTAATACTCGCATGGATCGAGTTCCGCAATTCTGAGATTGGAAGAAGAAGTCAGGAGAGAGTATATCTCTGGGCGGTAAGGCCCATCCGCACCAGGTTCCCAGAACGACTCCTCGGGTGGTCTTGTGTACCGGCTCCAAGGATCCCCGGTGAAGTCAGCATGGCGAATGTATCGCACGATCTTGGGCTCAGCAGCCATGGCCTCTAATACACGGAATGCATCATGCATGGATCCTCCACCGATGTCGATAAACTTCGGGTAGTAGAAATCATCCCATTGGGTGCGAAGTTCCTTGTGTTGTTGGATGAACGGCTTGCAGATCGCATGAATATCACGGCAAGTCAGAGCGAAACTCTCAAACCCTTCAGGGAGGGTTTCGTCCACGATTTGTTCTAGAATTTCGACGGGAAGGCTTCCAAGAGACATGTTTTCGGACTGTGATCTGTTCGTCTAGCAGCGACGAAGCTCTCGAAGTGATCCCTGGCATTTTCTAGTCGAGCGAGACTGTTAGGCAGCGAGAATAATTATATGGTCAAGCCCGCGGCACAGCAGAACTGAGCCGTCAATTCATGTCATCATCCGGGAAGGTCAATCATCCTGGGGATTTGACACGTAGAAAGCCGATCGTCGCGTTTATCGGCATACAATGTAGTAGTATACTGTGCGTTACGGATCCATGGTGAAAGTGAATGTTCAGTGTGGGCGGCCCAGGAATTTGAAGAAGCCCTCAGCCACATTCGCGTCGTTGTCGGCAATGTTCAGTCCGCTGGACCCTGGTGATCGTCATTGTTTGACCCACCACATCCGTTTCCCTCAAACAAACCCGAACTCTGACACTCTCCCACACCTCCACCTTGGATATCCTGATCTACACTACAACCGCATACTCTATAGCAATCATGCCCTTTGGACTGAAGAAAGGAGACAAGGACGGCGAGCTGGATGCGAAAAAGGCATCCCTGTTCGGTCGCTCCAAGGGTGCCAAAACCCCCGCACCGCCGCCAGCCAACAACCCATATGCTGCTGCTGCTCCAGCTTCTGGCAGCAACCCATACGCAGCGCCGTCGTCTTCCAAAGATCCTTATGCTGCGCAAAGCAAGAACCCATACGCTTCACAGGGATCGGGTTCTCGTGATCCTTACGCCAGAGGTCCAAACAACTCTGCACAACCGCCGACTAGCTCGTTCGGGAACCTCTCCCCGAACAACGATCAACGTGGGCCCCCAGGATATAGCGACAGCAATTCTCACAGTGCACACAATCGTAATGAGAAGAGTCCTGTGCCGCCAGGAGGATATGGCGGCGGTCAAGCTCGCTACCAAAGCACTGGCAACGATTATGGACAAACGAGTGGGTACGGCAGTGATCCGTACGGCACTGGAAACGCGAGCGCATCACGCTACGGGCCATCAGGATACGGCGGACTAGGCCGAAGTGGTAGTCAAGAGACTGTTTCAACCGATGTAGGCAGGAATGCCTTGTTCGGCAATGCTCCGCAGCGTGCAGCGGCGAAGCCTGCCCAAGATCCTGCTGATGAGCACAGGACGGACAACAGCTATTCGAATAGCGGTGCATACAGCTCGGCTGAAATGCCAGGAGGATACGGATCTGGACCTCCGCGAGAGTTGACGGCTGAAGAGCAGGAAGAGGAGGACGTGATGGCTGCCAAACAGGAGATTCGATTCATCAAGCAACAGGACGTCGCGAGTACTCGGAACGCGCGCCGAATTGCTGAGCAGGCGGAGCAGACTGGGCGTGAGACACTGGCTCGTCTTGGTGCGCAGGGCGAACGGATTCATAACACTGAGCGCAACCTGGACATGGCTTCCAATCAAAACCGTCTGGCAGAGGAGAAGGCCCGCGAATTGAAGACGCTGAATCGATCAATGTTCGCGGTTCATGTTGCCAACCCGTTCACGGCCAAGAAGCGGGAGGAAGCACAGAACGCCATCGCACTAGAGAAGCATCAACGCGAAAGAGATCAGCGAGACGCAACGCAATCAGCGGCATACAGTTCCCAGGCACGACAACAGCAACAACAGCGCGACCTCGGCAGCAATCTCGCCAAACAGATTCCCAAGGGTAGCTTGGCCGATCGAGCCAAATACCAATTCGAGGCGGACAGTGAAGACGAGGAGATGGAGAATGAAATCGACGACAACTTGTAAGTTCCACTATGGGATTACCCTGGCGGTATGCCATCTAACAATTTACAGGAACGCCATTCATCGCGGTGCTACTGTCCTCAATGCCCTCGGCAAAGCCATGGGTGCAGAGATTGACAGCCAGAACAAGCACATTGACCGGATTATCAAGAAGACCGACAAAGTGGATGACCAGATTGCGGTCAACCGAGCGAGACTTGACAGGATTCGTTGATATTGATTTCGCGACTGGCACGATTCAGCCCGGCTCTCTGTTTGCACTTCTAGTTGATTGAAGCATATCGGCTGCCACAGGTCTAGATGCTATACTGCATACCAACGGAGATGGATATTGTCGAAAGAGGATGTAGTTCAGCTGACCTTCATCGCGTAAAAGCATCCCTAGACTGGTCATCGTTAAGATAGATAATGTAGTAATTCCGAAGGCTCTCACGTATGCATGGTCGCGGATACTGTTGCTGAGTCCAGCAGTGAGATGAGGCGTCCAGCATGATAAATCGATCAAGGGCTTCCACGCTTAATTGCATTCCGAGTTCAGGTTGTAGGTGCACCTGGTTGTGATATTACTGTAGTAATGGATATATTTGCTCAAATAGGTAGACAGAGTTGCGCGGCGCCAGAGATATCGAGGTTTCTGTCAACCTGATCACGAGACTCCGCCTTCGGTGAATATTCGAGGACGTGCCTCAGGTGCATGACATGCATGTCGGGGTGGAGATATGGTTTGCATCCACGTGCTGCAGCTGTGCAGTACGATTCATAGCTAGACCCGAGAGGGAACGAGAGCATCGTGACAGACAAGGTTTCGCCGCGTGGGCTGACAAAGGGAGCTTCATCACCTGCCTCCGCCAATCTAAGCCACGACTTTGCCTGCAGATCGGTGTTCGTATACACATAGATAGCGTCATGCTACCAACAACACCACACCTTCAACCTTCGCTGTTCACTGCACAGCCCGACGGCTCGAACGTCACGCTCTATTATCCTCACGTACAGTCATCGTACGCATGAATTGGCGCGTTCAAGTCACGCTGGTGTGGACCATACCGGGAATGTAGATTAGACACTCGTCAGACAGGATTTACTGCAACTAAGATACCCTCACGTCTCGCGACCAACGACTTCTCCGTCCTCACGTTCGTCACCTTAGGACCAAACGATCGATAACATTAGCATCGGCGACATCCACGAGCGATAATGCCGCCGAGATATTTCCGCAACGATGCTGAGGAGCTCGTGAGTCGAGGTACTATCGTCTAATCTAGCCAGACTTCATGTCTACTACACAACAGTTGTTAACGACATTGACGCCGCGCAGATCCCCGCCGTCAATTGGAGGCCTCGCTCAAGCGCCTCGTCACAAACCATCCTCCCTCCAAAGTCAAACTCGGCGGTGGGATTTTCAAAGGTCCCGTCAGCGTCGCCTTCGTCTTCCTCGTGCTGCAACAATTATACCACGACCTCGTCATCGAAGGCGAGCACATGGGCGCTTGGGCTGCAGCCTATCTCAAGCAAGCTCAAGAAAATATCAAATCCTACCCGGGACCCGAAGTAGGAAAATGCGGCATCACAGACGACATCCTCTCCCTCCTCGCCATCAGCGCGGCTAGTACCAAGGATGCGGACTTGGTCGCCAGCCTGTGCGATTACTCCTCCGAGGTCATCGACCCGGGGAGTGAGAATGAACTGCTCTATGGCCGAGCGGGGTACCTCTACCTCCTACGTCTAGTGAAAGCGTCATTCGCGGACGATCCGGACACCCTGCAACTCATCACCGACACACAAGACGATGTCGTCGACGCAATTCTCGATTCGCCTCGACCGTGGAAGTGGCGCTCTAAAAACTACATCGGTGCTGTACATGGTGCCATGGGCATCATAACGCAAGTCGTTTTGACTAACCCGGCACGGTACGCGGAAAAGGTCCAGGCGGAGCTGGCTGTCACTTTATCATATCAGTATCCCAGTGGTAACTTTCCAAGCACGGTGCCACCGGAACGCGATCGCCTCGTGCAGGTATGTCACGGTGCGCCGGGAGTCATCATCAGTCTTTTGAGTATCCGTGATTACTTCCCACAATTGCACGAGAAGATCGACAAGGCCATTGCGCGAGGCCGGGAGTGTATCCTTGAGCGCGGTCTGCTGACGAAAGAGCCTTGTATTTGCCACGGTAAGTGCTCAGTAGTCCGTCTGCATGTTCGGAAGAGGAACAGCTGACCAGTGTGATATCTAGGAATCTCCGGAAATGCATTGGCTCTCGAACAGAAGCAATTCGAGCACTTCTTATCCTTCACGACAGGCAAGGAAATGGAGTCGCTGAAGCGGGATAACATGTTGGATCCCTCGGATTCACCAGAAAGTCTTTACGGTGGCGAAGCAGGTAGAGCTTGGTGCTGGGCTGTTGCGGATCTGGGACTTCCGATGCGGATACTTGGTTATAATGACCTTTGATGATTGCAACGTTGGTGATCTGGTCGCAATATGGGAGCACAGGAAATACTTGTGCGACGATCTGGGAAATTCGGAATTGCTGGTACTACTGTGCGGTACCGAATCCAGACGTCAGGTTTGAACGGTATGCATGATCGTCCCAAAAACGCAGAAGTCCTGTAAGGCGGCTTTGGTTGATTGCATGCTTCGCCGATGCACCCATTCTGAAGGAGGGAAATGATAAGTAAATGATTGGAATCCAGCGCTCATCCCCGGCGCCGTCGCTTCTGCTTCGTCACTGTCTGCTCGACTTCGAAGACTTTGGACTCGTCGTCTTCGAGCTCTCTTTTCACCGCTTTCTCGAGAAAGTTTTCCGTCTTGATCACATCGTGAACAACTTCCTCCTCACCTTCTTTCTTGACCTCGACGAATTCCTCTTTCTTCTCAACCTTGGCGACAAGTCGTTCGCTGAAAGCTTTGAGATCCGCAGTGAACAACACCGAATGTGCCCAGCCAGCCTCTTTGCCCCACAGTGAGCGGAATTTGGCGCCGACGGCATCATATGTTGCCTTTGTAAGACTTGCATGCTTGCCCTTGCCAAACTTGTAATCCCTCTGTGCAATCTGCCATACATGTGTGTCGACCGGCACTGCCTCGCCCCAGCCGAGACCCATGAGAGAGACACAATCCGCCACCTTTGGCCCCACGCCCTGTAGAGTCAACAGCGCCTCATGGGCAGCACGGTAACCCTCGCGGCCCTCCGCCGCCCATTCGCCACCCGGCGATGGTTTCACGCCCAGCACAGGCGACTCTGGATTCCGCAGGGAGTCGAGCCAGCCTTCAGGCTTCTCGACAATCATACAGGCTGTGCGGTAGAGATACTTTGCTCGATAACCGAATCCCAACGAGCGTAGATTGGCCTCGACTCCGTCCTGCGCGAGGGCGGCCGGCTCGGGGAAATCGTGGTAGGCTTCTTCGTCGAGATGGCCGAGCAGAGGGCCGTAGTGCACGCATAACTTATGCACCATCTGCGAGATGCGCACGATGTTGTTGTTGCTGCTGCAGATGAAGCCGACGAGGGCTTCCCAGGCATCTTGCTTCAGGATGCGCACGCCGGTGAACTTGGGCGCCTTTTTGGCGAAGTTGGGGTCTGAGGCGGACCATTGGGCGTAGAGTTCTGTGAGGTTGGGCGTGAGGTTGAAGTAGTGCTTGATCAGGTCGAGGGTATCATCCTCGTCTTGGGTTTGTTTGGTGGGTTTCACTTGCGCGGTACGCCGCGATGATGCAGGAGATGGCCGCGGGATGGGTGGGATTGAGCGGTAGTACAGATGGTCGGAGTCTTGATGGACGGAGAGAATGCGGTTGTGCAGCGCAATGGACCAGACGCCGGCATCGTTCTTCCGCCATCTATCAATGTTGTCGTTAGGCTCCGCGATTGATTATCGCCTCGAAGGTGCTTACCTAAACGATTGACCACAGCGCAAGGTCGTATTGATACATAGCTCGGAAAGCGAAATAGGCAATTTCTGCCACTCCGCGAGGTTCAATGCACCCATCGCCTCGAATCAAGAGAACTGCGCTCCAACGTGATACTATCGCTCCAGTTTTGCAGGTCGCATGGCCTTCGAACCCGGCGCGATTGGATCGACGCGCCTCGCTTGCTCGTGCATAGGGGACGATCACTGGAGACCTCCTACATGACGTAGTCTTGCGCCGCTGCGGAAAATCAATGGGAAAGTCAACGGCTTTCTAGTGGCGAAAAGTGTACCGTCGCTTAGATGATCCTCTCGTTAGCGGTGATATGCTTCCCGAATCGGGCAGGTGAGAGGACTAATCAAGCCAAGCTGGGAAGTTGCATGGTCCACCATGAGACTATTCTGATTGGCTCAATCGTCCACCGTCCACTTCAGCCGCATAGCTCCTTTGTCCCTCGTCGACATTGAGGATGATGTCCGTGGCCACGGCACATCGGTGTCGCTTCATCATAGTACAGTACTCATGACTCGGTGCAGCTGTACTTTGTATCAGACTCACCATGAACGGATCCTGCAGAAGCGAGACCCATAATGAAATGTCACTGCGCGGATCTTCTCGCTTAATTTCGGAGTCGGAATCTGGTTTAATGTTCATTCAGACCAAGACGTCTTGGAGGACGCTGGGCTCGTGTGTGAAGCATCGTGGCTGATAGGCAGCCGTCTCCGATAGCCATTGATGCGCCATCTCTTAGCCTGACACCTGAGAATCCTTTGGCCAGCAATCAAACCTCCATTATACACTTCGGGGATCAACCAGCGTCGTGAATGGAGACACTAGGCTTAGTGCTCGCCTATGCAATGCGACCCTGTTCTCTAGTCTGCAGCCCATGCAGATCATGACTTTGGAAGTCGAAGCATTGGAAACACGTGCGACATGAGCTTGTCAACGATGCTTAAGGCGTTTAAGATATAAGTATCGCCTTTTCTCTGAGGCGGAGACCAAACTCATTCATCATCGATTTACTCACAACACATTATCCCAAACACATCCTACACAATGAAGTTCCAAAACGTCCTTCCCTTCGTGGCTGCTGCCGCCGCCATCCCCTTCAACGCGACCGAGGAGGACTCTACGTTGGAGAAGCGAGCCGTTGTCTACGGCTTCGACATCTCTCACTACCAGAGCTCTGTCAACTTCAACGCCGCCTACAGCACTGGCGGTCTTCGATTCGTCTACATCAAGGTGGGAAATCATGCTCTGAGTTTCAATGATGCCATTATTCCCGACTGACATAACACTTTCTCCAGGCCACTGAGGGTACTACCTACCAAGATCCTTCGTTCAGCAGCCACTACACTGGCGCTACTAACGCTGGCTTTATTCGCGGCGGATACGTAAGCATAGTCTTCCTCCCTACGAGAACTTCTGACATTTACTGACGTCATGCGCAGCACTTCGCCAGCGGCACTGGAGATGGCAGTGAAGAGGCAAACTTCTTCTTGAAGCACGGCGGAGGCTGGTCCGCTGACGGCCGAACCCTGCCCGGTATGCTCGATCTCGAGGGATCCTGCAAGTCCGTCTCGTGGATCCGTACTTTCTCCAACACCTACCACGCGGCTACCGGTCGCTACCCGACCTTGTACTCCAGCCCTAGTTGGTGGTCGCAGTGCACCGGCAACAGCAACGCTTTCGTCAGCACCAACGCGCTGATGATGGCTTGCTGGAACTCATCGCCGTGCACTCCTCAGGGCGGATGGCCATACTACACGATCTGGCAGAACAAGGACTCCAACCCGTACGGTGGAGACTCTGACCAGTTCAACGGTGGTATGACTCAGCTCGTTGCGTACGCCAACGGCCACACTTGAAGGAATCTGTGATTGATGACTCAAGCCACACTGTGACGGCTCGGATTTGACATAGCTACAGTATCATGGTAGAAAAATCCAATACTAGATAAGGCATAGCTTCGTCTGCAACATGTTCAAAGATGATTTATTGTTACCCCATAAGATTGCATTGCTATAGGTCATCGCCGTATAGTAAAGGGAAACCTGCAGGTATCCACACATCGTGGGCAACGTCACTCACAACGTGGACTCTGCATGATCTCCATGACTCTGCGTCCTCGCTTAGATAGCACGTGGTCTGCGTTGATCTCCCCACGCATGTCCGAAGCTTTCCAAGGATTCCAATAAGCGAGATGCTAAAGCTTAAGTCGTGATACCAATGCCGATCATGACATAGGCTTCCAAAGAGAGTTCGGCGCTAGTAGCTGGACGAATTCGCCCGAGTCACGACGCGAAGGATGCAAAACCATGTTCTTCTTTATCTGCGCTTGGTCATTTTGGCGAATCCCTCCGAAGCCAAGTTCAATGAGGATACGGGTGAGAGAAACGTGTTTGACTCCATGCGTATGTGGAGCTCGGTGTGGTAAAGCCACAACTCCGAAAGGCGATAGTGAACGTGTTGTTGCGGGTGCAACCCCAGATCAACTGCCTGCTACTCCCAATCACCCCCGACGACGATCATCGCCTGAAACGAGGTCGTTCCCCGAACGCCATTTCGAACATGCATTCTTTCATTGCTTCGATATGGCACGATGCTGCATTTAAGCGAGACGCTATATCGCAGTTCAACCCATAGAATGTAAGTCAGGCAAGCGTTATAGCTCAATCGGTCTTATATATGCCTTGCGGTAAGTTGGACGCTTCACTTCGAAGTGAACCGCACTCCCGTGTCCTCACCTCAAGAGTCTGTCAAACCACGCAGACATGATTTATACCTCCTTCAACCAAATCGCTTTGGTTCTCAGCGTTGCCTTGTGCACCGCCGCACAAAGCTACGCGGTTCAAGCTGGCTACCACGTCCTCTATAGCTACTCCGGCAAGACCATCCCGGACTCTATCTTTCAAGCCGCAGCGTCGGGAACAATTGGTGGCCTGATCCTCTTCGGCGGCAACATCGACTCCACCCTCCCCTCGCAACTCTCCTCCCTCCAGTCCGCATACAAGCAATCCTCCAACTACGCCGGAGCTCCGCTCCTCATTGTCACCGACCAAGAAGGCGGTCAAGTCAACCGCCTCCCCGGCGGCCCCACCCTCTCCGCCAAAAAGGTCGGCCAAGCCAGCGATCCCGCCGCCGCCGCATCCAGCGCCGGCGCGACCGTCGCCCAGGGATTCTCGACATACAAAGTCAACGGCAATCTCGCCCCGGTCCTCGGCGTCTACCGGTCCGCGGGAGATTTCCTCGACGAGTATGGGCGATCCTACGGCATGACCGCGAGCCTGGTCGCCAAATGCGTGGGGCCGTTCATCTCGAAACTGCAGTCCTACGGCTATGCCGCGACGGCGAAACATTTCCCGGGCCTCGGCGCGGCCTCCTCGTCGGAGAACACGGACGAAGCCCCCGTGACGATCAACCTGTCCCTCTCGGAGCTGCGCTCCGTCGACGAGGTCCCCTACCAAACGGCGATCACGAACGGCGTGAAGATGGTCATGCCGTCGTGGGCGGTGTACCCTGCGCTGGACGGCTCGCGGCCTTCGGGCCTGAGCTCGAAATGGCTCAAGGACGAACTCCGCGGGCGACTGGGCTTCTCCGGGGTCACGATCAGCGATGCGATCACAGCGGGTGGGCTGCGAGATTATGGCAGTATCAGCAATCGTGCCGTATTGGCGGTGCAGGCGGGTATGGACATCATTGTGGTCACGGGGAATAGTCCGGCGGATGGAGCGACGGTGGTCTCGGCGCTCGCGGCGGCGGTGCAGAATGGCCAGATTGCGTCGCCGGCGTTTAGTGGGTCTTCGCAGAGGATTTTGAATCTTCGGAAGGCGCTCGCTACGTGAGAAGGGGGATCGCGACGATCGGGATGTGCCTTTCTGGTAGACGCTGTGTAAGAATGATGCATAGAGTCAACTCGAAAATTTACAGAAAGTATTCGCGGGTTCCCGCTACCATGTGCGATCTGAACGCCATGTGACCACAGATGGCTCTCTAGAGACACGTCAGGAACCCGCACAAGAGTCCGTGCTGGATGACAGCGTAGAGAGGAAACTTTATCTAACGTCAAGATCAGCAGGACTTGCTGACCGGATTTACAGACGATGCGGCAAAAGACCAATTTGGAACAGCACCAAGTTAATTAACGAAGATAGGGTAATTTCGTAAATATCGTGACATGTGAGAGATACCATCATATAAGCGTCAAAAAGGCAAAGATAATCGCGTAGAACGAACCAAAATAGGCGAACACGAAATAGTCAAACAAGCGAGTCTGCCAGCAGAGATGCCATGAGGTGAGACGCAAGAACAATATTTGCTTGCAAGATATAGGTGCAATCATATCAACACAGAGCAGCGCCGTTCTGTCGTCCAGCGGGTATCAGAAAGGCGTCGTAAAGAGATTCGTTAGTCATTAGATTTCATTCGTCGTAAAAGGGTTCCATCTCCTGTGGGAGGTTGGTCATCGTGGAAAGCATCATTATCGTGAGAGGTCGTTATTCTTGATTGAGGGAACGTTGAGCTGTTGGGCCAAGCGACGGACGTCGTGTAGTCGTGACTTCGTATCATTTACAGGTCATAGGAAGAAGGGTGATATGTGTCGAAGGAGGCAGGCAAGCCATGGATAGGTTGGAGCGCGTTCATATAGCCTGACTGAATGATGATGCAGTCGCAGGCAGGGAGACATTATCGAGCGTTGGCTGACTCTTTCCGGAGTGGCGATTTCGGATGTGTCTTTGCAGATTGTCCGGCCGATTGAAAGTCGTCTTGACGCAACTCGGATGAGGACAACGGAAAGTCGCCGAAGCTGCATCGGAACCATCGTGACCTGTTTTCCTGTAATGTCGGTCGAGTGCCTTCTTATCGAGGAAGATCTCATGGCAGGAGGCCATCATGCAAGGCTTAGACGGCTCTCTGTGGGTTCGCTGATGCCTACTAGAATTGACGTCAGCGGTCAGAAGGTGATTATCAAAGCATTCAGACATACGAGAGCTCCTTCTTGGAGTAGTAGTTGTCGCACCCGGAGCATTTAACGTTGTGCTTTAGGTCGGGGTTCTTGAGCGCGTCCAAAGTGCGCCGTGGTTTACGGCTTTTGCGAGATGTAGAAGAGAGAGCGCTTTGTACTGGTGGAGCAGCGAGGTTGCCACTGTTTGCGACACCCGACAGCGAAGGCAGAGGGTCACGGTGCGCGCCGCTTCTCGTCTCGTCGACGAGATCAGGTATGCTTCGAGGGTTCGGATGGCGTTCGGACTCGAGAACACGAGATGGCAGCGCTGGACCATATTGAGGACCTTGCAAGTCGATCATGCTAACGGACATGGCGTCCTGTTGTACTTCACCAACGATGTCAGCCTGTTCAGGTGATGGCGCTTGCGGGTGGGATGTCGATCCATATGCTGGAGAAGCGTGATGATGGAGGTCGGTCGGCGGCATATCTGAAATTGCAAATGTGGACTGTGGTAAGAGGCTATCCTCCATAAGTTGTAGATAATCTGTTGTATAGATGGCATCTTGCGCTTCTATGATGACCCACGGAAGGCCCATTGATGTCGAAGGAGCATCTAGTATATCCGAATCAGGGACGTCCTGTGGAATGAAGCTATCAAGCGCAGCATCGTCGCAGCCATGAGAGTCGTCGAAAGGCGCCGAATACCATGTCAAGGCCGGTGCTGAGCCTGCGTAGAAGTGGGCGGGTGGGTGAACCTGCAAGGAATCCGACAGCAGAACATTGTCTAAGTCCAGCTCTCGTGGAGGCGATGAGATGCTATCGTTGAATTGCAGGAATGGCAGATCCTGGTTGAAAGCGGAGCCGGCATAGTTGACCGCTGCTTCTTCATCTTCTTCGAGCGTGGCGGCTTTCTCGGGAATATGTTCTGTAACTCCAGGCACGGCGGCTTGACCGAGGACGGCTGGTGACATGGCGGTCCTGTTGAAAGAACCAATGTCGAAGTGGAAAGCCCAAGGAAGCTGACGCGCAAGAATACAGTGGTGTAATATACAAAAAAGACAAACGCGTGAAGTACAGCCGTGACCACAACCGGCCGGTACAGATCTGTGCTCCAATTCGAGATATTCGGTCCGTGGCGCGCCCAGCAAGAGAAGAACGCCGAAACAATGACCGAGACTGAGAAGCCAATAATAGTGATAAGAATAGTAATAGCGGTAGTAGTGTGGAGTGTGAAGTGATAATGATATTGTTGTGAAGCTGGGAAGATCTGGTCAAAGAGGAGGCCGTGATGTAAAACACGGAACAGAATCTATACCGGGTCGGTATATATACTGTAACAAGAGAGAAGATCGATGTGCCGGGTGGGAAAATCTGGTGACGAGAGGAGAGACCGACTCAAGCCGCGACGTCCAGCGCGCACGCAGGTGCTGGGTGTGGCCTCCGACCGATTCTCGGAACAGCTCGTCGGAGGAGGCCTATGATGTTTGATCTGACGGAGGGCATTTGAGAGAGCCGCCAGTGAAGAGGCACGCATCTGCAGCACATCACCACAAATACCGCCCCGACGATGCGGAGTAGCTCCTTCTCCGTTTCCTTCTAGAAGACCTAGAGAATTCTCCGGCATGATGCATCACCAGGCCGGAATCTCCCCGGTGCAGATTGGGTGAACCCTACAACAGCAAGCAATCATCACGGGTGACCAATGCTCAATAGTCAAGGATACACCGAACTTCTCTCGCATCAAGAGACAACCACCAGTCGGTCTGCGCAGGCTTCCCAATGCGCCGATGCAGATCCAATTTCCCATAGCCTCAATAGTAACAATCCATGATCATCGATCCCGAGTGGGCGCTGAGCGATGACGCGAGGGTGGGCGATGATGGCATTTACAGAGGACCGCTCAATCGGATGTGATGACAACGAACCCACGGTACTCGCCCCGATGCAGGCAAGCAAGCGACAAGGATTACACGGGATGAAAGGCGAGATCGTGTTTCGGTTGCTGTGCTAGTTTTGATCTTCCAGAAGATGTAGTAGCGTGCTGCTTCGATTCAATAGCTCTATATCAAATAGTCTCGTCACCGGGCCGAAGTGCAGGTCATCGCAAAAGTTCACAGCCTTCTCCTTGCTGCGAGACTCCACCCCCACGTGCATGTGCGAGAAAATACCGGACGGCACCTGTTGACAGCGATCGCGGGTCTGTAATTCAGTACAGGTGTGTGCAAACGACCTCGGGACCATGCTATACAGTAGTTGTGTATACCTCCTGTTCAGTGCATGGCGAAGCGTTGTGGGTGTTATCAGCCGGCCAGGCGACGGTCGGGCCGTGAGTCTGCCCAGCACCACAGTCATACCCATTCATGTGCCGACCAGGAAATGCGTGTGATGTTGACACGATGGCATGGGTTATCGTACCCACAATACGTAGTATACCAGGGACAGGTATACCACCTCTACGGGCATCCGGCCCGGCGGAGCTGCGGTTCACGGCCATGATGATGAGGTTGGTGGAGTAGTATCCTGTTTGAATGCCTCCGGTGGAGAAGTCACGATAATGTCGGGTGGACGATGATGCTACATCCACGCAGAGCAAGTCTACGCGGAATTGCGTAGTGAGTAGTCGTTGCAGAAACAGCAAGTCATTGAACACCAGGCCTTAGCGCGAGTGAGTCAAATCGCCCTTCTCAGCTCCTCATCACATGCCAGTATATCACCATTCTGGAAAGACACGAGTTGCAACTCTGGATCCATCCACAGCAGCGCGGACGCACAAGAGACTGCACTTCGGCAATGGGAATTCTACAGTAGATGACAAGGATAAGCGCCATCACGAGAGCATACATTGGCTTGGACGCCCGCGATGGGGGCAATGCGCTGGCATTTCCATGCCCCGTGACCTTCGCGAACGGCGCGGCCTCTGGGTCCTGATCCTTCAGAACTTCATCATCAAAGTGAATTGGAAAACATCGTTCCTGCCTCGGTATTCGGCCTCTAGGGTCCCCCACGGAAGAAGAGAAGAATGACGACAGGTCTCTGCGACGGAAAACTGTCCACAAGAGGTCATTGTTGAAGTTCCATGTTCGGGGGCGATGAGGGATATCAAGCTAAGCCTGGCCTTGGCCTTGGCCTTTGTCGATCGGCGGAGGCCTCACGGAGGGAAATTACGCATGATGACCCTCGCGGTGAACACATGAAATGGGTGTTGGTACGTACAATACATGCTCGAGTATCGATTCACACACGCGGATTAGCGGGCCTAAATGCCCGGCAGGCAAGGATGTGTCATCCCCTGCGAGTAAAAGGACGGAGGGCCACGATATGGGTTATGTCAAAGAGGAGGGTAGATAATCCAAATGGCGAAAGTACAAGGTGCCGCCTATTGCAGAGCAGCGGGCGGGATGCCGCCAGTAAATTTCTTGGCTGACTAAACAAGACGTCGGGATTGGGAGCATCGCGAAGTTCTGGAATGCGACGAACGACAGTGAATCAAGCCGATGAGCATTCTTCCGCCGAGCCGACGTCACTGGGATCTCCAAGTCATCGCACACAGATCTCTCAGCAAATGCGCAGTCTGGGGGCTGTGTAGGCGCAAATCTTCTGACCCATTGTGGGTAAAAAGTAAGCCGAAGCCAAAAGATATGCAGCTGTGCGGCACAGTCAGAGGCAGTATAGGAGGTGAGGTGAATGAGAGTGAGGAGATGATGTCGTCCTTCTCTACGGTGGGGGAGACGAATGGGCTGTATGCTTCCCACGCTAAAGCCATTGACCGGTCGTTAGCTGCGCGCAACGGTCAGCGGACGCGCCAACGGGCTTTTCCTACTCGTGACCCAAGTTTCTCTCTTCTGTCTTTCTGACAGGGAACAGCAAATTGGGCTGGATCGGAATCATGAATCTAACAGAAAATACGGGTGAAGAGCAGTGAAAGCCGATCAATTGCATGCTGCCGGTGGTATATTGCGAAGAAAATAAAATGCATGTGCCGGAACCAAAAAAGCCCCTCGTCTCCCAGATTTTGAGCCCAGAAAATTGCAGCGCTGCCGTACGCCGTACGCTTGGGTCCCACCCATGCCCTGCCCCAGATGAGTGATGTTACATTTGCCAGCTTTGCACTGTCCGCACAAGCTTTTGGGGGCCAGAAGAGTAAAATAAATCAAAACGCCAATAAATGCTTCGCCCATGCATTGCCTCGTAGAGAGCTTCTGAAGGGAAAGCCCGTCGCGCGAGCCATGCCCCAAAAAAATGCTAATATCATGCATCGTCGTTCAATCATAGATCTCGTATAGTCGTGTGCTCGCCGATGTCTCGCCGACATTGAGTCACGACATCTGCATCGGCTGTGCCGGCGCCATATACATCATTGGCGGGGGGGTTCGGACCGGGTGGACGGCTCCGATGTGTCGGTCGAGATGGTCCCGTCGCCGGAACCCTTTCGTGGCGTACTTGCAGTCTGCCATGGGGCAGAGGAATCGATGAGCATCCGGGTCGTGGTTGGGCATATGCCGGCCCAAGTCTTTGCGATATTGGAAGCGCTTCTTGCAGATGGTACATACGTGCTGGCGATCACTGTATGACTTGTGCGTTCGTCCGTGATGCGTCAAAGCGGCTTGTGTAGGGAAGCCGGCGCCGCAGGATCCGACTTTGCAGGTGTACGGATACGATCCTATTGACATTTGGTATCTGTTGCGTCGAGGGCCGTTGCGTGTGGAAGATGCTGTCGTGGATATCGAGCTAGGTGAGCGGGATCCTGAGACGTCGTTCGGCGGTGGTATGAGACTGCCGGTATGCAGCTTTGGCATCATATCATCGCCCATGTCCGGCATGTGTCGCGACCATTCGTCCGTGGAAGGAATGCTGGGGAGTCCTAGGTCAAGCTGGGATGTCCGTGGCGAGCACTCCTGTGGTGTGATCGGGGTGTGGTAGCTTGATGAAAGTCCAGGTAGGGAGTGAACGTCAGGCACATAATTTGGGAAATTGTCTGTTTGATAATGGGCTGAGCTTGGCTCTAATGAGTAGCAGCTCGAGGTTTGTCCAAGTTGTGGCTCGACCAGTAAAGGTTTGGAGTCCTCCAGACTATCTAAAGCATCGGCGTGGAGCTGCACGACAGATGGCCCCCCGAGTTCTGTGGGCCACATATATCCTCGCTCCCAGTTGGCCACACTGTCATGAGTGTAATATCTCGGTGTATCCTGGATCGGTCCGGGATAGTGATGGCGCGCGTCCTCGTATCTCGCCAGCTGATAATCGTCGTGCGCCAAGATGCCACTGCTCTGAAAGGTGGACATCGGAAGCCCAGTAATATGTGGAGAGAGCATCATCGTATTGCTTGGCTTGACCCCGGGATGTATATCGTGAGCTGGATGAACGCCGCGCTGGTCGAGAAAAGGAACAGGGCATTGTAACGGTTCGACTGATGCGAGTGAAGTCACATTTTCTAGAGCGGCCATGTCGCTCGGCGACGTTGCAGCCGAGTAGAAATTCTGCAGCGACGCGCTTATGCTCGTTGGCGTCCTCGCCGTTTGGATTTGTCCATGATATGTTGTTCCGGACGTGACGGGAGCCAGAAGAGGCCAGTCAGCGTCGCTTGTGTTGAAAACTTCGTTCAGGTCAGGAAGGTCTTTGGTGATAATCATCAGGGCGCGCTGATAGTTCAATGGTATGATGATTCGAGCTGCGAAATGGCAAACAAACAAACACAGGAACGAAGTCTGATGCTGGTTGGGGACAACAGAGTCGATCGTTAAGGTGGGTGGAAGTGTGGTATCTGTAGATGATGTCGATGATGCGAATTGCGAAACCGACGCAATGGAGACATCTCCGACAACATGAGCGGCTCCATTGTATATATACTGGGATAGTTGTGGGTGACGTGAATCTACTGTGAGCAAGATAGATTGACAGTAGAGTGGTTTGTAGAACGGGGCGCAGGCGTGATAGAGCTCACATCACTAGCGCTGTGAAATGAACATTCCTGCAATCCATGGGAGAGGCTTGTGCTAAGCCACTGTGCAGCACTGCGGGTGATATGGTGCAGTCACGGTACCTGTCGAATGTACATCATTTGATATTCGCGCACGATGAATAGTCGGAAACGATGTCCGTGAAAGGACATGCTCCACTAGCAGTTTACGATCGCTTGAACGGTGTCGCATTGCGATCGTGCTCTTGTCCATGTAATCAATTCAGCCATTCGATAGACACAAATTGCGATGACACGGGCGGAGTCAGATCTGCGTTTTCGTGCCTGAGGATTCAACTATGCCCAGGGCTGTTTCTTACGGGCCGCAGCCGCCAGTAATGCTTTGCTTTGCCCTACCTTACTTGTCCTTGCTGGGCGGGCGGGTACATCCTTCCTGCATACACCTCACTGTAGCCGTGCGATGCGTCCTAGGTAGAGAGACAGCAGCATGCAGGTGGAGCTACAGTCTCCGCTTGGAAGATTCCGAACATCGGTTGGGAAGAACTTTCCTTGGAATGCATCTACCGTTTAGACTTTTCCATCGCTCTTCAACTACTGTGTTGTAATTACGCTGCCATCACGTTGCAGATGGTTACATTGCAGCAGTAATCTGCTAGTCACGATACATTTCCTCTTGCTTCTTGATGAGAGCGAAGAGCGGAATGAATACTGTGGTCGTCGATGGAGCGGCAATCTCGATGTCCTCTACGCGCGTACAGCTGACAGCACGAGTCTGTCGATCTCTCTCGACCCATGCAATGCGCAGACAGATACCTAGGTATGGTAGGTATGGTACAGTAAAATGTTTCGATCGATGCCCACTCGAGAAGGGGGTTCAAACAGCCCAGTCCCTCCCTTCTATTTCAAAACATATCATTGGCGGATACATCTTCTTGCGACATAGATCAGCCATGTTAAAATAGGGCGATGAAGGCACTGGGCCTATCAATCTCGTGGCGTTGAGTATACGAGAATTGAAGATCTTGGACTCAACACTCAAGCATTACTGCCAATCCCTACGTCAGAATGCTCATGCACGCGATCAATGGCCTGCAGAAGAAGACAAGAAGGAATGCCGTAAATTCCATGCATGGCCCATCGACTGCGCATTCCAATGGGCGCCGCCATGCAGGATCATCCACGACAATTACCGAGATAATCTAGCAGCAGCAGGGCGATTCACATGACATGAAGGGAGGAGCAGGGAGGGCTTCTGCGCATTGCTGGCTCCTGCGCGCAAGCTGGCTGGTGGAGTTTATCTGCAGGGAAGTGGCTGAGCTTTTCCGTCGCAGGAGAGCTCATCACGGGTGGTTTTGCGCAGCCCGCCGCTTATGCCCCACCACGATCCCACGGTCCCAAGGTAGGGAGCGGCTATCCCATACTGATCGCACCTGGGATACAGCACAGCGACTGCAAATCTCGTGATGCCATCATCGCTGATTATTACCATGCTTGTCGCATTGGGGGAAAAGACGCCATGGATGATCGCGACTACAAAGGAACGTGACCGTCCATCGTCATTTCTTCATTTTGGCCCCCAACACTTCTGACCGCAGTCACTTAGCATCATCTGCATGTTTGGAGGTCCGTCACGGTCATGATCGTTCGTCACAACGAATTGTCGTCACTCGTGCCCGTTACCGGTGTGTTCTCATTACAAACTTCCAAGGTTGCGCATGTGTGAGGTGGTCAAAGAAATCTACCAGACCGACAGTTCCTACGCAGCGCAGTGCGGAGACAGTACAAATTCCACGCCCAAATGGCGGGATTCGGTTCCTTGGCCGCAGACACATACAGTACAGACAGGCACACACACATACACACTTCTCGAAGCTGTCTCCCATCGTGGCGGCTCGTGGCGGCGGTCCAGAGTACAACATACAGTCTATGTGTTCGGAAGACTGTACCAACAAATCGTCGCAACGCCTGATGCACACAATACGTTTCGAAGGATTGGGCTCTGGCGACATTTCATGCACTTCGCCCTCGAGCTAACCCGAATCACGACTGCTAGCAACATGATTTCATGATATCGGGGGTGCGGTCCCTGCACCACAGGCAATGGGACCGCTTCCGCGATTCGATGGTCAATCCGTCCTGGATTTATATTGCGTATGAGATATGGTCTCATCACTAGAATACTGACGAGCGGTGCAAAGCGGTAGCTTCATGGAGACATCGCCGCACCACGTGAATCATCAGCCAGTAACAAGCCCAAACCGGCAGGCACGTAACCCTAAGGATGAAAAGGCCCGAGGGCTCACGGGTGAAGGTTTGTAAACATGCTGTTAACGGTCAGATGATGGTTCAAAATCATTTTCGACTAGGTCGAATGGAGTCCCCACTGTGAAGAATATCGACAGGTACATACACCGTATCTACCGAAGATCATCATATGCTCGCCATCTTCATCATCACTGCTCAGACCAACCGTCGCTAACAGAAGCACGCTTTTTCAACTCGCCAAAAAACCTTTCTATCTTCGACATCTTCTACCCGGAGAGATAAGTCGCATACTTGCTCTTGCCCTTGATAACATTGAGGTACTCCGACGCGATAGATCGCGCCGTCTGCTCACTCAAATGGAGCTCATCGTACCACATATAGCTGTCCGGGCTGGGCTGATTGACACAATTGCCGCGATGGATATCACAGTGGTGGATGAACCCCGTCACATTCGCAGGCGCCGTGCCGTTGAAGTATCTCGAGGGGTTGTTGTAGAAGTCACGGAACTGTCGAAACCTCGGGTTAGAATGTACGTTTTTTGCGATCAAGTGGCTTTCGCCTTCCGCTTTGCTCCTGGCGAGGAAACTTACCAGCGAGTTGACATCGAATAGCGCGAATCGGGCGCCGGGGAAGTTTTTCTGCACGAGCACTTCGAACGGTAACCGGTATTTGTAGATCTGATTGTTGCTCACGACCAGCTCGAACATGCTGATCGAAACAGCAGTGCGATTGGCAGGTTTGTCAGGCCAATAACCGTTAGGTCCTACGCCGCCGGCATCGGGCATGGCATAGAGCGGAGCCAGATTCAAGGGCACAACGTTGAGGAGCGTGAAGTATCTCGCTCCAAGATTGTACAGCTTCTGCACTTGGGCGAAAACGCAGTCCACGCAGTCAGCAATGCTCGTACCCAGGACCTGCGAATCCGTGAGCAGCCCGCCAGTCCCGATATCATTGGCGCCCACCCAGACGTTGTAGACCGTCTGATCCACAGGCGCGATGAGGAATTTCGAGCCGTCTTTGTTGACGACTTTGCTGTCGGCTTGAAAAGCGGGAATTTCGTACTGCGAGACGGACGGGTAGGGGCCTCGGATGGCATCGTAATATCGAGGCGTTATGGCATTGCTGCAGACACCTCCGGAGACGGCGTAGTTGTACAGGCGGACCCCGGCGTATTGACGCACATATTCGGGCCATGGTCGTCCTCCATCGGCGGAATGGTAATTCTGCGATTTGAATGAGGACCGGGATTGCGCGGAGTGTCGTTCAAATTGTTGTACTCACCACCGGGTTCACCCAGCCGGGCGGTGGCGCCTGCCCTTGATGTTCCCTGAAGTAATCGAGTCGAGCATCATCGCTGTAGCTATCACCAAAGGCCACCAATGTGGAGAATTTGGATAGATCCCAACTGCTTGCTTGACATATTGAGACGGGTGCTAGTAGCAGCAGGAGTAGCATTGTACTTGAACCCGACAGGGTCTGGAACTGCATGGCTGCGTGTCGCGGATGAGACCGACCGGGAGAGGGAGGGATGGCGAAACACTTCTACAGAGGACGCTGTGTGGATTGCGTGCTGGGCATTCGCTACGTTATATACTATATGACCCGTGCATGCTGTGGAGCTCTAACGCAAAAGCTTGATTGACGATCTGACATGCTTGTCGTGCTTATGTGTTAGGCTCTACCAGCATAAGCACACATCTCCATACAGAAAGCCGCGAGGAGCCAAGAAATCTGGGCGCCGACTGGCCGACAAACACGACTGCATGACCATTCAAATCATCATTGACAAAAAATCCTCGTGCGAAGCTGTCGTTCACTACCCATTAGCGCACCAGATTTATGTAAGTTGTTTGCTGTGAGTGAGAGCACGAGCGGAGCTTAATTCAAATGGGCGCCAGAGAGCTCGAAGCGCCACCTGCTTTGGCCACTGGTCTCGCCCAAGGACACTTTCGATGCCGCCTTGCCTCCGTGCCCCGCTGACCCGAGTTGGAAAAACCCATCGGCAGCTGCAGATTTGTCACAAATGTTCATGTCTGGGATGGCGATGTTGAGTCCGGCTTGCGCCAGCCCGGATATTACGTGGTGATGCGAATCGATGCCCTCGGTGACAACGACTTGTGCTAGAATTCGGAGCACTGCGTATCGGTATTTTATCGCGAGGAGACCTCAGGCGAGCTGCAGAAGTCCATGTAGAACCAAGGAATGTTGTTCGTATAATTAAGGTTGCCGATGACCCGAGCCGATCGAAATCGAGGACCCAACAGAAGCGATTCATTGTCTCAACGTTGCCTGTTTGATCGGGAATGCATGGTGAGGCTGACGGACATTGGCCCGCAGCACTGGGATGCGGGAAAAAGACCCTGGAGGATCTGCGCGCATCCGGCGGCCCAAATAGATGATTTGGCGGGGAACAGCCCATCCGCGGCTTGGGTTCGAGGAACCTGGGGGACTGAGACCCTTGCGGCGCCAGTCGCTTCAAGTATCTGCTTTACGATTGTGTGCCAACGTGCAAATGGAAGTGTAAGTCATAGATGGCACATGCTATCCGCATCCACCACATCTCTCATGACGCCCAAGCAAATTTGAGCCTCAACCGGCGGACTGCATTCTTGCCCATAATATTACATCGTATCGAAGCTACCAAGCTCGCGTCTCGCGATACTTCATCGCACCGCGTCCCTTGAATTGGACCGGCGCCTCGCTTTCACCATAGCCGTCATTACCTAGGCGACCATCGTTATTGCCTAATCGACCATCATCGCCGTGACGGTCGCGCCGATCGCGATCGCGATCGCGATACCGATCCCTATCCTTGTCAACACGATGTCCTGCGTACTGATGCCTGTGACTGCGCGGACTTGGTCTGTAACGATCATGATCACGCTCGGACTCATACCGCCGAGGAGGAGTTCTGCGTGGATCCTCGTGGGACCGATTCGTACGTCGTTCGCCGTGCCGTGCTGGAGACTGACTGCGTTTGCGTTTCTGCGTTTCCGTTGATCTCGATGGTTCGAGGGGCTCGTCGCCATCTGAGAGGGGCTGTGACGAAGCGTGTGAGGCCTGTGAGGATGAGCGAAGGCGAGGTCTTCCTCTGATGCCTTCATCAACTATGAGATCACTTCGCCTGCGTGCTCGATGATTTTTCGCAGGTCCATCCTCTATCATCTCGCTTTCGGAAAGATCCTGATCGCTTTTTCTTCTGCGACCGCGATCCTTGCTACTAGCCGGGACATGTTCGGCTGGCAAGGCCACGGCTTTCTTTTTCCGCTCCAACTCTCCACTCCTCGCTATCAAGACTGATCCTAAAGGGTGGTCATTGTCGTCTACGTCGACCTTTGCGATTCGCTCGAGGACTGCTTCGCCCGAGACGACCCTGCCAAAGACGGTATGCTTGCCGTTCAGATGGGGAGTGGGTACCAAGCTTATGAAGAACCTGTGCACGCATTCTTAGTCGCAATAACTCCATGTGGCTCGCACGAGGAAACTCACTGGCTGCCATTTGTATCTTTTCCCCTGTTCGCACTGCACACCAATCCGGCAGCATCCAGCTCTCGCCAGTTGAGATTCTCATCTTCAAATTCGCCGCCATAGATGCTCGTCACTCCCGTCCCATCGCTCTTTTCAATGTCGCCGCCCTGTATCATGAACTCGTCTATCACCCGGTGGAAGGGTATCTTGGCGTAGGAGAGACCATTGTACTCGCCGGTGCACAGCTGCCGAAAACTGCAACATCCACGTCATTAGCTATGATGCCCAAAATCTGTGGATCGACACAACGGCAACCATCAAATAGCTTACTTCTCGGCGGTTCGCGGCGCGTGTTGTGTGTATAGCTCAATAACGAGCCTTCCGACAGACTCCTGTCCGATGTTAACGTCAAGAAACACACGGGGCAGTGAGGCTGAGGTCATGATCGCGTTTCTCTATCGCATCGCTGGTGCATTGGCTGCAGCGGGTGCAGCAGCAGCTAAATTTACAGAGCGCAGGCCCTCGAATAAAGGCCGCGCTACTGAAACATTGAACCTGCGGGGTGCGTTTTCGACCGAACTGGTTCGGGTTAGCCCTGTCTCTGGATACAGGTTTCCAATGTCAATTTGTTGAGAGATGGGCGTGAATCACATCGTCCATTCACCTTGCGATGGTGACATATTCCCACTTCACCGTCGCTGGCCGGAACGAAGGTATGACTCATTGACGACTTCGTATCACAGTATGATAGGCAATGCTTGTGCAATGAGCACACACATCTTTATCGGCTGATCCAGTCCGTGTAACAACGCCAATCTGCGAAGAACTTTGACTCTCGTGAGCTGATGTGGCCGCCAAAGAGGTCTGTGATAGTCGCACAGACTCGTTGCAGATTTGCGGTCCGACGCCGCTGACATGGCCAAAATTGGATTCCGGGTAGTATTATCAGCACGTAAAATTACATTAGTTCCATGGACTCTGCGTTGCACTGGTTCCCTCTCTCGGGAATGTGCCTCAGACTTGCTACGTGTTCGCGAACACAACCGCCGTGGCTGTCTATGGTGCAAAGCGGCTATCAGCCGCAGGGTTGACCCAACCGCTGCCGCTGCTATGATCACACGCGGCACTCTGTCTGTGTCATGCCATAGTCCCCAATTGAGCAGACCTCCCAAGCGATCTTCAAATTTGTCGCTGTCGTTTGCGTCCAGCCGCAGTGCCAGCCGCCGATCCCTTCTGACTGGTACGCTCTTGGGCATCGAGGACCAAGCTGAGCACATCGAAACCGAATTGAGGGAATTCCAAGCACATCTTCTTGAACTCCTGCTCGGCCTCGTGGCGCAGCACGTAGCTTCGCGAAGCCCAAAACGCCGCGATGGGTTTGCGAACGTTCTCGTCGTCGGGACTCGTCTCCTTGTAGACATAACGAGCATATGCGATCTCGCCACGAGCATTCGAGGATGTGAGGTGGATTTTGCGATGCGCGAGGGATGAAAGCTTTGGCAGACCCAGCTTTTTCGCCAATGTGTATACGCGCGCATGTCGCAGAAGACCAACACCCTCATCGTCTTTCACTGGAACAGATGGATCGACCTCCAAGCTAGTCTTGTTGGTCACGGCCGGGAAGTATTCGGATCGGTAGAGGTACTCGAGCACGGCTGAAGTTGCGGCCAAGTCCTCGTCAGGCAGAAGGATGCGCCGGCCAGCAGCGTCGTCGCTGAATTGTTGGCACGCTTCGGTGAAGTAAGGCGATCGCAAAATCAGTCCTTGGTGTGCGAAGAGACTGGTCGGTTCGTTCTCCGGTCCAATAACTAGTTCGACGATTGGTGAGCGCAGGTAGCTGGAAGGATCGCGGATGGTTAGTATATTCCATTTTCCAAACCCTTCGTACTTTTCTTGTTGATCGCATCGTGCAGAGTCACTCAGAGAATGCAACATGTTCTGGCGCAGTGGGCTCGATGTCGCCGAGACCGCCTGCTGTGGTTTCGTCGCCAATGTCTGCTTCCTCGCCCATCTCTTCATCGGCCGCGACATCCTCCTCAATGACTACCTCAACTTCGGGTTCTGACATTTTCCTAATCGTACGGTGATATTGTATTTAATAGTTGTGGAATGATGCGCTGCGATTGGTTCCTAAAACATCGTAATACTCAAACAGCTCAATGCGCCAGGCGGATCAATCTGGCTTGTGATTGAAAGCACGCAGACGCACGAGACGACTACAAGTCACGTGTTAATTCGCTGACGGCTCTTGAACGCGTGCGACATTCCCGTCGCTGTCGAGGTCACAAATCGAAAATCATTGCAGTAGTGTATGTGCGAGTACGTTTCATCCCTAGCTAGGAATTAGGAACATGGTCTCGTGGAATGTCATGCGCGAATAGCTTTCGGTCGGGGTCTGAGCTACGTAGCTGTCCATGGAGCTTTGGTACCTGCATGGCACCGCCGTCATTGCTGAAGGCTTCCCGAGGCCGGGGTTCAACGTGGGGGCTCGTGGGAACTTACGAATCCTTCAACATTTCACCGTTCGCTAAACACCCATCAAGTATACAATTATGCCAAATGGTTGCAACAAGCTTGCAGCATTGCGATTCTTTTTCGGTATGAAACGCATTGATTGACTTGCTACAAGTACCAAAAATGTAAGTATCAAACATCTATCTGATCAAAGTCAAATGATACGACGAGGAAAGTTCGCCGTTAGCGTTTGTTCCTGTCATGACCTATTCAATGTCCATCTCTTGCGCTGCTTCTGATTGCCCTCGCGCGATGATGGAGCCGCGCTCCACGACAGAGCTCTGCTTGGCAACCTCCTCCTGAATTCGTGCTTTGACAAGGTTCTCCTCAAACTCCATCCGCACCCCGACAACGTTCTGGATGTGTGCCCGACTCAGCGGGACCTTCGAAAATCTCGCCAGCGTACGAGCCGTGTTTACGATGTTGGAGATCTCTCGGCCGTTGAGGTTGGCCTGAGCCAGGGCGTCGACGGACGCAACGAGTTCATCACTACATTCTCCCTTGGGCATTACGCTGAGGGTATGTGCCCAGATCCGGCGACGCGAGTCGATGTCCGGAGCGGAGTAGCCAAGCGCGAGATGCACTCGGCTCTTCATCGCCGCATCAAAGACATGGATGCGGTTCGTAGTCAGGAACACGATTCCGGAGAAGTATTCCAGATGTCGCAGGAATACAGCGACCAGTGCGTTTCGAGAAGCCATTTCATTCGTCGTCGAACTTTTGTCTCCGCGGGCCTCGAGAAAGACGTCGGCTTCATCGAAGAGCACAACTGCTTTCCAGATTGTTGCTAGTCTCAGAACCTTCTTGAGTTCGCGTTCGAAGTAATAGGCCTCATTGTACTTGTTGAGTTCGGACATGGATGTGCTGAACAACGCTCGTTGTGTCTCCTCGGCAGCGCATTCTGCTGTAAGTGTTTTGCCGGATCCGGGCGGACCATGGAGGAGCGCCACGAGGCCCTTGCCCTTCTGCTCTGTTTCATTTCGCGCATCATCCGGGAAGTTGTGAGAAGAGACGAGTGCATTGATGATGTTGAGCTGTTTGTCAGGCAAGATAAGGGATTTAAAGGAATCCTTCTTCCAAGTCGTTTCGCTGATGTTGTCGATAAAGAATCGACACCACTCTTTACGTGAGACCGAGTAGCCGAAAACGAACGGTGGGCACAACAATCGATCCTTATCGGTGATGGCGCCTGCCTTCCCGAGCTGCGAGCCTGCATAATGATCCTCCTGGTAAGTCTTTCGATCAATCATAACACGGCCACTCTCCGTGTACGGCATCCAGACCGGCTTGAATTCGTCCATATCGGGATCCCAATAGCTGGGCGGGGCTTCTTTGAGATGCTCTGCGAGGCCGTTGTAGTGCTTGATGGATACACCTTGCAATTGGATGAACTTTTCACCTCTAGCGATCATGCGTTTGTCGAGCTCCTCGCCTTCATCGAGGAATCTCCGAGGGTATACTGGGAGCTCATGGATTTTGATCGGATTCCCTTGGCCGAAAAGAGCCCTTTGAAGCAGCTTGAAAGAATATTTGTTCGTTCCCACACAGGTGCCGTCATAATCTGTGTGAGCTGCTTCGACGATCATGTAGTTGCCGCATTTTGCATCTTCTTCATAGAAGGTCCTTGTGACCTCCATGAACCACAGATGCCCTCCTCTGAGATATGAAACGACGAGATCACCCGGACGGTACAGACGCCAAAGGCGCTCGAAGGTGATCTGCTCTTTCGACAACATTGCCTGCATCATCTGTCGCTCCTTTCCGAGACTTGAGTTCATGTATTCCAGGAGGACTTCCACATGCGAACGAGCTTCTTCATCCATCAATTCGCGGCAATATGTGTCAAACTCATCCCAATAGTGATGGAGCACATAGAACGGGGCCTCCATGTCGAAAGGTTCCGTGAAGTCCACTGTCAGCGTTGGATAGGTTCCCACCACGTCTCGGAAAGCTTTCAGAATGTGAGGGGAATTGATGGTCAACCGAGTGGTCTCCAATTTGTTCTCCTTCGTGTAGACCTGGCGTACCACGGCGGCAAATTGCCCATCGGCGCCGCGATGCAAGCTGAGCTCCTCGACCTCTACAGTCTCCTCATCGCCATCCTTGTTGAAGCGCTCCTGTAAACGTCTCAGCTTGCTGACTGATCCTGTAGGCAGTTGTGGCTCTTCGGCTTCCTTCTCGGCGTGCGACGCGTGCGATTCTGCGTCGCTGTTGATGGGTTCATCTCCCACAGGTTTTCCAGTGGCCTTGCGTTTCGGAGCCATGTTGAGAAGACCCGACGGTAAAATTTGATCTATGAGCAGTGGCTTCCTAGTGAAATTCGTTTGTTGCTTGAAATGAGGGCAGATTAGCTTGAACGGGGACGGGGCTGGTAAGAGTGTGAGAGTGAGAAGACCGGGCAGTCTTATGTCGTCTCAGTGCTAATGGTCTGCTGATACTAGAGAAAGATCCATTTGATCCGTTGGAATCACTGAAATATATATCTTCAACGAGACGACAGCACGCTATCCTAGGCTCCGTCGGGGGTTGCTGCGCCTTCTCTTAGATACTAGTCATTTTGACTCATCATTAGTCCATAAGACTAAGCGCGTCTGTCGCACTCGACGATACATGCCGAATCCGGACACCGGATGACAAGTTCCTGATCTTGATGCGTGCCTGACGTAGCCCACGCGGTATTACTCCTGATGAGTGCCTACCGGACAACGCGGATACCGCGGCCGTCATCTCCTTTCGGTGCGTGACTCTTCATCCTGACCTGATCCAGGCCTGAGGCTGACGACGAGGTATACGCAGCCTGAGACATTCCCTGCCGAAGTCATGCAGATCGTCATCCAAGGCTTGCGGCAGCTGCTGGCGGCGTGAAGGGCCTATCGTGCCTCCCAAGCTGTTTCGGGAAGTCCAATGACGCCGCAGCGGTATACTTTATGCAGGGTTCGGTCGGCTGCGGCACTCCGATGCACGTGATCCCGCCAGACAGGTCACGACTCGTTTATAACTAATAACTGTTGTTCGGTATTATTACAGTATAGAGGACTTGAACGGTCCCTGCATTGCGAGTAGGAAGGTAAGCTGCACCTTAGTACTGAGGTATCATTACTTACGTATAAACTGTGCTTTTATTACTGCGGCCAGCGAAGGGAATAAGTGCCGGCCTCCATAGTGAAACCAAGCCATGATTGCATTGGAACTCGAACCGGCGGCGACAATTCCATGATCAGTGACTGTCATGGCTTTCAGTTTGATCCACTTTTCCCGTGATATGAGACAGAGGAGGGCAGTTTCCTTTGTGCCATCAAAATTGACGTATTGTATGTAACGCGAGTCTGGAATTCCGGCCCTTGTTTTGGTTGCCGCGGCCATGCCACTGGAATGAGGCTGAAGATTCCGTGCGCTCGTGCACAGCCTGGATTCCAACCTGAGGCACGCAGCTAGCCCTGCCTCCAGCCTGCGACAACATGCCAAGTTTCGTCATTGCAGCAGCAAACAAACAAACAACGCAATGCCATGGCCCGAATGGCTCCGGGGTTCCTCCTCCTCCACCAAGGAGAACCTCTCCAAGGACGGTCTCCACCTCCCGGACAATGAACGAGCCCGCTCATGGAATGACTCTCTCAACGCGACCGACTGGTCGCACTACACAAGTCCCCAGGTCGTCACCCTGACCGTCCTAACCACCGGCGCGACCCTGGTGCTCTACCGACTGTATCGGGTTCACCTCATGCGGATCCCGAATGCAAATTACTTGACGCCGAACCGCATCGGGAAACGCAGCATGTACGGCTACGTCACGAGCGTCGGTGACGCGGACAACTTCCGGCTTTTCCACACCCCGGGCGGCCGGCTCGCGGGCTGGGGCTGGCTACCTGGCAGACAGCTGAGCAAGATGAAGAGTTTTCAGAATAAGACGGTGCACGTGCGGATTGCGGGTGTAGATGCCCCTGAGGCGGCGCACTTCGGTCGGCCGGCGCAGCCGTACTCGAAGGAGGCGCTGGACTGGCTCAAAGGTTTCGTTCTCCACAAGTATGTTCGGGTGATGCCGTATCGACGGGACCAGTATGAGCGCGTGGTGTGCACGGTGCATTATTGGCGGTGGGGGTTCTGGAAGACGGATGTGGGCTTGCAAATGCTTAAGAATGGCTGCGCGACGGTATACGAGGCGAAATTTGGAAGTGAGTTTGGTGGGGCGGAGAAAGAGAAACTCTATCGGGAGACCGAGGCGATCGCGAAGCAGAGGAAAGTGGGCATGTGGCAGAAGACGGGCTTGGTGGGTAGGATGCTAGGGAAGAAGGACACTAGCTTTGAGAGCCCACGGGCGTATAAGACGAGGATGCAGAAGGAGCAAACGGCGAAATGATAATTTGAGACGATCTGATGCCTGGTTTGGGTACCTCGTCATTTGCAAATTGCCCGCAAATTGAGATGGCGATATGTAGCTCGCGCGGCAAGGTCAAGAGAGTTACTTTGACAAATCGGATCTTCACGATATGCAAGATGCGTTGTGCCCATGACGCGCTAATGCCGGCAGACTCGTCAGGCAGTATCGCGATTACTGACCGCATGGCCATCAGCGTCCTCATTCGACGGGCAAGACCCAAATTTCTGCCTGCACAAAGATCCACAGCGCGATGCGGTGGGTATTTCAACAAGATCCGGGTGCCAATGGTCTTGATTCAAGACTGCCCCTCTTCACGAGGCGCAAGAACCGCGACAACGGTCAGGAGGGGTTTTTCGTTGTTCTCGGACCTACCTAGTGGCCGAGACTCGCTATCAGGCGAAAATCTAGTGCTTTTGCTGATTCGCCGAGGATCTGGATCGTCTATCCGAATATTCTTCATGACTCGAAATGTGCGAATCAGCTGGAAAGAACCTCATGACTGTTAGAATGTATTAGAATTGTAGCCACGACCTTATAATTGTACAATGAGCGTACCTGCGGATCGAAATTCATCAATTTTGTCATGTCTCGCGTGGATCTCACTTCAACTGACCTGTCCTCAAAATGTGCACCGTAGTATAAAAGCATGTGCTCCTCCGCAAATGTATGAGAGTGGCTGTCGTAAACCTGTCAATCCGGACTGACCGCGCAGTTTGATGTTTCGGGGACAGTGGTTATGGTACAAATTGTGACCGACGCCACGGTCGCGGCGAGAAGTCGTCAAACGATGTGTATATGGACATGTGAGAAGGGATTGCCATTGCACTGCGCTTCACATGGTGCCGTCCGGAGCAACACCATGCAGGGCCGGCATCTCCGCGGTCAGGACTACGTAAACGTTAGCAAGCAAGGAAGAGCATGCTGCAAGGTCGTCAGGAATGTGTAAAACTCACAGAAATTCCAGTCGAAATTGGGGTTGCTCAGGATATCCAGACTCCAATCTTCGCTGCTATGAGTGGGGACCCCATTGCCCAATGGCGTCCCATTTGGCACATAGTTCATCGCCTGCATAGCCGCAGCAGTGGTATCGAGTGACAACGGCACCGCGTTGTTCGCGACCGGCGGCCTTGGATCGGCATCCACACTGTCCCGGTCTAACGTCAGAGCCAGCGTCTCCGAATCCTCGTCTTTGCGCTTCTTCGACAGACGGACCAGGAACCGTGCTGTCTTGAGAACTTCCTTGATAGCAACAGTGCCAAATTGTGCGACGACAAATTCCAATGTGCGCATCGCGGTGCCGAGGTGGCAGAGCGCTTCCCGCACATCCATGGCGAGGAAGACGCAGATCACTTGGAAGGGCACGTTGGAGACATGCCACCAGCAGAGTTTCTTCTCGGCCATGGAGCGCGCAGCAGTTAGCCCTTGAAGACCAAGCTGGATGATCCTTTCTGTGGCGCGGGGGGAGAGGTTCGGGCATGCGATTCGTAAGCGACGGTAGCCGCAGAGGGCGAGATTGGCTTTTGAAAGCATGATTGCGGGATGTGACGCTTCATGCGCGTCGACCTGCGCGAGATATTCCTCCCATTGGGGAGACCTGTCTGCTTGCTCGGGGTCGAGGCAGCAGGATATGCTGTATAGGTTGAGGTATTCGGTGGTATAATCGCCCTCCTCCGAGGTTGGGAAGGACGCTGTGATACCACGGACTGCGACCCGGTTGCGGCCATACTCGAATGAGACCCAAGAGTTGATCATCCTCGCCACCCAGAACGTCCTTCGACGGATCTCGGGGTCGTCATGGCTGTCGCTTACGGCTGGATGGAGCACTGAACTGCTCACCTCCTCCTGCAGACCAATAGATTCGATGAGATGCATCGTGGTACAAGACGCTATCCATGAGGAGTGCGGATGGTCGGCCGCTCGGAGGAAAATGCATTGCAGTATCCAAGATTGAATATCCTTTAGGCACGGAGGCCTCATGATACTTGAATTCTCCAACGCTCGCCGTTGTGATTCAACCAGACTGGTAAGAAGGGGCGACAACTCGGCAGTCGAGAAGAGCAATCCGAGCGCAGCTATACCACAGAAAATATGGTCAGGTACGCTGCATGCTTGGTCGACTTTCCAACGAGCAGTGATGCCGTTCATCACCCAATCCTTGTCGAGAAAGCCATAGACAGGATGGAGCACTTCGAAATATCGCTGTGCTAGAATGGTCATCTGGTCTTGACTGAGAAACGACGTGACCGGAGGACCGCCCGGCGCCGACTCCGTGTAGCCAATGCCTAAGTTCCAGCCAAACGTGAACAATTTGGGTCCAGAAGAGGGGTCGAGGCGCATGCCCAAGACGCGCGTGAAGGCAATGCCCGAATTCGCCTCCATGGATCGCATCTTCGACGACTCCTCCACACCCTGGCGAACTTCCACCGGCGACTCGACCTTGACCGGGGAAATTTGCTCCGCTTGGGCATGATCGACCAGCTTAGATCGCTTGCGGGAATGTTTCTCGAAGAAGCATTTGTACTCGAATTGCGTGCACATGTTGCAGGGCATGCTGCCGTCGCAACGACGTTTGCGTAGACGACATGGTTCGCAGGCTTGTTTTGCTCTTTGCCGCTTCTGCGAGGGCGGGCTGGTGTCGCTGTTCATGTCCGTGGAAGTAGACATGGTCGCCAGCGTCCGCTCAGGACGATGCCATATGGGGATTTCTCGCGATCGCGCGTGCTCAAGAGGCGAGAAAAGCTCTACTTTGTCGCGACGACGCCGGAATCGGGAGCAATTGACTGCAATGTTCCCGTCAAAGGAGCTGCGCACAACAAGTGTCCGAATCAACTTTTCGATGGTCGGCAAACAAAGAGTTGTAGTCAATGCGCAGACCGTTAGCAGGGAAGCATTGCTTATTGTTGTTGGCGAAAGAGTACAAGGGTCTCACGTACACAGAGGGAGGTCGTGTGGATGGTTCCGTCATCAAAGGGTCTCAGCCCGGGGGTTAAGTCCGCTCTCAAGTCCGAACTGCAAAGCGCGCCAAGTGCTGCTTTTGGCGGCAAACGCCCTTCAATTGATCAATTGATCCGTTCAAAAATCTCCAGGGCTGCTTTGCACGGGCGCTCTCCACCATGTAAAGTACTAGCTGGACTTTCGGTGCAGCAGTCTCTGCAGGGTCGTCAACAGGGAGACGGGCACAATCTTATTTCTGACATGTATATATGCCATTTCTACAGTTCCTATGGTCTTGTGAATTCGCAAAATCGTGCTCGGGCATGATTCCGAGGATGGCACATCGAGGGAATCCATGCTTGATGGGATCGATGCATACGCGCTCGGCGACAGGCTTCTTGACAGTGACTTCCAAGACGCTGTCTCCGATAGCCTGGCCATGATGTTCTACGAAGCTGATTCCGACGGACATCGCTGGGGTCCTGATAGAGTCGCACAGAATCGGGTATATCACAGTACTCAGTCGGGATCGAAATTGCGTCAGCAAACAGTACATGCCATGGCGTATGGAAGAGCGGGCTTCTTGGGCGCGATTGATAATCCAGAGTTTCTCGCTGACTTCGCCAATTTTCAAATTGATCAATGATGATGCGAGTTTTCCCCCCGCGACGATGGACTGTCGTTTTCATGATCACATCAAGGGCCAGGAAATTTTCACCAGGCGGGTTACGACCTGTCTAATTCATTGCATCCAAGTGGTCCATCCCTTTGACCGATCATTGTACTGCTCTTGACAGCTGCGTGCCCGCTTCTGACATATCGTGAAAGGTCTATGTTATTTTAGAAGAACTTTCTGTATGAATAGTTGATCAGATAAAATAGACGAAATTTTGGGGTATCTCAAAGTAAGGATATGACCAGCACATCGAGGAAGAAGAATTTTCGTGCTCCATGCCACTCAACCGGAACACCTCGCTCAGACTCGCTTTCATAAGTGAACCCTTCCCTGGACGCCATATCACGCTGCCATCCACTCAAGAATCAGAAAAGAGAGACTCCAGCAGAAGTCCACAACAAAGATCAATCATTGCCCTCACGCCTCGAAGGAGACCGGCATCTCCCTGCCCTCTTCTCCTCTCTTACTGCTAGCCTGCTTGAAGACCTTCAAACCGCGCACATCCCAATACGCACCACTGAACGCGCTGGGGTTCTGGCCGACATACGCATTACACGTCGGCGCCTTGGCCTTACACGTCGGGTTGGAACCCCAGACACCGCCGGCCCAATCGCCGCAAAAGGTCGTGTTGAAGATGATCTTGAGGCTCTTGAAGGAATTCGCAATGCTGCAGCCGCCGGTGAATTTGGCCACGGGCGTACCCCATGACGCTGGGTTCGGGGCGGAGGATTGCGCGTTCTTTTCCTGGCTACTGCCGCGCGGGAAGAACCAGATGGTGATGGCCTGGGCGGTGATCTCGGTGGCGTAGATGCCACCTTGTGCGGCGTTGAAGCTTGCGCCGTAGGTGTTTTTGCTACCTTGTGCGGAGATGCCGCAGCCCATGTTACCGTTGTTGCCCGGGCTCAAGCAGTTGGTCGTGGCCATGTGGCCGCTGAAGCCGCTGTTGTTGTTGATGCTGCAGCCGGCACCGGTGTGAAGGGCCATGGCGTTGACCGAGTTGTCGTGGACGCCTTCGATGATGTCGATTTCACCGCCATTGGGCCAGTTCGGGCCGAGCATCCAGAAGGCAGGCCTTGTGAAGAACAGACAGTTTAGTGATCTCCATATATTAATTATAAAGTCTCGCTTGATGAATCGCCGCTTACCATGTACCACAGATGCCACCAGGCATATGTGCAATGTCGGCAATAATGAGACCGGTGTTGTATGATTTGGTGCTGGAGATGCGGACAGCGGGTCGACCGTTCGTCACCACGTTCTTGGAGTCGACACGCATCTGTGCGCTCCCCGAGGAACTGCTGATCAAGCCCTTGGCAGTGGAGCTATCCTTGCTCTGGTATGCAACGAAGCCGTTGGTCGGATCATGCCCAGTGAAGAAATCGAATTTGCTGAAGAAGCCTGCGCCGGCGAAGTAGTCATCTTCAAGAACATAGGCTGCGAAGGACGTGCTGCTCAACATGGCCAAGCAGGCCAACACTCTTGAGTAATGCATCCTGATGAGTGTGAGAGGTAGGACGGCGAAAGGAATGCAAGGAGAATTGGGAGGGCGTCCGATCACAGATCAAGGACAATGACTGCAAGGTGAGAATGGGATAGAGACGAATGTGAGGGATAACAAACCAACATCCCAAGAAACAAACGACACACGGACACCTACTTATGTGTTTCCTCACAATCATCGCACGAGCGTGAACATGTGGAGGTAGTCCGGGAGACATTGGAAGATCCTACTACCCACTGACTTACAGTGTAAGCCCCCGTGCCCTTCATCAGGCGCGAGGAATGACCATCTCACCCACACCCTTCGTCAAGTGAGATTGGTGTTCCTCAGAATGAGGCTCTCCGTGGAAGGAAGCAAGAGAGAGAGAAGGGAAAATGTCCGAGGCGTCCGCCATGGCGCCCAAGGTTCCAGTTTGACGGGGCGCTTCGAGAACGCCACAAGCCGCACTGCATAGCTTGATGCATGAGAGAGAAAGGTGTGTGGAGGGAAATGGCTGTTTTCAAGCTCTCAGGTCCGGAGACACACATCGTGAGATTATGAGGCAGCTCTCGTTCTCGCCGTTGTTTCGAGCCGGGATGCGAGAGCTCCACGCTTGATTTGCATTCTCTCTGTTGCAAGACCATGTGCATCTATTGTTCATTCATGCACGTCAATCCTTTGTTTTGCGAGACAGATAAAGAACCAAGTGCCAAGGAAATCATCGCCCGTGGGCGTGCCACATGAAGCAAAGAGGACACCGTCCAGCCCACGGGCTGTCAAAACTGAAGTTTGGACGGCCCCCTGACACTGACAGGTGGTGGGAAGTGTGCTGTGGTCTTCGGCAACAGCACGCCTCGAAGCCGATCCAACGGGCGCGCGTCCGACGAGAAGCCCTATATACACCTAGGTATGTACCTATTTCGGTGGTCGCTCCTCCCTGCCCTGGACCCCAAATTTATTAGAAGCCAACCTTGGAACCTGGGCGATGTAAGAATACTAGAACCCCCCCATCTCGCGGCAGAAGAAACGCTGCTGGTGGGCATAATATTCTCGAGGGGAACACATCCATGTCGCGATTTTCACCTCCCATCCGTGGTGCCATCTTGCTTCTTTTCTGTCAAGTGTCATCTTGTCACAAGTAAGCATCAACTGATGGGATCGTCTACCGCTCGTGACGAACGCAGATCTGCAACGGAGCAAATCCCCTCTTCAATGCCGGTGTGCATCTGTACCTCTCTCCACTCTCTCCACTCTATCGCAGCGTCCCACTGAGGGAAGGAAGATCGACAACCACTCTATCGCACGGTCACATTTTCGTCCTGGAAAGGCCCCGACATCGTGGCCTCGCGGTGCATATCGATGTGCTGTCGCGGACGAATGGAAGATGAAAGGGCCAGTGACAATGCGCAGGGCAGGATTGGTCACGATGAGATGAACAAGGACTATCGCGACAGGAGGGAAACGGAACGATTTTGTCATCATGTGCTGTGCTAATAACTGAATGAACGCGGAGGGTGCTCAGGTGTGTGTGATGGGATGTTGAAAGGGCGGAGTGGTGAGTGGGTATGGGCGTCTGCTGTCGTGTAGTGCCCCAGACAGAACGCACTTGCTGTCCTTCCGTCGCGTTTCGACCACGCCGGACCCGACCTAAACATATCGGCGTTTGCGAACGAAGACAATGAAGTTCTTGGTTCATCAAACACGCGACACGAGAGACTAACCACTTTGCCCTGATCATCACACACCTAGGCTCGGGCTGGTCTGATATTACAGCACAATGGTGACGACAGCCCTTGATACATACGGTGCGTGGGCACATGTACTATCGGTGTATGCGTCGAAAACATCATCTACTTGGACAGACTCTCACATATTCCAGGCGATAGATGCGTGTTCTGCGGGTATGTGCATGCGAAACCATCAGCTGTGTCAAAGCATGACTTCTTACAATGAAGCGTACATTACATGCATGTGAAGGATCTTGTTATGCTGTTAGATTCCAACTGTACCTGGGTATGTTCGAACGTCTGCCCTCGTGACGCACACCAAAATCTTGGTAGGTTTGCTCTGGCGCAGTGTTTCCCTTCCGTCCTCGTCCATCTCGAGATGAAGCCACAGCGACGTTTCTCGATGCGCGCGCATGCCATCTCTCGGCCATTATTGGGATCGGTGTCTAGCAGAATGGTGGCCGCAAAAGTGAAAGGACCACATGTAGTCGGCCCAGGCGCATCCCCAGCTGGCCGGCCGAACACCGCGTTCGGGAATAGTCGATCTGTCCTTGGTGGAATTGCTTATTTAAGATTTTATTCTACAGGTATGCAGGTGGTCTGTCCTTGGTGGGATTGCTTCCACAAGGATGGTGGCGTGTTTCGAGAGGACGACACCAAACATACAGACGCCTGCGCAACTGGCTGATCCGTCTGCCCGTCGTCCAAATACGTGCTCATCTGTTTGAGCATCCCGACGGGGGCTAGAATGGCACGCTACATGTTGCGCATGGTCGGGAAGTCGCGTCAAGAGTAACAAGATACCAACAGCGGTGTCGATCTCCTCCCCACATCGATGGATCTTGGTCGTATGGTGATCGTGCATTCGTAATTTCATGTATGCACTGCACTGGTGCCAACATCATGTGCGCGTGAGATGCACGCAACTCCACAACCACTGTCGATCTCTTGAACACTGCATGCATGCACCGCACGCAAGCTTCTGTGGTGGAGCATGTGTACTGTACGAGTCAAGCATACCTAGGTACCTAGGTATCCTGCTGATGGGCCAGCCGCCACTGAGATGAAACTAGACATTGTGCTCAAGTGGTAGGTAAGCAATGTACTAAACCTGGGAACGTTTCTGGGGGTTTCAAAGTCTGGGGTCGGGGAAAGCGTCGGCGCTTGGAGGAACCGCGGACGGAGACGGGCCACATGATGTTCCCATCGCGTCGGAGCTCAGGGGCGGCATTTGGAAGGGAGAGAGCTTGACTGGTCGGCTCGGAGTGATCATGAATCTTAACTGAGAGAGATCGGCGGCGCCTGGCGAGGGAATGCCCTCGCCAGGTGATTCTGGTCATCAAAACACGTCAAGCATTACTCTCGTCCTCGCTCATCTAAAACTGCCCATCCATACCCCCCCTCCTCCTCCTCCTCCTCCTCCTCCTCCTCCTCCAAGCACAAAGTCCTTAGCCTCCACCGAAATCCATAGCCTAAGAGATGGTTGTGTAAGCCAGTCGGTGGCTCTGTAATACATACTACTAGTTTGTGATGAAGAAAGTGTGAAAGTGATGAAGGTGATGTCTAGACAACCTAAGCGGTCCCCGTTGATCTACAGCCAGGATGATGATGATGATGGGTACATAGCGTTCGTTCGCCTCGGCTTCGGTTCGATCCGTTCAACCAGAGATGCGTGATAGAAGCACAGGACGCGTGATGCATCTCTAGGTAGTAGGTACTGCACCACTCACCATATCTCTCTTTCGGAGTTACCCATTCAGGCAGGTGTCAAAGAATTGCGACTGTCCATTCACCACCTGTATTCGCCGTCCAAGGTGACATTCATCGACCAACCGTGAGATTGTTAGACCAGAGGTTGCGCCCAATGAATGGAATCACAAATGCGATATTGAGCAGTGTGAGTGGAGCACGCACGTCGAGCTCCGGAGAATTTCCATTGCATGCAGCATTCAGATCTGCATGCTCTTTGGCGATGATCGTCGTGCGAGTGCATGGATCTATCCTACTTGGTCTGCTGGAGATGCGTCTTCTTCCTTACTCCGCTTTTTGGCGACTTCCTTCGTTGGACTCGTAACATGTGTCAAAGTATTCACATGCCCTCTTCGACATTTCTCCCCTAGACGAAACTTCACTGTCCACTTACTAGTCATTCAATCATCCAATCGGGCACCGTAGTCATGCGTTGCCTCACTGTCACACGCTTGTGATCTTCATCAAGCGATAAAAAGATGTCGAAAGGACAGTAGGCCGAAAAGATTGATCGGCCATCTTTTTTCATTTTGATGAAGCTTTTGTCAAGAATACCAAGGCTAAAACCATATCAAGGACGAACAGGTCTCATGATCGTGCTTCGCTTGCCGAAATGGCGGACATGGTTGGGATTCACGAGGAGTGACACGCCAATACAACGATCAATTTACCAAACTTCCGTTCTCTCGGCTATATATCTGCGGATCGCAGAGTGATTCGTGCAATGGAAATGTTTACCATTGAACAGGCCTCGGGAGAAATAGCAGACTTATCGATGCCTTTCAGTCGCCTGTCAATTTCGGGTTCCACGAAGCAGCTTGTGCCGACAAATCCTCGAACACCGCCTGCAACAGTAGTCGCAGAGGGGAGCAGATCGTCACACTCGGAGCATCTTGTGCGTACTAGTCAGCTCATGGAATCAAATGAAATGCCTCTGCGGTGATCACCCTCTGGTGAAATCTTGTACTGTTCTTGCGTAGGGCTGATAAGCAACCAACAATCGAAGCCGGGGCCGCCCGTCGTCATCGATATCAACCTTGCATGGGCGATGGGCGCTGGGCGCAAAATCGACGGCAATCTCCGGGGGCCCCAAGCTTCTTCACCTCGCCCTTGGCCGCTGAGAATCTCGCGATAGCTCGGCATCTCGCTTTCACCATCAAACCGCACATGTGTCCACCCTCTGTTGACTGAATAGTGCTTGCATATCTTTCCCATCTCGCCGCCCAGAACTGATGGAGATACTGGCGCTTCGAAATGATGAGTATCCGTTTAATCCTGATTGGTCCTGGACTGGAGAAACATGCGCAATGCCAAGGGCCCAGGCATTGGCGAACGTGAGAGCGACGACACGTTCGGCGCGGCAATGACGTAGATCCATTGAATTCCAAAGTTTGCCCAGACGACTGTTCTCTTTCTATCAATCATGTGAAACTTTCACAAGCTCGAGGGGAACGTAATGGCGAGAGCAGCTATTCTACAATTCAATTTCAATCGTTTTGTCCTTCGTTCGTTCACCTCCTATCTTGCAGACAAGTGATTGACAGCGACTTACCTGCCATCCCTTCGCCATGGACGGCCCAATCAAGGTCGCGTACGAAGAGTACAAGCCGATGACCGATGACGAGATCGATGCCTTCTTCAAGGATATGGATTCCAACGGCGACGGCTTTGTCGAATATTCTGAGCTCGAGGCGAAATTGAAAAAAGTTCACGAGGAGTTAGCACCGAACCCGGAACGCCATCACCTCAATCATCCTGATCGACGTGATGTCGAAAAAGGGGGGGAGGTCGACGAGTTACACGAGTTTATGCGCAAAATCATGCCAGGCTGTTCGCAGCGATTGAGCAAGGAAGAGTTCCACGCGCGGGTGTCGACATGGCAGGTGCCCTCCCAAAGGCAAACTGGAGCCCAGGAACAGCAGAAAGAAGAAAATGAAGTCGTCAAACGCTGGCCAATGACGACTCGCATACGCGCTCTATGGGCTGTCTACAACCACAACGTCTTTTTCCTAACTCTAGTCGTCGCCTTTATCCTTGGTATCAGCCTCTGGCAATTACTTATCTACGCGCTCAGCGGCGAGGCACGAGCTGCCTTGGGCTGGGGTGTCATTGTTGCGAAAGGCAGTGCTGGAGCAATCTATCCCATTTTCATTTTCATGCTGCTTAGCATGAGCCGACATCTTCAGACTTTTGTTCGCCGCTCGCGGACTATCTCGAGAATCATCGATTGGGACCATGCTCAAGTGTTTCACATCTACATTTGCATCGCAGGTCTATTCTTTGCCTCGCTGCATGCTATCGGTCACCTCTCGGGGTCTTTCGTCTTTGCTTCGAGGACATCCCCCGAGGCACAACGAGCTATTGGCTCATACCTTGGCGTGCAGACTCCTCGTTCATACGTCGCTTATGTGCGCAGCCTACCCGGATGGAGTGGTGTTGTCTCAATAGGACTATTCTGGATCATCAGCGGGCTCAGCGTACCTTATATCAGGAAGAACTACTTCGAGCTCTTCCAGCTAGGTCACTTGCTCATGTTTCCTCTGCTCGGTCTACTCTGTGCACACGGAACAGCACAGCTTCTCCAGTACCCGATGTTCGGATTTTTCTTGTGCGTGCCGATCCTGTTTGTTCTCCTCGAGCGCTCTTGGAGACTTCTTCGCAGCTTCCGATCTCAGCCTGCCATCGCCAAGCGCCTCGACAAGTCGACGGTGCTCATTTCTGCCAAACGTCGCGATGACAAGGATTGGAACTTTTCAGCTGGTCAATATTGTCTTGTGCAGGTGCCTGCGATCTCTCGATTTCAATGGCATCCTTTCACCATTTCTGGGGTTCACGGCAAAGTGCTTCAGGTCCACATCAAGGCGGACGGCGACTGGACGAACAAGCTTCACGAGCTCGTCTCGTCATCCGAGGGCCGAGAGCTTCGAGTCGGCATTGATGGACCTTTCGGTGCGCCTGCTCAAGCTTTTTACGATTACGATTACAGCTTGATTATTGGATCCGGCATTGGTGTGACTCCTTTCTCCGCCATCATCAACGACCTTGAGGACCAACTTCTCGACGCTGACGACCGGGATCCATGGGCAGCACGCCGCAGATCGAGGTCCATCTCTCGCGTCCGCTCCCTCGGCAGATCTGTCGCCAACTCAGACTCCCGCCCTCAATCGCGTGCTGCTCGTGGACCAGAATCACGTCACAGGGAATCATCTGATACTAGCACGGTCGTCAAGCACCCCAATCCCTCCCGCCGGGTAGACTTCCACTGGGTGGTCAAGGACAAATCCGACCTGCTCTGGTTCTCCGACCTACTCAACCGCATCATCGACAACGATGCCTCCCTCGCCCGGCGAGGTGATCTCGACCTCAACATCCACACCCACATCACCACCAAGCGAAACAACATCTCGACGCACGTCTTCCGTTATGTCCTCGACAGTTACCGCACGGAGAAGGCGCCGTATTCCGCGTTGACCGGCTTGAAGCAGCCTTCGCATTTCGGTCGTCCGGACTTTGCGGCCATCCTCAACGACCACATGGACCAGCTCCTCGAAGTGGGGATCCGTGATAAGAAGATCGGCGTGTTCTTCTGTGGTGTACCTGTCGTGGGTGAGATCATCAGTAACCAATGTCATGAGAATACGGTACGCGGGAGACAGTTGAAGGTCAACTTGGAGTATGAGTTCAATATGGAGGTGTTTGGGTGATTGAGTTCTGACGCGATTGTGATATTATGATTTGATGAATTTGTCTTTGTACGATGCGACGTGATGCGGGCCAGCGAGGAGCAGATGTCAAAGGGTATAGATCATGGAGTTCGTTTTCATATCAGCATGTTTCGTCATGACTGCCATTACCTGTGAGGATTCTGGTCATCGGTGCTTCCTGTAATTGCCTCTTCTACAGGATCTCCGTCCGAGGTCTTCCTCTTCTTGCTGACGCGTCCATCGTCGTTACTCACAACGTTCTGTTCAAGTGTTTCGACGTCTTTCCCTCCTGCCTCTCCCTTCCTTTTCTGTTCAACGAGCCACCTCTCCCAGAACTTCCCATCATACCCATCCATCAACGCCACAAACCTCGGACCACTCATCACCCATCCTTCAACTCCTCCCTCTAGAACAGCAACATGCATATTGTCATCCTGCGCCGTATCTCTAACATGATCCAGGAACCACCCCGCGCACAACTTCGCCCTATCTTCCTCCCCTTCCCCCTCCTCTCCACCCACGAAGCAGACCCACTCCACGTCAGCTTTGTACGCCATCTCATACAGCGCTCCTCGATTCCACCAGAACCCTCGCGCGGGAATATGCAAACTCCCGCGGATGGAACCCCCTGGGTAAGAGGCTTCACTGCGGACATCGATGAGGAGCAGGCTGGCGATTTTCATGGAGAGCAGCATCTGGACGCGTTGAAGAGGCATTGGATCTGGGGCCAGTGATGGCTTCGGATGAGGAGAGTGCCATGGTTGGGAGAGGACGGAGAGTGGCATTTGATGGGATGTTGAAGGAGTAGGAAGAAAGAATCGCTCCTTTGAGGTACGGGAGGGAAATCGTTCCCTTGCTGCTAGCGGAGGCGCGAATGGAGTTCTGGGCGCGAATGGAGTTGCGGGAAGCTCTGAATGAGAGTCGGTTCACGATGTCCGTGATTTTGGGAATGCTGCTGTCGACGGACTGCTTGATCTTTGTTCGTCAGCATTCGAGAGGTTTTTCTAAGTATCTCTTCATTATGACTACTACTATTGCTGCTTCCTCGCTCGGATACCATCATCGTGTGCGCCGGGGGAATCGGAACTCCATTTCCGCACTTGTTCCTGCGTCGAACCGATTCTGCACTCGCACAAGAATGTCCAAATATAGACGATCGTCTTACAAAGACACGTACGCTCGAGGAAATCTTCATGAAGAAGAGAGCGAGAATAAGCTTTTCAACGTCTCGAGGTTATCGCGACATTGAGATATTTCGTTCCCAACAAAGTAATGGAAACCTGCGAATCGGCCCAAGAGATTCTGATGATCGACCAAGATCCAGGGCCCCGTCGGATTCGGACGGCGATCATTTTGAGCCGAATCCCACCATTTCTCGCTTCGGGGTGCGCCAGTTGAGCCGACGGTGCCTCTTAAAGTCCTTCAATACCTGGGTAGCGTGGAGAGGAACGCCTCATCAATTATCGACCCCGTTTCCCCACTCGCCAGGTGGTGCGCCACGGACGGTAGCACTACAAGGGTGAAGGCGATGGTCGTATTCGGCATTGGCCGATCAAGTATCACTATGGATATCCAGTCTCAAGTGGCACCGAATGCGCAGAGTCTAGAAGGACTCGCCCTCCATCTATAAGGCTTGTCGCGCGCGGCAGATCTGAAAACGATACGTCCCTCTTCGTCCCAGCTTCGTTGCAACGCGTTCACGATGATGCGGTCGACGCTCCTGTCTCTGCTTGCGGTGCAAGCCGCCTCTTTCGGCGCCAATGCTCAATCCACTTCTATTTATGATTACATTATCGTCGGCGGCGGGACATGTGGCCTTGTGCTCGCCAATCGTTTGACTGAAAACTCCTCGGTGACAGTGGCGGTGGTTGAAGCCGGCCAGACGCAATACAACAATCCCAAGGTCATTCAAATTGATGACATTACCCGACCAGTGGGCACTGAGATCGATTGGCAGTATCCGGCTGTTGCGCAGACCTCCTTGAACAATCGTGCCGTGACATATAATGCCGGCAAGGCTCTAGGCGGAACCAGCACGATCAATGGCGCGACCTATGTGCGAGCTCAGCGCGTTCAGATCGATGCATGGGAATCGTCGTTGGGAAATGTCGGCTGGAACTGGAATGCTCTCTGGCCGTATTATCTCAAGGCAGAAAGCCTCATCCGACCAACCGCAGACCAAATCGCCAAGGGTGCGCAATACAACCCACAAGCTCATGGCTATTCGGGCCCAATCACAGTCAGCTACAGTAGAAATCCGGCCGATGCATCTGGCATCATGAACCAGACCTATCAGGCTCTCGGTGTGCCATGGAAGAGTGACTTGAACACGGGCGACACGCATGGATGGTCCCTCTTCTCAAACACTGTCAATGCCACATCGCAGACTCGCGCGGATGCTGCTACAGGCTATCTCCTTCCGGTTCAATCCCGCAAGAATCTCATCATCCTCAACGGCACTCTTGCTGATCGCATTCTCTGGTCCACCCAAGCGTCACCAGCTATCGCTACTGGTGTCCGCATTCGTCCGACCGCCGGCGGCGCCAACCGCATCATCACCGCCCGCCGCGAAGTCATTCTCTCGGCGGGATCTTTGAAATCGCCCGTGCTGCTCGAGAACTCCGGTGTCGGCAATCCCGCCATTCTCGGCAATCTCGGCATCCCAGTCAAGGTCTCACTTCCCAGCGTTGGAGAAAACCTGCAGGACCAGACCAAGCTCTTCACCAGCGCCGCATCCAACCGCAGCGTTGCCCAGAACGGCTACTGGACATACGTCGCCTATCCCACCGCAGCCGAGCTCTTCGGCAGCAACACCTCCTCGGTCGCAGCCTCCGTCCTATCACAGATCCCCAGCAATGCCGCCGCCATTGCCGCGGGCACCAACAACGCGACCTCGCCCGCCCTCGTCGAACAGCAACTCCGCCTCCAAGCCGACCTGATATTCAACCGGGGCGTTCCGTGCACAGAGATCCTCTCTCTCCGCTACGGAAGCACCTTTGCGTGGATCTATTGGCCTCTGCTTCCCTTTTCGCGGGGCAATGTGCACATCGTGAGCCGCGATCCGACCGTGGCGCCCAGGATCAATCCGAGATTCTTGATCCCTGGGATCGATTGGGATGCGCTGGCGTTGACCGGAACGGCGAATTTGATCCGGAAGCTTTTCACCACCGCGCCATTGTCGGGCCTCGTCGGCGCGGAGACGCAGCCTGGTTTCGCGACGGTGAAGGCCAATGCTGATGTACCGGATTGGATGCCATGGTTCCAAAAGAACGGTACGCTTTTATTCTCGCCCTCCAGTCCATCACAACCTACTTCTCTCATTTTTCCCTCCTTCCTTTCCTCCCTCCACCTCACAAATTCTCCAACCCAAATATCATGAATTATTTCTAACCCTCTCTCCAGCCGGCCCGAACAACCACCCCGTCGGCACCTGCGCCATGATGTCGCGTGATCTCGGCGGCGTCGTCGATCCGAATCTCCGCGTCTACGGCACGGGCAATGTTCGTGTCGTGGATGCGAGTGTCCTGCCCTACCAGATCGACGGTCATCTCACGAGTACGCTGTATGCGCTCTCGGAAAGGGCGGCGGATATTATCAAGGGGAAGGGAACGCTGCCGCCTTCGAGTTTGTAGGGGATGGATGGTTGGCTTGTGCGTCTGATGATGGTATTTTGTACTGTGAGAGAGGTGTCGAGGAGTTCGAAAATAGATTATAGATGGAGGTTATGAGGAAATGAACATGATTGCTTTTTTGTGACTGATTCGGGCGAGGTCGTTATTGACCGTTCCATGACAGCTCAGTTCCAAGATGGGGTTTTTGTACTTGTGAGGCTTCCCCATAATGAGGCTTGACTGATGCAACGCCGATAAAATAGAAGTATTGATAGGAAAGAATCGCAGGAGTTGTCTCATCCCGAAGTGCCGCTCATGCAAGGTGTGCAAAGCCTTGTCACGCCGAAAAATGAAAAAAGTACGAGAAATATGCATGTCCGTCCCGAGAGACAGGGCCTTGGTCCAACACAATCACTCGGCTCCTCCCCTCCTCTCCCTTGACCTCTTTCTCCTCCACCTCTGCATCCCAGCTCGAATCTACCCAAGCATGCCAATCTCAGGCATTTCTCCCCAACCGCCTCCTGGCTCCCACCCCCATCCTACTCAACTCCCTCCTTGCAACATCCTCGAATGCAACTCTCCCGCTTCCTCTAAAGCTCGTCAACGTTCGCACAGATGTTCCTACGCGAACACGGGCCGCAACCATGGGCCAGGCACTGAGGGTTCACGGCGCTTCGGCTGTCGCAGTAGATGTCGTGGCACTGCATGTGGGGCAAGCCGAGCTTGTTCAGGACGCTGGCGGGCGAGACGGGGACGGCAGCGTCGGCGGGAAGGGCGAGGGCGTTGGTCGCGGTGATGCTGGTGAGGAGGAGGGTAAGGAGGATGGATAGACGGGCCATTTTATGTGTTGGTCGTGGGAGGTTGTTTGGGAGGTTTGTTTCTGAGAGGGATGGGGGTTAGTTTTGGTATGGAGATAGGTCTCTTTGTGTGTAGGAAAGCATGTTGTTAATTGGGAATGTGGATATCATTCAAGACAATAATGATCTCAACAGGGTCAAGTAGCATGATGCTAATCGTGTCGTGACTGTGTTCAGGTTGTCTGCATGCTTATGCAGATGATCGAAGCTGGACGTGTGCCAAGCTGCGAATTCCATGGTTCACAGCTCTGGCGCAGGACCATAGAAGCCCTGCAGGGTGGTTGTTCCTGCAGCATCGAAGAAGGGAAACGTCTTCACTCGTGGAGATGGATCCGCTTACCTCGTGGAAGTAGTCAAGACTGTCTGAAAGAATGAGTGCGAAGGAAGGAGGTCCTCTGTGCCTGTGAATCGCTTGGGTCGGTCGGTAGGTGGTTATGAAGAGAAGAGAGAATGGTGCCTGTGATCGACTCCAGGACAAGGACGATTGGTGTCGGATCGTGAGAAGGACTACTGCACGGATGCAGGTGATTATTAGTGTGATGACCATGAAATCATCGCCTCTACGTCTCGTCTCCTCCAACGAACCGACTGGGCCTAATTTCGTCCACGCGGCGCGCGTTGCAGCCGTAGTGTGCTGCAGTAGTGTCAAACAACGAAAGAAAGGGGCTGATTCGGGTCTAGTCCAAACTGTGCTTGTTGAGATTGCCGCATCTTCCCCGGGCGGGAAGAGACTCTTCTCGTGTGGGGATTGATTGCAACACTGTTCTGCCTATCCAACATCGTAACAACTTTGGAACACTTTTCTGCACATCCAAATGCCATTTATTCCCTGCCTAGTCCACTCCGATCTATCCGAAAACTGCAGGTGCGTACGGAAAGTTGAGATTCACCACTCCCGAACGATCGATGCCGGTAATTACAGTAGCACTCGTCCGGTTCATCACTATCATCACCTGCTCTTCGCTCATTTTCGAGTTTATTCGGTCTATCATCGTCACTCCGGTGAATGCATGCAAGCTGATCTGAATTGTGATGGTGAACATCGCCAATCCGTCGTCGACTTGGTGTTCAATCCCAGCGTCCCGGCGTCCCAGCGTCGACCGTTGAAATCCTCCATCTCATCGGGATGCCCATTGACATGGAAGAAATGACAAGGAAAGGCCGAGCCGTTTGATTGACTGGATCCTCTCGCGGTATGGTGTGTTACCTAATAATAATAGATCTCTTCCGTCGGAGAGGCTGTTGACGGCGCTGGGACTTCGTTGGGCGTTGGTCAATCCAATGTCGTCGGTGTGTGTAGTCGATAGCGGGTATCGCAGCGGCGTTGGCCATATGCTGTGACTCGTGAACGCGACTGGGTTGTTGGCCGTGGAAAGTGTGTTATAGTCTCTTCATTTCGCTCTTGATATCGGCATGGCTGTAGTAGGCAGAAGGGCAAACCCATCCATCTGCATATGCTTGGCCATATCACTACTGGAGGAACTTCAGAGGATCTCGAACGATGTGTGCGCGTGAAAAGAGTCGATATTTCAGATGCTCTCCCTCCTGCTGACCTGTCCTTTTCGCAAGTGAATTGGTCTGCGTCAGGACTCATTCGCTACTGACAAGTCACACTAGAATGATGTCCGATCTCGTCTGCAGTAGGACCAGTGCTAGGGGCAAATACTGTAGCGACGAAGTGGAGAAACGATATACTGTATGCTGGGGCTACAGGTGCTATGAGCGAGCAGTGCGGAGAAGAAATCCAGCAATGATAACACTCAGATGTCATCTCCCTAGACTTGATCATCGTTCAGGTGAACGATTTTCACTATGAGCATCGGGTCTCCCTCCTTATACTATTTCATGAAAGGCTTGCATGGTTAGAGACTCGAAACTTTTCATGTCCCATAATTTATCCATCAAGAACAGGCGTGGGACCGTCGAACTGCAAATCGACGCATACCTTTTGCACTCGATGGAGGTTCAACGTTGATGGAAATGGTTTTCCAACAAAAGAAAAGTACTGATTTTGCTTCGCTTGGGACGTTTCTACTATACGTACAGCAGAGAGTACAAATAGTACCTCCCGATCAACGGCCGCTCCGGAGTATACACACACGTAAACACCCATCTCATCCTGTTCCCATGAAGAGGGATTGTGAATGAAAAGGGCGGAGGCATGCGAACCCTGCGTTTACGCGTCCTCGGACGCGGCGGCACCAGTGATAATCTCGACCAATTCGCCAGTAATCACAGCCTGTCGTGTTCGGTTGTACAGAATCTGGAACTTGCCAATCATGTCACCGGCGTTCTTGGAGGCGTTGTCCATGGCGTTACGGCGAGCAGATTGTTCGCAAGCGTGGCCCTCGGCGAGAGCCCAGTAGAGGGAGTTGGCCAGGGCGTACTCGCGGAGGTTGCCCAAGACCTCGTCGTCGAACTCGAAGGTGGAGAAGTTTGCTGTAAGAATATGTTAGTGGATAAATCAGACGGTGTTTCGTTTGCGGAGGAGATATCTGTCCCCGGTCATCATGCGGGATACTCACGTGACGCGCGGATGGCCTCGTCAGAGAAAGCCTCGATGATAGTGGCCTCGTAGCTCTGAGCGTTGATGAACTTGTTGTACAAGATCTTGGTGCTGGAGTACTCGCCAGAGACCTGGGAGACCTGGTCGGCAATGGCCTGAGCATCGGCAAAGGTGGGTACGTCCTTGCCGACACCAGCAAAGGACACGACCATGTTCTTCGCGTTGCTTCGGCCCAATTGCGCCTTGCACTTCTCGCCGACCACAATCAAATCGAACTCACCACCCTCGTTCATCAAACGACGAACGTAACGGGTGAGACCAGAGTGAATACCACCACAGAGACCCTTGTCCGAGCTGCAGACGATGAGCAGCGTCTTCTTGTTCTCGCTCTCCAACTCCTTGGTCTCGGCCTCCTTGAAGACGGTCTCTGAAGTCTGACCGTACGAACGGGACTCGGTCATGGCTCGCTGGGCGCGGGTGAGCTTGGTCGAGGCGACAATCTTCATGGTCTTGGTGATCTTCTCAATGTTGCGAATCGACTTGAGACGACCCTCGATTTCACGGAGCGTCGCGTAGTTGGCATTCTGAAGGGCAGGGACGGCGGCGGCGGCGGGTCTGCGCGCGCAATGGAATGTTAGCATATGTCAATGGATTTTTCTCCTCCTCCAATGTCTGCGTGGCTCTCCGGGATTCGGGTATCGCGCCAGGGCGCTCGAGTTCGTGACGTACCGCAGCGAGGGCGCGGCGGTGGCCCGCAGGGCAGGACGAGCAGCTCGGGACAGCATTGCGACGACTGCTGCTGCACGAGTGGTGATGAGGTTATTGGTTTGACGGACGGCAGTGATGTCGGTCTCTGCTGTGTGGTAGCTCCAGTTTCATCACAGGGAGTCCTCGGAGCTTCAACGCCAGCCGGCAGTTAGCTTCTGATCACGTGATTCCACATCCCGAAAATGAGACGGCGAATCCACAACATTTATGTTATACTAGAACAAGACGAATCTATTGTTTTCACAGTTGGAATTGACAATACGCTACGTGTGATCGAGTAGTGCGAGTAGTGATTCCAACTTTTGAAATTCCACCGGTGTGATTGTATTGCGCATTGGCTTGCCATTGGAACCAGCAAGCAAATGTCGAATTGTTTTTACCAGTGCTTGCTGGGCTTATTGTGATTGAGGAAAGTCTCGGTGGAGAATCTTTCGAGCTGTGTCATAAGTCGAAGTGATCTCCCGGCCGAAAGTCGTGAATTCTCGAACGTGGCATTCGTCGTGAGTGATCTCACCAAAGTCCAAACTCCGTCAGATTTCGGGCAGTTCTTGGTGTCTTCAATCCTTTCTTTCATGTCCAATACCACCCGATTTCAGGCTCAAGTATTCGAGGATATCGTCAAATTTTCTGCATAAATCATTCAATATTTTTTCTCCAATCTTTCAACGTCCAACTTTTCATTTTGTCTTCTCTTGGGGGCAGGCGCGTGCGAAATTCTTCAGCTCAAGTCCAGCAGCCTGCAACCGCGTCACGTCTGATAGAACTTGGGGAGCACGCGCGCAACTCTTCTCACCCCAACAACAACAGCTCCCGCGGCGACCTTGGCCTATTTCAAATTTCAAAATGTCGGACTCAGAAGATGATAAGCCACTAATCAAAGGTACGTTCGCATTGCGCATCTATCACAAGCAAATTTCACCGCTGGCGCGTCACATTGGTACTCTGCAGCTTCGAAGGCCAGAATGAGGTTTGGCACGTGCAAGCATGAGCAGACTTGAGCAACAACGACGAGGTCGACACGATCAATTCCAACTCAGTATTTGATTCGTATCGACTTCAATCTTCTTGCTTCCATCCGCACCATCATTATTTGCCCGCCATGGATTGGCAATCCTCCGAGCCACCACTCACAAGTGTTCTAGTCAAGTCAAAAGCCATCATCTCCAAAGCTGACGACGCCGCCCTGGACAAACGAATGCCGAGGACGAACGGTGCCGTGAAGCCAGGCATCAGCATCGCCAACGGACCTGTCGATGCGATGGACGTCGACAAACCGAATAGCACATCCAACGGCAAGCGCAAGGCTTCATTACCCAACGGCAGGAGTTACAAAGACGCCAGCGATGAGGATGAAGACGACCTGCCATTGAAGAAACGGAAAACCAACACTGTCGCGGATGATTCTGATGACGAACCTCTCGTCCGCAAGATCTCTAAGCCTATCCCGATCAGGGCGGACCAGATCGGTGAGAAATCAGATAAAGGGCTTGTTCAAAAGCTGCAGAAACAAAAGGCAGACATCGAGAAAAAGGCCGCCAAGGAGGCGCAAGCAATTCGTAAAGATGACTCGAGCTCACGGCGCAAGTCAAAGAAGGTGGACTCTGACGATGAAGATGATATCCCCTTGGCCAAAATTAGCTCAGCACGACCGTCCCTGAACGGTGCGAAGCGTGTCAAGAAGGAGGAATCTGACGATGATGATGACATGCCATTAAGCAAGAAAGCTGCTGCAACGAAGAAGACGGCACCGAAAAAGACGACCACTTCGAAGAAGGAAGCATCGACGCCGGCCAAGAAGGGCAAGGCGGCTGTCAAGAAGAAAGCAGAAGAAGAGGAAGAAGAAGAGGGTGAAGAAGAAGAGTATCGATGGTGGGAGGATCCAAGCAAGGGCGATGGCACTATCAAGTGGACTACTTTGGAGCACAACGGTGTCGTCTTCCCTCCTGAATACGAACCGCTGCCGAAGAACGTTCAGATGTTATATGATGGACAGCCGGTGTCAATGCACCCCGACGCCGAGGAAATCGCCTACGCTTTCGGAAGCATGCTCAATTCGGAGCACAACGTGCAAAATCCGACGTTCCAGAAAAATTTCTTCGACGATTTCAAAGCGATACTGGACAAGACAGGCCACGCCAAGGACAAAAATGGCAATAAGGTCAAAATCACGAAGTTCGAGAAGTGTGATTTCAAGCCCATCTTCAATCATGTGGATGCTGAGCGCACAGCCAAGAAGGCGCTGACTACTGCGCAAAAGAAGGAAATCAAGGCGAAGAAGGATGAAGCAGAAGCTCCATATTTGTACTGCATGTGGGACGGCCGCAAGCAGAAAGTCGGCAACTTCAGAGTCGAACCGCCAGGGCTATTCCGAGGGCGCGGAGAACACCCAAAGACGGGCCGCTTCAAGAAGCGTGTCTCACCCGAGCAAATCACCATCAACATCGGAAAGGAGGCGACCGTGCCAAGACCTCCAGAGGGTCACAAATGGAAAGAAGTCAAGCATGACCAGGAAGGTACTTGGCTGGCCATGTGGCAGGAGAACATCAACGGCGCGTACAAATATGTCATGCTGGCTGCCAACTCCGATGTCAAAGGACAAAGTGACTACAAGAAATTTGAAAAGGCTCGTGAGCTGAAGAAGCACATTGACAAGATCCGTAAAGATTACAAAAAGGAGCTCAAATCAGAAAGCATGGCTGAGAGGCAACGAGCAACGGCAGTATACCTTATCGATCAATTCGCGCTCCGTGCTGGTAATGAAAAAGGCGAGGACGAAGCGGATACAGTGGGATGTTGTTCGCTCAAGTTCGAACACATCACTCTCAGCCCTCCCAACAAGGTCATCTTCGACTTTTTGGGTAAGGATTCAATCCGTTTTTACGATGAAGTTGAGGTCGATATTCAAGTGTTCAAGAACTTGAAGATCTTCAAGCGTTCCCCCAAGAAAGAAGGTGACGAGATCTTCGACCGTCTAACAACGTCTTCACTCAACAAGCATCTGTCAAACTACATGACCGGACTGACTGCCAAGGTCTTCCGTACCTACAATGCTTCTTTCACCATGGCTACGCTGCTGAAGGAGATGACAGCCAAAGGTACCATTCCGGAGAAGGTAAAGGCATACAACGATGCCAATCGTCGCGTGGCTATTCTCTGTAACCACAAGCGCACTGTTGGTGCTGGCCATGTTGCGCAGATGGAGAAGATGGAGGACCGGATCAATGCGCTTCGTTACCAGCAATGGCGCATCAAGCAAATGATGCTCGCAGAAGAGCCCAAGCTGAAAAAGAAGAAGGGTGCAGAGTATTTCGCCTTGCCCGAGGACATTACGAAAGAATGGATCGCTTCCCACCATACCTCTCTCGTTGAGGCCGAGAAGGTCAAGATTACCAAAAAGTTCGAGAAGGAGAACGAGAAGCTCGAGTCCGAAGGTTCCAAACCGATGAAGGACAAGGAGTTGAAAGATCGCCTTGTCGCTGTCACTGAGCTGGATGCGAAATTCAAAGCTGAACGCAAATCAGGCAAGGTCCTGCCCGAGGGCCGAAGTCCCACCGTGGAGAAGTACGAAAAGGATCTGGAGAAGCTTGACACGAGGATCGCGACGCTGCAGCTGCAGAGCGAGGATCGTGAGAATAACAAGGAGGTGGCATTGGGCACTTCGAAGATCGTGAGTCTTGCCTTCGGCCTGCTGCTGTCGCCCGATGACAACTCTTTCAAAATACTGACCTACTTTCCCCACAGAATTACATCGATCCGCGCCTCACAGTCGTCTTCTCCAAGAAGTACGATGTCCCCATCGAGCGCTTCTTCTCCAAGACGCTCCGAGAGAAGTTCGAGTGGGCCATCAAGTCTGCAGATGAGAATTGGGACTTTTGAGCATTCAAGTCTGATTTTTGCTGGCCAGGCGACGAGTGCTCGTGGAGATACTTATTTTGTGTGCTACTTTTTAAGGAGAGATCGATTCATTGCATTTTTGAGCCATGTACTTCTGTCATTTGGGCGGTAGCGATCAGGGTAGGCAAAAGCGTTAGGAAAGAGGCCGTTCCCCAAGGACATCCACCGCGAGATATGTGGTCAGCGTTTTCACTTTCAGACCGGATCATCGTATGCAACACACACACACACACACACACACACATTTTCCAAGCAAGTCCTAACATTTGTCGCTCTCATAATCTCTAAAATGTGTTATTGAGCTTCACTTAGGTTTGGGTTAAGATCAACCCTAGTATGTAGCAGCGTAGCTCAACCCGTCGAAGAACATGGAGAGACATGAATGTCCTACTACATATACATTCCATAGTCGTTATACTGCACTGTTCTCGGAGCCTCGAACGAGTACTGCATAGACGTCGTCCTCAACAGGTGGAGTGCAGTCGGTCATGTTCAATAGGGGATGTGCGTGCGTGTATGTCCTCTTTCGAGGCCGGATCCCCAGACTTTCTCGGGAGTGCTTCGTCCAGTACCGTCATCGGCATTGTGTTTACTGTACCAACAACGCCTGGAGTATTTGTTCCATCCTCACTAGTCAACGCTCTCCGTTCCGAACAAGACTTCATCCCAAGCGGTAAAAATGTCATCGGCGTGGTGGATCACAGGCTGCATATACGGCGGCTCAGCCGTGGTGCTCGGCGCATTTGGTTCCCATGGCCTCAAATCGCGTGTCTCCGATCCAGCGAAGATCGCTAGTTGGTCGACGGCCGCTCACTACCAGGTAAGATAATGGATCTATCAACTCACGATACAATTTACCCATCGAGCAGCTTCTCACTGATTCTCTTGCCAACAGCTCGTTCACTCCGTCGCTTTGCTCGTCGCCGAACAAGCCGCGCCCCGAAACATCTGGGCTAAATCTCTCCTGACCGCCGGAATGACCATGTTCTCGGGTTCCATCTATTTGCTCATCCTTGACGGACAAACATTCAAACCTCTGGGCCCGGTCACGCCTGTTGGCGGACTTTGTTTGATTGGAGGTTGGGTTGCGTTGGCACTCAGCCGCGGGCGTGTTAGGCTTTGAAGGCTTCTCGATGAAAGGGAGCAATGGCAGAGGAGTGAGGCAATGGTTATGTGAGTTGAAAGGAGGATGAGGTGTGCCATTTCGTGCAGTGTCGCTTGTATGAATGTATATACAGTAAGTACATCAGGACGGAGAGGGAATGTTTCGAGGCATGATGCCGCCGGAATATTCTACTCGACTTCTCATTGCAGATGGATCAGTGTCTATGGTCCATTGTAATCGCATATCTCGTTTGTCATTGCAAGGTGCACGACAGGATCTATCAACTCTCATTTGCTGACGAAAAGATATCTGGTGACTCGCGGGCAGCGATGTTCTGAGGTCCCAAATTGCGGAGCCCCAGATGCCGAACACGGCCAACAAAGCATCGTCAGTCCTTCGGCTCGAACAGCTTCAATTTGCAATTTCAGGGCGCGTTTCCAGTTCCCGAGACCGACTGTCGCACACCACCACCACACGACCGATCCTGCTACTTTCTAATGTATATTCGATATTGGCGCATGATACAGATCCGACTGCTCTCATAATCGCGACTGAGAGTGTGTCTGTTACAAGGCCCATCGCCGTGTACAAACACCTTGAAATCGCGAATTGCGCACAATCGTCTTTCGGGTCCGGTACTCGGAGGATCCGTCTGCTTGACACACGAGCGACATGGCGACCGCGCGCACTCATTTCTTTCTGAGGGACTCCTGGCGAGTTGCCCGACAAGCGCAAATCATCTCTCGACATCAGAGATCAATATGCACGGGATGCAGGATCAGAAGAGATGCCTTGGTTCGGCAACAGTTGTGCAGACCTCTCGGGATTACGCAGCAACAGTCATTAGCAAGCAAGAGCGATGGCCGGAGGAGCATGTCGAGTCAAAAGGACGAGAAGAGGAGCGAGAGCACATCTCATGGCCCCATTGCAGAATATGATGCGAGAGTGCGAAGTGGACGACTACGGAATGATGAGCACCAACGGACGTTGATTCAATCTCTACAAGATCTCCATGATACGATCGCCAATTATGATCCCCCAAAAGTAATTCATCCATCCATCGAGTCGCTCCAGCCCAAAAAGAAATCAGTCTTCGCCAAAATCTTCGGCGTAGCAGAAGACGAGGAGAAACAATTCAAGGGATCAATGTTCGGATCCGGTGAGGAATCGAGATCATTCCTGGGAAACATATTCGCTAAGAAGGAGGAAAAATTGGCTCTACCAATACCCGAGGGCTTACCGAAAGGCCTCTACATGTATGGTGATGTGGGGAGTGGAAAGACGATGCTCATGGATCTCTTTTATGATACCCTTCCCGACAACATCCAGAACAAATCGCGCATCCACTTCCACAATTTCATGCAGGACGTACACAAAGAGATTCACAAGATGAAAGTTGTCCATGGTAACGACATCGACGCTATACCTTTTGTCGCAGCAACGATCGCCGAGAAGGCCCAAATCCTCTGCTTCGACGAATTCCAGTGCACTGACGTCGCCGACGCCATGATCCTCCGCCGCCTGATAGAATCTCTCATGCATCACGGCACCGTCCTCATCACCACCTCCAACCGCCATCCCAGGGATCTCTACAAGAACGGCATCCAACGCGAATCCTTCATCCCATGCATCAACATCCTCCAAGACCAGCTCAAAATTCTCAACCTCGACAGCACAACCGACTACCGCAAGATTCCACGGCCGCCATCAGGAGTCTACCACCACCCTCTCGGCGACGCCGCCGCCGCCCGCCACGCAGACCACTGGTTCAAATTCCTCGGTGACTTCAACAACGACCCCCCGCACCGCGCCGTCCAGCACGTCTGGGGCCGCGAGATCGAAGTTCCCCTGGCCTCGGGCCGCGCCTGCCGCTTCACCTTCAACCAACTCATCGGCCGCGCCACCGGCGCCGCAGACTACCTCGAATTGGTCCGCAGCTACGACGCGTTTATCATAACCGACGTGCCGGGGATGAACCTCCGCACGCGGGATCTCGCGCGACGCTTTATCACCTTCCTCGACGCGGTCTACGAATCCCGAGCGAAACTCGTCCTGACATCCGCCGTGCCCCTGACACAACTGTTCATGTCCCGCAAAGAAGCCGGGGCGTTTGTGGAGAAAATCGCGGCGTCGGGCGCCAGCGCCAGCGCGATCGAGGCGACCAAGGAGGGTGCGGATGTCAACGATGCGATGCGTAGTCTGATGGACGATTTGGGGATGAATATGGATAGTCTGAAGGGAAGTTCGATTTTCACGGGTGACGAGGAAGCCTTCGCGTTTGCGCGTGCATTGAGTCGGTTGCATGAGATGGGTAGTCAGGACTGGGTGGAGAGGGGCATGGGGTTGGAGAAGGATGGCGGGAAGAGTGACGTGGAGGCGCACCAGAAGGTGAGGGGGACGTGGAGGCAGGACAGTTATTGAGAGCCTTTTTCTCTGGGACTTTTCGAGGGCATGTTGGCAAGTGTGTCCTCGTCTTGGATATTCGAGTGGAATGTATAGAAATTTGTTTCGAAGCAATTGAGATCTGGACACTAAAAGGCCTGGCTGACCGACCCTCAAATAATAAGCGACTTCCGTCGAGGCGAATAAAAGGAAAGAACAGATTCCGAGGACAAAGGAAAAGGAGAACAATCGACCATAAAGAGAGAATCAAAATTCCAGACTTTGCTCCCTCACGCTCATGCTACGCTATGCTGTAGATAGTACTGTAGTAATACTCCCATCAAAATCCGCACCCCAAAAGTCCATTTCAATTGTCATCCCTGTTTCGCTGTACTCCTAAATCCCCATGCAAAAAGTCTCATACAATAGAGTTCCAAAAACACCTGAAACACCCAAAAGAAACCTACTCGGCGCCGCCTGTTCGCCTGACCTCCGAACCGAATCATCGCCTCCTCTTTCAACGAGAGAAAGGACAGACAAGGACTCTAGCTCAAGCGTTCCCACCCGTAGACCATCTTAGCTGTCGAAAAAAGGCCTAATCGAAGCGAAGCTTTGACTTGATCATTGACCTGGGAGGCGCGAGACGAGAATCGAAGAAAATCGAATATTCTGAACGACAAACGCGGTCGATTTCTGACTTAGTATCATCCGCAATATCCGTATGTTGTCGCGGCCAGCTCTCTTGCAAGGATGCTTATTCTTCTCACACGTCGATCGCACCATTACGACCACCTGTCGCGGTTGCGAGGGATCCGCTTGCCGCGAATGAGGCTGCTGCCTCCTGCGCTCCGTCTATAGACTGCTCTTCAGTCGTGCTGACAGCTGCCGCGCCGTCGCCTTTTTCCTCCTCAACTTCTCCAACGCCCTGCGTTCGGCACAACGGGCATGAATTCCGGCCAGTGGTCAGCCACTGATCGATACATTCTCGGTGGAAAAGATGATGGCATGTGGCCAACTTTCGCGCAACGTCGGCTCGCTCAAAGTCCGAGAGACAGACCAGGCAGCGCTGGGTAGGCTCCAGGGGTATCATCTGGGGTTGTGCATCACTGAACTTGCCCTCAGCGTCCGTGGACGCGGCCGTAATGGCGACAGCGACCAGCTCCGCCGTCTTCGCTGCGTCCTCAGAGATCTCTGCCGCAGCCACGATATTATATATTCCTCCGGCACTCTGTACTGCCTCTGCTGTAGCAACAGGTGCTTTTGCAGGCCCTAGTAACGCGGAGAGCAACATCATGTCTTCGTACGTGGGGTTTTCGGTGAAGAGACTCGGCGTGGTGAGGATCGGATGAGTCTCCGGATATGATCCGCCAAGAACGTAGATAATCCAGCTACGGGTATCACCGCTGCGGCTCCCTGTGCTACCACCTGCAGCGCCAGCGGCTGTACTGTCACGATCACGGTCTTCTCGAGCGTCAATATCGCTGTGATGTGAAGCAGTCCGAGATAGAGAGGGAGGATTGCTAGGCTCGACAAAGCCATTGCGGCGAGGGTGGCCCGAAGCAAAGCGAGGGAGGTGAATGTTGCTCGGCGCTGTGTCGGATCGACGGTGTAGAGATCGGAATGACTCGAGGTCTCCAAGAAGGTTAGTGCTTGATCGTGCCGAGTGGAGAGAGGCCGTCTCCTCGGTGTGAGAGCTGAGTGGACTGGCGGCAGAAATACGATGGAGAAGACTGTTACGGCGAGAGTCATTACCGACAGCTCCGCGCGTGCTGTTGCCGATCATCGAGGCCGGCCGTGATGGATTCGGAGTGGTGTCGCGGCTGGAAATTCGACTGAGCTCGGGACTGGGACTGGCAGGCGTTGCTGGTGGAGGACGTGGTTCAAAATTCGAGCTCGAGGCCACACTCCAGGGTCGCTCGCGTCGTCGGTCAGGAGATGGATGTTCGCCGCGCTGGTCATCCATGCGGTCACTGAGGCGATTACGGCCCATACCGATTCCACCCATGCTCGCTCGCCGACGAGCCCGGAAAGATGATGCGTTTTGTGGTGGACTCAGTAGAGCGTCGATGCTGTGTCCGTCGTGCATATCCAGCGCGTTTGCTGCAAGAGGCGTAGGGAAATTACTCAAAGCATTGATAAATGGAGGTAGGTCTTCGTTGAGATTTCCGCCGTTCGCACCTGATCCCTGAGGCACCGACCGGATTCCCACAATGATGATGGGTACGAGTCGAGGCTCGTCATTCTCACCACCTTCGCCTTCCCGTGGGGTTTCCGGAGTAGTACTTGACGGTCCAAACCGGAACATACGATAGAAGTTGAGCGGCGGTGTCGGAGCGCCGTCGTTATCCGCATCACCATCGTTCGTGCCTTGCCTCAACGCTGATGCTATCCGTCCATTCCGTAGGGCGCTTAGAAATCCCTCGAAGCTACCATCCTCACCACCGCCTGCCAGATCTCCAAGTCCGGTTCCATTTGTGAGACTCCGAGCTCCTTGAATAGCATTAGGATCGTCACCCATGAGCGTGGCAGCGGTCGCTGCAGCTGCCCAACTGAGCAGTTGGCTCAACATGACTGCCTGATCCTCTGTGCCGCGTGGTCTCGTCGAGCCCAGACTTCGTTGAGATAGCCGACGTCGCCGTAACGAAGACGTCAAATTGTTGCCCAAGTTACGAATAGGGTTCAGTAGAGGGTCTGGTCGTCGGCTTGCCCGTGTAGGGAAGCGCATACGGGGACCATCATCGCGACTCACAGACGATGGAGGAGTGCCATGTGACGACCGTGGAGGAATCAGGTCATCGTCGAATGTAGATGCTAGGTCAATAGAAGGAAGCCGGGGTGTGTTCTCGCCAGTTGCATCACGATGATCCTGCCAGTCAAAAGGCACACGACCACGTGTCCGGGATATGCCACCCAGCGGAAGTGAGTAGCTGCCGCCACGCCGGTGGATCAAGTCGTTCAGACGAGACCGCGTGCGGTGCAAGAGCTCGCTTCTCCGGTTGTCAGACTGTTCCTGTGAGACAATACTCGTCGCAGAATCCTCATTTCGTAAAATCATTTGTGAAAGACGGGAAAGACTCCGACGACGTGTCCTTTGAGCTGACGTCCAAGTTGTACTGCGAGAGTGAGCACTGCGATTAAGCAATCCATCCTGGTCATACTCATGCTCTTGTCTTCGACGTTCGGGCAGCATCCTCCTCAAAGCAGGCATGGAGCGATCTCGCCTTCGTGAATCGTCGACATCCTCGCCAACGCGAGTGGGTATAGACGTGGTTTGACCCATGGTGATAATGAGTGTGGATCAGCAGGGCATGATTTCAGGCCGGTCGAGCTGAAGGCGTGCCGAACCCAGTCGTGGCAGGTAGAGGGACGACAACGATCGTGATGGCGTGTGATGAGCGGCAAGGGACGCGTTGATCGACGGTAGTAAATGAAGGCGGCCAAGCGATCGTGTAGGTAACTGTGAGGTTGCGTGATCGTGCGTGTGTGTGGGAGGTGTTCGGCAGAGTAGCTCCGCGAGCGGTGACGTGGCGGGTGAAGATCTCGGCGTCAGAAGCCGAGCAACGAGTCGTCCGTCGCCGGGGGAGATTCTAGCAGATTGCCGGGCGAACAATCAATGATGTTGCTGCGAAAAGACGGTCCAGCCGGGCGTGACAGAGGAAGAATACAAGTAGAAGAAAGTCGTGGTAAAGATGAGTGTGAAGGTTGTGCCCCGGGAGGAATGCGATGCTGGCGTTACTAAGGGTTGTACTTTTAGGTGCCTGATGGGGAACGGGTGGTGTAACAGGTGGCGTGGAATGTAGGTAGGTACAACTCGGATGGTGTGGAAATGGAATGAAGAGTGGTTGAATGTGGAAGAGCAGGAGATGGGTGTCGGTAATAATAATAATCACCACCGCGCGGACAGGAAGGCGAGGATGTGCCTGATGACAGATACAAACGATGATGAGGTGAGCGATAATGATGGCGATAGTGATGAACGTGGATGTGATAAGCGAGCCCGCCGACAAATACTGGGGGAGAGAGACGGGGAACTTTGGACCGGCAGAGACAGGTCACGAGGCTGATGTTTTTGCCTTGCGTTGTACGGTCTTTGTCGTCCTTTGTGTGTGTGCATGTGTAGGTATCCGGAGGGAGTGTTCCGACCGAGGTGGACAAAGATGACACTGCTTCGTCGATTTGCTGTTGGTTGGTAAGATGCAGTGTTGTCGTTCTTAACACAGCAAGGTGCAAGGTTCCCAGGTGTCGGGTTTGTTGTCTTGTAACTTGTACTGGACAGTGTCGATCACCGCAGGGGTACAGGCACACAGTATCGTGGACTGGTCTGGAGATGGGCGCGGAATCGGGCTCAAGACAACGCCATGAGCCCTCCCCTTTCGCAAATGCAAGGAATAAACGATTGCAAATTTCTGATTACGAAACAGACAAAGGAATGCAATGTCCGTGAGATGGAGTGATGCCGTCCTTTTCATATGCCGCATGGACAAACATCACGCTGCAGCCAAACCACCTGGGCACCCGTCACGGACACAACTCGTCCGATGATTACTGTAAATTGACGCTACGGCTAAAAAGTTCGATCGGATAGACGCTGGCGCATGTGGCGCGATCATTTGAGTATACTTCCAAGGTTATTGAAGAAGATATGAGCGAGTGTCGTTCGTGCGTGTCAAAACCGTACTGTCGCCCACAGCGAAGACACACGTTTATCCGCCGTATGACGCCGCTGGAGACCTGTAGCGTTTGAGAACCCCCTGGGGCTACTTTGGAAACCATCGCTGGAGGAGGAGGAGGAGGAGGAGGACGACGACGACGACGACGCAAAGGCTCTGCTGCTTCACGCGCTGTCGGCTACCCTGTGCCTCCCGATGTACTTTTCCATTCTTGTTGTCATTTTTTCATACCGTTATCGTTACACAAGGAACGACATTCCAAAATGACTGCAGTAGCTCCGTCTGCAGTATTGGATCATCTGCCGCTCTTCTTCTCTAGATGTACAGTAGCACCACATGTAGAATCCGTACCCGCATGTGTCATGAAGCAAATCACACCTGTGTATCCCGCAGTGGGAGCATGCGAAACACTGGTACGAATCACGTCGTTAAACGATCACAAAGACTGGATGGCTTCATCCAGTAGTATAGTATAATCTCTCAGTAATCACAAGTTTCCAGACTTGGAATGATTCGGCAAGCGCCCGCGCATGTTCGGAGAGGGACAACCTGCTCATGTGCGCAGCCGACTCTCAAGCGCTGCCCAGGTGTGATGTAGCAAAGCAGTCCATGCTAACAACCCATTCGATCTATCGCAGTCATTTCCACTCGTGTTATCACGACAACCATCTCACGAATGTCCGTTTGTGCTGTCGTGGCTGTATATGCATCCGATAGGTCTAGAATCAACGTCCAGTCTCACTGCTGGTCAAACGTTCAGTCCCCGTTATCAATGATGACACCCCAGTGAAATCGAAATTGGAAGGGATGTGAACAGGAACGTGCGGGAAACAGGCAACGTCGCGGTTTCTGGACGAGACACCGATGAGAGGAGAGGCAAATAATTATTATGCCGACAGGCTCGTTCGTCCACTTTTGCATGATTTTCTTGGTGGGTTACATCTTTGTCGCGTCTTGCGCCACTTCTGCAATTACCCTAGGTCGCACTGCTGTACTCCATGACAGATCGAGATATGCCCTGATCTATACTCCTTTGATGATACAATCCCCATGTATACACGTACGGGATAACATACCCGAGCATAGTGATACTCATATAGCCACCTGCATGGCCACCTGGGCGGTACACATTCAGGGCATGTCACGACTTCCCGTCTGCAATTCTACAAGCGAGGCCTGCCATGATCGAACGCTTGTCCCGCGCCTGCGGGTGAAGTGAATTTGGCATCCACCTGGACAAGAACGATGTCGGAGCCACTAACCCTACCCGAGGAAGAGCCCGTCCAGTTGCTGGTCAAACCGGAGGGGTTGTCCCGATGACTGACCCGGTTCTTGATCTCCATGATGACTAACATCTTCCCGCATGCCTAACGCGGGGCACGGGGGTTCCGGACACACGGGGGTTCCGGACACGATTCTTGAATGCGTTGCATTCAAGAATGAATATCTTGATCAATAATTTATGTATAGTCTTCAAAATGAAGGATATAATACATCAATGCTATCTCTTATGCTGTACAAGTTCTGGCTGTATGAGCTGTTGATCTGCATTTGCTACACCTCGCTGTCCGCTTGGCAGGCCTTGGCATCTCCTCTATTATTTGTGCTTCTACCTCCTCTGTGTCTACTAAGCGTTGTATTGCTTGGACTGACAAAGCATCATCTGCTGGGATTGACTTCCTTTTCCTTGATTTGCGTATGTGCGTTGCAGCATTAGCTGCTTCTAGATCTGTAACTCGTGATTGAAGAAGAGCTGCTGAAGTTGCAATCATTTGAGCTCCTTTAGAAAGTTGATTTAAGGCTTCGAATATTGGAGTTAGTGAACTGCTCTGATGCCTCTCAAGCCTCCGTTTGATCAATGTAGCTTGTTGATCAACTTCTTGAGTAGTCTTTGGGGTCTTTGTACACCATGAACCTTGTGAAAGAGGCCGCGGAGGTGATGGAAATATCGGGTCCAACGTGGACAACACTACTTCAGGGTCGAAGGGGTGCAAACCAGAGCCTCTGAAGCCTGCTCGGATGTTGTTCGATGTTATCGCATCGATATATGCTGCGTAGAGCGTTGCCATGAAGGTGCTCTTGTCGATATGGAAGATATGGTTGCGAATCAAGCCTTGAGTCCGTTTTGAGAAGGCTTGCTTCAAAGGGCCAAAACAACCAACATCAAGCGGCTGCAGCATATGCGACGTATGAGACGGCATCCACAAAAGGACAATGTTGTTATCTTTGCAAAAAGAAGTGAACTCTGGTGTCGTATGGCTCCCATGGTTGTCTAAAATCAGCAGCCGCTTGCTACCAATTGTCTTCGACTTTGTGTGTTTAGCGAAGTGATGGATCCATTGTAGTCCAATTTGATCGTTTGTCCAACCTCGTGGACTTGCTGTAAACATCCACGTTGCAGGCAAGCCTTCGCAGACCCATCCATAGTTGACTTCTTTGCCTTTGAAGATGATAAAAGGCGGTATAGCTGATCCGTCTGCACAAGCTCCTTGGATCACTGTGACCCATTCAGTACCTGTAGGTTTAATCTGCTTTGGCCGACCTTGCTTCTCAACAGAAGTAACTACTTTGGAAGTAGATATTTGTCCTAGTTGAAAGCCAGTCTCATCGAAGTTGTACATGTCTCCAGGCAAGATGCCATACTTGTTGATTGTGTTGCGTACCAGGGCGAACCAGCTTTCAATGACTTCCGGAGTCTCACACAATCTTCTTTGGCACTCGTAAGTCCTTCCTAGTTTGATTGTCAGGGCAGGAGTACGCTTTATGAATGTCCTAGCCCAATTTTGGCCGACTGGTGGAGTTCCTTTGGCTTGGCAGATAGAATTGGCCATTGATCGTACCAGGTTTGTGGTTGGCGATAATCCTTGAGAATCTAGCTTCAAGATGTCTTTTAGAAGTACCTCTTCTTCTATAGGACTGAGTTTCATCTTCGGTGGTACATAATCTTCTCGCGAAGGAGTTCCTTTCATCCTATCGTATAGCGTTGATTTCGGAACTCCATAAGCTTTAGCAGCAGCTGTGATTGAACTGCACGTATTTGACTTCAAAGCAGATAAAGCAAGCAAGACACTGCCTTCATTTGGACTTATTCGGACGCGTTTTGACGATGCCATAACGCGTTGAAGTCAACGTAGTAAGATTCATGAAGCTCGCGTCCGGAACCCCCGTGTGTCCGGAACCCCCGTGCCCCGCGTTAGGTCAACCTCACACCGTAGGGAAGTTATTACCTCGTTTTAATTTAGCTGTTGGAGTGCCCCGTGCAATATCACCAAGACCTCTCCTCCTGGAGGCCGTCCCCAAGATATGAAATCAACAGAAGCGTGAACATCCAGAGTCACATACAATAAATAAACCCATCGTTATATGTACGAGCCGAAATAATTTGAACCGTCGTCCTCTAGACTTCGATGCTCAATGTTGACCACAGCCGGAGGAGCTTCTGCCACCATCATCTCAATGGTCGTCACTAGCAAGGACTGACATGCTCTATGTCCACGGATTTCTGGAGACTGTCACACACAGTTGTGAAAAGACAATTTCGCCTCGAAGTTCTGCTTGCAAGGTCTAACACTCACCAGTCTGGTCGCACGCAGATCAAGAAATGCCGGTCCTAGCACTGTGCACCGATGAAAATCCGCTTACATCATGTCAACATTCGCGCCAGTCTATCGCGTCCCAGCATCGCAACAGTCCTTCCTCGTCCGCGATCACAGACGTCGACAAAAACTCAAACGAAAACGCATCTCGGAAGACGCTGACCTTGGTGATGCTGCCTCCGCCAATTCGAGCGGTGTCTCGGACTTCGAATCGGATTCTTCTTTGACCACCACAAGATCCACCACTGCACGTTCTCATCACACGGACAGCGACGACGATGCCCGTTCTAGCGGCGCCTTAAGCAAGAAAGATCCCCATTATGTCGCAGGCTACTCCCGCAACAAACCACTCCCAGGCGGGAATTTCCCTCACGCCGCCGCATCGCTCACGACGTCCGAGTACGATGTTCGATCGCAGACCAAAACTCGCGTCATAGAGGAGGAATTGGCCAAACTGAAGCTCTTCGTTCCCAAATCGGTTCTCTCCTCTGAGACACATTCCACCTCCCTCAAAGCCCGACATGTGAACAACCTCACGGCCATCATGCATCGATGTATGCTCGAGGGTGACTGGCAGCGAGCGAAACGTGCTTGGTCCATACTCTTGCGGATCGAAGTTGGAGGACACGGCATGGATATCCGCGCTCACGGGCGTTGGACGATCGGTGCCGAGCTCTTGATGAGAACAGGTGGAAATTCGAAACAGGAGCCGACCACTGCAGGGCTGTCGGAGAGCATGGACGACCAACAGGGCGAAGCCGACCGTTGTGGGCAGCAGCGGCAGGTCCAAGAGTTCACAGAGGAAGGCTTCAAACTTGCCCGTGACTACTACGAGCGCCTCATCCTTCAATTCCCGCATACCCAACACACCCAGCACTCTCTCGTCACAGCGCGCGTCATCTATCCAGCTCTCTTCAACATTTGGGTCTACCAAGTCCAAGACAGCTCTGAACGCGCCAGACGAGCCGTCCAACGAGAGATGATAGCATCATCGCCACCACACTCCGAAAGACCACATCCCTCGAAGCGTGACGAGACACCCCCGTGGCGCAGCCTCGCCTCCACCGCCGCGCGCAACAAAAAAGCTTTACGCGCAGTCACCACGCGCGAGCTCGATCAAGCCAGCCAAATCGACCAGCGCCTAAGCGATGTTGTATCCGGCCCTCCCTTCGATACCAATGTCTATCTCCGACGCTTACAGGGAAATATTTGTGTATGGATGGCGAATCTCCATCGCCATCTCGGCGGTTATGAGACCAATTGGGATGACATAAGCAGTGAGGATAGCGATGACGACGAAGATGATGTCGATACGTCCATGGAGGATGTCAAGATCGAAAGTCCTGTTTATTACCGCTCGCGCACGCGGCTCTCTCGCGCGGCGCATCGAGAACGCGGGCTGAGAGAGTGGGAGAGAGGGAGCGAGCTCCTCGAGCGGTTCCCGAAGGAAGAATGAGCTGAGCAATCACGATGCCAAATTCAACGCAGGAGGTTATGGATCGGAATGATGTAAAATTTTTGTTGTAATACAGTTTTTCAGAAATCTATATCCACGACCCACCCCTTCTGGTGGACAACGGCAATAACGCTATAATACAAATAGGGGCTAAATGGTGAGAAGAGAGTGCAGAGCAAGAAGATCTTGAGTTCCTCCTTCGATCAAAGTCGACTCTATTGCAAGCGGAGATTTATCCTTGGCAATCCTTGAAACGAAGACACCCTCTTTCCGCTAAAAATGCATCGATGAATGGGGCCCACAATGCGTCAAGTCCCGGCGGGTATCGGTGGACTAGCGGTCATTCAGCCTGAACCAGACGCCTTCTTCTTTTCGTCGTCCGCATCCTTCGTCACGTCATTCTTGGCGCTTTCGTCGGCAGCCTTCTTCTTCTCATGACCGGTCATCTGTGACCACATTTTGCCCAGAATTCCCCGGTCGACCTTCGGCGACGTTTCTCCTGCAGCAGCAGCAGCATCTGAGGCATCCTTGCTCGCTGTCGAGTTACTACCAGTGGCATCGCTGGTGCTGCTGGTTTGGTTGAAGCTATTGAGATTCATGATCCTTTTGGCATTTTTGTCGCCCATTTCATCCGCCAGCATCTCCACGATCGTCCGCTGGTTCACAGAGAGAAATTTGGGCATTTGCACTTTGAACTCGACTCGCAGATCGCCTGAGCCTCCTCGTCGTCCGCTGGACAGATGTTTCATGCCCATGCCGCTCAGAGTGATCTTGTCACCTGTGCCAGTGCCTGTCGCGACCTTGACGCGGACCTCGCCGTCCAGGGTCGGTACGGAAATCTCACCACCGAGGACAGCGGTTGTGAGAGGAATGGTCGCGGTGTAGAGGACATCGCTACCCTTGCGAGAGAATTTGGAATCGGGTGCGACACGGATGTGGACGTAGAGGTCACCCTGCTGGGTTCGTGATTGCGGGTTGGAGGCCTGTCCAGTAGGTGGGAAGTCCCCTTCGCCGGTGACGCGCAGCCTCATACCGTCCTCTACACCGCCTGGAATATCCACAGTAACTGAGCGACGCTCGCGCACTGCTCCATTTCCATGACAAGTTCCACACTCGGATCCGCGCGGAGTCGTTGTACCTGTTCCCGAACATGTTGCACACGTGGAGGCCATTTGAAAACCTCCCTGCATGAAATGAACACGCGTGCCAGTTCCGTCACAGGATTTGCAGGCGCTTTTTTGTGCTCCCTTCTTGAGACCACTGCCCGAGCAAGTTTTGCATTTAACCAGGGGGGTAATATTGATGTCTTTCTGCACACCCTTTGCCGCTTCCAGGAAGGATATACTTGCATTGACTTCGATGTTTTCTCCCACAAGAATCTCCTCTTGTTGGAAGGGTGATGCTCCGCCTCGCCGACCCCTCCGCGCACCAGTGCCGCCGAATGCAGAGAAGAGATCTTCGAAGTTGAACTCCGCACCGCCGCCGAATCCACCTGCGCCGAATCCGCCGGCAAATGGGTTCCCGGTGAATCCACCTCCACCAGGACCGGCACCTGCGCCCGCTGTAGGATCGCCTTGCGAGAAGGCTGCAGCGCCATACTGATCGAATAATTCTTTCTTTTTCGGATCTGAGAGAATCTCATATGACTGTTGCGCTTCAGCGAATTTTTCCTTGGCGTTCGGGTCCTTGTTGGTGTCGGGATGGTACTTTTTCGCAAGACCGTAATATGCTTTTTTGATTTCTGATGACGATGCTCCCCTCGACACACCCAGAGCCGCGTAAGGATCCTGAACCGCCTGAACAGCATTTGATGCGTGAAATTCCTGCGCTCGATGATGGCGATTCGTTATCCGATTATGATCGCCGCGAGTATGTGATGATGGTCGTGTGCGGTGATTGGTGACAATGCATCTCCGTTGGATCGTGATGCTGGGCTTCTGGGATTTTTCGCCGCTCGGGAATCGCTGTTGAATTCCTGATGCAGAAGTGAAGATGCGTAGACTGCTCGCCCGCGGCAGCAGTTGTGCTGGCGATGCAATACTCATCACGAAGGTGTTACGATGTCGACGAAGATCAATGTCGCGACCAGATGGATGATGCAGGATAAGGATTGTCGACGAATGGTATCAGAATTAAGAGGCTCACCACATCATCATCATCGGGGAACTTTCTTAAAATCCCACCATACCGAAAGGGGATGACTCCAAACGTTGGCCGAATCTTCTCGATCACAAGAATCGGGTGAAGGTGTAATGTAGTGTTGTATTCCGCAATCGATTGGATACCGGCCATCCATCATCGGAATAAAGACTGATATAATATGGAAAGTCTCATCCGGGCGCAATATGACCGATATGCCTTGACAGAAGCGCCTGAGTTCTTGCGGCGGCGATGAACGTTATCACCTCCGCATGAGAGCAATATGGTCTTCACAGTCCACCTACCTGGGCAGGCATTGATCCCCGCACCTACATTTGAGCGGGCCTTGGTAGTTCTTCCCGCATCATTGCGATTGATGTCGAATGATCAATCGCATTGTATAAATGAAGGAGTATCAACAGCAAGAGTGTGCAAAATAACCTGCGATCGATTGCTAAAAATTTTATGTTCCTTGTCACCAGTCGGCCCATCAATGGACGTCTCCACCACATCAGCGCTCCGTATGAATATCCGACTCTGTTCGACGGCAGCCCATCTGTCAACAGGGTCGCCAACGCTCTATTTCGGCTATGGCTCAAACCTGTGGCTGGAACAAATGCGGAAACGCTGTCCTACATCTGAATATATCGGAATTGCGCGATTGCAGGGATACAAATGGATCATCTATGACCGAGGTTACGCGAACATCGTCAAACTGAATATTGACGACCAAGCTGCCGATGAACATAATTACAGCCATGAGGTTTGGGGACTAGTCTATAGTCTTCAGGCAGCCGACGAGAAAGGCCTGGACGGAAATGAAGGCGTGCCGATTGCGTATCAAAAGGCTTACATAGAATGTGAACTTTGGTCTATTTCGCAACCAAATGGGGGAGGAGTTTCAGGATCGTCGTCACATCCTGACACATCCCGCCCACCAGTCAAAACGGATCTCCTCGTCTACATCAACCATCATTTGACTCACGAATCCGCGCCCAAGGAGGAGTATATCTACCGCATGAATCAAGGGATCCATGATGCCTTGAAGGAGGGCGTGCCGACGGCATACGTGCAGCAAGTCATGAGGAGATTCATCCCAGCAAGGGACGAGGCGGACTTCCAACCAGACGTGTTAGCAAAGGCCCATGAGCAAGGATCGAAGTTTCGCGACGAGAGATGAGCGTATGGAAAAGACTTCTTCGCAACCAGACTCATCGCTCAAGAATGATGGTTGATGGGCGTTGTTGACAACCCGAGATTTGTCCTGAGACGTCTTCTTGTATATCATAGGCAAATCTTTCTGTCGCACGAGGTGAAGGAGGTGAATTTCCAGTGCATTATATGAGACAGCATTCATGTCAATCGTGATTTGCAAAATTATATCGACTTTGGAGCTTGTGAAATGGGTCTCTTCCCGTCCGCACGAAACCATTGCAGCAAACGAACAACTTCGATGACAGCCCCATCAAAGATCCAGCCATCGACCATCCACAAACCGAACGCTGCTCGGTTCTCCCCTGTTCTTACTCAGCTCACGTGTAATCACGACTGCGTCTTGATCCGAAGCACGAAGCCATCGGCATTCATCCTGCTCTGGATTGGCGAAGTTGACATTACGTAGACCACGAAGGGACAAGAAACTGGCGATTCCTTCGACGAGCCAGACTGGCGGCGTGGGCACAGCAATGAGATGCGGCTTCGAATGACGGATGGTGATTGATTTCAAATTACGGCAGCTCGCGAGAAGGGCAAAGGCGATGGCATCCTCTCGGCCTCCTAACTGAATGTCGACACATTCCAGTTCAGCCCGGCCTTGGGCGCCGATATGACGTAAGAACAGGTAGAGCGTCTTGGACGATGTTGAGTTGAAGTTATTAGAGGATAAGTGCTGAAACCGAAAGGCTCGCTTGTGGAACAGGAAGCCTAATGCTTCTCGATGGACAATTTTGCAAGTTGCGAGCAGGTTGATTTGGGTGTAATCGCGGCGGCCCACTTTGTTTGCAACTGCAGAGGTCACCACACGGTTTGAGTCTCGGTTGAGAGGTACAATCGACGTTGTTTGAGGCAAGGGAGGCAGAACGATACTGTAAATCTCCAGCCTCAATTCGACTGGGAGAGAGAAGAAATTCGTTTCAGGATTCGTTGTGCCTGTATGTCTGGGCCTGGGCTGATCTGCGCGAGCTCTATCATTACTTTCGAAACGATTCCGCATCGTGCTGATAGTCCTGCCGCCATATTGGTCTGTAGATGCCATATGCGAGTCCAACGGAATCCGGACTTGTAGCCGATCACATCGCGGTGAATGAAAATTGCATCCTTCACTGCTGTCGCTGAGCGGGCCCTCAAGAACTTGGATGCTCACTTCACGCGGGACGAACGCGCTGCATAAACAGCATCTCGATCCTTCATCTATCGCCTCCAGTGGCGGTCGATCGTATACGTGTCCAATTGCCGCAAGCTGTCTTGCTGTCGCCTCATTGTTGTCCCAGTAACCGACAAAAGTAGCGAATCGGTCGTTATGGTTGGGAAGGGGCACGCCGACGATGCCTGATGCCATCCTCAGCTCATCAGTCAATACAGTTGAGAAGAAGAGACTGAATGTATTGAAGATACGAACGTTACCAATTTCCAACCGACAACCATCGCGTACTGTGGAAGGCAATGATATACAGATGAATGATGAGTGTGGTTAGCACTCTGAGGCTCAGCACGCTCGAGTTCATTGGTGCTGCATGGAATACAGGCACCCATGAATTCAAAGCTTGGAATCCGACTGGGCGTGACGATGACTTATCAGATACTGGATTATTCCGATGAGTAAATAAAATTACACTGGCTTGCTGTCTGATCAGAAGCAACAGCCGAGTGTTCTATCGTTTTTATTTAGCAGTCGGAGAGTCCTGCCCGATCCGATCGATACCTGCCCAGGTATAGTCGTCGTGGTTGATGAATCGAACTGCGCCGTGTAAAAAGCCCCACCACCGCAAGGCACCTGCATGCCGCATGCAGCCCTAGGGTCCGCAAAGTCTATGCCTCAGGCATATGAAATCGTCGTCACGGCTTTCTTCCGCGCCGGGAAAGAATTTGAATTTCTCGAAACCTAGAAACCTATTCGAACTTCCCACGAGACAAGATCGTCGCATTCACGATGCCGTCGACTTACAAGAAACCAAAGCCGTGGGACACAGATGACATAGATAAGTGGAACGAGGAGGCATTTACCCCCGATCAAAACTTAGGCGGAGCGTTCCTCGAGGAATCCAGCTTCGCAACACTTTTCCCAAAATATCGCGAAGCATACCTCAAAGCATCATGGCCTGCCATCACGCGCAAACTCGAGACGCAGGGGATCGCGTGCACACTGGACTTGGTTGAGGGTAGCATGACGGTCAAGACCACCCGTAAAACCTACGACCCAGCCAGTATCCTCAACGCAAGAGATCTGATCAAATTGCTTGCGCGAAGCGTACCCACGCCACAGGCTCTCAAGATTATGGAAGACGGGATGGCATGCGATGTGATCAAAATTCGCGGGCTAGTGAGAAACAAGGAACGATTTGTCAAGCGGCGTCAGCGAATCCTCGGACCGAACGGCAGCACCCTCAAAGCACTCGAGCTACTCACGCAAACATATATTCTTGTTCAAGGAAACACAGTCTCGGTCATGGGAGGATACAAGAGTCTGAAGGAGGTGCGGCGGGTGATTGAGGACTGCATGGCCAACATCCACCCCATCTACCACATCAAGGAACTCATGATCAAACGAGAACTTGCAAAGGATGAGGAGCTCAAGAATGAGAACTGGGATCGCTTTCTACCACAGTTCAAAAAGCGCAATTTGTCGAAGCGAAGGAAGCCTTTTGTCGTCAATGACAAGAGTAAAAAGGCCTACACGCCCTTCCCGCCCGCACAGGAGAAGAGCAAGGTGGATCTCCAGATTGAAAGCGGTGAATATTTCCTGAGCAAGCAGGCCAAGGAAAATGCTGTGAAGGAGCGACGGGAGGACGCAATGAAGACGAAGATGGAGGAACGAAAGCGGAAGAGGGAAGAGGCGTTCGAAGTGCCGAAAGAAGATAGCGCGGGCAAGGAGAAGAAGGCAAAAAAGAAGAAGCGCAAGGAAGACGGCGAGGACTCGTCCGGCGTATCGAAAAAGAAGAAAGAGAAGGCCAGCCAGGACGTCGAGATGGAGGCGTAGTGGAGTGTCCGTGATGGTCGGCGAGCATGCCTTTTGATCAATTTAGCGTGGCGTACGGGTTTGGGTCTTTTTGGCAACGATAGTGGTCAACTGTGTCTATATGTAGATTGTCCAAATAACATATGTTCATGATAAAACATCACACATCAACAATCGCGAGGACGTCTCCTGCGCTCGGACAATTTGCAAGGGCGGGTCAACGTGTGATGAATGGCATATCGCAAACCCACGGCAGGGGTGGAATACCCAAAGATCGAGGAAACATTTGCAGACCTCAGGACACAAAGATGCGGTCATCCATCCAACACTGCGCCTTCCAACTTCCAATGTTGCTCCAACACGGCTGTTGCGCTTACTCGTGGAATCTAATAAAAGCAGCTGAACAAGCGTAGTTGCGCACTGACGCTACACCCGTGGCTTTCCTGTCCTTTGCGAGAGGACAGCATCGCATCGAGATCTGAGCGACGACACTGGAGCACAGTACGGCGGAAGGACCGCTCATGTTGATATCATCGAGTTGTATATGTGCGATCAACTCTCATCGCAGCCCATTCAAATGCGATGTATGTACAGTAGGCATTGGACACAGACAGCATCATCGACAACGACCGCGCGGCAGACGATGGGCGCCGGGTTCAGCGCTATCCACCAAATTTTCGGAGACCAAAATTGACGCCATTGTACCTTCAAATGGAAACATACGGGCATTGGACCCACTGACGATAAACGGCTGGTCCACAATACCAATTGCATGGGCGATCATTTGTGTGGCAATGTTTCGATAGTCGCTGGTTGTACTGTAGAGCACAGGATTACACAGGCGTGGCAGGAGACATCCGCAACAGAGAGCACTGTCCAGTACTGCATTGGGGACTCCAGCTGTATGCACGTGTACATTTAAAATCAAGGGTGGACCCTGATGAGAGAAGCCGCTGGAAAAAGAGGCCACTGCAGCAAAGCATGCGAACATCCATCAGGCATCCCCCCGCCAAAATCCCTCCGCGAAGGACACTCCCGTCGGCCATCACTGTCATCACTGCCCAGGTGGATAATAACATTCCCGCAAGCTAAAGGCCTAGAGACTGTGACGCTGCTGCCAGGACAGCTTGCCAGAAAAGTCTTGGCGGAGAGCATTGCCGCCTCGTTCTACTTATGTTTGCTGGCATTGCCTTGTTTCCTCCCATTGACCCAACCCATCCTCCTCTCCCTCTTATTTCTGTACAGCTGTTCAACTTGGTTCGCTGCCGCTGTTGAACCTGTTCATCCATCTTTGCCTGTTCTCTCCTCCCTTGCGTCGCGCCGTTGTCTTCATCGTGCGACTGATACCCTCTCGTTTCCTGCGTTTTTTGGTTTGACCAACTGCATCATGCGCACTTCCGCAGCTCTTTTGGCGCTCGGCTACTACGCCGCTGGTGCGGTCGCCGACGAGGTCGTTGCCGACAGCACTGCCGCAGAGCCCAGCTCATCAGCAGCTGGTGTCAGCCTTCCGGCTTTCACAGTAAGTTTGTTCGTTCCAGCGCGGCTACGATTGTTAGAGCATCTTGACTCTCATACGCTGCGTCGATATCTTTGTTCCACTCGAGGAAGCGCAAATATTTGCGGCGCTGACTAGTCCTCAACAGCCCACGACTCTCAAAGCACCGTTTCTCGAGCAGTTCACCGAGGGCTGGGATGCCCGGTGGAAGCCATCGCACGCCAAAAAGGAGAACACTGACGAGGAGTGGCAATATGTTGGAACCTGGAACGTCGAGGAGCCGACTGTCCTCAAGGGAATCGAGGGCGACAAGGGTCTTGTTCTCAAGGACAAGGCTGCTCACCACGCCATCTCGGCCAAGTTCGACAAGCCCATCGACAACAAGGGCAAGACTCTTGTGATTCAGTACGAGGTCAAGCTGCAGAGCTTCCTTGAGTGCGGTGGTGCCTACATGAAGCTTCTCCAGAACAATGCTGCGCTCGGCACCGACGAGTTCTCCAACGCATCGCCCTACATTATCATGTTTGGCCCTGACAAGTGCGGTCCTAACAACAAGGTTCACTTCATCTTCCGCCACAAGAGCCTCATCACTGGCGAGTACGAGGAGAAGCACCTCGATGCGCCACCACCATCAATCATCGACAAGTTGACCAATTTGTACACCCTCATCGTTCGTCCTGACCAGACTTACGAGATTCTCATCAACGGAGAGTCAACCAAGAGCGGCTCCCTCCTCGAGAACTTCAGCCCTCCGGTCAACCCTCCGAAGGAGATTGACGACGAGGCCGACTCGAAGCCAGAGGACTGGGTTGATGCTGAGAAGATTGCGGACCCGGATGCGGTCAAGCCCGAAGACTGGGACGAGGACGCGCCTTACGAGATCACCGACGAGTCGGCCGAGAAGCCCGCTGACTGGCTGGAGAATGAGCCTCTCACCATCCCTGACCCAGAGGCCCAGAAGCCCGAGGACTGGGATGACGAGGAGGACGGTGACTGGATCGCGCCCTCTATTGCCAACCCGAAGTGCGAGGAGGCCTCTGGATGTGGACCGTGGACGAAGCCATTAATCAAAAACCCTGCCTATAAGGGCAAGTGGATGCGCCCCTTCATTGACAACCCTCTCTACAAGGGAATCTGGGCTCCTCGCAAGGTTGCCAACCCCAAGTACTTCGAGGACAAGGAGCCCGCTAACTTCGAGGCTATCGGAGCTGTGAGTATACAATCAATCGTTATGTCAACTGTGCGCATGCTAATATCAATCAGGTCGGTTTCGAGCTGTGGACCATGAACGAGGACATTCTATTCGACAACATCTACATCGGTCACAGCGTCGAGGACGCCAAGGCCCTCCAAAAGGAGACCTTCGACGTCAAAAAGCCCAACGAGAAGGCTGCCGAGGAACAGGCCAAGCCCGAATCCGAGAAGGCGCCACCAAAGAGCCCGTTCGACTTGGTCTTCCAGGACGACCCGATTCTCTTCATCAAGGAGAAGACCGCGCTCTTCATCGACCTTGTCCAGAAGAACCCCGTCGACGCCATCAAGTTCGTTCCTGAAGTCGCTGGCGCAATCGGTGTCGCCATCCTCACTCTCCTCCTTCTCATCGTCGGCGCCGTCGGCGGCGGCGCCGCCGCTGCCCCCAGCAAAGAGGAGATCAAGGCCAAGGCTGATCAGGCCAAGAAGGTCGCTGAGAAGGCCAAGAACGATGTCGCCGCTGCTGTGTCGAGCGGTGCTGAGAAGGTTCAGTCCGAGGTCAACAAGCGAACAGGAAAGAGCACTTGAGCGAATGAATCATGTGGTTGAAGGACGGAAGGATGCAATACCTGTGGATGACGAGCAAGCTGGTAAGAAAAGGAAATGAAGATCCGATGTCATACACATTTGACGACCAGCGGCTCCAGCGGAGTCGGTTGTGTTCGGCACATGTACATTAAGTCTTGTGTTATGCCCAAAGGGCATTTCCGCACCGTTGCGATAGTGCGCTATTCGAAAAAATATCATAGATCTATTTTACTGCACTTCGTTACCGATTTCATGCATGTTATGAATAAATTTACTATACATGAGTGTCGCTTGTACAAGAATCGGCATTGACGCATCCCCAGGGTTTCTATTCGTTCTCGCAATACAAAGTTAATCTAACTTCTATTCGACACATGCTCAGGTGTGCTATAGGAGACACGATTACCTATCTTTGTCCAAGAAGTGGTAAATTGAGCCACATTGGCCTTGCTTTCGCAGATCTGCTTAAGTAAAGTATGAAGGATCCCGAAGCAACGACTTTCAGATCCACCTGAAGACAGCCCACAGCCATCAGGAAACAGGTTTAGAATTGACCATAAGGGAATCAAGGCGAGTTTAGTCGTTATGACGAATGAGTGCATGCGCGGTGCTTGCAAAGCAAGCACCCTAGCTGACACGACTAGCGACGCATATCCTCTCCCCAAACTTTCCTCACGGATATGTATGGTTCCATCTTGAAAGCTGATGAGACTTGCAACAGCAAATGTGGTTGCCTCCAACTATAATCCCCGAGAACCGAAGAGATCATGAGTCTCCCCACGAGAGCTTTATCAACCATCTGCAACCACAGCTTCCAGGATCGTATTACCACCTGAACCTCCTCCAATCATCCATTGCCCTCCCATCCGTGTGTTCATCAATAAGAAGCCCCAAGCTCAGCTTCCGCAACGATTGTCGAAGGTTTGGTGATCCACGCCCGATAAAATTTCGTCTTCTGCGGAAAGGCTGCCGTCGAAGTCAGCGTCGCATGGACGATGCAGAGGTGTAGGGAGCAGAGCGAAGGCTTGATCAGGTGGACACGGTCATGGTCTTGTGTATCAGCTTGAGGCGTACGTGAGAAAAAGGATAGTCGAGTTTGGTCTGTGGCGTGGGTAGGAAATATCGCTGTTGTTGATGTTGCTGCTGTTGCTTTTCGCGGTCGTAGTCGATTTCTCCATGGGTGGTTTTTGGGCTTGGAAGGGGCTTGTAAGGCTTGATTGGAGCGATGGTGGTGTTTTAGGAGAGGCACTGTCTCGTCGATGGTGTGGCCTTCTTCATCAGGAGGACTTTGTGGCGTGGGTGGTAATGTTGCAGGACGTCTTGTGCTCGCCGGGAGGCATTTCCTTTTGGGTTTACCGCTGGACGATGCTAGGGAGTTCGTCCCGAACATGATGGAAATGATTGAGAACCATCGACGACTGAGACTGCATCCGTTATATTATATAGTCCAACAATGGATTGCCTTGGTGAAATTTTGAGATCGCTGGGTCAATGCGAGCGATGCTTTCACACCTGCATCGCACTTGCCGTGTGGTCACGGCAGGAGCATCTCTTACTGCTGAAGCTCCGCGTCTTGAGGCAGGAGCCCGGAGCTCGATTTCAAGGTTGTGTGGATGCCCTGTTTTGGTCATATCCTCGTGTTAGTGAGTTGTCAAGATGCTGTAGACTTGGAATCGTTGTCCGAAACGTGAAGAGTATTCATAATCAGGCAAGCCTGGGCTATAGCCTGTGACATTGCATCAAAAGACGACAACCCGACGATTGTCAAATTTTCACACTGTACGTTTCATGTGTTGACCAGCATCGGTTGATCTGAACAGCTGAACAAGTTCATGGGAGAGGACTTTGTCGGATGTTCTGAGCTAAGAGCAACATTAGACGAGGGATTGATTCACCCCGTCTGAGGATCTGGGTCACAATCTGGGCGGTGAGATATGATCACGCCCATGCAGACAGGACCATTTGGTAGGCAGAGTCAAGCAGAACCAAGTTATCATAATGAGTCGCTTTACAAGGTCATGAGCACAACTCGTCTTGTCTCGAAGTAATCTGTACATCTCAGTAGAGACCTTCAACCAAGGCCTTCACCTTTTCATACTGCGGCCCGCTCTCCTGGCCGGTCGCCATTCTTACAATAGTTTGGACTTTGTCTTTTCCGACACCTTTCTCTGTCAGTGTCGTGAAGAGCCCCAGATCTCGCACGAGCTTCAAGATCGCATCGCCCACGGCCGTGGCGTCAGCCGTCTTGTTTCCTGAGTTTGTGAGGCCAATGAATGGCGCCAATCTTGCTATCTGCGCCGCATTTTCTTTCGAAGTCTCTGCCTTGAGCTTCACCACATGCCCTAATGTCATGCAGGATGTGATCCCGTGTGGAATCTGGTACGGCGAACCCAAGGCATATCCGAGAGTGTGTGAAAGGCCCAGTCCACCTCGGACATTGAGACCAATGAAACCCAATGAGGCAAATGCTGCCAATAGCAACTTCGTGATAGCTTCTTCGTCACGAGGGTTCTCTTTGTACTTGGGCAGATACTTGAATAGCTCGCCAGCTGCGTAAAGAGCCATTTGTCGGCAGGGCATCTCCGTGGCTGTTGGATAGTATTGCAGCTCGACGGCGTGATCCAGACTGCGCAAGCCAGTGCTCATGAACAGCCATTCGGGCGTGTGAAGGGCGAATTGGCTGTCATAGATTATGACGGAAGGCGCCAGCTCGGGGTGGACCACACTGGTCTTGACACCATCCTCTCCAGTGTACCCAGCAATGAAGGTACATTCGCCAGCGCTGAGGGTTGTGGGAATGGTGACATGGTGTAGGAAAAGTCCGCGCTTTTCGTGAAGCCGAAATGATATGGCTTTAGCAGCATCGATTGGGCTCCCGCCTCCGATGGATATGATGGTATCGATTTTGTCGTCTTTGAGGACTACTTCCAGAGCCGCGTCGATATCTTTGACAGGAGCGTGCTGTCCAATTTTGCTGAAGGTCGCAGCATGGCGAGATCCTAGAAGCTCTTCGACCTGCTTGATGAGGGGGGTCTTGGTTGCAAGGGAGTTTCCAGTGAGGATCAGCGCTCTAGACGATTCGCTTTTCAAGGAAGCCACCAGGTTGGACACGCTGCCCGAGCCATAGAATAGCTTCTGTAGATGCGTGGGCTTCCAGAGGCCACTCAAGGTCTGCTCAGAGGACTCTGCTGTGGTAGATTGGTAGCAGCGTTGGGGTTTATATGCAATCGGAGGAACCAACCTGAGCTGGAGATGTTGTGGAGCGACATGACTGTTGATCAAGACTGGTGGTGCGTGAAGCGTTGCAAATCTCGACAAGGGAGCCGTCGTTGTCAGACGAGATGTTGACGAAGTTATCGATGATAACAACCGACCCCGCAGATCTTGACGCAACCGGGGTAACATTGACATATTGCCGGCCGAACAAAGCTTGCGTGGTGTGCTGCGTTTGATCAATAATCACGAACACAGTACAGCAGTCTTTGCACGGCTGACAAGGCTCGCCGATGTCAGCACGACATTCCCAGCACGAGTCAGTCCCAATGGAGGGCACAGCAACAGTAATGACCAGCGGCACATACTGACAGCATCAATGGGAGTCCCACCAAGAAATAATCAATTTGCGGGACCGCGAAGATCGGGTCTTGCGGAGAGTGAACATCTGCGTTGGTTCCGTGCAGCCACCATCTGCATGTGCATCATCAGTCACCAATCGAGTCAGAGTACATATCGTCGAGACCTTGGGAAGACGACATTAGGGTTGGGGAGAGCACTGGCGATGCGAAGCATGACTGATCACGCTCATATTAGAATTTCATTACGTCGTCCATCACTACCTAGGTATCATTATTCAAATCACATTATCCTCTGATTCTCTTCGTGTTTGATAGGTCTGCATTAACTCGCAGCTCGTCGCCTGCCAAACAGCGCCATGCCTTTACGCAGGACAGTAGATCGAGATGGCGGTCGCGTTCGTGAACTGACCATCCTCAGCCTTGACGAAATCCAGTGGCGTAAGGGGTTTCTTGTACATGAGACAGGCATTGGTCAGCTCGCCGCCCTTGGATCCGAAGTAGCCTTTCGGTGTCGGGGCGTTGTACGCAAACACGGCAGCTTTGTACGTGCCCCTGCTGCCGTATCCGTAGGTTTGCTTGAAACAAAAGTCGCTGGCCTCAGCGACGCTGCCGGTCGCGCCGTAATAGGCGTAGTATCCGGCATTGGCTTTGCTGAATTCGTCGCTCACGCGGTAACCGCTCACATTGCCCACGCCGCAGGAAGCATGGGGCAGCGGGTTGATCGTTGTGCAGTTCGCTGGGATTGGGATCGCTTCGGGACCGCCGGCGCGTTCTTGGATGAGAGGAGAACCGGCGACGACGGCCAGCACAGGGAGGACAGCCAAGATGATGTTATAGATCGCCATGGCCTCGATGGTATCTTGCAAAGTCTTGCGGAGAATGACTTTCTCCCTTGATATGGGTTTTTGAGAGTGTCGTCTTTCGGGAGTGACGTTGGCTGGGCACTTGATTGACAACAGCGGTCGAGATTGAACGCTTAAGGCGGATGATGTTGCTTTATATGCCAATCGTGGAACACGAGCTGATGCATCATTTTGGATTTTTAGAGCGAGGAAATGATCTCATCCGGTAGGAACTCCAGGGCTATCAATCAATAATGTCAGAAATAGGGCAGGCATCGGACGGGTGTCACCCCAGCATCCCACGATCTGCAAGGCCACTTCCGCTAAATTTGTACGCTGACGGTCAGCAATGCGCAGCACAAGATACACATCGTATTCCTCCCCTTGTCAACATCCTCTTTCTCGTGGTGCGATCGAATTTGCCAGCATGTATCAAGAACGGAAACCTGCTCAACGGACCTCCCGGAACGTGGCTGCAGCGCCTACTGTGTTCTCTGCATGCTTCCCTGGCGGTGTAGCGAAGAACACTGGGAGATCCAGGCTGGAATTGTTGGTACCTGGAGCAATCGGAGTGGCCTCAGCGGACATTTGCTGCACCACGATCGATAGTTCACTATACTCCTGCAGAAGCTTCCATCAAAACCCGGATATACACCTGCATACGTCGTGTACAGAGGGACGATTGGCTGCCCAAATCCCCTAACATGCGAACATGAGGTATCGTTGAAATTGTGCACCGATCGACGAGAATATCCATGTAGGGCATTCTCACTTACACATCTTACATTACTGTGCATCAGATTCGTGATAACCAACAGTGCCGCCAGTCATCGAATGCTACATCATTTCTTTCATCATCTGTCCCAGGTATCATCTATCATTTCCCATTCTCCTCCGACGTTGCTCTTTCAGTAGCCCTTTGAACCATAGTCAGGTGGGCTGTAGCTAGGAGGACCATAGCTGGACGGCTGCTTCTTTTTGAAGGCTTCTTTGACCAATTTGTCGAAGTTTGGTGTTCCGAAACCTGTGTACACGTCCGAGTCAACCCTATTCATGCAAATGATCATTGAGAGATCCCAACTCACCAGTCACTGGATCCCATCCAACAGCGGCAGGGAAACCAGTTGAGTTGCAGCCGATACTGCTTCCGCTCGTCACATCGGTGAGCGCCTTGTATGCACCTTTGTAGAGCCATGGGTTGAGAAAGCCGAGCGAAGGCTTGCCAGCCGCGATCAAGGCATCGTTGACGAGGGCAATGACGGCGGCGAAAGTTGGCGAAGATGCGGAGGTACCGCCGACAGTGCGTACGGTGCCGTTCCATACAATAGCATCGTGGTTGCTAATATCGACCGTCAGTAAAAGGATAGGCTGTTCTGTTGTCGAAGCAGACCTCGACTCACCTTTGAGCCGCGACATCAGGGTAGGCACGTCCAGATTTGTTGTACAAGCCATCGAATTTACCATTTAATCCCTTGACGTATGCATTCACAACCTTGGACTGGTAGGAAGGCTGACCGAAGTAGTTGCTGAAACCAGCACCAGAGCCGAATCGGGAACTAAACAATCATTGTCAGTACCAGAACTATGCAACGGCACTGACAAAGGCGCAGACTTACACAGCTACCTCGGGTTGGAATGACTTGGTACCACCAACCGAAGTCACCCAAGGACAACCTGTTGGGAAGTCGGGAGTGAAGCCGGGCTTGCCCCCCTGTTGCTCAAGAAAGCAAGTGCCATTCTTCCCAACACCATCATCTCCGGAGCTGAAGAACACCGACACCCCACGCGCGCCGAGTTGAGCAAATCCAGAGCACACGCGATCCGCGTAAGACAACGGTACCGTCTGTTCGTCATCACCGTAACTCGACGAGAGCACCTGCGGAATGGTCTTTTGAGCCAAGATGTAGTTCAAGAAGACGAGGTATGGCTCGTTTGTATTTTCGGTGTCCAATGGAGTCGGGGAGAAGGGCGGGCTGCCGCCGGTGCTGTATGCGGTCAAGGGAATCGGGTAGCCAATGCTCAGCATCTGCTGAACATCGAGATTACCCTCGATGTTGGTGCCAGCTGCAAGCTCAGCTGCGGTATATGGACCTTGGTTGTCTGGTGCACCTGCGATTGTGATGATTTTGAACTCATTGGCAGATTCTGCCGCATCCGGGCGATACAGTTGCAGGAATTTCAGGGTGTCCGAACGCTTGTTGGTCTCATTGAGATAGTTGGCAAGAGCCATGGCATTCTTTCCGGCGGCCTTTGGCTGGTAATTGATGGTGCCGTACAAAGTCCGGATGCACTCGGGGGTTGTGATGGTCTCATTGCAGATAGCGGCGATTGTGCTGGGTGATGGGCCTGATTCTGCAACTTTTGCGTCGCCGTATGCTTTCCAATACGGCTCCGCGACCGGTTCGCTCACCGACTCGATCGTCTTCAACTCACGCCGTGGACGGAAGAAGGAAGTCGTCGGTTGCACAACATCAATGTGTTCGTGCAGGTGGAGCGGCAGTGACCACTCTTTGGCACGAGACACAGTCGCACCATCACGGTGGCGGTACTTCTCGTACTTGGTCTGAAGCAATTCCTCTGCTTTTCCAATGGGGATCACCACGTGAACCCAGTCCTTGGCGGCGGTGAATGTGGCGTCTGAGATGCCAGCCTCCTCCAACCAGCTGCTGACCAGGCTGACTGACTCATCGGCGGGCGCGACGATGGCATTGACCTCGTCATGCGAGAGATGCTGGCCATAACGGGGATGCTCTGGGTCAGAAACCTCGAGGAGGTGCTGTTCGATGAGGCCTTGTTGTGCTTGTCTCAGACCAATCTGAAGATGAATCTTTTCTTCGGCAGGGGCAGAGCCAATACTGGTCCAGGCGCGTGGGACAATGTGGCGCTCCTTGACAGCATACTTGGATGCCGCTGCAGAAGGCAAGGCATTGGCGGTACCGATGGCAAGGATAGCGACGGCGAGTTGCGAGTACAACATGTTGGAAGCCTGTTCGAGGAGACACTGAGTACTCAGCAAGAGGAAGAGGTGAGTCAGAGAGAGTGGGCTCCTGCTGTGTATTTACATTGCTCGATCAGAGGGATCGGCAGCAGGTCAACACACAATCACATGGCCGACTCGAAGAGCACATTGCTGCCATGCGGACCAGATAGGATAAATGGCCGAGCAAAGATATGATCTTCACAGCCATTGGACACGGCAGCCATTGTCCGTGAGCTTGCGTGGCACGAAACAACCGACCCCGGGAATGGCATCATGATCGGCGAAATGATGGTCGTATCGCGGGATCGAGCTAGGCGGTCGTGTGCAGAACAGCACTGCACAAACATCATCATGCAGTGGGTATGCGTTCGGGGAAGATCTCGGTGTGTTGCCCTCCACAGGTTAGGATGCAAGCTCGGGAAGCTAGTGGAGCTTGGTGAGCTTGGAGTTTGTGTCTCTCCGTCCTGGCTGAAGTTGGCGTGACGGCGGCGACGATGAAAAAGCGACCTAGGACAGATTTGTCTTTGTTCTAGCGATAGGCTGTGGCAGGTGAACCAGGGACTCCCTCGCGCATGCAGGTGGACAACAATCCATAGCCCGTAGACCCAAACGAGAAGGTGTTGTCCGTTGTCCATATGTACAGTCCTTAGCCTGCGGATTATACCCGGCTGAGAGCGGTTCATTGTGCCTCCTGGGAGTCTCACGTACTAGTGCAGCAACACTGCGCAGTTCCATTGACGAGATATCAGAGTATATACCACGAGCACGGTCGCATTCTCAGTAGGCCCAGTTAAGAAGGTTATAGAATACATTCTTATTACTGCGGTACCGTCGTGTCAGGTACAGGATTTGCGAGAGGGTCAGCGCTGGGCGGGCGGCAAAGAGGGCGCGCGGAGGGGCACTGAGGGACGAGGGGGACTGTTCGGTGCTGAATTCCCCTGCGAACGGACATTCAGCCGATAAGAAGCTGGAGGAGTGATGATCGCGTGCTTGTTCTGCGCCGCAGTGTTGCAGATCAAGCATTTCCCCTGCAGGATCAAGGTCGGCCTCTCCTACCGCTATGTGTGCACGGTGTGATTGTGATGATTAGGCGAGCCATGATGATCAATGATGAGGTGGTATCGCCCGAAACCTTGAAAGGGGCAAGCTTCGATCTCTCTTCTAGCGGCCGCCCCGCAAACAAGCCAATCTGATATCAGAATGCACCTGACCATTGCGAGTTCCTGAGGCGCAATGGCCGTTCCCTTTTCGGCGTGACGCCCGCAGGTATAGTTACATCCGCGATACGATGGATGCAGACGCCCGACAGCTCGCGCGGATGATTGTGCCAATTCGCCATGACGTGGCGATCACTCTTCCCCTGCTCATGTTGTCCTCATCATCACGGCAGCAACCATCCCCCAGGACGAATGTCTTTCGAGATCATCAGTAATGTTGGGCCGTGCTATCGCGGTCCTAGTCGAGGACCCGGCTGTGGACAGTCTTGCAATCTTCGCGACGCAAGCGGCGAGTTTTTGAGAGTGGATATGCGGTACCTGTAATCCCCTGTCTTTCATTTTTATCTGCGCTCATCTCCACCCAGACTACACGAGTAGTGCACAAACGCGACGTTCAATAAAACAACAGATACTCGCCTCACATGGTCTGCGATCATAAGCAGATCCAATACAGTTCGCATGCTCGATCAAAGTCGCGAGTGTGAACGCGTCCAGAAAGCTATTCCTACGTTGATTGTTGGCGCCACTGCTGCAAAGACAATGTCGCACATGTAGCAATGTCAGGCGCTTGCGCGCGCCCAATTCGATGTGTCGAGGACTGCCTGGCTATTCGACGTGCTCTACTTATCATCAGGATACCCTTCGATGGTTCCGCGCTGCTACGGACAGTGCTTTAGAGCGTTGTCCGTTGTCGAGCTTGCGTACATACTGTACATCCCACAATGCTCCAGCTTGCAGGCTTTGCAGTGCTAGATTGTCTACGCGAAATGCTCGCCACTAGGTAAGCCATCCGATGTGATTGGCATCATCCTCGTGTCAGCAAGGGGTCTGTCTTGTAATAGTTGCTCGGATATGAACGGGTGCCACCTGCACTCTAGTAGACAGATTGTCATTCAGCCAAGGCTGCTCCACTACAGCCCTGCAGACCGTGAAGGTGTTTGTTGTCGTGAAGACGGCCTCAAACCTCTGCGCATCGCGTGAACAAATCGCGTCGAGCACCCATGCTCTCGTCAGCTGCAGACGTCCATGGATGGACCTCAGACCTGTAGGCATGCATCGCAAATCCCACGAGGCGGCATTATATCGCTCGTGCACAATGACATCGTCCTGTTTGGCTGGCGTCGATCTCGTGTTAAGCGCCGGGTGCACGAATGACAAGGCTCGACTGGCCAAAGACTACGGGGTTCACCATTCGGTGGCTTGCTGTCAGTCCGTTTCCAGCTGTGGAATGTTCCGCAACCAGACTGCTTCATGCGAATGCCAATCATGGTGTCTAGAGGATGTGTGGTGTATGTGCGATAATGAACTCCGTCGAGGATTCAATCATCTCATTGCATTGTGCTGCGCCGTTGCCTTGCAGCCCAAAATGCGGCGGCAGCGGCAATGCACACCGTGACGCAGCCAGGCCAACCTCGCATTCTCGCCCATAGTGCGTCGACTTCGGAATATCTAAAGGTTCTTCTTCTCTGTCGCCATAACATCGTATCGGACCCATGAATCATTGTTCAGTTTGCTCACCGACCACGACTACACTGAACGATATCGCTGCTTCGTCACCACCACGTCGTATCTCCACTGTCGCCTGACCCCGCGCCGTGGGGTGGAGTGGTCATCCAGAGTGACCGACTGTCACCAACACCATCCTCATCAGGGCCTGTCGTCAAATACATCGCGCCGGCATCAATTCCGCTCGAAGGAATGCATTGATCTCGACCCGTCATCGCCAGAACCTGCTTGTCGTTTCGTAGTGTCTTACACATCCTTGGTGGACGACAGGCGGTTCCGACAACCAGACACTTTGCCCCACAAGCACGAGCACCATGTCGATGCTTCCCATCAGACCAGGCATCTCGCGACAGCTGTCCGCAGCCGCCATGCAGGTTCCTATGCTTTCTTCGCCTCTGAAGCAGACGAATGAAATCGAGTGGATACAGCCGATCAAGCAACATATCCGCAGTGCATATGGCGACGACCCGGAGCAGTTCAACGATGAGTGCGCCCAGCTCAACCGGCTGAGACAGGACATGCGTGGTGCCGGGCAAGATAGTGCCGCGGGAAGAGATCTACTCTATCGATACTATGGACAATTAGAATTCTTAGACTTGCGCTTTCCGATCGACGAAAATCATATCAAAATCAGCTTCACATGGTTCGATGCCTTCACACACAAACCGACCAGCCAGTATTCTCTGGCGTACGAGAAAGCGAGCATCATATTCAATATATCGGCGGTCCTATCTTGCCATGCGGCCAACCAGAATAGACACGAGGACACTGGCCTCAAAACGGCCTACCATTCCTTCCAAGCCTCCGCGGGCATGTTCACATATATCAACGAGAACTTTCTACATGCACCTTCGACAGATCTCAGTCGGGACACGGTGAAGACTCTCATCAGTATCATGCTTGCTCAGGGACAAGAGGTGTTTATTGAGAAACAGGTGGTGGATAAGAAGAAGCCTGGCCTGATCGGAAAACTGGCCGCACAAGCCGCCTACCTCTACGCCGAAGCCGTACAGGGCGTGCAAGAGAATGTGTCTAAGGCCATTTTTGAGCGAGTCTGGCTACAGATGGTACAGATCAAACAGCATCACATGGCCAGCGTTGCTCAATACTATCAGGCTGTGGCTGATTACGAGGCTAATAAATACGGCGAAGCTATTTGCAGACTGCAAGCTGCCCAGAACGCAAGCAAGGAAGCGCTGCGTATAGCCAATAGCTTCCCCGGCTCTGTGCCATCGAACAGCAACTTGGGTTCTGAAACTGGCACAATCTTGGTCGACATGACAAAGAAACAATTGGCCTCGATCCAAGAGCTTCTGACTGAACACGTCCGCGACAACGACATGATCTATCACCAGCCAGTACCCGCTGAGGCCAACTTGCCTAGCATTCCCAAGCTTCCTGCCGCTAAACCCATGCCAGTGAGCGAGCTTTATCAAGGACAGGACATCCAGCGAATCATTGGTCCAGACATCTTCCAGCGTATAGTGCCTATGGCAGTCACTGAAAGCGCAAGTCTGTATGATGAAGAGAAGGCGAAGTTGGTTCGTGCAGAGGCGGAACGTATCGAGGTAGCCGACAGTGAGTTGGTGACCTCGCTCGATTATATGAAACTCCCTGGGAGCCTGTCCATCATCAAAGGAACAGTCTCGACAGACATCTCTGTGGACGAAGACTTTCGCACGTGGTGCAACGAGCTCGCGAACCACAGTCCGTTGCATCCAGTCTTTGAAATTCTCCGCACTTCGAAGACTACTGTCCTCGGCACACTAGACGATGCCCTGAAACAGCTCGATATGGAAGAAAGCGTATGCGAAAAGATGCGCAGTAAGTATGGCGCGGACTGGACACAACAACCCTCATCGCGTCTGACAGCCACCTTACGTGGTGATGCACGGAATTATCGCTCAGCGGTTGAGGAAGCCAGCACTAGCGATGCACAGTTGTACGCCACCTTCCGACAGCATGAGTCAGACCTGGATGAGATGCGTAGCGCTGGCGAAACTGACGAAGCTGATGTGTTGTACCAGCGCGCCATGCTCAAGGCAGGCGCTGGGAAGAAAGCCGCAGGCTCGGCTGGACCCAATAGCCAGGACGGCGATTTGCTCGGTGAGGATTTCGATGACGAAGCACGCCAAAGCATTTCGGAACAAGTCGAGCGGGTAGAAGGTCTTCTACAGAAGCTCAACCTGGTCAAGCGAGAGAGGGCGCAGGTGTTGAAAGATCTCAAGGAGAAGGTGCAAACTGACGACATATCCAATACCCTCATCCTCAGCGTGAAGAAACCCATCGTCAATCCGAGCGAGAACCCACTATTCAAACAGGAACTGGAGAAGTTTCGACCGCATCAGACTCGGATCATGCAGGCACTACACAAGCAGCAAAGCCTTCTCAAGGAGCTAGGCCGAACCTACAACGACCTGCTTGCCGATCGACGAGTTCGCAAGGAGCAGGATAAATACGAAGGCTTTGTGCGGCAACGCAATTCTGTCCTCGGCAAATACAAGAAGGTCATTCAAGCATTCCGGGATCTCAACACCGGTCTTGAACGGGCACGCCAATTCTATGAGGAGATGATTGAAACATCCGAAAGCCTCAAGAGCAACGTCGATACCTTCGTGGAGAATCGGAGAAGCGAGGGAGGCCAGCTTCTGCAAAGCATAGAGGTGGCTCGGAGCGCCGGTGCTGGCGGATCTAGTGGCTCCGCAGAACGAGAACAAACCAGAATGCGAGAGCTCATGGAGAGAATGAGTGTCAATCCGACGACTGCAGCTGCACCGCCGCCGCCGCCTCCGCAGCCATCTGGTCCCGGGGCCTACGAACATTTACAGCAGCAACAGCCTTCACGGCATCGCCCGGCGCCTCTGCAATCCTTCGCCCAACAAGCCCCTGGGATTGCTACTTACAACCCTGCGGCCAGCCCCCCGGTCACTCCTCGATATGCCGGTGTGCAGCAAAATTCGGGCATGTCTAGTATGGGCGGACAATATCCTCAATCACATCAGCAACAACAATACCAGCAGCGCGACAGCAGCTACATCCCATCGTCATATGCGCCCATATCTCCACCTCCCCAACAGCAATTTTTCAATCCAGGTTCCATGGCCGGCGGAAACATGCCACCAACAGGTCAATCGCAACACTCAATACCGCAGAGCGCATTCAAGGGTTATGGACAGCCAGCAACGCAGAACCAACCACAACCTGGCCAATACGGAGGCGCGTACCCGCAGCAACCGCAACAGCAACAGCGGCAGTTCAGTCCTCCACCCAATCAATCCGGCGGTGGTGCCTGGCCACCACCACCACCAGGTCCACCTCCGCCCAACGCCGGGCAGGACCCTTGGGCAGGGTTGAACTCGTGGAAGTAGTGGACACAATAAGAGTTTTTCCGGTGTGCTGATATGTGACCGTATGTCTGCATTTGTGCTCGAATCTTGTTATCGTCTTCTTACTAGAATCGTCGTTTTTCTGCTGTCAACAAGGTGAGAACTCGCTCGTCTGCGAGCGATGACAACAGTCGGCGATGGGGTGGGCCTGTCAGTCTGCGGGTATCTTTGATATTTCACATCGATACCTCCCTGTGATGCTCCTGCAGTATGCAGGCTTCACGATATAGGCTGATGTCGCCCCGACCATCGTTTTCTCGGGCCGATGCGGAAGACACCGACGAGTGTGAAGGATGCAGGTGTGGATGATGACGACGCCGCAGCGATCGCAATTAATAACCTTGAAATTTCCATGTGTTCATTCACTGTCTTGACCCGATCCCCCTCTCTCTATCGTAGTCTGAGGCAAGATATAGCAGTCGAAGACTCAGACACAAAAAGAGCGCGCGTACGGGGATCGATGTTTTCTACACAATATTTCGGTCGTGGCTATAGCATGACTTTGTGACTCGGTGTTGGTTTAAATTGCTCCCGTGCCTCTACCTTGACCCTTACTTCATCGTGGATCGAACGATGGCCTCATAAAGAGTACTCATTCTAGATAGAGGACGACTAGGAGAATGATGCTTTAACGGGTCTGATTTACTTAAGTATGAACCTTATTAGACCGCGGCATGGAAAGCCACCATTGGACTGAAGTCTCATCTACCGTCTCATTTGTCTTATTATCAAACCTTGTCAGGGAGCCTTGATGAATATCGAGATCGTGGCATCGCTCTCTTCGGTTAGTCAGCCCACTGCGATTATATACGCCGCAAGTACATGAGGTCTCGCTCGCGTCGGACTCCCTCCCGCCAGCTCAATTGATCATGGCAAAGTTGACACTGGTCACACGGAATTTCCGCCTTGCAGGAGCATGACATGTATGGAGGCGGATATTTCGCGACGGTACAAGGGCTGAGACCGGATTCCGGCCTTGGGAAGTTGGCGATCTGAGACGGTGTAAAGTAGACGATCGTGATGATGAAGATCGTCTACTGTTACCGATCACAACGTTCGTCCCGTAGCTTGGTACGAGACGAATTTGGATGATCCGTTTGGAACTTTCCGCACGGCTGTGATGACAAGAGCGCAACACGAGCCGTTGTCTACAAATCCTGATCGATACTAATTATCCTGTTCAATTGCATCTTTCGACCGCCATGACCCCGGCCGTTCAGCACATGGTCTGGCGCCGTTACTTCGGGAGTCGGCTTCTTGTCGCTACTTCGGTTGAATCCGTGCTCACCAAATCACTCCGCGCGATGATGTAGCCTGCTGCCACGCCTGTTCGTTCGAACATGAGTTCCATGTACCGTCTGGATTTTCCATGAGTACCTAGGTATCTAGGGATACGACACACACGCTCTTTCCGCGAATGGGGACGACTAATTTCTTACTTGTTTTTACCCTATGTTTCCGCAACCTTGGAATGGTGAGGCGCTGGGTCATCACGGCGCGCATTGGAAAGCGATCGCAGGTAGCCGTCCCATCCTTTTTCTGTGCGGCCACGCTGGGAGAATTCGGGATAACGAGAACGACAAATGGTACATCGAGGCACACCTGGGCATCATCCAAAACAGCCCTGAAGCCCTTGCAGGGCTTTCTTTCATTGATGGAAATCCCATCCCATCCCATCCCATCCAATTCCAGCCGTGCTGGCTGCTGGCCGCTGTCCACATCATCTGTCATTGTCCCTCCCGTATGCCGCACGCCCCGACCTTTGGCCAATACAACTGAACGCCATCTCTTTCGCACCCATAAGAAATTCCCTCTTTTCCCGTGATGGTGGTGACGATGATTCACACATCTACTAGGTACGGACGCATTCACACCCGGGATACGGTACGTACATGCCAAGGTCTTCCAAGGTGCAAACACATTGATACCCGCGTACATGCGTACACGCTCACGACGCTGCTGCCCATCGGACCGTATAACACCGTAAACATCAGCCTGTTCTCGGGTGCGACCAGTCTCCATCATTGTTCGACTGTCTTTCGATTCCCTCTTTGCGCGTGCTTTGCTTGGATCTTTGTTGGAGTAGTGGCCGCAGCAATGTAATAATAGTCCACAGGTGTGTCTAATAACTACTTCGGTGGGTAGGCATCATTCGACACCTGGGCAGTTCAACCTCAGCGTTTCCTCCGGCCAAGGGATGAGTACCGTGCCGTTCCGCCCAGTACATGCTGCTCATTCGAGCTTCCCATGAGAGTTTCCATTGGTGCTATGTTATGTGTACGCATGGCAAGGGAAACCTGCATTAGGTCCTCGTCACAAGCTTATGGCGTGGAATGTAATAAAGCATGACGTTCCTCGGTGTTTGAGAGGGTGTCGACAATAAGCACCTGCATGTTGAATATATGTCCAGAACACAGTACACGGCTGTGTTCTGTTGTGTTGAGGTGGTGGTGGCATGGTGGTCCACGCCGTCGTCGCCGTCGTCTTCAGTATTGTTACTCGTTGAATACGGTATGGATGGGTGGGAGTAGAGCTCCAGGGCGGTAGTCAATACCTAGCACCCTAGTAATCATGAGCATTGGAATGGACAATCACGATCATGTCTTCTGGTCTTTACTATGCCCAGGACTACTCGGGTTGACTGAGGTCTGCCGGCGTACACTGCCGACTGTCGTTGTGTCTGGGTCCCAGGTTGTCTCCAGTATTCTGTCCGCGGGTTTCGGGCATCTCCAAGATTCTTTCAGCAGAAGCTCTCGGGCTTTCTCTCGTGCTGATTCCTGCCAGCCAAGGCCCTCTCCCTGGGTTTTCTCGCATCCCAAGGTTATTATTGACATTATTACCTATGGATTATTGCTCTGTATAGCCGGTCCTCGCTTTTTGTATGCCCCCTCAGGTGGCTGAATATTTACTATACTACCTAGGTACTTAGGTATTATTCTTCCCGTACTCCAGCAGCAACAGCAGCAGCTGGTCTACAGAGTATACCTCGCCTCGCCTTGCTTGCCGCCCGGGTCACGAATTTTGGCTTCCTGGCAGAAGAACTTTTCTGCCCGACCATCATCTTTGTCTCTCGTCACGACGACCCTCACGGACTCGTCCCGCTTTGCTTTCTCTCCGTCATTGTTCGAAAAAAAATCACGACACACAGATATTTACGCTTCACCTGCATTATTGGCTTCCATTCCCAGAGTAGGAAGAGAGGAGACCCAATAGGAAATTCACCCGCCGGTCATCACCGTCGATCAAGGGAAAAGATAGAGAGACAGGGCCGTCTCCAATTGACTGTTGCTGACTGGGACCCACGAGTTGATCCCCGACGGTGCGGGCGCACTGTTGCGCTTGCTGTTGTTTCTTCCCCACCGTGAGCCGTTTGCCTGTTGATGGAGATTTCGCTGCTGCTGCTGCTGCTCCTGCTCTTGGTGTTGCGCGTCTAAAATTTATCGTCCGCTGCTACTGGGGTTCCTTCGCATCATCCTTCAGGTCTGCCTCGTCGCTGCTCCACTTTCGAGTCCCCACCAAAAAACCGGGCCCCTCCACTCTCTCATCGTCGGATGTCGCCTATAATAATCGGGTCAAAGATCAATTTGTATTATGGATCACAACAACCATTTTCCATCGGCATACACTCCTTATGCTCAAGCTCAAGCGCAGGCGCAGGCTCATGCTCATGCTCAAATTCAAGTCCAGGCTCATGCTCAAATCGCCCAGCAAGGCAATTCACAACAGCAACAACAACAACAACGGCAACAAACACCAAACCTGACGCCCCAGACCACTGGACAACATCAAACGGTGTTGGCAGGATTCACAAACCATGCCGCTCCGCCACCTCAGCAGCAGCAGCAGCAGCAACAGCAGGTGCTCTCGCAACATAATGCGATTGCGCATCCAACCCTCCCTCCACTGCAGTCCCATTCGGGCAACTACTCGCATTTCAATCCCATGCAATTCGCGCATGCCAATTCTCAAGCACCATCGCCGGCACCATCTCACCTCTCAGGAGCCGGTGCTCTGAATGGTCATCATAACGCGAATGCTTCGTTATCTAGCCACAACCCAAGCGTGTTCCCTCAGCATGTCTCGCCCATCAATTCCGCGACGGGCACCATGTTGCCGCCTGCTTATCCGCCTAACACGTTCGCCACGTCGCAATCAGCTATGTATTCTGCCGCATCGAGTGCAACGCCTTTGCCTGCGGTGAGCGCAGCTAGCTCACTACCGACGTTGCGTCCAATGCCTACAGGAGGTGTGAATGGTGTTATTGCCCATGGCTTGCCCACCTTGCCTGGAGCCAACCAGCTTGGTGCACTGGGACAGCAGCCTTCTTTCATGCAAAATGAAGAGGCTCCAACGCACGTGGTCGGCTCTCAAGGACGGCGAGGAATTCTTCCAAGCGCTCCTGGACGACCGAATCCGCCTGCCCAGGGGAGTGCGCAAGCCACCAAGAGTCTGGTCCCGCAAAAAGACGCCGACGGGAAATTTCCTTGTCCACATTGTAACAAGACTTACCTCCACGCCAAACACCTGAAAAGACATCTGCTGCGACGTAAGTCTCCCGCCCGGCCCATCTTCGGCCTCGAGCTTTTGCTGATTGTGCGACTTAGATACTGGAGACCGACCATACATGTGTCATCTTTGTAAAGATACCTTCTCCCGTAGCGATATTCTCAAGCGACATTTCCAAAAATGCTCCATCCGGCGAGGCAATCCCACCGGAGCTAATCACCTCGCACACCAGCGTCGTAACACTGGTAGTGGTGGTCGGCTGTCCATCAGCCAACAGGATGGCCCGATCGGTCTTGCAGGTCTTTCTGACGTGGCTGGCACCCCGACATTCAATTCGAGCATGGTCAGCGATAGTCCCACGGTCAATGGAACCATGTCTGCACGCTCGTCAAGGGCTAATAGTCTGATCTCGCCGGGCACTATGAGCCATCGCAACAGCATAGCTGGGCTCGGAATCCTGAGCGCTGGGGCTGTGGAGCATGCCGACACGCTGAACTCCTCTGCCGGTTTCCAGCCTTCGGTCAATGCATACACCCTGCAGAGTCCTGCCAATGGTGCGCCACTATCAAACAATTTCTCATTTGCACCACAACCACAGTTGAACGGAACGATGTTCAACAATCACTCGCAACCGCAGCAGCAACAACAACAACCCATGTCTTTTTTAGGCCATCCGAGCTCGCGCTTCGACAACAGCCAGAACAATAGCCCTCAAAACCCCATTGAGACCAGTAGTGTCCCGAACGTCGACTGGTCCGGCATGTTCATACAAAGTGGCCGGGATGGCTTCATAGAGGGCCATCCTGCGAACGCGAGCTCACAAGATGAAAACCAACCTAAAGCAGAGTCCGACGTCAAGATCAGCTTTCCTCCTCAATCCCGAGACCTTCATTTTTTAGGTGAGGTCTCTTCCCTTCCGATCACAGCTGAGGTCGAGAGAAGACACGGCGAGACTCCAGACAGCGCACAGCCGTCTGCCGAGGAGCCCTTGAACGCCAAGATCGATGAACTGAAAATTCATTGTTTCCCTGGCGGGGTTCAAGGCATCCGCAGCGACGTCAGCGCACAACTCATGTGGGACTGCTTAAATGTGGAGACTATCAAGCATCTCCTTGATCAATCATCCTCGTTTCAAGGGCACTGGCCCATTCTTCATATGCCCACCTTCGACCTCGCTCGGGCAAACAATAATCTGGTCCTCGTCGTCCTGTGCATAGGGGCCATATACAGTCCGGATCCAAAGTATCATGTACAGAGTGTGCGACACATGATGGAGTTTACCAAGACTACATTGTACCGGACGGCCGGTGTCCTCAGTCGTGTCGCCAATGGATCAACACATGGCTTGGCAGCATCGCAGTCCGAGTTTGAAGAACTACAGGCGTTGTCGATGCTGCACACCACGTTTACATGGCACGGGAATCCGGCACAGCGGCAGGCGGCGCGGAACGACTTTGTCATGCTTACCCGAACTTTCAGGTCATTTGATTTCACGCGAACTGCGCCTGAAGGTCACCACGCTCAGAGCGATCTCCATTCAACGCTAGCATTGTCGCCGAAGCAACTCGACTCGTTCAAATGGGACTGGCACACATGGCTAGAGCAAGAAAAGCGTAACCGACTAATGTATCAGGTGTGGCTGATGGACACTGCCATGGTGCTCTTCTTCAACACAAGCCCACAGTTCGAAACATCAGAGATCAAATTGATGCTGCCTGCAGACGATGCCGTCTGGGAAGCTTCAACTGCCGAAGAATGTGCAGATGCTCTCGGCCTCAATGGGCCCGCGGCGCAGGGACGGAACTTGAATGGTACGCGTCAACCGATTCAGCCTACGCTACACAACGCGTTGCGTTCTCTACTCGAATCGTCTGCACCCGTCCAGACAGGAGCTACAAACGTCTATGCAAAGTTTTTGCTCATCCACGCCTTAATTGTGCGCGTCATCTCTTGTCAGATGGCTTTACTGCGATCCGAGGGGCACGTCCAGGGCTACAGCATCGGTTTGAATGGCTCTACGCCCGCCACTCCCTTGTCGCAGGGCGATTGGTTGGAGCAGGACACCGGTCGCACAGAGAACCGAAGCGCGGAGAACAGTGGACACGTCTCGCCGACAGACCCGCTTCTGGCAGGCAACGCACCTTCCATGAGTATGATCCAGCATGAGAAAGCTTGCCTGGAGCAGGCTCTGAACAGATGGAAAGCTAGCTGGGATCTGGACATGCAGATCCAATTTCCACCTTCAAATTTTCAACCAAAGCGGTTTGGCTTTAGCCGCGACAGTGTGCACTTCTTCTACATCGCCCGCAGCTTCCTCCAATCCTCTAACTTGTCCGAATTCGCTATGCCTGCCGACATGCGCTTCAGACGAGTGATGGGTCTACTCAAACGAATTAAAACGATGATCGCGGATGATCCTGGAAAGCAGGGTCCGCGCGACGTGGTGGGGAGCGTTGGCGATATCGATGATCATTACGGACTTGACAGTCTCACTCTGGACATGACTCTGCTCTTCGCGCGCGATGACCGTCGACCGGACAGTCCTCTCACCGATCCCCACTCTCACGTTACCTAGCTTGCCCCTTTCAGCGACCCCACCGTCAAAGGGCTGACCAAATGACGCCTCTCACCTGATGAGTCACTTATCACCGATTTGGCAGTCAATGTTATCTGAGAAAGGCGTCCCAGACAGCCGGTTCGATAGCAGCTGGACCTTGAATAGACCGTCTGATCGCATCACTTCCCGCGATGAAACAAGAATATGAATATTTGGTATACTAGAGATGGCGCATCGAGTCGGCGAAGGAGGTTATTCCAAAAAAAAGTATAGTTTCTGCATTATAAGGCCCAGGGTAGCATTTGTTTCTAGAACAAAATAGATTATAGAAGTAGGAAAATAGAGAAGCTCGAGAATGGAAAGTAAACGGAAGTACTCTCATTTTAGAATTCTAATATCCTAAGAATAGTTAGATACTTATATTTCGCTATTAGGTTTAATATTAAACTTTTGCGAAATTAGCTTTCTAGTTAGATAGAATCTTACTTTAACTAATATTAGTTTTAAGTTTAGTAAATAAGGGGTCTTAATTTTTAGGAAATTATTTTATTTCTTAGAGTACTAGTAATTAGTTCTAATAATTGTAATATTAAGTATATAGTAATTTTAGATAGTAACGTAAGTGCTAAGCGTTAAGTATATAGGTAAAAGTTTATAAGTCTTTCTAACAGTTTAAGAATAAATACTAAAAAGGCTATAAATTTACAAAATTAATAGATACGACGTCTATATTATTAGAAAGACCTCTCCTTTACCTTAGAGAGGCCTAAAGAATCAAAAGAGAGACTATTAGTACTCTAGTAGCGACGCTAAATATTAGCTAATATAAGTAGATATCTTAAGAACCTTCGAAAAATTTAAGTATTACTTTAATTGTTTGTTTATTTTTACTATCTCGTTCTATATAAAAGCCTAAGACTATTTAGCTAGACGTTTAGTAAATATATACTATAGCAACTTCTTTCTTATTTGCTTCGATATTATAGTAAGAGAGAGCCTCTCTAGGGGTATAGATATCAATTTTATCCGATAGAATTATCTAGATTTTAAAGTATTTTTTGGACTTCGGTAATTTTAAAAAGGATTTTAGATATATAGTACTTAGTATCTAGTACTTATACTACTTTATACTTAGTAGTATTCCTAGAGAGTAGGGAGTTTTATAAAGACTGTCTAGACTTCTCTAATACAAAATTAAAATACTTCTCTAGAGAAAGATCTTATATATATTAGCTTAAAACTTTTAGAAGTATTTTAAGCGTTCTTTACTAAATATTAGAAATTCTAATAAAAGGCTGATTAAGAATACTTAAGGCTTAGCGCTACTCTAGGGTACTATTATTCTCTCCTTTTAAAGTAACTTAGGCGTATAATCCCTAGAGAACTTTTCTCTAGAGGATTCTTATTATTACCTTTATTTTCTACTTTTATTCAAGATAAGTATAGTTAATAACTACGTATATTTTTATTTGCTTTAAATATAGTCTAGAGAATATCTTATCTCGATTTTTATCTCTTTAAAAGGGTTTTTAAAATAAAAATCTTAAAGCTAGTTCTACTCTTAGAGCTTTTCTCTATACCCTATTTATACCTTTTATAAATTAAGTGTTAGTTTTCTATTATTTCTCTTACTAGTTTATACTAGTAAAAGTTATTTGTTATCTATTATATTTAGAATAAGTAAGCGTTTAAGTAGTAATACGCTATTTTTATTTACTAGAGTATATTAAGTACTTCTTTCTTTTATTCTTTGAATTAGGATCTAATCTTATATTTTAAGATCTTACGTACTATAATTAGTTCAATAAGGTTATTTTAGTTTATAGTAATTATATCCAGGCTCATACTAGCTATCTTATTTATACTTAATTAATTTTAAAATTGTTAAATTTAGGTACTAGTTAATTACTATAGTTCTATATTATAAGAATTAGAAAATATATATCCTTATATAGTACTTTAGGTAATACTATATAGTTAAGATATATTCTATAAAAAGGTTAGTTAATTAAATAACTACTATACTTTTCGAAATAATATGTTAGTATCTAACTCCGCTAGCTATAGTAACTACGACTATTTAAGGCGACTTATATAGTCGTAATTATAAGTAAGTATAGCTAGTAGTAATAATATTATATAGTTAAGACGTATTCTATAAAAGGTTAATTAATTAACTAACTACTATAGTCTTTAAAATAATATATTAGTATCTAACTCCGCTAGCTATAGTAGCTATAACTATCTAAGGCGACTTAGATAGTTATAGTTATAGGTAAGTATAGCTAGTAGTGATAAGGTCGACCCTTCGTTCTTAAAGGGTACTATAATAAATAAGGTCGACGGAGAGTACTATAATAGATAAGTATAGCTAGTAGTATTAAGGTCGAGTCTTTATCCTTATTTAGAGAGTACTATAATAATTACTATATTAATATATAAATACTATAGTAAATTATAATTCAAAGAGACTTAATCTACTTATATTTAAACTATAATACGATTATTTTATATAAAAAGCTAGATAATTACTTCTATTTATTGTATCTAACTTATAACTTAAAATAATCCTTCTAGCTATAATTCTTATATTAAGTATTCTTTTTATTTAGAATTTAATAATAGTATACTTTTAAGTTCGTAGCTATTTAAAGTATTCCTAAACTACTTAAGTAGGTTACTTTCAAGTATAGTAGTTATAAAGTATATATCCTTAAGACTAAAACAACTTAAAAGCTTAAGAATAGTAAAATAAGTTTTATTTTATAGAAGAGATTTAAACTAATTAATTTATTTATATAAAGTAATTTCTATTCTAATTTAGAACTCTCTATTTTAAATCTTCTTTATTTTAGTTAGTACCTATTAGCAAGTAATACTTTAAGATCTATTTCTTCTTTTAAAAGTACTAAATAAGTTACTAGTTAATTAAACTAGAGGTTTTTCAAATTCTAATAACATCTTCTATAGATTAGATTACTAACTTTAATCCTAGTTTAAAGTACTAAGATAGTAAGAAGTAAAAAAGTAAAACTATAAAAGTATTTATTATCTTTGTAACTATAAAGTAATATTTAAGTTAGGTAATAAGTAAATAAGTATATTATAAAAATGGGTTTAAAATTCTTATTTTTTAAAATATAAGAGACATTTTTTTAATTTTTTTTTTTAATATTATCTATAAAGTTTAAACTTTAAGAATTATTCTACTATATATAAAACATATATTTAACATACTATTATTTTTACGTTTAAATTTCTTTTCTAATCTTATCTTCTTTTTATTTTAATTAGTAGAACTTTAGCTTCTTCTAAATACTCTTATCCCTAGATATATACTTATAAACTATTATATTTTCTTTTAAAATAGTAAGGTAGTATCTAACTATCTTCCTAGCTTTAAGTATAATAGGAAAAGAAGTTTCTTATTACTTAACTTCCTCGAGTCTAAATATATACTATACTATATATAAAAGATAAAGGGAATAAGGAGCTACTCTTTATTTTATAGGAAATAAGTATAAATATAGGCTCTATACTTTACCTAACTCTTAATTCAAGTTTAGAATAGTACCTACAGGAGCTTATAGCGATTTGTCTAGTAGCTAGCTCTAAAGTTTTAAAATTCTTATAATACTATAGAACCTTAGATATTAGCCTATCTAAGCCGATATTATAGCTCTGCCTACTATCTTACTTAGTCTTACCCTCTAGCCTTAAACAATTATAGAATACGTTTCTTTATAATTAGAGGTTATTCTCTTTTACTTCTTACCTAAAGTTTCTAATATTCGTCTAGCCCTTGATTTCATAATAATAAAAAGGCTTTCTAGCTCTAAGATAAATCTTCTCCTTATAAAGAAGCTCCTTCTCTACCCCTAGAGAAAGTACTATATTAAACTTAAAGGGTCTTTGAAACTTAGATAAATAAAATAGAATTTAAATATAGATAAAAATGGATCAATAGTTAAACAGTTAATCTCTAAGGTAAGAGAGCGCTAGTCTCTTCTTATATTCCGCTACGATTATAGGTACTAGCCGTTTCTTACTTAGAGAGGCTTTATCTATCCCTATTCCTAGGCCTAAAGACTCTAGATAAGAATATAGTTCTAGTATTAGATTCTAGATATAGACTCGGTTGTATTATATACTTTTTTGACTAATTTAAGTAATTCTACTAGTCTTAATAGTAAGACTTATTAATTTAAAGACATATATATATGTCAAGAACTTATATCTAGATAGATAGAGAATATAGATACTGTTAAATAGATAGATTAGAACTATTTTATAGCTTCTAGAGAGGCTATAAATAAGGAGGACCTTAAATGCCCCTTAAAGCTCTATTAGCTCTATAGCCTTCCTCTTAGTTATTAAAAGATAGTAAAGGCTAATTTAGTACCGTAAATTTAAATAAACACCTACTACTAATTTCTCTATATTCTTTTAATCTAATCTTAGACTCCTTTATACTACTAGAATAAGTAAAAAATAAAATAAAATAAGAGAAGGATTTAGATAACACTAAGAAAGACTAAATAAGGAGGACTATATAATAGTACTCCTTCTTAATATACTTATAGAACTAATATAATCTAATAACAGATAAAATTATATACTAACGTAGTAATATACTATTCTATATATTACCTTACTACTTTATATCCTTATAAATAGTAATATAACTATAATCTAAAATAAAGTTCTTAGAGGAAAAGAGTATCTATAAGAAAGAACTAACTTAGTAGTTTCACTAGAGAATTATAAATGAGTTATTAGACTTGTAGTAATTATATCTAACTTTAGTATAAGTAAGTTAATCTAATACGTAAAGTACTACTAAAGTATTATATTTTAAGGAATAAGTAAAGAAAACTATTAGTAATTACTTGTATATTATAAAACTTAGTACTAAGGTTAAAATACTCTACTTACTCGTTAAGAAATAATATATTATATATATATATTATAAAAATATTTAATATTTATTAAAAAGAAGGTAAGAAGCTTAATTAATT